TAATAGAGATAAAGCGTAAGCTTACTTAGTAGCTAAAGAGGCTATAGTAATAGTTTAATAAACTTAAAAATATTATTAATAAGTATATAACTTAGCTAAAAGATATAAATAATATAAATAAAACTAGCTACTATATTAAATTTATAAAAAACTAATATATTTATATATATAACTATAAAAGAATATATATACTTTATACTAATAACTATAAGCTAATTATACTTATAAAGGTAGTTTTTATTATTAGTAAGTTTATTTAACTTATAATTATTATAAAAGTAGCTATATTACTTAAGTAATAGGTAGTAAACTTACTAAATAACTACTTTATTAATATTATAAAAACTAGTTATAGTAATAATTAAATAAGCCTCAGCTAGCTTAAGTACTTTAATTAAATAACTTACTAGTATTTATATAGTATATAGTAATTACTACTTTTTAATAGCTATAGCTCTTATAATACTTATAAGCTTAGTATATATATAATAGTAAATAAGATATTACTCTTTATACTACTACTATACCTTACTTATATTCTTTAATTACTTAATATAAGCTACTTTTAGTTACTTAAATAGTATTATAGATACGTTCTTTACTACGCTAGCTATATAAGTATAATTAATATTAGTAAAGTAGATTCTTTATCTACTACAGCTATTATATAATAAAATACCTTTTAGCTATTTACTATTTATAATAAGTAGTAGTATACTAGCTTATACTTATTAAATTTATAGCTTATTATTAACTAGCTAAAGTAATAAAACAAAGTAAGTAAAAATAAAAGTATGCTAATAGCTTTATTATAGCTAAGTATTACTTTTACTTACTTATATATACCTAAGCTTAAGTTATTAAATATTAAAGCTAAATCTTCTTTAAGTAAAATAAAGATTAAATAAAGTAAAAACTATACTACTATTATATAAAAATTTAAAACTACTTTTAGTAATAATAAGTAGCTATTTATTAATAATAAGCTACTTACTATAAGCTAGATTAAGTTGAGTATAGTTTATTAAGCTAAGCTATAGTAGCCTACTATTATAAATATACTATATAAATACTATTTATATAAGCTTATTATACTTATTTATTACTATTTTAAAGGCCTTAAAGTACTAACTTATATTACTAAAAGTCTTAAGTATAAGCTACTTACTATATAAGTAACTAAGTAGGCTTATAATAAGTACTACTAGTATTAGTAGTAGTAGATTAATATTAGTAGTAAGCTTATCTACGCTAAAGACTATTACGCTATAATATAGTAATATTAAAAAAATAAAATTATAGTAGCTAAGTAATAGTTAGCTATAAAAAAGCAATAAAAAGTTATAATTAAAATTAATATATAAAAAAAATACTACTTAACTATATATAGTAATATATATAGAATAGCTAAATATATACTTAATAATATTTTAGCTATACTTAGTTATAGTAAGTTTTTACCTAGTATAGCTTTATATTATAACTACTAACTTTTAGTAATACTTTTAGCTTATTATTAAGTATTTTTATAGTATATACTTTAGATTATAAGTAAGCTAATTATAATAAAGTAGTACTTTAATAATACTTATACTAATAGTAATAAGTTTACTATTATAATATTATAGCTAGAAATTTAGTAGAAAGTTAACTTATATATACTTTACTACTATAATAAACCTTTTTTTAAGCTTAGTAATTTAAATAATAGTAAGACTAAAGAACTAATATAGTAAAATAATAGTATATAAGCTTCTTTAAAGCTACTTATAAAGAAAAAGATATAGCTAGCTTAGAAAATATTAATATAATTAAAGTAATATTTATAGCTTTAAGTATAGCTTAATTTAAGTAATAATAGTATTATAAGTAACCTAAAGAGTATTAATAAAATCTAAGTTTTAAAATACTATAAGGCTATTATATAGTATCTATAGTAACTTAAAAATATTAATTTTATATAGTTATAAGTATATAAATTTAATATTATAATCTTAAAATTTCTAGTACTATAATTATTATTAGTGTAGAAGGCCTATACTATATATAGTTAATCTCTTAAAAGATTTTAACAAAACTATTAGAGCTAAGTAGTATTAGTAATTACTTACTTTAATTTTTTAATTATTAGTTTACTATAATATATAGTATTAGAACTTCTTAGCTATCCTAATAGAATTATATAATTAGTTAAATATAATCTTAGTTATAAAGAAAAATAAAATAAAATAAATAGATATATAGATAAAGATCTTATCTCTTAAGGCGTATAAAGTAATTATTTACTAGATTATTTATTTAAACTTTTTTTAACCTATACCCTATCTATAGTTACTTTAATTATATATTTAGAATTACTAGTAAATTAAAAGGTTTTTATAACCTAGTTATAATTTATAATATATTTTAAAGTTTATAACTAAACTAAACTTTAACTAATAGCTGCCTAGGCTCTTAAATATTTATCTATTATTTTTTTAGTTTATAGCGTATTTATACTTAAAGTACAAGTAGATAGATATAATATAGTAAAAATCTAGTATAGTAACTTAGTATAGAAGCTAATACCTAGCCCCTTTTTATATAGTAAAAATTAGTAAAAGTATTTAGTAATAGTAATAAAGAGCTAATTAGCTGTTTCTTAAGAACTAGCTACTTAATATACTAGTATAGACGTATATTTAAGAACCTAGGCAGCTATTAGTTAAGATTTAGTTTAGTTATAAACTCTAGATTATATTATAAACTAAAGCTAAGTTATAAGAACTTTTTAATTACCTAGTAATTATAAATATATAACTAAGGCAGCTTAAAAGAGGGTATAGGTAATAATAGTTTATATAAGTAAGCTAGTATATAAATATCCTTTATACCTTAAAAGTTAAGATCTTTATTTATTAATTAATTTATCTATCTTATTTAATCTTACATTTCTTTATAACTAAGATTATACTTAACTAATAATATAATCTTATTAGTATAGCCTAAAAGTTCCTATACTATATCTTATAGTAAACTAATAATTAAAAAATTAAAGTAAGTAATTACTAGTACTAGTATAGTACTTTAGATATCTTTAGTAAAATCTTTAAAAACTATATTAAGTAGTAAAAAGAAATAAAAAGAATTTCCTAATATAATAGTAATATATTCTACTTAAATAATTTAAATATTAAGTAGTACCTTATACTTAATAAAAGGCTTAAGGTAAAGCTTTATAAAGTTAAAGTTTAGCTCTTTCTTATATAAGTCTATAAGGCTAATAGAGCTTTTTTAAATACCTAGCTCTTTTAACTTAATAGCCTTACTACTAAGTAGTATAATAATACTATTTTAATTAAAAATAAGAGGTATTTTAAGTAAGCTTTTATTAACCCTAGATATACTACTTAAAAAAGAAGACTTATAGAAGTAATTAAGTAAGTATAAAACCTTACTATAAGACTATAGAATTAATATAGAATAAAGATTAAGCTAGCTAATTTTATTAAAAGGTAGTAGTAAGAGTAATAGTAATAGTAATAGTAATAAGAAGTAGAGGGTTATAACTAGGTTAAACTTTAGCTACTAGAATTAGTATAAATAATAAGAACTAATTAGTAATTAAAACGCGTACGTAACTAAAATATAATAGTAACGTAATATATTAATCTCTATTCTCTAAAGAAATATGTATTAATACTAATATATTAAGTAGCTAATTATCAATAAGATAGTATTTTAATAAGCTTTCTATTATTATTACTATATACTTTAACTAATATTTACTATAAAAAAAGAAGCTAAATAATAGCGTTTATACTAAGTTACTATATTAGATTCTTACTATATTATCTATATCTACTAATACTAGAAGTATTAATACACTATAAATCTAGAATAAAATAAATTAATATCTTTAATTTAGTTAGCTAGGCTCTACTTTGAAACTAAATTACTTTAAGTCTTAAATAAAGTTCCTATTAGGCCTTTTTTATATATAATCTTTTTTTTCCTTTTATAAAGATATTATTTTTTTATTAAAAAAGTAGCTTCTCTTAAACTTAAATAAACTACTTCTTTTAGAAAAAGTATAAAGAATTAAAATATTTAAGGCACTATTAATAAGTAATTAAGATATAAAATAAATAAATATTTATTAAGAAATTAAATAAATCTTTTAAGTAATAGCCTTAAAAATTTTTAAGTACTCTAATTTAGAGCTTTAAGGGCCTTTTACTCTTAACCTAGATTTTTACTATAAGTAGAGTAAAATAAGCTTAAATATAATAACTAATAATATTATTCTAGAGAAAGATAGAGCTAAAAGTAATAGGCTTAGCTAAATTATTATATAAACTACTACTCTATTTAGAAATAATTATAGAGTAACTATATATACTATATAAAGAGTAGTAGAATAGTTACTCTAAGCTCTAAGATCTTTAAGTAGGCGTTTAGAAGCACTATAGTGTTATAATATATATAATAAGATTTATTTTTATTAAAGTTAAAAAAACAGAATTAGTAAAAGTACTTAGGATACCAAGAGTTTAATTATAGGTTTCTTTATAATTATAAATACTCTAATTTATTAAGTAAATACTAAATTATTTATATAAGCTTAATATTAATACTGCTCTAAAAGAGCTTCTAACTTAACTTACCTATAGTATTCTTAAAAGTTTATAATTAAATTTAGACTTACTATACTTTCCTTAGGTTTAAGAATTAATAGTTAGACTAGTTAATTAAGTAAACTATAATTAAAAGACAGTTAATTTCTTTCTTTTACTATAATCTTAGATATTAATAAACCTTAAGTATCTATTAGAAGGCTAGGTATAAGCTTCTATACTAAATTACTATACTATAGTCTTACTGTATTACTTTCTTTTACCTACACAATTGTGTAAATACGCTTTAACCCTAAAACTAGAAGTTAAATTTAGACTAAATGTTATTCAAATCTATGCTTTAACATTTTTACCCTTATGTCTTGCCTTTACGAACTTGAAAACCTTTCTTAAAACGTCTCTAACAATCCTTAACGTACACGCAAGTCCCGAATTGACGCTCAAAATCCGCCTCGATCTTTAGTACTGGCTGCGCTGGAACTTCTTTGCCAACCTGGACAATATCGAAATCATGACTAAGATAGTTGTCCCTCTCTTCGACAATGTCTCAGTGGGCGAGTCATTCGTACAACCACCGCTCAATCATGTTGAGTTGTGCATTGCCAAATGCTTGGATAAACGATCCCACAAGAGATACGCCGATGAACAGTATTGATGCAAGCCACCGGCTGCTCTGACTGTTTACAACTTCCACAGCAGCCCAATCACAATAAGACATTTTGTCACACGAACACGAACACGCGCCTACCTTTGTGAACATATGGGAGAGATCAAGAAGGTCAAGCGTGAGATATATGGGGAAATCGTTACACGGAATGATGAAATTGTGGTCAGGCAAAGTACTTACGGGCAGCCTCACCTGCCCAAGGAGATTGGAATCTTCTTTCGTCGGGTCAGGATTGTGCGTGTCAATGGAAACATTCAACTTAATGTTAAGTTTTTCGCCGAGGGAGATCATGATCGTTCACTTGATGAGTTCTGTGCAACCCAATTGCGAAAAGCCTGTCATTATGAGCAGATGCGCGAGGGCCATAGATAGGCTGATAAGTCAGCCTGGAGAAATGACGCTGCGTTATGGCAAACACATATGGCTCATGTTCCATTGTCTTCGAGCATCCTCAATTTTGCTGCGACACGCGAAGACAAGAGCGGTATCCGAACACATGAAAAGGCACCATCGCCCAACCCAGATGCCCCGAGACCGAACCACCCCACTGTGAGTCGTCTCGCCTTTGTACGCTACTGGGGCAGGGGTATACTGGTACTCTAAATCGACACTGTGCTTCACTCAGTCATTGCCAATAGAAAGGACAGACCTGTTCTCATGCTATGGCAACTTGAATTCGCCAAACGTATATACACATCGCGCCTGATTTCCACGTGCGCCTTAAATCAACGGCGACTTTAGCTCTTGAGCACTTACCAGCCTCACGAGTAATTGCAGTCGTGGAGCATGCGCAAACATGTCCAAGGTTAGAAACTTAAGTCATTTCAAACTGGAAAAGGAGGAGGTTCAAAGCCAAAAGAAACCATCTACGTAACGCTTTAAAGGAGTGTATTAGTAGTAGCTTAACCCTGAGACTTTTACTTTTTTCTTTTCCTTTCCCTTCTCTTTTCTCTTTGCTTTCGTGCTCGAACCAGGACTTGTATTTGCTACGCTTCGCCCGTTCAACCTTTCTCTTCTTTTTCTTTCTTGCGCATTACTGTCCTTGTCCATTCTTCCACGGGCCGATGTCTCACTCTCCATGAGCTCTGGTTTCACATGTTCGTTCATTGTGTGTTCCACCATCTGCCAACCACTTCCTTCCTGCCAAGCCACCCCAGCAGCATTAGCTGCCCGTACGCCTTCAATATATACTTCCATACGACTCCTCTCGTCATCGTCTTCTAATCCGCAGCCACATCCACATCCGACCACACACTCGTCCTCGCCTATCTCAAGCTCATCATCCATACAATTGAAGTGCGCGACATGCCCGCAGGCGGGGCAGAGGTAGAAACGACCTTTGACGCGAATCCAACAGATGCTGCAGCTGTAGATGGGCTCTTGCGAGGCGGTTTTCGTTGTTGTTGACGCTTTGTTTTGGGGTGGTGAGAGTGCACCTCCCCATATCGAAGGTACGGAAATATTAGATGTGTCTCGTGAGAGGCTGGGTCTGCTTGCAGCTTTGTTGTGCGGATAGAGGAGTCGGGTTTGGACTGGATATGCCCCAAGCCTAGTGATGTTTTCTTCGCGTTCGTTTGTTGGAGTGGGTGCGGGTATGGACAAACGCAAATATTGTTCAGGAGTCATGAAATTGCCGATTGTGGTTTCGTCCGTTGGCATCAGGGACGGCGTGCCGGGCTGGAACTCGGTCGCCTCTGGGTTGAAGGAAAAGTGTCTCGGCGAAGCAACAGGCGAACGCTTCCATTGCCCCGGCGTAGCCGATGGAGGCGCCAACAATGTTGACGTCTTCGAAGGATGTCGCGACGATCCTTGTTCGGAGTCTTCCTCCGCACCTTTATCTAGCGCAAGACACATTGATCCAACCTTAGACCTAGCTCTGTGTTCCGCAGGCGGGAAATATGAGACCAAGCCATTGAACTTTAGTATCTCTGCTCTCGCGCTGATCAAACCCCACGACCCAAGTATGTCTGCATATTGTTCCCTCCAAGCACGATAAAGCCAATCCTTACTCATGTTTAGTAGTGGCTTGCTCACACATGCTTCGTCATCGAACTGGTCTTGGTTTTTGAGAGTGATTCCAATCTTCTCCACACCGTCCACGCCATCCCTATCTCTAGAGGCCAAAGGATCAGGGTAATTGGAAAGACCATTGAAACTCAAGTTAGGATCGTCGTTGTTTTGGTCGTATTCAGAATCAGAGTCGTATATGTTATCAACATTGATCTGGTCCGACTGTCCGAAACTAGCTCGCTTGTCATGTCTACTCCGCGGAGTCGCCAGGTTGGCCTTATCCTGAGATCCACCTCCATAGAAGGTGGTTCTTCCCCATGTGACAACACTGGTAGGCGCCGATGTCGATAGATCACCTGTGTCTGTACGTGGTCTCACAGGTGGGGACGAAGACATTGCATTGGCAAATGGCCGTGACAACGCGGCGACGGCGTTCGCAAAGTTTGCAGTCGAACTTCTCTTCAGGGCTATATGACTTTGTTCGGGGGACGTTGAATAAGGTGTGTGACCCACGGTGTGGGAACTTCTTGTTGTTGACGCTCTTGACAGCATTGGTGGTGTGTTATCGATAGAATACGGCGTTACTGGTCCAGAAGGCTGCCCATCGCTTCCCCATGGCCCGTTTGAACTGTTGTGGCTTCCGTACGTGTCCAAGCTCTTGACCAAACCTTGCCATCCAAATTCATGATTTGGTGTTGCATGGCGCGAATGCATAGGAGTAGATGGACTGGACGCAGCAGGCTTGAATAAACTCCATGCAGCATCAGCAGAAGAGAAATAGTCTAACGAGAATGCAGGCGCCTCCATGGACATTGGAAGCTGGGATTGTCTGATCCTCGCCTTAGCTGACGTTATGCCTTCGCGAGCAGCAGGTTCCGCAAAGATACAAGAAAGCATAGCGAGCATCTGGGTGTCGGCGAGTCGTTCGAAGTGGTCGAACAATGCCGGTATTAACCAGGTCACAACGGCATGGTTCCCCCACTTAATCCTTCCCGTAAACTTAGGGTTGGTTACATTGTCAGCTTCGTCAAACTGCAGATCTAGGCCACTGTCTTTGCGTTTGATTCTTACGAGAGCCCTCCGGGCAAGCACTAGGACTTGATCCTTCCGGTGGGGCTGGGGTAATATCTCCAATGGCACTTCGTTGCACAGAACAAGTTTACAAAGCATCCAGATATCCGCTAGATCCTTATATCCGTATTTCTTGGCCACGTCAGAGTTGTGACCACACACTTCCGGTCCAGGGCCAAAGATCCGGTATTCTTCCGCAAGTACTCGTTTGGTGGGGACAAAGTCATCAATCGCCGAGGAAAGAATAGAGACAATGGACTTAGTTTTAGGGGTTGGTCTTCCTGCTCCAATAGAAGAAGGAACAGAGCCCCGCCCTTGTAGCCGTGACGCTGTTTTCTGCCAAGCCAGAGGAGGTTGAAAATTGCCTATATGTGTGTCGGCGGCATGATCGGAGCCAGAAGACGACGAGGAAGACGTCGATTGTTCCCATGAGGCATTAGATGATGTTGGAGACGAAGCCTTGTTGGAATCGTCGACGCGATGAGTGGCGAAATGACCAAAGGAATTGAAGATATCATCTTTCGAAGGTCCGTGCCGGAGACTCCTGGTTATCCGGAAAGGACTAGCGTCGAACAATGGCATGGGCTTCTTGGACGGGATTCTGGCGACTACGAGGGGTCCATGAGCCGAGAATCTTACAGAGCACTGGATGGCAAGAGGAACATTTGCATTTGTATGGGATGATTGCATTACATCATCAGTAAACTCGCCCTCATTTTCATCATCGTCACTTGAGCTCTCTCCGACAGGTAACGGCCCTATGTCCTCAGGCAACTGAATCTCATCCGTAAGTTGAAGACTGTCTTGTAGCCCGCGTTCTCCAAGAGCATATGAAAGGACGGCTTCCAAAGCCTCGCGTTGCTGCCCTGCACACGCTTCGGCAATGATGTCCAAGTCGTCCATTAGTTCTTCCTGCTTGTCTTTACTAATCGCAGCTGTTGTTCTTTCGAATTCGATGTCTAGCGGGGTTCGTGTCCTGGCAGTGCCAATGCCCGGCTGTACAGTCTCGACAATCTTCGGATATTGAGCGGGGAATGTGATCGTAAATCGAAGGAAGACCAACTTGTGGTCTTCAGTAGCTGGGTCGATGTCGCCCCATGGGCCATTGAAAGCAACGGTAATGCGGCGTCCTGGGACATCGATGACTTCGAAAGTGAGCTTCTTGTACTTGTTTCCGACAAATGAAATCTCAGCACCCAGGTCGTTCTGTTCCTGATAAGGGTACTTGTCTTTGCGATCATCGTGTTCGGGTCGGACGTGGAAGTCATCGATGTGGTCATCGTGTCGATCTCCAAATTTGACACCGTCCATCCAAGTGATATGAGTGACTACTCGTGGGTTGTTGCGGCGTATAGGAGTGGCAGTCATTGTTTCACGAGGAAGCGTCTCAAGGTGACCTGCAGGCTGAGCTTGACTCCTCCAACGCGAAGTATACATTTCATCAACGTGCGAGTGATTTTGTAGCAGAGTCGAGAGGTTTCCTCGTAGCTGATGACGAATGGGTTCATGTTTGTCCCTAGTGGTAGCGTCCAATGGTACAGGTCCATCCCGATATGTAACATAGGCAGCCCCCATGCGGGTTGTACTTGGTTCCTCCGTCAGTGGTTCTCCCTTCCGAAAGCCGACGGATTTCTCAAGAAGGTCTGGGGTAATGCGGTGGAGGTGTAGATGCTTATCTGTGCCCCAGGAGACTAGCTGAAAATCGCGATCATCGATATTATTGTCGGTAGGGCCACGTGAGCGCCATAGAAACTCTCGAACTTGGGCATTTGGATCATGAGCCCGAAACTCGTGGACGGGATCTTTAGTAAAGCTGGCGGCAGGGCTATCAGTGACATGTTTATAGAGCCATAGGCTCGAGTTACCACGCTGGGGCATGGCAAAGATGCCATGTGGGAAGGGTGTGTGACGCGCCCTCCACACTGGATAGTGAGTGCGAATTACACGTCGCGGTTTGTTGGTGTTGGCTATCAGACCAACGTTGCTCCAAAGCTTGATGGTAGAGTCGAGTGAGCAAGTCATGATCTTTCTCGGATCAGAACGATTCCAATCGATACCATAGATCTTGGTGCTATGGGCTGCAATGGTAGCAAGCGGAGTAGCTCCACGACGGATATCCCAAATATGGAGATACTTGTCATGTGCACTCGCAATAATCTTGTCGTTCTGACGATTCCACTTCACTTGAGTCGCGCCTGCCGTGAAATCAGCGAGCTTCAGGGGAGCCCGGGTTGAGCGCAAGTCATGCACAAAGACAAAGCTGTCGACTCCGCAGGTTGCTAGCAGTTCAGGGTGATGGGCAGAGAAGTTGATGTCAGTGATTGCGCGGTCATGGGCGCGAAGCGTGTACTCAATGGGCGCCTTTTTGCTGTTGAAGGGCATGGAGAGATTGTAGACGAGGGCAAGCTGGTTGCGCGTCGAGGCGATCCACTCGGCGCGACAGGCAAAGGGCGACCACTGCACATCAGCCACGTCCCAGGAGGACTGGTTGGGGATGAAGAGGGGCATGCTGTAGGGGCTGTCGAGGTCGATGATGCGCAACCCGCTCTTGCTCGCCAGGACAACATCTCTGCCCGAGGGCGAGATGGAGGCGGCGCCAATGTCATCGTCAACGGCGATGGACACGTTCTGGTCAAACGTCGGCGACTCGAACGGCGTGCGCCCCGCCGTGGTTACCATTGTCGGCGTGCTGTCTTGCCTGACTTGGCTGACGTGCCTGACAGACTGCCTCGTGGCCAAGAAGGGCGTGGTGGTGACGGTGTCGCGACGAAGAAGTCGCGTCTGGCGCCAACGCGCTTACGGCTAGCATTTGTGTCCTCGCCGGCCCACCTTGCAGCCCTACAAACCCCGCTGACCTCATGCCCGATCCGGTGGGTGGGCCCTGGCTGCGACACGCTGCCATGCCCATCGCTCCCCCCCGTTTGTGACGCCCACGCACGCAAACACCCACAAACGCGCCCGCCCTGACAGCCTCTACGCCCGCCTGCCCCGACACCTGCCCCGACGGCCGTCTTCCTCCAACACCAGCAGGGCCAGCACACACGGCAGCAATGAGCGCGCCACTCCCCAAGAGAATCATCAAGGAGACGGAGCGTCTGATGAGCGAGCCGTAAGCGCGCCCTGGCATGCGCGTCAACGAGAGGCTGACGGTGAGACGATGAAGCGTCCAAGGCATCTCGGCAACGCCCCACGACGACAACCTGCGCTACTTCGACGTGACCATCGAGGGCCCGTCGCAGTCCCCGTACGAGAGTATGTCGCCCGTACCGTGCCAGGAGGCACGCGCGTCGACTGGGGCTGACACGCCACAACAGACGGCATCTTCAAGCTCGAGCTGTTCCTCCCCGACGACTACCCCATGACGCCCCCCAAGGTGCGCTTCCTCACCAAGATCTACCACCCCAACATCGACAGACTGGGCCGCATCTGCCTCGATGTCCTCAAGAGTGAGCGGGCCGATTACCCCCCACCCCTTTGTTCAGAAGGCAGCTGACCCTCCAGGCAACTGGTCGCCCGCCCTCCAGATCCGCACCATCCTGCTCTCTATCCAGGCTCTCCTCGGCGCCCCGAATCCCGACGATCCACTCGCCAACGATGTAGCTCAGGCGTGGAAGGAGAACCAGTCACAGGCCATTGCCACGGCCAGGGAGTGGACTCAGCAGTATGCGAAGGCTTGATTGCGAGCGCGAAATCACTTTGACGGCGACGATTTCTCCGGCCGCCAATCACCGATAGGCTTCACACGTCTGGCAGGTCCTGCACGTTCGACGGATGGGGTGGACTAAATGTCTTGGACTGCACCCATATTCTTCGTTATAGATTGGCCATCTTGTTGCTCTGGACCGCCTGGCGTTCGTCGGACGATCTGGATAACATAGCATGATATGTCCCTGACAGGACGGAGGTTGCAGTCTGTCTTTCCTTATAGTTCTGGCCAGCTTGATGAATGAACACGAATGGCGTCTTCGAACCCACTGATTGTAGCGAGTGAACCTGCCATATGTTTGCTTACTTGGTCTTTGAACGTGTTCATCAAAATTCAATTCTGCCTCCATGGTGCACGTATTGGAAACCGATGTACCAAGCTCACACATGAGATATTGGAGAGCCACATGTCAGAAGAGACAATACTCAATGCACATCACACTCAATAATACAGCTCGGGTTGAATTCTTTATTGGCTTTTAGTTACTCTTATGGCGCTTCTGCCTGAAGTGCTATTCGCTCTGGAGGGCTATCGTCGAACCTCTTTCTCGGTCGGTCTGTCACTCACTCCGCCCTGACAGACTCATTTTCAAAGTGGGATTGGGGCAAAGTGAACGGCATGTAAGTCTACGATTGCGGTTCATTAGAAATGGTCGCCATGGTTCTGGTCTTCCTCCACGCTCAACGTCTCATGCTGTCTATGATAATCTAGTTCAACATCCATCTCATCAACATACGATCTCTACCGATAGTGATACAACAACGAACCTCTATCCCCTTGCATTTTATCCATCTACTCAAGGCCCGGTAATTGGTCCCCTACCCTCGTCAGGAGTGGTACTCTCTCTGCGTCTATAGTACTCTCGCCATCGCCCTCTGGATCAGGGTAGAGCAACTTCAACCACTCGCCCTTGGCTACTTTCTTCACCCGCCACGTCCCGTCCTCAGCCGCCTCTTTGAAGAATTGCTGATTCTCATCGAAACTTCTCCCTCCCGTCTCAGGTAGATACAGCCATGTCCATACACCTGCCATCGCATTCGTAGCCGCAAAGACCAGGAAGATGAAATAGGATAAGTTGTTGAACATGACCGGGGTCAGGAAAGTGATGGCAAAGTTCACAAATCCCCACACAATGACGGAGATTGCTGTACCCTGAGCACGAGACACCGTCGGAAAGATTTCGGTGGGAATGAGCCAGACGGTGGCGAGCCAACCGATACCAAAGGCGCCAGTTGCAATGAAGAGAACAACTGTGCCGAGGAGACCAGGGATGATTTCGGGAATGTCGAGGGTGGAGATGTTTTCAGACAAGCCACCGAAGAGGGCGAGAAGAAGGAAAGATATAGATAGCACAACGGAACCGTGAATGAGGAGTTTGCGGCGTCCGAGGGCATCGATGAGCAACCAGGCGAATGTCATCAAAACAAAATACGAGGTGTAGTTGCCGAGCGTTAGATATTCGGACATGCGGACGGTGAATCCGAGAAGCTGTAATGGTTGTCAGTATATGATCATACAGTAGTGGTTGGCAGACTCACTCCGAAGATCTGAGGTCCGTAGACAGAGACGGCTCCGTAGCCTGTCAGTCCCTGGTTGATCTGACACATGACAGTGACCATGGTTGGGTGAAACTGTGAGTGATACGGGTTGACCATATCCAGATAACCTACTACCTCGTCCTTCTCTTTCTCGTGTTGTTCCATCAAGTCATCAAACTTCTTGTCGCTCTCATCGCCGTAAATATCGCTCAATGCAGCCTTCGCATCATCGATTCGATCGTTGAAGATAAACCATCGCGGGGACTCTGGGAGAGTTTCCACAAATGCCATCAACAGGATGGGGTATACCTGCATCACAATGATGGGTATTCTCCAAGCCCATTGGTTCTCTTTTCCAAGCGCGATTGTAACTCCCAAGTTGATTCCGAAAGCCATGACGAGCCCGAAGATGTTCGACTGGAACTCCTGAGCCAGCGCTTTTCCGCGAGCGTCGTCCGCCGAAAGCTCAGATGAGTAGGTTGGGATCACGGCGTCGATTCCGCCGACGCCCAAGCCCATGATAACTCTTCCTATCAACATAACCGCCAGTGATCCTTTCGAGTACCCGAACCCCGCAACGAACATGATGAGGTTTCCTAAACTTGCCGAAGCCAAGCTGAAGAAAATGCTCTTCTTCCGCCCAAACACATCTGCCAGCTTCGAGAAGAGCACAGCCCCCGCCGCGCATCCCAGGTAGTAAATTGCAACGATGACACCAACGATTGACGATTCTTTGCCAATTCCCATCGTGGCCAGGTAATTGTGATTCGTGTTTATCAAAGACATCATTCCTTGGTCGTAGCCATACAGCGCGATGGCCGTTGCCGAGAAAATCACGACATGCGTCTGCTTGTCGCTGTACGCGGCACGGACGTGCTTCGCGATGAACGACATGACAAAAAGCTCAATTGCTCAAACGAACAGTCAATTGAGATGGGTGGAGGATGTAAGATGCATGGCAGGACCGCAAGATAACTGGGTGACCCTTCGTCTGAGACTACGGTTCTTTAGAAAAAGCAGGGTGGGTACGTCCCTCGACACGGGACGTTGCGGGACATCATGACGATTGGTGGTTGGTAGCCCAACTTGTATCGGACTAGGCTCGGAGAGCCCCACCACATTCACGGTGTGTTCGCGTCGCTACACATCTCGTGGTCTTGGTCTGTTGAGGCTCTAGGAGTCAGGTGAGAGGGTTCAATTTTACGTTGGTGTTTGATCAATATTTACGGCTAACTCGACTAGAGGTGACTGTTGCGCTTTTTCCATCCGCGATAGACAAAATCGCGAAAACATTTCGTTACCTTTGAGAGGTGAGAAAGACAACCTTGCAGGCCAACAATCTCTGACATCCCATGAGATGAAAAGACATGGGTCGATTGATGTCATAATTCTAAATCACAAGCTACCCCTGCAGATGAGATCTTCGAAGGATTCTTGAGATCTTCATGCAGTGTAACAACAGCAAAACCTAGTACCGTGTATACGGAGTACCGTTCATCCCATAACTAAACCATAACTGTAGATTCGTCTGTTCCCGATCCGATGAAGAGTCATAGTTTTTATAGAGCCTCTTGAGTGTTGCGACGAACGCGACAGAATACGTTGTTGTTTGCGCTTTGAGTACAGATGCTTGACATCACATAGATAGCGGACCGGGTCCATGTTTCGTACACAACTACAAGCTTCATGTTAAGCCAATCCTCCGCCATCGTAATGAAGCACCTAGTTGGTCATGAGGGTTCTGAGTGAAACTCTAACAGTTTCAGAACGTCCCACTATCCGGAATTTTGATGTAAGATTCAAGACGCCCGCTGCGAACTGAAGTATTGTGAATAACCGCAGACAAACAATACGCTCGAATGAAAGCGCTAACGATAGGTGGGTGGAGTGTGACGCCTGTTGCAACTTTAGCAGCTACGTGGGACCTTGTTCTAGTATCGCACTGGAAGTCATTTTGATCTGGCTTGATAAAAGACTCAGCAATGCATAGAAGGAATGGAGAGGGAGAGGGAAAAGTCACGTGTATAGAGTGGTAGATAAAGCAGCGAAAGTATGCAAACCGACAAGCCTTGAAGAAATATATTGACTATATCTAGGATGCTCTTGCAAGCTATACGCAAGGCGGACTACGCAGTTGACGATACAAAATCCTAGCTTGTTAGAGTCGACAGCTTCGATAGTGGCCTTCTGTCATGTGGCTGAAGCGAAGACAAGATGAAGACGAATTACTTGTAAAAGAAAGAGAATAATAAATCAATTATTGAATATTCATATGCATTCTGAGTTCTCGATAGTATCGGCAAAAGATACAGAATGATCCAGCCCGCTTTGTGTAGTTCATCATCCTCCTGAGACCATCGTAACCGCATACATGTTCCAGATGTTTTCAGGTAACTGTTGCTGCACTTGATAATTACTTTTCAGATCAGGTTGGCAGAGCCGCATACAGTGCTTGTGCTCTGATTCTATGAACAAAACTGAGCTGCTTTAGGTTGTTATTTACGGGCACCTTGCAAAGAGACCGTGGCAAAGGTGGGTATCAATTGAACTTACAGGTTTGACCATGGCGGACTTGTTACTCAAGCTGGACTCTGATCAGATCCGTCGTCGACTGTGAGGGGAGGTTTATTCAGGAACAGCCTCGGCGGTCGAGAGGAAATCCTCTGGAGCAGATCGTTTCAGGTCGTGATCACAGGTGTTTGAATCTTGGATCATGTTAGTTGAACGTTCAATATGTGATTGACTAAGATTGATACTCACCACATTCGTAAACCTCATCATCCAGGTTGCGCCCAACGCTCTTGACTGGGATGACGCCGCCAGTCTCGATGGCTTTGTTCACATCCCGACGCGTATGCTTGCCCTTGCAGCACGTACAGTCATCTAAACAAGCTTGAGTCAGGTGAAAACACTGGACAATAGAAAGATACTCACCCCAGCACTCGGCGCCCTTCTTGCAGTACTTGTCCGTCGAACAGAAACCGTACCTGCAGATCAAGATACTCGCACGGTCTGAAGAGCAGATGTACTTCTTGTTCTCCTGGGGGACCGCAACCCTCGCCTTGATACCGGCCATGGCGACCTCGTCGATGCCACCGAGCTGAGTTTCAGCACACGAGACGGCCATGCCGTTGTCCAAGCACTGTAGGCTAAGATTGTAGTCACTGCACTTCTTGACGAGGTTGCAAGTGTCGTCGACCCTGCAAGATACGACGGCATTGTTCTTGGGGTCGCAGTGGAAGCTGCGTCCGGGAATGTTGCGCCAAACAGGCAAGTCGACGGCGGCAAGTGCGGTCATACACATAAGCCCAGAAAGGGCGATCTGGAGGAGCTTCATTGAGACTGATGGACGTTGTAGTTGGTAGAGAGTGCGTTGTTGTTCGATTGGAGTGGACGTAGAGTATTTGAGAAGAGTGTGGAGGTGTAAACAATGTAGTCAGGCAAGGCCATATTATATAGGAAGGAGCGTTTGCCTGCTGCCTCGGGCGAGGGGTTAGAACGGTGAGGTGAGAGAGCCCAGTATCTCGCTGCTGGCGACGAGGATCGGGGCGGCGAAGCTGAGTGAAGGTGCCTCGAAAGCTCTGAGTAAGAGAAAACAAACGTAGAGGTAAATACACACGTGCCAGTAGGCAACATATCACTGAGTTCGATCCTAACCTGATCTCCCATTGCTAATACCATACTAAAATTACTCAAAGGTCTCCATGCTACCATTGGAAACTTACAGATGAGAAGCCCTAACTCCGCCCTGGAACGTACACAATAACTGCCTTACGTTCACCACGAAACAGGGACGATCAACCCACAAACTAGATGTAACGACCCTGAGATCTTCATCATTCGATACATTGTACACAAAACACTCAACGGGTTGCGGAGAGCACGATGATCTTCCTGCTTCCTTATCTTCTAACTTTGGCTGTTCCAGTTCTCCTTTTGAATCCCATAGCACACCGGTCCCAGGCGGTATCACTTAAGCATGTCCGCACCAGAGTAGATGTACAAGTGTTTAACCGGCCATGAACGATGGCCAGGAGACCGTGTATAAACCCAGACATGTCTCCTACGAAAACGACCCCCGCAAAACAAAAGCTTGCAGCACGTCCATTATACCACGTATCTAGGCACTCGCCTTTGCAACTTGGGATGTCCTGGAACAATTGGGGTGAGGCAATCAAAGATACCTGAACCCATCTTACTCCTAGTTAATAGCCACAGAGCAAGAACAAATCAAGCACGGTCATAGACGAAAGACACATAAACACATATGAAGAAGATGTAAAGGAATACTTTTGATCGAAAACGCCCAAGTCTATCAGAAGGTCCAAGTCCCAGCCACTCTATGAACGCCATACAATGCAAGCAAGTAGTCTAAGATATCAAGCATCAAATTCGTCAGTCAATGCCGCAATCATTCCGCTTCGTCATCCGTATTAGGAGGCTGAGGAGTGCCCTGTCAAGACGTTAGTTTGATTATACTCAAAAGTAGGAGAGAAAAGCATGGACGTACCTTGGGGCTGTTCAGCCAATCGATATACCTCAGTCGCCTCCTCACTTCCCTGTCCTTCTGCTCCTTCTTCGTCATCTTCTTCTTCTTCTTTGCCTTGAACTTCATGTCACCTTCAGTGTCACTCGCCGCGGGAGTGCCAACTGTGCTAGGCGCTGCGCTGCTGACGTTGCTGCTAGCTGCGCTCGAGCCGGGACGCGAGTCCTCAAAGCGGTCCATGTTGACGGCGAGATGGCCCTTGTGTGCAACCTTGCCATCGGCGACGTGCCATTGTTCAGGGCACAACGCGCCGACGAACTCTTCGTTATGGGAAATCATAATGACACCACCCTTGTAATCACGGATAGCAACAGCGAGACCACCGAGAGAGTCACGGTCCAAGAAGTTAGTAGGTTCGTCGAGGACGAGGAGATGCGGGTTGTTCCACATGGCACCGGCTACATATGCGTTAGCTTTGATGAGTGAAGAAGTGGAAACGTTAAAGACTTACCAAGCACAACCTTGACCTTCTGACCACCAGAGAGACCAGAGATCTCATTGTGGTTCGCAATCTCGGGGTCCATGCCCAAATCCTCGAAATGCTTGGAGATGACCTTGGGTTCCAGAACACGGTAACCAAGACCCTCACGCGAAGACTCGTGATCGTCGAACTCCTGGATCAGCTTGGAGAAACCTCTCTCGAGTAGCGTCTCGCGAGATACCATGGTGTTGAACTTGGGAATCATGTGCATCCACTTGACCTCGTACTGGAAACTCTTCTTGTACTTTTGACGACCGATGAGCGCCTCAATCTTGCGTTGCATGCCGTCACCGATATCAATGACCGTCTCCATCTGGGCCTTGTCCGCTTCAGTGAGGATACGGGTCTGCTTCATGAGCACCTCGCGATCGTCACCGTTGGCATAACGCCACTGGAGGTACTGGTTGGGTGTCTTCTCCATGTGCATCTCAACGTGCTCGAGAGCGTGCTGCTTGATGTATCCAAGACGCAAGTTGGGGTGCTTCTCGACCTTACCCTCCTGGGGCACGGCTTCACCAGTAAGGATCTTGATGAGGGTGGATTTACCGGCACCGTTGGCGCCGATAATCGCAACACGAGATGAGAGAGACAAGTTGCAAGACGCGTCGGTGAGCGACGGCTTGACTGCGCCAGGGTAGGTGTATGTGCAGTTTGTCATGCGAAGAATGGAACGAGTGTTGGACTTGACACCGGTGAGGATACCGGGAGGAGGGAACTTGAACTTGACCTGAGAGTCAGAAAGGGTGTAGTAGCTCTTGGCCTCTGGCTTCTGTCTGACGAAATCAGCAAGGTTACCCTTGTAGCAAACCAGCTTCTTCTGCTCGTAGTGGTAGATGTTGGTGCAGACTTCGTCAAGGAATCCAGAGTCGTGAGACACGATCAGACTGGTGATCTCGGTGTGCTTCTTCAGGTACTCCTGCAACCAGGCGACATTGGCAACGTCCAAGTGATTGGTAGGTTCGTCGAGCAGCAAGACATCGGCACGCATAAGCATGGCTCGCGCCAAGGCCAGCTTCATCTTCCATCCTCCGGACAAAGAGCCAACCTTGTTCGCTTGTCTGCCCTCGGGGCCCGAGCTGAAGCCGACCTCTTCCAAAACTTCAGTGATACGCTCCATGCTCTCGTCCTTGAACCTTGGGTCGTTGCAGATGTACTGGAGAATGGTGATCTCGGCATCTTCACCCTGGTTGTGCTCGACGAAGCAGGTCTTGACTTGGTCTTGCGGTGGGAATCCCTCCAGCTTGCCATCGGCGATACTGCGCATGAGCGTGGACTTGCCAGCACCGTTGCGACCACAGAGACCATAGCGATGGCCCTTGAGCAGCTTCAGGTTTGTGTGGGAGAGGAGCAACATGCCACCATATCCGAGGGAGAAGGTGGCGTTGACGATCTCGACCTCGCCGTCGTCTTCCTGGACGGGCTGGCCAAATTTGCGGTGGTCCTCGTCAAGGTAGAACTGGTGCACGGCCTCTGCCACCTTTTCGGCATCTTCAGCGTTCATGAGAGATGACAAGTAGGGAGCAATGAGCTGAGGAAGGCGGGTAAGCTCGCGCTCATAGACGTCTTCGGCGATCATGTCCGAGATGTAGCGCTTTGCGAGTACCAACACATCAGCGTCGCCGGGGAAGTTGGACAGGCTGCCGTGAGCGCTGATCTGCTTCTCCAGGACCTTGGTGACATCGGCAGGGGACACACGGCTGTCGACGGTGCCGTCCTTGTCAGCGATGGCCTGGTCGATGACAGCCAGAGCGCGGGCTCCGATCTCGCGGACCTCGGGCAGGGAGGCGCGGTCCTGGACGGCCTTGACACCAGGCTTCAGCTTGGGCAGGAAGGCGCGGGCCTCGATGGGGTCGTGGACGAGCTTGGTCAGGTTCTCGACGACGACAACCGTCTGGCGGGTGACTTCTTGCGAGGTCGAGGGGGAGTTGAGCGAGCGCTCCAGCAGGGGCGTGACCATGGCCAGGACGGGCGATGTGACGATGGCGACAAAGGTCGTCTGCGACAGGGCGTGGATGGCCTTCTGCAGCGTCTGGGTGGAGGGGTCCTCGATGGCCTTGACGAGCAGCGGGATGCGGGGCGCAATGTCGTCGTTCTGGAGGAGCGTGGTGAGGCTGTTCATCGTCTTGACGGCCTGCTTGGCGACCTGCCTGCTGTTAGCACGCGCTCACCGGGGGCAGGGAGTGGGAGAGACATACCTCGGACTTGAGGTCGTGCATGCCGCCCTCGACGACGGGGATGAGGCTCTCGAGCTTCTTGCCCATGGACTCGCGCAGCACGTCCTTTTCCTTCTCGATCTCGAGGCTCTCCATGCCCATCTTGGCCTTGTCGGCCATGCGGGCAATCAGCTCAAAGGCGCCGACGGCGCCCTGCCACTTGCCCGACTTCTTGCCCAGGTAGCGGGTCAGGATGGGCAGCAGGCCGAAGACCTTGGCCTCGGCCGTCAGGTTGTCGAACAGCGAGTCGAGCGCATACTTGGCCGACTCCTTGACCGAGCCCGTCTTGTCGGCCAGCGCGTCGAGCACCAGCGGCACGAGGGCCTCGTCCTGCAGCAGGAACACGACCTCGGTCAGCTTCTGGGTGCGCGGGAAGCGCTCGAAGAAGGCGCCCAGGGCGTTTGTGGCGCCCTCTCTCCGCACGGGCTCCTTCTTGCTGACCGCCGCCTTCTTGATCTCGTCGAGGATTCCGTAGCCCTTGAGCCCGCGGAACCCGACCGAGTTCTGCAGCACCGTCGTGAGCGCATATGCCGCCTCGACCGAGGCGTGCGACGTTTTGGCCGTCAGGATGCTGACCAGGAACGCATCGACGTCTTCCTGCGAGGGTGCCGCGGCACCCGTCTTGTCCACGACGATAGCGGGGGCCATGGGAGGCGACTCGGAGTGTGGCATGTCCCAGCAGTGGGCAGCGAGAGAGAGGCGGAAGGGGCTGTGTGTCCTCTGCTGCGCGCGAGGGGCTTGGGGCTGGCTGGCTTTTTTTGGAGGGGCAGGCTTATCGATATACGATATACGATACGACGACCCTGAAGCGCAGACAAGTTCGGCTGCGCAAACTGATATGCAGAGGCTGTCGTGTGTGTGAAACGCCCCGCGAAGAGTGGAGAGTTTATAGATACAAAGAAAAAGCACACAGGGGAGGGAGAAGAAGAAGCACCAGCAAAATGTTGGGGCGCGGCTTTGTATAGGGTTGGGCTCAACTCAATCTTTCAGGGCACGTTTTTCTTTGCGCAGCGCTAAACTGCTTTCTTCCGGCCGGATAACGGCCAGATAGAACGGGTGGCAATACATACAGGAAGACAGCCATTGGCTGATGCCTCAGGCTAGAAAGTTCACTTCATAGAGTACGCCTAGTCGCTACAAATATTCAACACACAACGCCGTGCAGTAATCAAGGTATCCCCCAAATCCATAAGCCTCGCCCAAACGCCTTCACCGCATCGTCATCCCCGCCTACCACGTCCCCTTCAACCTCAAGTCCCTCGACGAAAACCCAACCTCGATTCCAAACTCACCCGTCGTAGGCATGACCCAGTTCTGCCGTCTAACGTCCCAATAGCTCAGATCCTTCCTTGTCAACTCGAACTCAATATCCTTGCCCTCACCCCCTTTGCCGTCTTTCTGCTTCTGCGCTGCGACGAATACTTTCTCGAAGCCCCTGAGTACACGAACAGGGAAGTCGACGGGCTCACCCGTCTCTGGATCCGTGTAGTTTTGGGGGAAGGTAATGTACACTTGTACAACTGAAGACCCATCCACAGGACCCATGTTGCTGATCGAGACACCCACAGTGACGACAGGCGTATAGAGATCTGGGTTGCCCCCGGGACCGCCGCCTGCGTCGCTAAGGGGCGATTGGGGTTGTGAAGCTGGTGTCTTAGGAGGGTTGACGCCTGACGTGGAATCGAGCCATGGGTAGATGTACTTCTCGACTTTGTGGAACCCCTCCGGAAAGAGAGCTGACTTGGCGTCGGGGATCTCCGTTGAGTAAGTTGGAGGTGCTAGACCTGACGGGCGGGACGCGGGGAGTGGAGTCTTTTTGGTTTTGGAGCGGACATCGAGCGAAGAGAGCTCAAATTTGCTGTATGAAAGCCCGTAGCCAAACTCATATCTCGGAGCAATGCTTTGCTTGTCAAAGTAGCGATAGTCGACGTAGAGACCTTCGGAAAAGTTTTGCTGCGGAGCCAGACCATCGCCAGGCGTGGGGAAATACTTGACCTTGCTTCCCGGGCCGTAGTCAGCCTCCTTCTTCGCGATTGTGAATGGCAGGCGACCAGAGGGGTTGACGTCACCAAAGAGAACGTCGACGATCGCGTTGCCAGATTCTTGTCCGGGGAGGTTAGCGATCAATACGGCTTTGACGTTAGGTGTTTCAATAAACTTCTCCAGGATTACGGGGCCCACAGTGTGAACCACGACAACGACGTCGCCATTGCCTTTTCCGCAGCCTGCCGCGACATCCTTGATGAGCTCGTTGCCTCCCTTTTGTAGCTCGAGGTCGTTCCTATCGCCGCGTACATCCTCCCACTTTAGATATCCTTCTCCGGCGTCCGAATTGACAAAAACAATGCAAAGGTCCTGATCTTGAACGATCTCTTTCTGTTTGGGAAGTTTGTTCTCAAGCCAGTCGGTGACAAACACACTGCCGTTGTCGAAAGCGCTCCGAATTGCGGACATTGGCTCGATGAGATACGGGTAGTCGACCGCTCCAGACCCCCAACCGGACGCCAACGTCCCCTCGTTACAGCTCTGATCGGGACATTTGTTAATGCCGTCACGAGGAAGACGTGCGTCTTCACCAAAAACGCCAACACGATACTTTGTCTGTCCCGCAACTGCTTGTCCGTCTTTCCGGCCTTTTCGACTCAGTGGCAGAAGGTCGCCCTCGTTCTTGACCATGACCGTGCCTTCAGCAGCGATTTGGCGGACGAGATTTCCATGGAAATCTTTTCCCTCCCCTTGCACATTGATATGCTGATTGACGACACCCGTGGTTTCATCCGACGGGCTTCCTTCGTGCAATTTGCCGATCCTGTCGTTCGTCCAGGAGGAAAAGTTCGGACCTTCGTTTTCCCATTTGTCCTGCCCAACTTGGTACCAGGAAGCCACAATGCGGGTCACCATATCGTCAAGTCGCTCCACTAGCACGCTGCCATTCAAGACGGATCTTGTCAGCTCTGCTCCCCAGAGACTGTCTCCCTTTGCCCAACGAAGACCATCTCCAGGCATTGTCATATCCTGCAACAGTTAGCGAGTGGAGAACGTGTGGGGGTGCTGCATGGCATATAGTAAGGTTATTATAAAGACAGCTGATATTGACTTACCAACCCGGCCTCAGCAGAAGCCACGCCAGCTCGTTGCGCCAGCCAGTCGCTTTGAACGAATCCCTGAAAGCCAAGCTCGTCCTTTAGGATGCCGTTGAGTAACTTGCTGTTCTGGCAAGCATAGCTGGAATTGACCTGATTGTACGAGCACATGACTGAAGTCACGCCTGCTCTGACGGAATCAGCGAACGGCCAAACGTAGATTTCGTGCAGCGTGCGGTCGTCGATGTTGCTCGAGATGGCGTTGGGGATGCCCCATTCCCATGCCTGTCTGAAATGCTCCTGTTCATTGGCTACGTAGTGCTTTGCCGTAGCCATGACACCCTCGTCTTGGATACCCTTTATTGTCTGTGCAGCTGCAATGCCTTGAAGTACTGGATCGCTGCCGAAACCCTCCCAGTTCCGGCCACCTGCAGGCATTCTTCCAAAAGGGCCCATGGCAGGGCCGAGCAACACGTTGACGCCCTTCAGTCGCGCCTCTTTCCCATGTGCCTTGCCGCGCTGGTACATCAGCTCCTTGTTCCACGTCGCGCCAACGGTGATTCCAGCGGGAAACGCGGTGATGTTGTCTGCAAAGCGAATGCCTAGAGGTCCATCCTGCAGACACAGCTGCGGGAACCCCAGCCTGGGCACCGCACCGTTGTTGCCCACACACATGTCCATGCTCCAGCCTGTGCCCGTCGTCACGTTGACCTTCTCCACCAGCGTCATCTGCGCCACCAGCTCTGCAGCCTTCTTGTAGCTCTCCTCCCATGCCGGATCCGCGCCTCCCTTGGGCGTAGGGTACCATGGCGGACTCTGCCCGTCAAGCGGCACCGACACCTTCCACGCCCAGATGCCGCCCGTGCCGAGCAGCAAGACGACGGCAGTGACAAACGTCAGCAGCCAGCAGCACCACCGGCCGGGCGTCCATGACCTCGTGCGCGTGGCTTCGGGGGCTCTGAAGGAGGCTTTGCGGATCTTGAGGTCGCCGGCGCTCTTCTTACGCTGCAGCCGGCGGTCGAAGGCGAGGGGGTCGTATTCCTCGAGGTCCTCGAGGGTGCCGTGCGAGTCGTCGGAGAAGCGCGTGCGCGTGGGCGTGTCGATGTCGTCGTCTGCCGGTGCATCGAGGCGGGCATACTTGCCCCGACGCAGTTGGTACGACTCGTAGTTGGCCATGACGAAGGAAATGCACACGCTCGATGGCCTTGTGTTGACGTGAAACAGCGCGAGCTCCCAGCGCTACTTGTATGCCAGCAGCATGGTCCGTTTGGCGGCGTGGTTTGAGCAATCGCTCCGGCGCGTCCGTCACTGTCAAACGGCGGCTATGTATCTTCAGAGATAGCAGATGCTTGTGTAACCGCAGAAAAACAAAGCGTAGACGCAGCACATGAGCGGGCGTGGCGCATCTTGCAGCAGACCACGCCAAAAAGCAACATTAGGGGTTCCTGTCGATCCGGGTGGCGCCCTCCAACCACTAGCATCATGCGGAGAAGACAAAGGGTCCAAACATGCGTTTTGTAGTCACGACACTTTGAACATGGTGATAAGCTATTGCCGTTTGCGTCATGTTTGTGCAACTATCTCATCGCTTATTCAGTCACATTTTTGTCTCGTCGACCTTGCTATCATTACTCGTAACTGGTCATGTACAGGACATCAATCCTCCTTGCATCCTCTGCCCTGCACCTACGAACCACCAACCTGCTTCAAAAGACCCTCGAGGTTGATCGACTTGGGGCGCTCAATGGGCAGGCCGAGTGCTCTGTCCCAGATGAGTTGCGCGAGTGGGCCGAGACCGCGACTGACGCCAAAGGTAGCAGTATAGTAGAGCGTCTCCTTGAACCCAAAGTGGTGGAAGAGGACACCCGAAGACGAGTCGACGTTGGGGAAGGGGTTCTTCGTCTGCGTCACACGTTAGCAATCTGTCAAGCAATCGCCTTGAAAGTCAAGCTTACCTTTCCGTGCTCGGTGAGAACACCAGGAGCGACCTCGGAGTTCTTCTTGACAAGCTGGAAGACGGGATCGGCAGCAATCTCAGGTCGGGCGTTGGCAAAGTCCATCAGAGCCTCGAAACGCGGGTCAGGCTTCCTGAGCACAGCGTGGCCGTAACCAGGAATGACACGTCCAGATTTGAGCACACTCCAGAGGTAGTTGTTGACGTCGCTCTCGGAAAACTTTTCGCCAACCGCCTTCTGCATGTCCAGGATGAAGCGAAGCACCTCCTGAGCAGCAAGACCGTGCAGAGGACCAGCAAGACCCTGGAGACCGGCGCTGTAGCTGAGGAAGGGGTCGCTGAGCGCGGAACCGACCAGGTGAGTGGCGTGCGCAGAGACGTTGCCTCCCTCGTGGTCACCATGCAGAGCAAGGTACAGGCGGAGGAGGTCCTGGAAACCCTCATTCTCCTTGCCGCCCTTACCCAACATGGCAGCGAAGTTGTACGACCAATCCTGGTTCACATCGACCTCGGTGGGTAGGGCGCCTCCGCCACGGTACGCATTCTGGTAGATCTTTGCGGCGATGGTGGGCAGCTTCGCGAGCAGGCTGATGCAGTCATCGAAGGTCGACTCCCAGTAGTCGGCCTTGTTGATGCCATTCGCGTACGCCTTGGCGAACTTGGACTCGTAGTTGAGTGCTGAAACGGCACAGGCGAACTGGGTCATGGGGTGGAGATCTGTGGGGAAGTTGTCGAGCATCGTCTCAACAAACTTGGGGATGCCAGCCTTCTCAGCCAGTTCTCGCGAGAGAGCGCGGGTCTGGGATACCGAGGGAACCTCTCCTGTGAGCAGAAGCCAGAACATGGCCTCGGGGAGCATCTCAGTGCCAGATGTGCCCTTGGGGAGCTCTTTTTGGCAGTCCTTGATGGTCTTGCCGTGGAATCGAATGCCCTCGTTGGCGTCAAGAACGGAACCTTCCCAGACCATGGCCTTTAGACCTCTTCATTGCCGTTAGTGTTGGGGTCGGTTGTTTGCTTTGCACGGAGCTGTGTACCTCATGCCGCCCAAAGTGTTCTCAACCTTGACATCGCCAATCTTCTTGTCGCCATGGGCCTTGACCTTTTTCAGAAGCTCGCGCTTCGCAGGCAGCACCTTTTTGAAGGTCTCCTTGAGATCCAGCTCGGAGGAGGAAGAGTAGCTGCATGCTTGGACTGCGATGGTGCGTGTTGCATTAGCGTTGTGGTGGTTGAATGGCGAACTTCAATTGCATACCAGAAACGAAAGGGCGCGCCTGCAGAAGTTATGGTCAGCTTCGGTGTCAAATATGAAGCGTCGAGGCATACCCTGGTAGCTCGCAGAGCTCTGGAAGCTGTTCGTGCGCTCAAGGCCATTGTGGGAGATGGGATGGCGTCGTGTGGCTTGGTGAGGGGTAGCGTGGGCTGGGGTCAAAGTTGCGGGGAGAAGACGACTTGGTCACGCTTCAAGACAGGCCGCAGAAAGAATTGGCTATGCACACACAGCGTCGTTACGAGACGACAGACGACGAAGCAGGGGAGAGAAATGTCTTCGGCTACGCTCGGCGACGGACCAGGTCGCAGCTCCATTGACGCGACGTCAGACTACCGAGGGGACACAGCTCGAACGAGGCAAGTCCAGTGGCTATCCTCGGTTGTTCGGCGTCGAGGACATGCCAGACGACGAAAAACTGCTCCTGCCGAACGAGTCCCGGCACTCAGGCGTGTGTGGTAGCTCCGGCGGAGGGGACGGACAGGCCGCGGGTGGCAAACGTCAGCGTCTGGGAACATGCCGTGTCTGTGACTCGACCCTCTCGCATTGCACCAGCACAGAGCAGGCTCCGCTGGATAGAGCCTTCCTCCCCCGTATATCCCCGCCATGCTGCGCACAGCGTCCCGCTCCGTCGCGCGCCACGGCCGCTCCCTCAAGCCAGCCAGCCGGGCACCGCACCACCTCCGCCCGCTCTCCACGACGGCCTGGCGCATGTCGAGCGCCGCGCTGCCCGCCGTAGACCCGCCCGTGTCGACGGCCCTGTCCAGCGACTCGTTCCAGCTGCTCCCCGAAGCCTCCAAGACTGGCCAGGCCGAAGATGCCCTCTTCGACGCGCAGGTGCAGGCCGTCCGCGACTGGTGGGCTTCGCCGCGCTACAAGGACATCAGGCGGCCCTACTCGGCAGAGGATGTCGTGAGCAAGCGGGGCGCCCTCCAGCAGACATACCCCAGCTCGCTGATGGCCAGGAAGCTCTTCAACCTGTTCGAGGAGCGCGCGGCCAAGGGCGAGCCCGTCCACACCATGGGGGCCATTGACCCCGTGCAGATGTCGCAGCAGGCCGCCAACCAGGAGGTGCTGTACATCTCGGGCTGGGCCTGCTCGTCCGTCCTGACCACCACCAACGAGGTCTCGGCCGACTTTGGCGACTACCCCTACAACACGGTCCCCAATCAGGTGCAGCGCCTGTTCAAGGCCCAGCAGCTGCACGACCGCAAGAACTGGGACAACCGGCGCAAGATGACGCCCGAGCAGCGCGCGAAGACTCCCTACCTGGACTACATGCGGCCCATCATCGCCGATGGTGACACGGGGTGCGTATCCCACTCCACCTAGACGCTCGACTGCCGCTCACACTTGCACACACAGACACGGAGGTCTCTCGGCCGTCATCAAGCTTGCGAAGCTCTTTGCCGAGAACGGCGCCGCCGCTGTCCACTTCGAAGACCAGCTCCACGGCGGCAAGAAGTGCGGCCATCTGGCAGGAAAGGTCCTCGTCCCCGTCGGCGACCACATCAACCGCCTCGTAGCCGCGCGCTTTCAGTGGGACATGATGGGCTGTGAGAACCTCGTCATCGCCCGAACCGACTCCGAAAGCGGCAAGCTCATCTCCAGCGCCGTCGATGTGCGCGACCACGAGTTCATCAAGGGCGTCACAGAAGAAACAGAACCCCTCGCCGAGACTCTGCAGGACATGGAGGCAGCTGGTGCTCCGGGCAAGGAGATTGACGCTTTCGAAGCAGCGTGGGTGAAGAAGCACAAGCTCTCTACTTTTGACGAGGCCGTCGTCAGCCACCTGCAGAAGGAAGGCGCCTCGCAATCATCCATCGACGACTATCTCAAGGAGTCCAAGGCAAACCCCAACTTCTCCCTCCTGAAGCGTCGACAGACTGCTGAAAAGTACACCAAGACTCCAGTCTACTTCAACTGGGACGTTCCACGCACGCGCGAAGGTTTCTACCACTACCAAAACGGCATGGCAGCAGCAACGAAGCGTGGCAAGGAATTTGCTCCTTATGCCGACCTGCTCTGGGTCGAGACTGGCGATCCAAACGTCGAAAAAGCAGCCAAATTCGCCGGTGAGATCAGGGAAGTGCATCCCGGCAAGAAGTTTGTCTACAACCTTTCGCCCAGCTTCAACTGGATGGGTCAGGGCTTCTCTGAGGAGTCGCTGAAGAGCTTTGTGTGGGATCTGGCCAAGCATGGGTAAGTCAGAAACTTATGTTGCACGTCGCATAACTGACATAGCCATAGTTTTGTCCTCCAACTCATCTCCCTTGCGGGTCTTCACTCGACAGCTACTATCACTTGCGAGCTCTCCCGCGCCTTCAAGGACGACGGTATGCTCGCATACGTCAAGCTCGTCCAAGCTCGCGAGAAGGAGCTTGGCTGCGACGTCCTAACACATCAAAAATGGAGTGGTGCCGGTTACATTGATGGCATCTTGGGCGCAATCCAAAGTGGAAGCTCAGGCAGCAAGAGTATGGGTGAGGGAAATACAGAGACAGGTACGTTCGAAAATTTACCTCAATGATCATCACTAACTGTATACAGGTTTTTAAAAAGTATTATATGTACTATTGAGGTCTTTGACAACCCCCAATACCATCCTGTAAAACATGAATCTTACACCCTGTCTTGCACTCCTCGTTGAATGCTTCATACACTGCCTTGAATCTCAGCCCTATAGCTCGCTCTTCTCCTCTACAGGCCTTCTCCCCTTGGCAAACAGTACCGTGCGCCAGCCCTTCTTGCCTGCAAACTCCATATACGCCTTCTCCTCCCCAGCCTTGACGTCCACATCCACAAACCCAGCTTTGGTGAAGAACTCTTTCACGCCGTCGATTGTAAAGTGTGGAACCACGATGGATTTGTTCATCTTCTCGATAAACTGTGGGCTTGTGTCGTTGACGTCGTGCTTCTCGTTGTCATGATCGTGGGAGTGTTTATGCTCTTGTCCGTGTCCGTGTTCATGATTGTGTTCGTGTCCATGCCCATGCCCATGGCTATGCTTGTGTCCATGATCATGTGTCATATGATTACCTGCACTCGCAGGAACCATGTTCCCCTCCTCATCCGCCAAATAATCCGCACCCTCGAGGAAATCATTGATAACCAACACACCACCCGGTCTCAACCGCTCTTTCAGCTGCGTTGCAGCAAACACCACATCCTCAAAGTGATGGAACCCGAACCCCACAGTAGCTAGGTCGAAGTTCTGCCACTCGGGTCCTGACAGCTCTTTCGGATTAGGATTCGACTTGTCGAACAAATCACCAGCTACGGCATAGACAACGGATTCAGGGACACCGGCGGAGCGAGCGCGAGAGTTGTACGTAGTCGCCATGTTGGGGGAGATGTCGATGCCCTGCGTTTTGGTGACGTAGGGACCAAATGCCTTTCAATCAATCAGCATGATCCAACATCAAGACTGTACAGTTGCGGGGACTCACCCGCGTCATCATTCCTGTACCACATGCATAATCCAATAACCTCACTTCTTTCCCACCTGACTCGTTGGCAAACGGGATGCCAATCCATGTCAGTTCAGAACGCCAGGCGTCGGCGGTTAGGACGTTCATCTTGGCGAACCATGGTTTGCTGTCGTAGGACTCCGATATCGAGCTGGGATGTGTCAGATTTCGTTGTCGTTTTGGGATGTGGTTGAAACGTACTCGAAGTACTTGCGGTTAGCGTCTGCGAACGCCATGTTGAGTATGAGTTGATTGCGAGGTGATACGGTTACAGTTGAGGGATTTGAGATTGTGGGATGTATAACGCGTTTTTTCTACGATATTTATAAGGAATCACTGGCTGTATGTGAAGTTGTTGTAAGTCGCCGACGTGGTGGTTCATCGGAGACTTTATGTGAGATGTCCTATTGGCTGAGATACCCACCACGATATCCGAAAGAACATTGATAAATCACGGAAAAGGATACACAGTTGGCTTCAGTGAATTCAAAGTTTTTCGGTGGGATATGTAAACGGTATTGAAAGTTTCCAATCCCAGTTGTGAGACAGTTGACCTATGTTGGGATTATTCTTCAGCAGTTACAATGAGATAGACGGCAGAACCTAATCAATATGCTAGATCCAAACTATAGATCCTGTATGGTAAATTCGCGCAGTTGATCCCAGATTGTCTCCACCATGCTAATTTATGACGCTACTCTCGGAGACATTACAAATAATGTTGCGCTCATGTTTTCTTACAACGTGCTTGAGTCACCGAGCAGTTGCCGTCATCATAATATCCCATCAGGAGTTTGGACATCCGTCGGACATGTTCCAGGATCAGCGTCTCCCAGAGAATCCTGAGCTTGCAATGCTCGTTGCCGTGCGAGACCTTCCTCCCTTTTACGGCGCTTCCTGACATCTGCATCCTCCCAATCTGGCTTGGAAGTGCCAGACGAAACTGCGTTTGAAGAGCAGTGGGAGTCCATAAGAGCTGCACGAAGTCTTGCGATTCTCTCGGTATTGATCTTGAAGCGGTCGTTCGCGATGCGGACTAAAGTCTGTAGATACAACTCATTTACAAGGGCGATGTTTTGGCCTTCTTCATCCTGATATCCGATGATGGAGTCAAACGAGTATCCAGCTGATCGGACGGCGACCATTGGGTTGACCTCTGTGGACTTTTTCGTGTCTAGGCTCACAGCGCCGCTCTCTCGGAAGCCAGCACTTAGTGCAGCAGTAAGAACACGCTGAGCATGAGTAAAAGAAGCAGTCGAGACGTGGAGGATCTACCTCATGTCAGAGTTTGCATAATCTTGTCGTACCAAAAATTTACCATAGGCTCGAATTTGAGGTGGATATACCTCGATTGTGAATCAGGTGTGCTCCCCTCTTCGGTTGTGGTATTCTGAAAGCCAAACGTTGACATCAAGGTAGATCCATGCGTTGCTTCCGGTGTTTCAAGTGGAGAGTGAGATATGTAGAGCCATGCACCTCCGCCTTTTCCTCCTGGACCAGCGCGTGACTCAACGCCATCCTCTGGAAGTTGTGCGCTCTCGCTGTCCGTCTTCCGTCCTTCGAGAAACACGCTGATCCGTCCGGAGCAGCTGCTCGTCGTGACTAAGCCATCAAGGCTGTTGATTTCGTCGATCAAGTCACGAATGGGTTCATCAACTGAGCCCTTGGGTGACAGGTCTTGATATTCGCCATCTGGAGCGCTGAGCTGTTCCAGAATTTTGTGTTTGCGTGCCTCGAAGCGATTCGACATGGTTGGCCCGGCGTTCGATTTTGTGTGACATCGCGACGTGAACGTGTTGCGGCTCGGCTCGTGCTCTCCCTGCCCCCCTGCGTCATCGTTTTTCAGTTAGTGTGCGGCGCGGCGCGCAAACATACCTGCCACCGTCAACTGGCCACGACATAGTTGCATGAACTTTGAACAGGAAAGAAATTGAAGAGATGCCTCGCAAATCGACGAAACCTGCGTCCGTGTCGGCGTCTAGAAGCTCTTCTAAACGACCAGCTCTAGGCTCGCCGACACGACAATCTAAGAGAGCAAGAGCTACAGCAGGCAAATCGTATGTTGAGCCAGATACGGACGCAGAAGATGCAGCCAACGATACAGCCTCTGACACCAGAGCATCCGACTACGAGGATCATAGCGACAATGATGCAGCGACTGAGTCAGAACCTGACGCAGAAGTTACCGATGAGGAAGGCTATTCTGAGAAGGTGACACCGAGGGGACGTCCAGTGAAGCAAAAGACTCTTCCCTTGCACAAGAAACACAACGTTGGTGAGAAAGATCTGTGGAAATCTGGAGCGAAGCTTGAGCCTGGCACTCAAGTTATCATTAAGAAGCCAAAGGCTCGAGAAGCGGGAAAAACTCCATATACAGACAACACCATTCACCCAAACACGCTGTTGTTTCTGAGAGACCTTGCAGCTAACAACGACCGCCAATGGTTGAAATGTACGTCGTTTTCTTTCATTAGCCCAACTTGGCAAAGATGAGTGATTCTTGATATCAACGAACTATTACAATGCCTGTTGACATGCAAGTGCGGAATGCGCGTTATTGAACTGCCAACTTGGTTACTGATCTGGTCACAGTGCACGATCCGGATTACAGGGTAGCATTGCAGGACTTCAATACCTTTCTGGAGAACCTTTCAGAGAAGGTGATCGAGGTCGATGAAACGATCCCAGAATTACCAGTGAAGGATATCGTGAGCAAAAGGCAACCCTAGTATGACAAGAGACAGCTGACAGAAGTAGATATATCGGATCTATCGAGGTAGGATGCATATTCGTAGAGGAGAGAGTCGACGCTGATGGGTATAGACATTCGCTTCTCAAAAGACCCGACACCGTACAAGGTATGTGATCTCAGATTGCTGGATACGTTATCTTACTCGCAGTATCGAGTCTTCACACACTCTCCCTGAAGTCTACGTACTGAGCGCTTATTTCGGACCAGACATATTTCTCTGCTGCTTGGTCGAGGACGGGTCGCAAAGGTCCATACGCATCGTACTATGTTCAAGTTCAACCTGACGGCGGAAGTTTTGTTGGTAAGTGTTGTACATCTCTTTGTTTCCTCCAGTATATCCTCGGCTGCGAACGAATGATTTCACTCAAGAAGTGGATTGATGGTGTTGCCACACAATCTTGTTTTGCACCCCCATAAAACACCATTCGCTTCGTTGAATACTGGCGCACTTCATAATTGCCGATATGTATTCAATCTCTGGTCGAGTAAATCTCCCAGTTCTCTTCATCTGACCGTGTTCTTGCTCGCCACATACAACGTGGTGACACAACCTCACATAGACCACCCGCTGACTAGTAAGGTGGTGGATTCTGGCAGCCGGATGCTGGATCACTCAGCAAACTACGACACGATATCGATCACAAGCCACACAAGATGAAGCGTGTCTTGACTAACGCGGGTATTCGAAGATCGTTTCTGGGAGGTGTCGCGGAGGACGAGAAAGAGATCATCAAGGCTTTCGTCAGCTTGAGAGCAAACCAAGCGAGCGCCTTGAAGCGTAATCCAAAAGTGAGTTGGCTTCTTTCTCTTTCCAGCCAGGTGTTGTAGACGTGTGAAGTCTCGCGCGTTCAATCGGCAGCAATTCGCAGTCCAGCGACTTGAGTATCTTGGTCTAGCGGAAGTGCGCAGATCAAAACTACGAGCGGTGAGGCATTTCGCATTGCATGCGAGTTGCAAATCATCAGCGTATTGGCTCTTGATGACGAAACACTCTCAAGTCTACTTGGATGTTTGGTAGCTTTAATACCAAACAAAGAGCAGAATGAGTCGACCAGAGTTGACAGGAATATCCACTTGTCAGATAATGCGGACCCTGAATCTTGTCTGCATCGCAGAAAGAAACGTCTGGTTTTCTTTTTCGACATCGCATGTATATGCGCCAAATCGATGGAACTCTTACGAACATCATCGTATTGCACGCTTACGGGCCGATGAAAACAATGAGTGTCTCTCGTCGCCTCTTCAGAGAACAAACGAATTACGGGCTGGTGTCCAGATCCACTCAACACCACTTCGCCGCAATCGATCGACAGTATGGAAGAGTCATGAACGGTTGCGTTGAGCAGCACCGAGCCATGAAATAGCAATTGACAGTTTTCACCCAGGACCAGTGTTTTGTGAATTCATTTAACAAACTGGTTCGATCAACTGCTGACAATAAGCACTTAGGGATATGATCCTACGCATAAGGACATTGATCTTCTCCGGCTAAGGAGTTTCACCCTTGGTCGGAAACTGTCAGACGACGAAGTTGTTGGACCCCAGGGCCTGGATCGACTTGCCGAGCTCGTAAATTGCATGGTTCCCTGGGTAAGCTAACGTCTCTATCTACACTTGCACTCTCAGGAATGTGGAGTGTGGTCTCGTGCCTGCTTGAGGGCAACGCGGCTACAGGAAAGGCGCCATGAAGGGATGTCCTTGGCCTGGTGATGCAGAGTTTCAGTGGGCTGTTTCTGTGTGTGTTGGCACTGCAGAAACCCAATCTGGCTGACCGATAGCTGCACCGCCAGACGCCCAGACTGTTGGCCGACATGAGGAGAAGGTTGGTAGCCACAACGCTAACATACTACGACAGATTACGTACCTCAACAGCATCGTCATGCCTGACGACGAGCAGTCGTCCAGCTCAAGCGAAGAAGCTGAGAGCAGTGGAAATGACGATGACGGCAACGACGACAACGGCGCTGATGAGGGCACGGAGAGCTGAGGACAGCTCACCAGACAGACCGAACGACGTCGTCCTGCGGCGTGGTTCTTCCTCGAGCTGCCGGACTCGCAAAAGGGCAGATTGGATTGGCCGATGAGTGGAAATGGGGTGGGTGGCGTGGCATCACAAGCGCGAAGTCCGCCAATAAGCGCATGTACAATCGAGGTGGAGGTGGCGGCAGCCGCGCTGAGTGGTCATTTAAAGCGAGCCCGTAGATAACGTGACCATTTCCTCACGCAGCCAAGACGGGCAGACGCAGAGCGAGTTTAGTGCGATGCGACTAAAATTGCCCAGTTTTCAAGCCAACGCCAGCTTGCCCAAAGCGGAAAGAAGCGCGTTCCTAACCCTGGCCCCACGTCCATGCGCTCACGCACGCGGGCCGCTTTTCGCTTTGTTGGCCTGCGCGGGCCAGATGGCTGAGCCAGACGATGCCCTCTCCACCCCTCCATCAGCAACACGGCGACGCAGCGAAACTGCCTCCATGCACCACGTCCATGGATGCCGCTTCTGCAGCTGCAGTCATGTCTGCTGCCTTGATTGCGTGTATTTTTTTCCCTCAATAGTCTGCCTGCCACGACGCCCCCTTGTCTTTTCGTTGTGACATACAGGCCGCGACGGGCCGTGGCGCGCGCTCGTTGGCCGACGCAAGGGTGTGCCTTTTGTGCTCCCGCATAATGCGTCCTACCTGTATGTGCATCTTAGGACGACGGGCTTCAGCAAGTTTTGTCCGAGCCCGTTAGGCCGACGGCGGATGCTACATCGATGCGTCCCGCCCATGCGCACGCAGGGTAAGAGGAATGGCACACCGAGAATCGCGAAAAGGCCAGCCATGTGCGTTTCGCGACACCTTCCCAAGGTGTGGTGAGTAAGTACGTGGTGATGACGACGGTGGTCAAGAACGACACCAACACCAACCTCCACGTTCGCCATGGCTGTCGTCGTTTCTTCTGCGACTCGATTCTCCGTCGTCGAGACTAGCGGTGTGGCTGCTCGGAAGATGTGCGTGCCGTATATCATCTCACACCGATGACGATGGATGATAATCGTTATTCCAACGAATGAACGGACCTAGATTTAAGTTTCGGCTAGCGGTCCGCATAATCACGGATCCTTTCAAGTTCACCGGCGTTCACGGCGTTGTTACATGTCAAGGTTCGCACCAGGTCATGCTGCATTCCAACGTTTGATTGTTATTGTTAAACGCACAGACGTAGCGGGTAATTGTCAAAAGCAGACTTGTAATCTGTCATGTCTATGGCAAGATGCTATAGCACTCGAAATAGTATGCGCTGTTGAGGGCTAGCATGTCACTTAGGGCAATGCTGCTGCAAGGACGGAGTTCTTTGCATACGAGTATGGCCGAGGTACGAGATCCGTGGCTGCAACGTCGTGTAAACTCGGAAGTATGCCCATCACAAGACTATCGACTTGGATGCGAAGAAGAACAACATCTGTCGTAAACCCCCAAGATTGATGAATTCGTACCGCAAGTTCCATCCGTTCCCTTTCATCTATGTAGCCAACGCCACCGACGTGGCACAGATCGCCATCCATGTCGAGACGTTTTGACATGAACTCCACCCGACACGGCTCTTTTTGAAGTTACATGCATGTCTTCGAGGTACACGGGTTGAATGATGGCTAAGCGAGCAGAATGAACACGCCATGCTTACGGTCTGACAAAGCATACGAGGTTTTACGGTTTATGAGCATGGTGCGTCAAGTATATGCCGGGAACCATTCGTGTTACAAGATCAGAAACTTGCACTCTAGCTCTAACGTCAAAGGACTCGTGCCGGCCCGTCCACTTCGTACCTCATCTGAATCCCATGTACAATGGTGGGATTGGATCAGTCATGCATTCGTAAGGTGTGCATCTTGACTAGATATGGGACCGGCTAATGCTTTGTGGGGCAATGTATCCGCCGACAGCGGTTAACTATGCCATTCCACTCAACTCCACACACGGTATTACACAGCACGTGTAAGCGTTTGTTTTTCACCGGCGGTCCCAGATGGTTCTTCACGACACGTACAGGATAGGGCGGCTGACGAGAAATGGTACGTTGGATCGGTCGTATGGGCGACTTTCGGCGCAGGTTCGCTTTAGGTTGACGCTCACAACGTATGCGCTTATTTTAGTTATCGTTGGATATTGCTGGTGGCCGTCTCCAACGCCCGAAAGCCGGTGTGGCAGACAATCAAACCCTCGATCAATCAATCTGCAATCATATGTGATTGGCTGCATCGAGCTATCCCGCTTTAACACAATTTACAATAAACGTGCAAGGAATGCGGCGCTGGGCTGGTGTCCTGTGACCTGATGACCACGCAGGATTTTCTCCTTCCGCATGCCCAGGCGAGGATTTACCCGTCAGACGCATGCAAGGCACACGAACAGCTGGCAAAAAACTGGGAATGATTTCGGGCGGAATATCCAAGGGGCAAGGCGTTGATTGGTCGATTAAAACTGGTGATGGCCGACATTGTAACGGCGAAAGTGAGTTTAGCGACGCGTCAGCAGTGCATTCGCCGCGAGAGTCTTTTCGGACGCACGTCTATTCGAGGCTTTGGTGCGTCACTGCGGACGAAAGCAAGTCAGGAAAAAAAGTCAAGCGTGGGCCGAGACTGGAGGCACAGTTCAAGCGGCGACACTGGTATTTGGGCTATTACGGTATGTTTTCATGGTTCACTGTCGTCACTAACGGACTGGCCGACCAGAATTATGGACGAATCAGCAGGATGAAGTGCGTCTTGGCTCGTGTAGTAGTTCGCGAGCCGTTGCGAAGGCAAGGGATGAAAAGGTGGTTAAACGATCAAAGTCAGATGTGTGGTTCTGATTCGACGGGCAAGTGGGTGCGTCGCATGGCACCCCTCGTATTGAGCGAAGCAATAGCAGGTGAGAAGCGAGAGGCTGGGGGGTTCCTGTCAAGCACTAGGCAGGTCACTATTACTCACAGGTTGCTTGTTTTCCAATGCATTGCCAATGGCGATTTTGGCGATTTTCGCAGCTGTCGAGCAACGGTGGTTCCGCGAGACATGGCGTCCCGCGCATTCCCTTTGACTGTGCCCCGCTGACGGAATGCCTAATGTGGCCGAGTCACGACGTGAGTTCTCCGTACGCTAAGGAGATGACGCTCACGTCACTAGTCAGAGGGTTGCACACCAACAGGAGCTTTTGCCAGGACAGGGCTGCGATGACAGCTTCCAATGGAGAAATGGCCGATGCAAGAGCGGGCAAGCGGTGTTCCAAATTGCGATGGACGGGGACGTGCAGGCCACTTCCTTGTGCGACAGGAATCATGATGCGAGGAATTCTTCACCGTTGAAACGTCGACTGGGTTGGCGCCGGTCAGCGTGCTTGGGGAGGGCAGGGCACGTGACGAGTGGGTGACAATTTCAGTGGGCAAGCAGGCCCGGGTAGCGGACACGGCTACGGGGTGGTGCACGTGAGGCAAAAGGAAGCGGTGGCAGCAGGGTCGTGCCGTGGTTCACTCACGAGCGAAACGAGGCAAGGCAGACGGCCCGTGTTGAGTCGCGCGCGGCAATTGCCCGAGATGGTTCCACGGTGCGTGCAGCGATGGGGAGGGGGGCAACGCTGCAGTGCGACAGAAGCGCGGTGCAGCAGGCAGGACATGGCTCACAGAGGGGACGGGGCAGGGCAGGGCAGGGCAGGGCAGAAGGTGTTGCGGCACAGTGTGGGAGGGAGGGTGAGTGTGCGCGTCGTATTTATTGCCTGGGTCGTGTTTTATTAAAGGAAGCAGATCGGTCAGGTTGGCACGCGAGGAAGCGGGCAGAGCCGGCTTGGCACTTCGTTTTCGATGAGAAGCGGACCGGCCAACGCCAACGCCATGCAGAGGGCGCGGACCCCAGCCACCGTGGTCACCCGTCAGCTGGCGCAGAAAGGGGGGTGCCGTGGGCGAGGGTGTGCGCAGGTGCAGGCAGTCAGCAAGAATGCACTTCTGCAGGCAGGCGTGCGGCGATGGCGCAACCGACGGGCATGGCAACAGACGGGTGTATACGAGCAGACAGGTGTATACGAGCAGGCGCTGCACGGTGCTGGAGGCGGGCGAGCAGCGCAGTAGGGCAGGCCGGCGGTGCAGCGCTGGAGGCAGGCAGGCAGGCGTCGTGGGCGCGCGGCACACTCGAGCCCGCGAGCGCGCTAAAGGACGGCGAGGAAGGCGCGATCCGTGTCCTCGCTGCATGGGCGCGCAGGGATTCGGGGCGCCCCTGCTAGGGCGACGAGAAGGTTTTGGGCAGTTCGGGCGCGGCGGCGGTGGGTATGAAGCGGCCACCATCCCGCTCCAACCTGAATCTCCTTTCTCGTTTCCACGCTCTTGGGTCTCGTCCACGCGCTTCGAGAAGGCCTCATCTTGCCGCCGCTCCTCCTGCAACCTCAGCTCTGGCTCTGCCCTCGCTCTGCCCTCCTGCCCCCAGCTGCCTCGCTCCCTGCACGGCCTGAAGCACCGACTGACCGCCCGACTGGCTGGCTGGCTGGCTGGCTTAGCTCTGCACCCGACGCACCTGCCGCCCAATTTGCGCTGTTGCTGCCTTCTTCTCGCACCTGCAGCCGTCGTTGCGGCCCGCCAGTGTTTGTGACACACACCTCACCCGCCCCAGAGGATCTCCCGCCCAACACGGCCGTTGACTGTCGCCCACGCCCGCCTGTCCTGCCCGTCTGCCTGCCACCCTCCAGTGCATGACGGCGTAACCGCTCCACGTTGCCGGGCGGGATTTCACCAGCGAGACCGACGTCCACGTCCACGCCCACGTCTACGCCAAAGTCTACGTCAACCGTCACCCGCTCTCGACCTCGACCAAACCACCACATCCCACCGCAACACCATGTTTCCCCACCAGGGTGGTCAGGGCCAGCTGCCCACGCACTGGCAGCCGCCGACGTCGCAGCAGCCCGCCAACGGCGCCTATCCGCCGCCCTCGCACGTAAGTCTGCACTCGTCGTGCTCGTTGTTGTTGTTGTGTCGTGGGAGCTGACAGTTGACGTCGACAGATGGGCGCCAGACTCCCGCCGCCCCCGCCCCAGGAGCCTCGCGCAGACATGGTCGCCCACCAACATCCCCACCCGCACCCGCACCCTCACCCCCAGTACCAGCAACCGCCGCCGCAGCAGCAGTACCGCCTGCCAGGCCCCAACGAATGGACCCAGGCGCCGCCGCCGCACGCCGACCCGTACCGCCAGGCCCAACCGCCGCCCCAGTACGTCCAGCAGCACCACCAGCCGCCCGCCCCGCGCCAGCGCACTGCCATTGCCTGCCGCTACTGCCGGAGACGCAAGGTAAATGCTCCCCCACACGCTGCCCACGGCCCTCTGCTCACCCTCACAGATCCGCTGCTCAGGCTTCGAGGCGACCGAGGACGGCCGCTGCTCAAACTGCATGCGCTTCAACCAGGACTGCATCTTCACCCCGGTCTCGGCCCAGACGCAGGCTTTTGTCCCCGCCCACACCGTCTGGCGCGGCGTCGGACAGCCGCCGCCCATGTACGGCGCCTACGGCCAGCCGCTCCCTCCGGCGAACCAAGCTGAGCCCTACGGCCGGCCGCAGCAGTATCTGCCCAGCCCCACTGCAGGTCCGTACCCAGCTTATCCTGTCCATGCCTCGCCTGGTGCTTCTCCTGTTGAGACGACCCGTGACGACCTGAATGGCAGGAAGAGGCCGCACGCCGAGCCTCACACACCCACCCTGCCTCCGCCAACTCCTGGCGCAGCGTCACAGGCGCCTCATCGAGGCACCAGACAAGAGTATGCCTTTCCCGAGCCATCGTCTCTAACCTCCGTTGCTCCTACAGCCGGCCCTCCAGCCCCGTATCCTGCCGCGCCGCAAACCGCCGCCCAGCCCTACTACGCCGCACAACCGCCCCGCCAAGCCTCGCCACAGAGCGCATATCGTTATGACGCGAGCCGCGCCTCGTCCTCGCCGCACTCGCAAGCGCCAACCACGCCCGGTGCCGCCCCTTCTCCCTACTACACGGCGCCTGCGCAACCAAATGGTGCCCTGCAGCCGCTGCCCCCTCGAAGTGAGGGCAGGACTCCCCCACCTCCCACGTCTCAGGCCGCTCCAACCAGGCCAGGCATGCGCATCAACGACCTCGTCACCGACAACGGTCCCGGACGCAGTTCGACGGATTCGTCCATGCTCAACATGCTCAATCGCCGACCCATGTAAATCTCTGCTCCGATTCAGACGAGGTGCTCACGAGCTGGTCCTCATTAGGAGCACAAGTACGTCGATGTAGCAGCACGCAACGTCTTGACGCTGCATCATCAGCCGTCACTTCGTTTCTCTGTATAATCTTTCCTTCGTCATCATTGCATCGCCATGTTCCCCCAAGGAATCTGGCTGGCAATGGCGTCATTTTGGGCGGTCTACTGAATTCTACAGCGTCACAGAGCATCGATCGATTTCCTTTTAATACTTGCAATGACGTCTCATTTCCTCTTTCGACTCTTATCTCGTTTACCGTGACTAGGCATCCGGAGTACAGTTTTCAATCAACGGACAGCTGGCCTTCCGGATGTCGAACCCACAATGGTACATTCAGACTTTCTCGAGGCTTTCTGATTTTCTGAAATCGATTCACAATTTCTTTGTCCAGGATGTCTCGAACATATTCCCGACTTTGGTAGAAGGCGGCGAACAATGTCATTGGTGGCGAGCGCGCGAATTAGCCTCAACTTTTCGCAACTTGGGTGGTCAACTGTCTTTCCTGCTTACACTAGAACTGGGGGGTTGCATAACTGGAGGTGCTCTGATTATCTGTATCATTGCACGCATTGGGGTTAGGAGCCAGCATTGGTGCTTCACTGCATATTGCTGTGGTAGTGGTTGTTTGTGCTTTTTTTTTTTTTTGCAATATCTTTGTTACACGCTCCATCTTTTTGTCGAATGGGGCAAGTCGTCTTTGCTCCTGTCTCTACCGCGTTTCAAAATTTGGAATTCTTCTTGTTTGGTTGGGAATCTCTTTTCTGGTTTTTGGGCGGCCATCTGAAATTTCACATAGCAAACCGAGCGAGCGAGCAAACGAACGAGGTACTATTATGGTGTATTTTGTTAGTCAGCCGTCTACATAAATTGAACGCGTTGTTGTTGGAGTGCAATGCTTATTCTAAATCATGCATGTCTTGCCTGTTGTGACCATGTCAAATAGCGTACCATGGACTGGTCCGCAAGCTCCCTTTCCCTCCCTGAAATTGTTGACAGCGTGACAGGCTGCAGGGGCACACGGAGAGCCCACTCGAACCAGGTCCAGCTAAACCAAGGTTCTGGACTTCGATCTGGCAACCCGTATGATGGGTAACGTGCCGTCCCGGAGCAAAGAGTGTATCGGATTCGGGTTCAGCCTGGGTGATGGGAAGCTGGCTCTTCCTGAAAACCCAATCATTACCTGTCCCGCAACCTCCCTTAATATCTGACGCGTACACAGTACCATGGTTCTCTCAAGCGGCCTTTGTACCGTACGGGAACAGCACATGTCGGTGTGGCAGGGAACCGATCGAGGGGAGATCTAGTCGAGGGTCTAGAAGGGCTAGGGTACCAAAGTTTTGTAGATTGGCAATTAGAATTTTTTGGGCATGGGTCTGGGATTGGACCGTTGGTTTGGAAGGTTCTGGAGGGTTTGCCGAGGCGAGTAGGTCGTTAGGGTAGGTGAAAGGGGGGTTAGGTAAGAAGGGTGGTCAGCTTGGAAGAGGTGTGATGGTGGTGGTGGTGGTGGTGGTGGTGGTACAAACTAGGGTAAAGTCGACAGTGAGCGCGAACACTATGATGCGGATCGGTTGATTGGTTAGGTAGGCGGTTGAAACGCGTTCATTAGCTAGGTGCTCATCTATGACATAATAGTTGTACTTCATGCTTTTGTGGTTCACGGGTAATTGGCTCCCGAAAGGGTTCTTGCCGATTCCCGGATAAAGTTGAAACAACACTCCCGTCGTTTGAGTAGTTGACGGCTTCATACATCAAAAAGACTATTTCTCTCAACTTCAAATTCTCAGCGTCATCGCCTCACAGACCACAACCCTAGAATGCTCCATCTGCAGCTGTATGAGCTTCGTCACGGCTTGCTTTCCTATGTGCAGGCGTCTTTCCAAATCTCCACATTCCAGATTGTCCTTTGTCTCTCTTCTCGTGTTGTTTCGTCATACTCTTCCTGACCAGTCCTTCTCGTGTCCTTTCTTTATTGTCGATCTCCTCGACCGTAGATGTATGAACCAGCAACTCCGCAGGTCAATCATCTCTTTGACTTGTAGGAGGCATAACTCGGTGGAGGTATTGTACCGTATCCAGACAACGATTGCAACAATTGACGCAGTGGATATCTTCACATCCGCCGTAGCGACGCATAGTGGCGACGACAAACGTTTTTCCCACATACGGTGGCACCCGAGTATCCCGAGAACATCTCATATTGGAATACGTTCTCTAGGGGTGTATGTTGAGCAGATGGAGTACTGCAGAAAGTCAAGGTTTGTACCTTCGTGGCGCTTTTCGACATGCAACTCTGCAATATCGCCCTTACAATGTGTCACTCTTCGTCCTCGACTCTTTTTGAATGATACTCATATTCATACCGATGTAATACCGCACGAGCCACCATTCCGTCAGCATATTTACATTCTTCTTCTTTCCATCAATCCTCAGTATTATCAGGCCAGCTTTAGCTCAAGATCCTTTCGGTTACTTTTTCCGCTTACGTGGTTACCAAACCACAGTAGTGGACAGCAGGTGATGTAATTGTGGACGTCAAATGAGCCTGTCGCATTTCTCAGAAAACTTAATCAATCGAGTGGTTTGTTTGGTACCGTAGCTGAGACGTGAGCTCCTTTTGTTACCATCTAGGTATTAGCTGATCTTCGACATCGATAACGATTGTTCCAAAGATCGACTTGAGCTTGGAAGGAATTCGACAATACCGTCATTACGTGATATGGTACCACGACCCCTTTTCGAAGCTGTGTTGACAAAGCTAGAGATGAGTGTATCAAACTGGTCTAAAGCCTTCAAAATTACCGAGAAACGTCCATATAGGGGCTACTTTCCCACTATATGGCATTGGTAAGCTTGCGTGATACCTAGCAAGGATATCATCAACTCGCAGCAATTTTGATCTTGAGCATGGTATGTTGCTTCATTAAGAACTCGAGTCCGTGAACTGCTACTGAAGTGTTGGACAGAAAAGATAATAACCTCAAGTATCGTAAAGTACCTCAACAAAAACCCACCTCAACCATCGTTCGTACACTGTGCTACCTCCCCCGTGCCCAAACATATGTCTTCAAGAGCCCTGCCTTTGTGTACCGCTTTCGAAAACTCAGGACCTTCTTCTTGCAATGCCAATGAGGAGGCTGTCCCTCTGTTCAATCTGCCGACCCATAGGCTGTCTCGGACATGGGCGGGCGAAATATGGGGTGTTGCGCTAGGTCAGGACACGATAGCCACCTCAAAAAGTCTGTTATATGGGGGTTGTCTTTTTTGTTGTAGATCTTCCGCCTCTGGAGTGTCATGTCGCATGCATACATATTCTTGCATCTGTGTATGGGCGCTAGCGACCTGTGATGACACGGAGGACATCGGTCATGTCGAACGAAACAGGGCGAGTTGGACACGGCCTGTGAACTTCCAGACTGTATCCATTGATGTTGACCAGGTGCACATGGAAGGCGTGGGACTTGGGATGAGTCTGCTGCGGTTGGATCTGTAATCTCCGCCGAATCCACAATAACTGGCAACTGGGCTGGAGAAGGACAAAGGTGATGTGAATTTTCAATTCCAGCTTCTGATTCTTGTTTACCCTCCACATTTCCAGCATTGGCGTTTTCTTCAATTCTCACAATTGGAGCCTGCGCTGATCGGGGCACTCCACCAGATGCTGGATCCAAAAAGATAACGCGAGGTGGGTATGAGTCAGATGAATTACGACCATCTTCCAACAAAGTTTTCTTCCCATCAGGACCGGTTATGGAAATAACAGGCCGTTTTGTTCTCGACGATTTGGCGTTGTCACGATGGTTCGAACTGTCTGGAGTTTCCAGTTTAGGCGGATCTGTCGAGTCACTGGGTGAACCCTTGGCATCACCAGTCAAGCCAATCAATTTTTCCACCTCTTCTGCAGAGACCCGTTCGTCTTTTGTGCTTTTGGATTGGTGTGTCTTCGTACAGCAGCAACTCTACGCGAAGTATGAAGATTGTTTTGGTGATCCATTTGCATCTTTTGGAGCACCAGGTAAACCTCGACGAAACTTGTATGCCCTTAGAAACCGGTCGCGCCCCTCTGCTGTTCGTCTGTATCTCCACGATGCTGGATTCGGTGGTTTAGGGTGGAGGCGAGGGAAATCAGTATCCTCCTCCTCAGACCATCTATCTTGGGCGAGATTAATAGGCCTTTGACGATGCTCACTCGCCCATTCCTGATAAGACTCAAAGGTTTTCATTATCGTGTGACGCTTCCAGAGGAACACCGCGGCGCGAGAAGGCAAAATGAGGCCATCAAGATCATCGAGATCATCGATATTCGTAGTATGAGTAATCACAACCTTATGCTTGCGAAACGGCCAGTGTGAGTGAGGGTATATTCGTCTGATAGTTTTGGCTGTTCGTAGTTAGCCAAGTGTAATTGCTTTTCCATACAGCTCGTACTGTTTTAGTATGATGCTTGGTGCGTCTCAATAGTGACTACTACAGTAATGACGTGGGACAGGGATGTCAATCTTACTGAGTTGGAGTCGTGTTGGGGACTTCGCACTCGCGACTGTATCCACGCCATGTTCGACTGCTTGAGGAAACGGTAGATCATTTGGGGATGCCGAGATTCTGGTGGATCCGGACATGCTCTGTCCTGTGTCGGATGAAATCTTGTCGGCAGCATCCTCATCTTTATATAGATCCTCGTCATCGCCAGCATCTCCGAATTGCGGTTTGAGGGTTTCCAAATGGTGTGAGACACTGATAATTCTACTTCCGTCGATGGGATCCAGTTGCGATCGTACAGATGAAAACTCCTAGTTATCGACCAAGCGCCTTGTCTTATAAGTTACTCGTTGCAACTGAGGCGACTGAACCACTCACTTTGATCTCTTCTCGCACGCGCGTGTCTGTCGCAACGACACCTGCTTCTGTGAAGTAGTGCTTTGCTCCAAGCCTGGGGCTGATTGTGGCCTCAACTTGAGTAACGGTTGCCTATCGTTTGGACCCTCCATCGGACTGCCGTCTTCTTGTTTGTCCGTGAGCGAAGTCGTCCCAATTGCGGTGTTCGGCTCCTCGTGTTCAACCATTTCACTGACAATGGCGTCAAGTTGGTTTGGTGTCTCAAAACCGGGGTTCGAAACGATCGGAGGATCTGTAGTGAGTACTGGGGTTTGCTGTTGAGCGTCGGTTTCCACAGTGGGAGAAATGGCTTCATGTTCCGGGTCTTGTGGCTCGATTATTGGGGAATGATCTTGTTTCGTCATGATCGCGAGTGATACCAGGATAGCAGTAAAATTGAAAATTAAGACAATGTAAGCGAGTGATGCTAGAGTATGAATGTGGTGATGTTGGCAGAGGCAGCGAAGATCAGTGTTGATTTGCGCCAGGCAATATCTATGTCTGCGTGATTTGGTGATCATGGAGGTACTTCCTTCTGATCCCAGTCCCAGCACTTGCCCCGTCCCTCCGTTCCTACCTGCTTGACCACGTCAAAAAGTCTTTCGGCTACCCAGTCTCTCTCAAACAACTTCTCTTTTTTAACATTACTCCAGAAGTCCTTGCTCAAATCTGTCTTCACTGTACCAGGATGTAGCGCGACCGCCATGGCGTTCTCACCAGATGCAGTCCGCAGGTGATTGTCGAATGTCTTCACCAACTGATTGACACCGGCTTTGGACGAGCGATAGCTATACCAGCCTCCGAGGCGATTATCTGAGATGGAGCCTACGCGTGCTGCTGCTATCAGAAATGTTGTACATTGTTGAAAATCACTTACCTGACATGACTGCGGTTGTTGAGCTGGACGGTAAGCCTTTCATCTCACTCTCGTTTGTATTCGGAACCGTACTCTTCTTTGGCAGAAATGGTGCGAAGTGCTTGAGCATCAGCATAGGGCCTAACGTATTGGTACGAAAGGTGAGTAGCGCGTCATCGGCATTGATTTGAGTCGGCGACTTTTCTGGAAAGAGCAGCCCAGGAACAATGAAAGCGAGTTGCAGCTTGTGTGAGCCTGGACCAAATTGTTCTTTGCATGCTGCTGCTGCGTCGGCGATGGTTGATTCGTCTGCAGAGCGCAATTAGTCCTTGTCTCGTGCATATGCCCTGCAAAGACCTGATGCTTTGCAACTCGAGAAAATTCACGAGACTACGACATACCAAGAACATCGAGTTTTAGAACTGTCAACCTTGCCTTGTCAACACCCAGGCCTTCAAGCAGTGCCTCTTTGGTCTTGTCAAGATCTCTCCGTGCTGTCACCACAACTGGCGCGTTTGTGGTCTGCAATACTCTCCGGGCCAGGGCGAAGCCAATGCCTCGGGAAGCGGGCGAGATCAAAGACCAGGGTGCCATAGTTTGTGCAGGAGTGCTGAGACCATGTCAGGCAATCACATTTGGTGTTCAACGTGTTGTGGCCGAGACGCGATCGATGATGACATGTCTGCCTCCTCGATCGGCTTTGGTTAGCGCTAGAATGATTGCACTAATTAGCTCCAAGTCGCGTCGAGGCTTCCACCGCCATCTTCAAATGTTCGTCAGATAAAGCCTCTCTAAGAAGAAGAGAAGAGAACAAAAGTGCAAAGTTCAGGGCTTGTGTCCAAGAACCGACTGTGTCTAATTCATCATTTAGTGCACGACAATTTAGCCGTAGATTGATGCTCTACATGGTTAGTAGATACAGGTGGATGATGTAACTCGAGTATTTGTTTAGCCCTGCGAATATTGGCAAATACCGCCTGTTGAGTTGCGACACATGCAGTAACGTACTACTTACAGTAACTGGGATGCCTGGGAACCTTTGTAAGTTCTAGCCGTGATATATCGATGGCACAGAGTTTTGGACACTCTTGTATGCTATGCATCCTTGGCCAAGATTCGAGTCCTAGTCACACTAGGTCAACGCCCATAAGCCAGGAACGCAGTTAGGGAGCGTACAAGAGCGTGATAACTCCCGTCACACTGCGTCATGAAGCACCCACTTCATTCCTCTTCAAACTTGGGAAAGTGATTTCCAGAGCATTCTTGCCGCGTACATGACATCCAGACCCCGATCACTATTTATTTCCAACCTTTCATATTCCAATGCACTCTTCCAAATGCCACCAAACTATGGCGTTCTGGTACATGCACTCTGCTTTGATTGATCCAAACGACCAAAGTATCACCTCGTCCCACTGCATCCCTGCCTCGTGCAACACGCCCTCCAGACCCCAAATTACACACCCGTCAACTCAAAGCTTTGTGATGAAACGTTGAAGTAACAGCCGGTTAGGGTCGAGTCCTGGTCACACTCTTATAGTGTAAAATGGGGCGAGGACATGATGTTTGTGGAACCAAGTCATGCTGGGATAGACTGCTCAAACGATTAGGGTTTGGTAAGTGGTAGGTAGAGTTTCACAATCGAGGTGCACATGTAGACGAGGCGAGTGCTGAAATCAGCGTTCTCTCTCTATCCTTTCCAGTACTTGATTTCGCTATGTAATAAAAGTTGACGCACCCTGATCACTGTATGCATAAGCCTCTCAATAACATCACCTTTGTCACCGCGAAATACCCGAAGATGTATCTCACGATCATGTGCTCATCGCTCAAAACGGCAGTTGTCACCTGAAACAGGAATTAACGCCTAGCCAGCTAAGCCTACAACAACATAGCGGCACCACATTACCAAAGTTACACTTAATGCATGATGGTTTAACAATCGTATTGTTCCGATAGTTGCAGCAGCGAGGGGGAATCGGAATACACAGTACCTCGTAGATAGCACGCGGGAGATGATATAGATGTCGAGCTGAGAGCAAAGCAAGATGAAAACAAAGAAAAAACACCACTCCACGCCGGTATCCACGTTAAGACGTACACTCGTCTGATCGCAAATGCAATCGCTAGGCTCCCAACAGTGCATCCCCACATCACATCATCCCACGGCTCCCATCCTCTCTGCAAGCGTGCGCCAATTGCATACCATACACCTGATCGTTGCCCAGAGAGCTACGTCATGTAATTACTTTTCGACCATTAAAGAGGGGTATCCGTGTCCCAGAACATATGCGCCGTCCGAAGAGTGACTCGCTATCAAAGCTCTACAGGAGCTGGTGTAAGTTGCGCCTATCCCAGCTTCTGGTCCTGGGGATAGTGCTGGCTTGGGTGACGGGGCATAGGCTGTTGTGCCATTGGGTATTGTTGTGACTGGTGCTGTCCTTGGAGGTAGTTTTGGTAGTGCAGAGCAGCCTCGGGCGTCATGTATGCTTGGGGCATAGGATTGCTTTGGGGCATGCCACGTGGTGGGCCAGTGGGTACCTGGGGGTGATTGTCCTCTGGCGAGTCGACCGAGTTGTCAGCGTCGACGCCGTTCGCATCGCCGCTCGAGGGCTCGGGCGCGTTCAAGCAGGCCTATGTGGGGTCAGCAACGCGTCGCGACGACGTGATTGTGGGGTGCAGCATACCTGGATGAGGTTTTTGCCCTCGGGCTTCGTCACCAGTGGTTGCAGCTTGGGCGTAGTGAAGGTGTAGACGAGACCGGTTTCTGAGACGACAAGCAGCAGGACTTGGGTGCCGGTCAGGACAGACAATTCGTAGGCCTGGCGTGACATGGTTAGCTATGCGACGCACATGCATGGCGCGTGCAGCGACAAAGACTGCACTGCGCATCGACGTACCTTCTTCATGATGCCGGCCTTGCGCTTCGAAAAGGTAATGTGTCGACGCGACTTGTCCTGGATGAACTTGATCTCGATCTTCCTGCGCTCGCGGCCGGGCTTGTCATCGTCGTCGTCGTCGTCGTCCTGGGCAGGGCGCGGGCGCTTGGTGCCGCGACTCGCATCGCCGACGTTCATCTGGCCATTGCCCACGTCGTCGTGGACAGAGGGCGACGCGTTCTGGTCGTGGTCGGTGATTTCAGAGGCCATGGCGGAGGTCGCAACGTCGTTGGTTGTGCGTGTTTGGGCGGAGGGCTGCCCTAACTGCTTGTGGCCGGGTGTTTGTGTGGAGATTTCCGCTTTCGAGTCTGCGACGTTGGGGCGGACGCAGCGCGTTACAACGATTGCAGCTGGAGTCGGGTTAGGCCCAAAGAGAAGGCGATGGATGAAAGAGGAAAAGCAGGCGCGCTTGGGTTAAAAGAGTCAAGCTGGCCTGAACCCTTTCCAGGTGCAAGTGCACACGGCCAGGAAAACCCGGCAGGCGCGCTCGGTTGCACAGCGCTAGAGTACTCGGGGGCTGGGCGGCCTGGGGGCGTGACTGCGGAAAGCGCAGCCAGGACGGTTCGCTACGTACCTGAGAGTTCTGTGGGCGGAGCAGATGCCTGCGGATTACAGTTGCGCCGTTGGAGGGAGATGGGCCGAAAGCAACGCTGGGGAGAGAAGGCTGCCTGTGGGAGCTTGCGGACGCTTGGCCGCGGGAATGGCAGAAAAGGCAGCGATGGGCGGAAGGTGCACGCAGGGTGGTGCAGGTGCGAGCAGCTGTCTCAGAGAGGGAAAGCGATGGAGAGATTGGGAAAAGTGAAACGGGCGGCGGGCAAATGTATTTTCAAGCCTGCAGCACTCTGGTCGACGCCAGACGGGCTGCCGGTGGGTGCAGGCCCCAGGGTGACTGGGGTGGAGGCGCTTGAGCTCGCACCCCCCTGGTCGTTGCTGAACTGCCCTCGCGCGCTCGAGGGAGCGCGGGCGAGAGGGCAGCGTCGTGGAAAAGGCGCTCGTCGCAAGACGACTGCACTGGCACTGCCAGCCGTGCTGTTGACCTTGGACTGTACCTTGTCCACTCCGTTCGAGCTGTCAGTCTGCTTTGAGATGAGCAGCAGCGGGCACTTCCCCCCATCAGCCAGAGGCCGTCTGTTCTCGGGTCAAGCACCACCACCCTCGGCTCGACACGTCCACCAATTGCATTTTGCCGTCAGGCACACGCATCCACTCCTTGCGTCAAATCACACGCCGCCGTGGGCCGTTAGCGGATGAGGTCAGCCAGTCCGCTTTGCCGCCTGCCTGTTTGGGTATCGGTATCGCCCGGGTTCCAGCCTTCCAGCCTTCCTCAGACGCCACCAACACCCTCTCACCTCTCACCGCACTGCATGGTGCAGACTGTGGGCAACACCACAACAGCCCGCCGGTGACATCGTGGCCAGGTCGTAGCAAACTCCTTCTCCATGTCCAGAAATCCTTCCTTGCTGTGCAAGAGAGTTTGTCTCGCCGACAGTCGCAGTGTCGAACATCGCCTTGATGATTCGCTAATAAACATGCTCCAACACTGCTGAAACCACTCACGCCTCGACTGCGACACGATCACGCAACTTCTTAATACTCGAAGCGCCCGTCTGCGCGCCGTCATGTGTTTTTCTTGTTACCATCATTTCTTCCGCTCATTCTTCAGTGCCTGATAGTTTGCGTTGATCGAGTAGTCCTTTGCAGAGCACGGTGGACGCTCAACTTCATCTTCTCTCTCTCGCTTTTATTCCATCCGCTAGACACATCACAACGTACCAACTCTCAACATGCCGACCAAGCTTATGCTGGTTTTTGTGGCAGTAGATTTGCTTTTCGCAGGATGTGGAGGATTGATCCTAGCCTTCTCCCTAATATCCGAGCGACTGGTGCTGGACACCCCAACAGTCGGCAACGTCACTCAGAATTTGCTGCTCGGCCAGTGCCCTTTAACAGGTACGACTTCTCCACAAGAATGGATGAAAAAATCTAGGCAGTCGATACTACGGCACCACCGTGGCGTTGAGCTGTGATACGCGTCACTGGACAATATAACCTCTAATACACAAGGACTGACAGTTCTGCAGCTGGCGTGGTCAATGCGATCTTCGTGTTCGCTACTTTCTTGTTCTCTCTCCCAGCACTGTTCCTTCCCACTAATCGAGGTTGGCTCCGCGCCCAGGGCTGGCTGGTAGTCATTTGCGCAACCTATACGCTTAGTCTGGGTATCGCCATCTGGGTAGAAACGCTACAGATCCGACGTAATCTCAGCGTTCTCTGGGGGAGGGAGACGCCGCAGATTCAGAGTTTGTTACAACAGAAAGTGAGTGACTCATTTCGGTCTCGTAGTCACTACGGCAATGCGGGACGGTGATTTGTTCCTGCGAAAAGCTCAACCCGATCTCTGACTATGCGGTATTTGACTTGTAGCAAAGAAGCTGACCATTCTTAGTATGACTGCTGCGGATACGTCAACTCGACCACACCCCCTTTTATCCAGGACAGCACTTGTCTCAATACACTCGTCGCGGAATTGAAGGGTGGGTGTGTTGGCAAGTTCTCTTCGGCTTCGAACAGATATCTTGACCAAGTCTTCACCGCGGCGTTTGGTGTCGTCGGTGTGGATGTCATCCTCGTGCTCTGTGTTGCTATGGTCCTCAAGCACAGAATGGAGCAGGAACGCTACAGACACATTGATGAGAAGAACGGAGACCGATGAAAGAAGGTAGCCAAGCGAGATTTTGAAACTAGATCAACTGCGTTGATTCTGACCAGTTCGATTTCTCTCACACCTTGAATTTGATTGAGAAAATGGCAATGGGAGTTCAGCGGTGCTGACAACCTGGAGTGTTCGTGCATCTATCTTCCTTTCATAGTTCGTCTTTTCTGCGCTTAGCGATTTGTGAGATACTAGCATACCAATTCCGCACAGAAGATGGAGCCCTGGAAAAGACTATCTTCACCAGTCGAGGTAGAAACCTTAACTAAATGTTTTGTAACACCATGAGATGGTAATGGCAAGCCATCTTCATTCATGGTAACAAATGCGAATTTAGACTTTCGTCACCGCCTACATTCTTCTACACAGTATATTCGTCGACAAGCTGTGCGCAAGATGGACTGTCAACTCAGAGCCATATGCTTACTAGAGCAGTTACCTCGCTTCTGCACTGCACACGAGACCCGTACGGTGATAGGGCGCTCGAGATGTGCGATGCAGGGATGTGGCGTGGACGAATGCAGAAGTCATGCGTCTTGTTATTCTTGCGTAACAACACCAAGCGGTCTGCTTATTGTTTTTCTGGCAAGACGACGGAGCCCATGTAGGGACACTGAGGCATAAACTGGCCAAGTGCGCGATTTATCGCCTGCGAAGGAAACAAAATGAAGACGAGACCGCCAAGATGGGATCTGAAGATTGAGAGACTGTGTGAAGAACGTACTTCAAAAAGAATTATTGCTTGGGAAATCTTAATTTGTGCAGTTGGTCTCTTAAAGCAAATTTACCCCGCGATCACATCCGTTTGCCCTGCTATATGATTGTGATGTTCCATCGTGCTGCTTTTTTGACCACTCACGCCCCCCTCCATCACACCCTCGTGCACATCCGACGGGAGTTGATCCTACCTATCGCACCTGCTACTGTGTAGGTATAACTAGAGCGACTCGTACACTCGAAGTTACCCACCACCAATCTGGCTGCTTTACTCAATCTACGGGTCAAATTACTGCCATCAACTACTCCAACGCAAAACAGTCAGACATGCCTCCCCCGCCGTCTCCCTCTGACGCTGCCCGGCAGACAGCAGAAGCACATGCTGCTGTAACCGCCTCGCTCGCTTCAATCGGCTTTTCGGTTGACAATGAGATGCGCACACGTACCGCCGACTTGCACGCCAACGCTGCCGCCATTTCCAAACAAGAGCAGGAGCTGGTGAAGCAAACAGCGGCGTTGGCGAAGCAGAGTGCACAGTGGCAGAAGCTGGGGGATAGCACTACAAAAAAATTAAATGAGATTGGGGATGTCCAGAATTGGGCGGAGATGATTGAGAGGGATTTGTTGGTGTTGGAGGAGACGATGAGGGCGGTGGAGGGGGAGAGGGGCTGAGCGCGGCGAAATGCTCAAGAGCATCTGATTTGCTTGGAGTACTGTATTCTTGGCTCGATAATGATTGACATGGCTATTTGTTTGAGCAATGGTTAACTTGTACCTTCCTCCAAGGAGTGCATTCACTCTTGCAGTTCCCGGACAGTACTGGCAGTGTGACGCCGTCTTGCACAGGTAAAAGCGCCTTGGACACGTAGCTACCTCTTGAACACGTAACAGCGCAAAAGCCGCTTGTGGAAGAGTGAAGAAGCGTGTCGCTTTCGTGATAGCCGTTCTGGTGTGGCCCGTGCGCCATCTTCCATCATCGCAAACTGCTGGGAGCTCTGCGGGCATCGACAACTTCACCTCTCCACCAACACACACGACCAGGCTTCCGAAGGCCATCTCTGGCACCCGCCTCCCCGCCAAAAATCCACTGCCACTTTTGCGAGATCCACGCCTGCACCGTGGTTCCCCGACAAAAGCTCCAGCATTCCTGCCTGGTCTCAAAGCCTTCCCTCCACAGCCTCCGCACACAGCGCTTACGCCACCATCTGCATTTTCCCAGACCAGCGCCTCTCGGTCCTCCACGAGTGTGCTGCATCCTCGCCAAGACGCGCGGCACCACCTCGAAGCTCCTGCATCTGGCCAGGGCGACTGTAGCTTACACGAAAGAGCTTTATCGTTGCGGGTCCAACCAGTCACCAACACGGTCTCTACAGCAGTCAGAGTAGCGAGACGGGCGACTCCAAAAACGTTGCATGTGAGACAGGCTCGCCTTCTGAGCGCCCAGCGCAATCATGAAGATCAAGAAGCAGGCTACATCGAGACATGAGTCCACTCTGGTAAGCAATATCCCCCGCCCCATGTGTGACCCCGCTAATAAGTTCAGTCTTCGATGATAGCGGAGTTTGTCAAGGCCACCGAATCGATTCCGCTTTACCAACTGCCCGCCCATCTCGCCTCGTTCCCCAAGCAGTGGCCCTTCCCTCGCGGCGATGCATACCACTGGATTCCCGTGCTGAACCGCTTCGACCGCATACTGGAGCTGTTCACCCAGGAATACGGGCTGGTAGACGCGCCACAAACGCAGCCCTTCCAACGCCGACTGCTATTGAAGGGCGATGCCGACGAAGGACGTGTGGGCGCGGAGCAGACTACCACAGATGACGTCCTTGACACGCTACACATATCGCAGGATGGCGACCGGGACCTGATCGAGCAGGTCTTGAGCTTTACGCGCATGCTTCTGGAGAACTGTGGCAACCGTAGCCTATACTCTAGCAGTGAGCGCTTGGACAAGCTGCTCAATACCACCTCCACCTCATTGCTCAAGGCGACGCTTCGCTTGGGACATCGCCTCGCTCAACGCTACCAAGCTGCGCGCGCACGTCTGGCCCCGGCTACCCTGCACCCCTCTCTCCTGTCCAGCCACTACAACATCAATCTTGACAAGCTGCAGAAGCTCTCTGCTCCCTTCTCCAAAGGACCCTCAGCAGCAGCTCCTCTATTTGGCACACCAGCCGCCAAGGGTAAAGAGAAGGCGTTTGGCGATCGACGGAGTGACGCCGATAGATTCAATCCCGCCGACTTGGGGGCTCTGTTCGATCTGTCAGAATCGTCTCTTAGACAGGAATTTGGTGGTGTGTTAGTCTCATACTATGAACCAACACCCACATCCGAAGATGGTAGCACCAAGGCAGTATCTACCGATGCACCCACCACACCAACCCCAGTACGCAGAACCTCAAGCATGGGCCCGAACCGAACGCCCCGACAGCCCTCCACCACTACCGTCGCAGATTCTCCAAGTACCCCAGCCTTCACCCCCGGAGACATAAGTAGTCGGCCATCTGGTCCGAAGACATTCGAGCTGTCTGCCGACAAAGTGTCAAAGGTTGACATGAACGAGCTCCTAAAGCAGGGGTTGACCAATCTGCCTGAAAGCGCGCATTACGAGTTCCTCCACAAACTTCGTACGGCAAAGATGCTTAATAGCGGAAGCAAAGGGCGGGACGATGCAGTTGCTGTTCGTATGCTTGCTATCGCCAACATGGGCTACGTACACGGCGACAAAGAGTTTCATGCAAAGTTGGGTCAGCAGGACGCGGATGAACCACGCCGTCTACAACTAGCTTACCAGCTTTCTGAATTGGTACACCCACCTGGTCATGGGCAGACCGGCGTCTCTATCGAGCTCCAAACGCTCGCCCTCAACGCACTGGAGGCTATTGCCAAGCATAAGATGAAATCTCCCGATGTCTGCGCTGCTCTCAGCGTTAACGTCAACCATGGTGTACTATTCTACGTTGTACGCAAGCTTGTAGCTGGTCTCGCCGTTGAAAACGATTTCGAGATCAACGTGGCGGAGGATGAGTGGCGTGACGCATTGTTCTCTCTGCTGAATACCCTGCCAACCTCGCAGATTCGCACTGGGGAGGGCATGGTTTCTGCAGGGCTTCTTGAAATCCTTGTCGAGGTCCTAAAGCTACGCACGGACAAAGCGGAGCGCAACCACCCCAAAATTCTTAACTTTCTCGACACGTTTGTCTACAATCTCCGAGATGCCTTTTCGGCGCTTGTCAGTGCCAAGGGCCTCGAGATTATCTCTGACCTTATGCAATACGAAGTGGATATATCAAAGAAGCTTGCAGAGGAAGGCAAAGGCATGCCCGATGCGTACAAAACCCAGCTCACCGATTACAAGATCCCGTTTTATCACCAACAGACTCTCCGATGGTTGTTCAAATTCCTAAACCATATGATGTCTCATACTGGCGGCAATTTCGATCGCTTGATGCGAAACCTGATCGACTCACCACAGCTGCTCGGTGGCTTGCGTGTTGTCTTGTCTAATGCGAGCATTTATGGGTCAACCGTCTGGAGTATGGCTGTCACTATCCTCACAAGTTTCATTCACAACGAGCCTACCAGCTATCAGGTCATTGCCGAAGCGAGTCTTAGTGATGCTTTCTTGGAGACGGTGGCCGGAGCGCCAGTCTCAGAGTCCACCGCCGCTGAAAACGATGATAGCCCAGAATCTTCATCCATTCGAGCTCGAAAAACATTTCCACCACGTGAACCTGGCAAGGCCCTTGCTGCGGGCATCCTTCCAGTAGCCGAGGCCATTGCGACCTTACCCCCTGCTTTTGGAGCCATTTGCTTAGCAGAGGCCGGTATGAAATTATTCCAGTCGTCAACTGCCCTTGAACGCTTCTTTGAGATATTCGAAAGTCCGGTCCACGTGAAAGCGCTCGATGCTGACATGGAGATGCCTGGTCTGATCGGCAATTCTTTCGATGAACTGGTTCGTCATCACCCGCCATTGAAAGCACGGGTTCTTTCGTGTCTTAGCGAGTTGATTGCGCGCGTTGTTCAGCTGTGCGCCGATAAGGCAGCGAACGAAGGCGTAGGTACTAAGCTTTGGACAACAGACGCCGAGGGCAAACTGTATGTCGCGGGTGGTCGTCAAGCGCTTCTTGGTCTGCAAACACAGAAACCTTCTGGTCAGAAGTCCGCCTCAACATTTACGGATGTCGAAATGGGGGATTCGGGCGCTCGGACAACAGCCAATGTGTCTGACGAGGCAGTTTCTTTCGATGAAATCACTGGGACTGAAGACACTACTAAGGGACCGACAGCGGCTCAATACATACGTGTGTTGTGTCGTTTCTTGTCAGGATTCTTTGCGAACCATGCTATGTGCGCCGCTTTTATTGAAGCAGATGGCGTGGAATCCATTATGGATATCTCTAGTCTCGCATGTCTCGACCCCAAGTCTACCGAGTCTCGCAGCGTGATCGATGAGTTTGGTCGAGTCGTTCAGGTTCTCGTGGAACAGAAGCCGCATATCGCGGTACCTTCGTTGATCAAGCGAACACAGCAGGCGCTGGAACGGCTTGAGCCTCTACTCCAACACACTGGGCCTCAGGCTTTTTTCGCGCCATTTACAAGCACTGTTTCCTCGCCGGACAGTGAGACGCTACAACGAGGAACGGAATACGTCAAGTCCTTAGCGTCTGCACATACACTTGTTGCTGCTATGACGGTGACTTTCGCGGGCCAGATGTATAGTACACGTTCGGCACACAACGTCTCCAGTCAAGTTAACCTCGCGGACATGTACGCTCGACTTGTCGACAGTCTTGGCAAACTTCACCGCAGCTGCGTATGGGAAGAACTTCTTCTACAGAGGAACATGCCCACTGCGTGGGAGAAGGAGACTCGAGTCAAGAGTTCAGGTACCGGAAATGTCGAAGCTGACCACGTCCTTCGACTAGGAAATGCCTCTGAGCCCGCTCGGTCCACTGACGACGACGCTGCGACAACACAGGGCGTGCCCGGCGAAGTTGCGGCTCTCAGCCAGAACAGTGCGCAATTCAAGAATACCCAGACTCTCCGGAATTTACTTAGCAAGATACCCATCGAGATCGCACCGTTTTTCCAATCGTTAGGAAAGCTGCTTCTATTCCGCCGTAATCTTGAGCCATATCACAGACAATGCGCTACAATTGTTTCAGACCAACTTGCGCAAGCTGTCATCGATCAACTGCAATTCGAAGGACCCGGAGATTCCGAGCTAGCCGAAGACCGCTACGCGTATTGGATCGTCACCCTCACCTCTGTGATGCAGCTTATGATTGATCCGAACATGGATCGCCCGCAGGCACTGACTCTGTTACTGGTATCATTCAGAAATCTGGGTGGATTTGACGTACTTGCCGAAATTCTTAACAGATTCTACGAATCGGCACTTGAGGTTGTTCAGAAACAGGCTGATGACACCAACGAAGGGTCCAAGCGACTTCTCAATCTCTCATTGGGGGGCCTCAAGATTATCCTTGCATTTTTTGCGCAAATTGTTAGCTTCAAAGTTATCGGCGAGTCTCAGCAAACCTCGTCGATGCAAACTCGACCTGACCGAGACCGAGATCGTGCCGATCATTTCTCAACAGCACAGTTTCTCGTCGAGATACGCTACGCCGTCATAAAGCCCGTTGAGAAAATCTGGAACTCCGAACTTATCGAGAAGGCCACCACTTCCATCGTCAAGACTTCAATCAACATTCTCAAGTCAGTCTTGGATTGCGAAGGTGAGCATGGAGCACACAAGACAATCGACAAGGTTCCGAACCGCAGCAAACCTATCATCAAGCCTTGGAATCCTCGCAATGATGACTATATGCAGCGCTTGAAGGAGGCAGGGCATGCCGAGGATCTTGCAGAAGAAGCGCTTTATCGATGCTGTGACAACTTCAACATGGCCCGTGAATACTGTCAGAACCAAGCCCGTGAACAATCGTCGAGAAACCCAATACCGCAGTATGAGATTGCCGCCCGCGGCCCGCCCTCGGCTTCACCAAGTCGAGCTGAAGTCATCGTCCCTGAACCCACAGACAACGACGATGACAGTGATTCTTCCGATGAAGGTGAACATGATGATGAGACGCCTGAGTCACCAGCCACGCGTTCCGTCGAGATGGAGGATGCCCTTGTACCACAAGAGACTGAGGATCCTTCTTCAGAAACACCCGTGCCAGAGAATCGATCCACTCAGTCGATCCCTGCGGCACATGATGTTTTGGCATATCAGAAAAGGATGGGTACTGGTAACCACGTACAGCCCGTTGCACTTGACAATCTTGATCAGGAACGTGCCACTCTTCGCCACAATCTCGTTGATCGCTCCCTGGATATTCTCAACTCCCACGAGGATGTTACCTTCGAGTTAGCAGAGCTTATTTCCGCAGCAGTTTCCAAAGCTCCCGAATCAGAGGCTATGCGCTCAGAAATTGGCGTAACTTTGGTACAGTCGCTTATCTCTTTCCAAAGCGAAGACGATTTCCGTTCGCAGAGTAAGAAGATTTCGGCATCTGCACACCTTTTGGCGCTTGTCCTCCAAGAAAAGGATTTCTACGATGTCATCGTGGAAGAGTTGAAAGACAATTTTGTAGCGCTTCTTGGCTTCATTAAGATTTTCCCAGACCAACCACCGGAGGATTCGTCACCCTGGATTGGACAGGTTCTCCTCGTCATCGAGCGATTGCTTGCTGAAGATCAACTTCCACCTCAGGTTCAGTGGACGCCGCCTACAGGAGATTCGCAAGAAGAGGCATCAGTTGATGAGTTACCGGAGCCTATTGTGGATCTAGAGGAGAAGAACTCGTTGTTCGACGCTCTCATAGAGATTCTGCCACGTATCTCCAAGGATGAGTCGCTGGCCCTGTCGGTAACACGAATCCTTGCTATGCTCACCCGCACACGTAAAATCGCTGTGCGTCTCGCAGAGAAACGAAACATACAGCGCTTGTTCTTGATGGTCAAGCAACTTGCTGGTATCACGAACGAAGGTTTGCGGAGCGCTTTGATGATTGTTCTGCGCCACATGATCGAAGATGAGGCAATGATTCGACAAATCATGCGTACCGAGATTCAGCAGATGTTCGAATCGCGCGATCGTAGACAAACAGACACAACCGGTTACACCCGCCAGATGTACGCCCTGGCTATTCGTGCGCCGGAGATCTTTGTTGAAGTCACAAATGAGAAGCTACAGCTTGTGCGCTTCGATCCCAATCAGCGACCCCAAACTCTAGTTCTCAAAAAGGAAGAGTCACCGTCCTTGGAGCCAAGTACTTCCGCTGGGCCATCAGACACAACTGCCGAAGAGGACCGACCGAAGGAATCGAGTGAAGCCCCAAAGCAACCTGTTCTCGAGCGAGCCAAGACATCAGACTTGAAGCTTCCCATTGTTGAAAACCCGGACGGCGTTATTCACTACCTTCTGTGTGAACTACTTGCCTACAAGGAGATCGAAGACAAGCCGGAACCTTCCAAGTCTACGGAGAAGGCACTGGAGACTCAGGAGAATGCTACGCCGGCTTCTGGTTCCGTACCGACACCTGTTGATGTGCCTTCCGAGCCGACCAAGCCTGAGAAGGCCGAATTCAAGGCCGACGCACACCCAATCTACATCTACCGCTGCTTCATCCTCAAGTGTCTCGCCGAACTTTTGCAAAGCTACAACCGCACGAAGATCGAGTTCATCAATTTCTCAAGGAAAGCCGATCCATACACTACGACGCCCTCAAAGCCTCGTTCTGGTGTATTGAACTATCTGCTCAACAATCTGGTCCCGATTGGCACCTTGAATCATGAAGGCGACATCGCATTCAAGAAAAAGCTTGCGACATCCAACAGTGCAATTGATGTTATTGTTGCTTTGTGTATCAAGACCGGAGAATTCACTCTGCCGAAAACCGATGCAAGCCAGCTGTCCCCATATGCTGACACCGAATCGGATCTGCTCTTTGTTCGCAAGTTTGTATTGGAGCATGCACTCAAAGCGTTCAAGGACGCCAATGCATCAGATGAGCCTCTGGACATGAAATACTCGCGACTGTTGAACATCTCTGACATCTTCTCGAGAATGATATCGCAGCGTCCCAACGGGGAAATGCTCACTCAGAACGCGGACCTTACTCCAAACCTCAAGCAGATGGCCAAGATCATGTATGAGAAGAATTTCATCACAATCTTGACGACAGCAATCTCAGACATCGATCTCAACTTTCCTAACGCGAAGCGCGTGGTCAAGTACATCTTGAAACCACTGAAGTGGTTGACCTTCGTTGCCATGGATCTAAGTGTGCACTACGACACTTCCTTGCCAACTTTAGATTCTGCCGACGAATACGAGATCTCTACAGCTTCCGACGATGATCTGGTAGACAGCACACGCGAGGAGACACCGGACCTATTCCGCAACTCAACTTTGGGCATGTTTGAGCACCATGATTCTGAGTCGGAAGGCTCTGACGACGAGGATGACGATGAAGAGATGATGTATGACGATCCGTACGCCGACGACATGGAATACGACGAGGTTGGGGACATCGGCGATGATGATGTTGTTTCAGACGATGAAGAAATGATGGAACTAGACTTGGACGAGATGGGTCCTATCGAAGGTCTTCCTGGCGACGTCGACGTCGAAATCGAGCTCGATGGTGGCATTGAAGGTCTGGGATCTGATGATGACTCCGAAGATGAGGAAGACGAGGATGATGAGGGCGAAGACGAGGACGATATGGATGAAGATGGCGAGGAGGACATGGACGATGATGATGCCATGGACGAGCTAGTAGAAGGGCTTGAGGAGATAACTGGTGATGATGAAAACGCGAGCCTTGCTGATGACCAGGAGGACGATTGGAGCGATGATCAGGATGATTACGACACTGGTGTGAATGGAGAGGCCAATATGCCAATGGGCCTCGTGTTCGATCCACCTCAACTTTTGGAACAAATGCGTCAGGGAGGTGATTTGGCAGACTTCCTCGACGATGGCATGCCTGAAGAAGAAGGTACGTTTATAAGAACAAGCATAACACTGAGTATACTGACGCGCACAGATGAGGAAGAAGATTATGATGAGGAGGACATCCACTATGATCCCGGCCTCGAAGACGACGAACAGGAACTACGTGAACTGGGATGGGGCAGCTGGGATGAGCCAGCACCGCCCACTGCCCGTCACGCACATCGCCTTAGTCCGTGGATGTTCCCTGCCGGTCCAGGCGATCGTATTCTTGTTCCAGCTTATCGATCGCATCGTCCAGGTGTTGGTCCCAGAGTCACAGATGATGGTATCAACCCTCTCCTACAGCGAGGCGGGCGTTCCTCAGGACGCGGCGTCGATGGTTCTCTTCGCAACGAGGGTATGAGTGATTGGGTCCACGCGATTGGGGACCGAGGTCCTCGAGTTTTCAATGCGGACAGTCCTGTCTCATTCATCAGCAACCTCTTGAACGCCATGAGCCAAGGTGGTGGTGGTGCCGGTGGTCCTACACTCCAGCATCACGGTGGTGCTTTACACCTGTCTTTCAACAACCTTCCTCTAGGTCTCCCACCGCCATTCGATTCTGGTTTCCGCCGCGAGATGGCGCGCGCTCGGGAATCCCATATGTCCCGCTCTGCTCGAGAAGATCCACACTCTGCTGTAGCATTCCTGAAGGCGTATACAAGCCAACGCTGGCAAGAAGAAGCCAGACTTCTTTATGGCCCAGGCGCGATCGAGAAGAGTCAGCGCGTTGTCAACTCGATCCTGAAGGTCATCGTCCCGCCTGCGATAGAAGCAGCCAAGAAGCAAAAAGAGCTAAGGGAAGCTGAGGCTGCTCAAAAGCTCAAGGATGAAGAAGAGCTAAGGGAACGGGAAGAACTTGCAGAACGTGAAGACGAGGATGAGGAGCTTGATCGAGCAGAACGCGAGGCTGACGCTGGTGAAGAAGCTCTTCGATTGCTCGAGCAGGAAGATGGACAGGAGTCTACTGAAGCGCCCGTTATCGACTCAGAAGGGCAAGCAATGGAGGGTGTCGAAGCAGGGCAAGCATCTGCTGAGCAGGTTGCAGAGGCGCCGCCTACACAACCAACACCACGCATCACCACCACTATTAGAGGTCGTGAATACGATATCACAGACTTGGGCATTGATCTCGAGTATCTGGACGCTTTGCCCGAGGAACTGCGCGAAGAGGTCTTGATGCAGCAAGTTGCGGAACGACGACAGGAGCAGCGAGATCAGCAAAGGGCGCAGCAACAGACTCAACAATCACAACCATCGCAGCAGCAACGGCGCGCTGGAGAGTCGGGCGACAATCCTACCGACATCGACGAGCAATTTCTGGCTGCTCTCCCCCCCGAGATTCGTGAAGAGCTGCTTCAGCAAGAAGCACAAGAACGCCGACGCCGAGAGCGCGAGGAGAATCGACGTCGTGGCCAGGCCAGTGGTCCTCCCCAAGCAGATGGCGAAGATTCAACCGGCTTCCTGTCAACCTTGGAACCCGGTTTGCGTCAGGCGGTGCTCATGGACACGGACGAAGAAATGCTGCAACAGCTGCCACCTCAGATATCTGCCGAGGCTAGAGCCTATGGAGGGGATCGTCGACTAAATCAAGCAGACGCATTTGGATTTCCACAAGGAGGTCGTCGCGGCTTGCAAGATGAATCGACGCAGAAGAAGAAGGCTCGGCCTTGCGTGCAGATGCTTGACAAGGCGGGCGTAGCGACCTTACTTAGGCTCATGTTCATTCCTCAACAGGGCAGCGCAAAGGCTAGTCTCAGCTCTATTCTCCGATATGTCTGTGAGAATCGCCAAAATCGAGCCGAGGTCATCAGCATCTTACTGTCCATTCTCCAAGACGGCAGCGCCGATGTCAACGCGGTTGAGCGAAGCTTTGCTCAGTTGTCGATTCGTGCGAAACAACCTCAGCAACCCGCAGACAAGACACCAAAACCATCACGCAAGAACGGAGCACTGTCTATCAACTCGGATGTGTCACCTCTTATGGTCGTACAACAATGCCTGAACACTCTCACCCAGCTGACTGAGAAGAATCCGGCCGTGTGGTCGTTCTTTCTCACCGAGCATGAGACAGGTGTTGGCTTCAAGAGTCGCAACAATCGGAAGGGCAAGGCGAAGGAGACCAAGGCGACAAGGTTTCCTGTAAATGCCCTTTTGACTCTACTGGACCGAAAACTCATCGTTGAGAGCTCGTCTATCATGGAGCAGCTAACTCAGCTGCTGCGAGTTATAACGGTTCCTTTGCAAGCGTTGAAGAAGGAGAAGCCAGCAGAAGAGGCCAAGAAGACGGAGGATACCGCTGTTATCTCAGAAGATCAGAGTTCTGAGAATCAGACAACCGCTACCGAACAGACCGAGCCACTCACTACCAGCCAGCCCCGGGATCAAGATACAGAGATGACGACCGCTATTGAAGCGTCTGCCCAAGCAGGACCGGTTTCGACTGAGGGTGAGGGTACTTCGACCAAACCTGAAGAGTCCAAGGCCGAAGAAGACAAGTCCAAAAAGCATCGATCTATCACACCTCCAGACATTCCCGAAAACAACCTGCGCTTGGTTGCTAAAATCTTGGCTGCTCGTGAATGCAATAGCAAGGTCTTCCAAGAGACGTTGTCAGTCATCAGCAACTTGTCGCCTATTCCGGGTGCGAAGGAGATTTTCGGTCAAGAGCTTTTGGGCATAGCACAAGAACTCGCCAGTTCAACAAATGAGGATCTTGCTAGCTTAACCGCTCAGGTTTCTGACGCAGAGTCGCCTACCGACGTTCAGGGTATTGCGCTGGCGAAGTTTTCACCTGCCAGCTCTGATCAAACGAAGCTGTTGAGAGCCCTTACTGCTCTCGATTACCTCTTCGATCCCTCGCGCGATACGAAAGGCAAGCCGGAGAGTAGTGCGGTTGCACTTGAGCAAAGCCAAAAGGAAGACATACTCCTCACATTGTACGAAGACTCCGCTTTCGCACCACTCTGGAATAAGCTCAGCGAGTGTCTCACAATCATCCGGCAACGTGGCAATATGCTCAACATTGCTACGACTCTACTTCCTCTCATAGAGTCGCTGATGGTTGTCTGTAAGAACACGACTCTCAAGGAGGCACCGCTTAGCAAATTGAAGGAGTTTGCGCTCTCCAGTCCACCACCCGAGAACAAGATGGAGAACCTATTCTTCAACTTCACCGAAGATCATCGCAAGATCTTGAACGACCTCGTTAGACAAAACCCCAAGCTCATGAGCGGCACATTCTCTCTGTTGGTGAAGAACTCGAAAGTACTGGAGTTCGACAACAAGCGCAACTACTTCACTCGAAAGCTTCATTCTCGAAACGGTGACCGTCAGCCGCATCCGCCTCTTCAACTATCGGTTCGACGGAGCGAAGTGTTCTTGGATTCCTTCAAATCCTTGTACTACAAGTCTGCAGACGAGATGAAGTATGGCAAACTCAGCATCCGATTCCATGGCGAAGAAGGAGTCGACGCTGGTGGCGTAACTCGGGAATGGTTCCAGGTAATTTCCCGCCAGATGTTCAATCCCGACTACGCTCTGTTCGTCCCGGTTGCTTCTGATCGTACAACCTTCCATCCGAACCGGCTAAGTTCCATCAACCCTGAGCATCTGACTTTCTTCAAATTCATTGGACGTATCATCGGTAAAGCTCTATACGAAGGCCGTGTGCTCGATTGCCACTTCAGTCGAGCGGTGTACAAACAGATGCTCGGCAAATTGGTCAACCTGAAGGATATGGAGACATTGGATCTCGAGTACTACAAGTCGCAGCAATGGATGCTCAACAACGATATCACGGATGTGATCACTGAGACCTTCTCAGCCGAGGTCGAAGCCTTCGGCGAGATGCAAATCGTGGACCTGATGGAAAACGGTCGCAACATTCCCGTCACCGAGGACAACAAGCACGAGTTCATCCGTCTGATGACTGAGTTCCGCCTTACTCGTGCTGTGGAAGAGCAACTCGAGCACTTCTTGAAGGGTTTCCACGACATCGTTCCTGCAGAGCTTGTCTCGATCTTCAGTGAGCAGGAACTTGAACTATTGATCTCTGGGCTGCCCGACATCAATGTGGACGACTGGAAGAACAACACCGAATACCACAACTACACTGCTGCTTCACCGCAGATTCAGTGGTTCTGGCGCGCTGTACGAACATTCGAGAAGGAAGAGCAAGCCAAACTGCTTCAATTTGTTACTGGTACTAGCAAGGTCCCACTCAACGGCTTCAAGGAACTCGAGGGTATGAACGGCTTCTCAAAGTTCAACATCCACCGCGACTATGGCAGCAAGGACCGTTTGCCATCTAGCCATACCTGTTTCAACCGTAAGTCAACCACTCCTCAAACCCATCTTGAAAACTTACTAACCCCTTTTATAGAGCTTGATCTGCCAGAGTATGAGTCCTACGAAGACCTTCGCAAAGCGCTCTACACTGCTATGACAGCGGGTGGCGAGTACTTCGGCTTCGCGTAATCACCTGATCCGGACCACACTTCTCCAGACTGCTCAACCGATACTTTTCTTACGTAATCATGACCTATTTTGGCATTGCAGGCGCTTGGAGATACAGGGATGATGATGCGCATAAGCATGAATGGAGGCTCGCTTTTCTCTGTATGGCTATAAAACGGCGATGATAGTGGCGTTGAGCGATTGTGGATATCCTTTTCTTAGGTAGATTGATTGCTGTGGTGGACGGATGATGGCTGCATCATCCAGTATGGTGGTCTTGTGGAAGGAGGAAAGGAGTGCAGGCCTTACCTCTGGAAGTGAGACTGCTTGGAGGATGTGTGATAGTGAGTTTCTTTTGGAACATTAGTTAGTAGTAGATAGTGAACAATTGTTCTTTGTCTAGTCTGTGCACTCTCTCATGAATAGTTTGTGACGGTGATGGTGTTCAATTGAATTTAGCTGTCACATCGTAAAGAGCTCAGTTCAGCGAACTAAAAAGTCCTGATCATCGAGGTCGAGCTATGCAAATACGTAATGTAGAAGGAACAGAGTATAGCCTTTCAGCCCTGCTTGAATATAGAGTTTTCGAGCCGGAGTATTCAGGCCGCGTGATGTTGCCGGATACTCCAATTCCCGATGGTGGGAATCGGATGAAACGCCATCACTAGACTGGCTGCATGGTAGTAGTCTACTGCACGTTGCCACCTTCACATTTCTACCCCGGGAATGTTTTTCCCAGAATATACCAGGGGCTAAGGAACAACTGCGATTGGCTCCAAAAGTTACAACAGATCTGCTAATTCGCTGAAGTTCGTCCGTGCGAAGTGGCGATTTGAGAAGATATCCACTGGCTGGTAGGACTGTTATTTACGCTAAGGTTGAGGAACGATTGCGATTCGTTCCCGGAGCTTCAAGATCTCGTCCTACCTGCGGAGATCTGTGTGTGGAGGGCGTGGGATTACGAGAATACTTCCCGCAGATCTTGGAAGTTGAGCTGATGAGATAGCGTTGATCGCACTGGGTGATGAGCTAAACCAAGTCATTACGACTCCATATCTGCCATGAAACACATGATACGTTGAAAGAACGCGATCAAACGATGTTGATATCAATGATGGTAATATTTTTTATTAAATCCCGCTCAACACCTTTCACGATGCAGGGCTATCCGCTAGCTACATTCAGCATTACGCAAGCCGATAAGCGAGCCGGTCCCGATGCCCCAAAAACGATCCATATGATGCAACCCAAAATAAGAGATATATACAAAATCATACCTTCATCAAAGAGTGTCGTAAGTTGGCGCTGAGACGTAAACAATCCTCCAACCGTACCGACATTAATCCCGTGCAAGCAATTGCACTCATGCTGAACGCTTGATATGACGCTTACAACATGGCGAAAAGACCGAAAAGACCAGCAGCGAGAGCTCCGATAGGAGCACTACCTGACACGGCGGCACCAGTGTACTGCAAGAGGCTGCTGGTGGCAGTGGCCGAGGTAGCGTTGCGGGACACGGTCAGGGACGCTCTGGAAGTGGCAGCAGGTGCCTGAGGCTGACCGTCGCTGATCTGAGTGACAACAGCGGGCTTGGAAGTGGCGGCTGGTGCCTGGGGTTGACCGTCACTAATTTGGGTAACGACAGCAGGCTTGGAAGAAGCAGCTGGCGCCTGGGGCTGACCGTCACTGATCTGAGTGACGACAGGAGGCTTGGAAGTCGCAGAAGGCGCTTGAGGTTGACCATCGCTAATTTGAGTGACAACGGCAGGCGTGGACGTAGCGGAAGGTGCCTGGGGCTGACCATCACTGATCTGGGAGACGATAGATGCAGCCGTAGAGGCCTGTGGTTGACCATCGCTGATCTGGGAAACGGCACCGCCTGCACTCTTCTCAACAGCTTGGATGCGGATGGGACTGCATTGCGCGCCAGTTGATTGGGTGTACAGGTTGTAGAAGTCACCAGACGAGCATTGGTAGAAGATGGTTGATCCACCGATAGCGAGAGAGTCGTTGCTGCAAAGTGAGAATCCTGAGGTCATAATGGCACCAGTCTGTACAGGCGCATCAAACTGGAATCTGTATATTGTTAGTCGATCTCCAAGAAGGGAATGACATAGTATATAGAGCATACTGGTGGTTGGCAGCGATGTATCCCTGGCGACCAGCCTGATCCTTCAGGATGCCGCCATTGAGGGTCATTGTGAGTGCGCCGGAAAGCTGACGTGCCTCAAGATCACGCTTTGTAGGGGGGAGGACAGTGTTGATCTGGAAGGTACCGCTGACAGTTGAAGGGCAGCTGTCCGATGCGCTTGCCTGGGGCATAGGAGAAGCCAATGCGGCGGCCGCAAGGCTGAGAGCGACGTAGGACTTCATTATCGGATATGCTTGGTGTGATTGATGTAATAACAATACAACGGATGTGGGAGTTGTAAACAACAGGACAAAGCGATGGAGGGATAGACTGATGAACGAGGTATCAGTCTGTACAAGCAGATTTAATAGAACTTTGACAGGACCAAGTAACCAGGACGACGAGATTGTGGGGATAAAAAATGAAGCACAGAAAGGCATTTAAGTACCGTACGCAAAAAGTTAGCTCGTTCACCCACCTCATCGACTAAGGAACCGTTGATTGGCTCATGGACATTTCAGTCATTCTTTTACTCGGCTCCACGCGTCAATTCAAATCAACAACCCGTTAGTTCGACGCTCGAGCTCAATAGAAAAGGCTGGTGGATAGTTTGGTGTGGAGCAAAAGCTGCATACCGATAAACGCTCAGTGAAGCCACCTCGATGTCATTGGCCGATAAATTCATCCGGACCCCGCGTACAAGTCAACCCGCCCCATGCTTTGTTCGTATGCGAACCTCTCCCGCCTCTTGTTCGTACTTGGCTTTGAGCGATCTCTTCACCTAAGCGACGTATTTTACGTCTTGACTGTGACAAGAACAGCCTTGTGTTTGTTGGTCTCCCTCACGTCGAACCCGAACATTTCAATATTTGGGCGTCGAGCTGAGCCATGGAACGGAGACTCAACGACAGCTGTAAACCGAAAAAAGCTGCAAGCCCTGCGCCTGCCGGTACCTGGTTTGCCTTAGTGTTTTCATTGAGGCGTTCATACATTTCTACATGCATGCGCATATGCATGTGTCTGGTTCCGTCGATGGCGCGCTTCGTCGTTTCCTGCCTTCTTAAAAAAGACGAGCTAAAGTGATTCGTCGAAACCCTCTACTAGAACTGCAGGTCTTCAGATGGTGAGAACGTAGCGTATTGGATGGCAAGGATGGCACCGGGATGGGATTGGTGTTGAGGTGGGGTGGTCGCATGTCGTTCGAGTGATGTCAAGACTGACTTCCGGGGACGTCGATCGATCCAGCCAGCCGCGTAAGAAAATAGCGTCACGTTGCTATCGATACCGCTTGGGCTGAGTCGCTCGTATTGGAACACCGAGGACATTTCAACACGATGGCATACACCGGAGGCACTTCGTCTCTAGAACACATTTACCAGCTTACGACGCCGCTTTGCATATTCGTATCAAAAACATCGACTAAGCGTATGAATTGTGTCGGTCGGCGAAGCCTAGGTATTGACGCAGTCTATATTGTATGGCACTACGCCAGCCTCTCCAGAGCACTCGTTTTGAATAGTCAACAATGTTTGCCGCGTTTTCCTCTCATAGGTAGAGGATGTGCAGATGTGGCCAAGACGTGCATTTCTATAGCTCTGCTGATCCAATGCTGATCAGACGGCTCGATAATGGAGTTCTCACTGCCACGGCAAGTCATCCTGCCGAAGAGTCAGATGATTGTGGGCTGGAGGACGAGTCAATCGCGATCTTCTCCGGTAAGTGACTTCGAGTCTTGAGCGATATGGCACACCCGACTATCGATTACGCGGTTGATGCAGGGACCTGCAGTGTTCATAAGCCTTGGGGCCCTAAACACATACTAAAGAGTCGCTTGTGTCTGCCTAGACCTTCGTACCTGCTTGTTTCCTGTCAGTAACACAAAATTTCGCAACATCTTCACAACAAGATGCGTTTTTTTTCTTACAATTCGTGTTTGGTTTTCAAGATTCTTGTAGTAGATGCGTTGTCCCTTCCGTATTGATTGATGTAGTTTCGTTTTGTGTTCGTACTGATAGTAACGCGCACTACTTCCAGCTTCAATATTTACCCGAAAGCAGGGACCTCCTTGTCACATATCACAAGCTCCAGTTGATCTTAGATGAAGTTGTACAACTACTTCCTAAAACGAGTCGAGGATATTAACTCTGTGCATAGCTTGATGCATGGATATTTCCCAGAGACATGCAGTCCAACAGCAAACTGAACGCAGAGTTTCGAGCAACCCAAGGTAAAGCACGACGGATCCGGAATATGCGTTCCTTATATTCCTTCAATAATTTCTCGATGTCTTCTCTCCTCACCTTGTCATTCTCCTTTCGAGTCGTCTTCTTCCGGTTTTTCTAGCCATTCATTTCCCCCCTCCAGCCCTCTTCACACCCCCCGCGATCTTATTGGCTCCTTCCTCGATACTCGTACTAGTGTCCGCAATTCCACGCGCAACAGGCCGTCCAGCACTGCCCGTAGCACCTTCTAGTGTCTCGCCAACACCACGCCCAAGTGCTCCAACTACACCACCAAGGGTGTTTGTTACGCCTCCAACTGTATTTCCAATCGTCGATGTGACGAACTTGACACCAGAGGTCACACCAGATTCCTGCTGGCCGATTGGCATCGTGGCGGAAGAGATATTTTGTGTTGTTTGAACGGTTCTATAGATCTCGGTAGATACAACGGTTGGAAAAGTAGAGTCTGTTGGTCGGTTCGTGCTTTAGATCAGTGTGTTGTGAGAATGGTTTGAGTCCAGCGTGCGTTGGTGAATCTGGTGTTTTATGGCGACGAAGAGCCGTGACGTCATGGATGTGAACACGGCTCAAAATCACCAACTTCAAGTTTCAATCCCTGAAAATTGGTCAGACTGGTCACGATGACCGTTGAACATTTTGAATAACTGTATATCTACACTGAAGAACAGAGCATTGCACTTTCCAATATAACGTTTGTCGGAATATGTCGAGAAACGAGGTAGCTTTCTTGACCATGCTCTAACAAACATTTTGGAGGCCGGAAAGATTCATGCGAACACAATTTGAGAATAGGTGCGCTTCATTCTGTGGAGGTCGAACTTTGCGTCTTTCGTTCAACCCCATCGCTTACCTTTTCCGCAAGGACATCTATCTTTTTGCCCAACAACTTGCCAAGTAGGTCAGATGACGATGTTAGCCTCCGATAGGATCTCAATTACGGACGTAGGAGTCGGGGGCGGACATATCGGGTCCCGATGCAACTGGTAGACGTAACATCCTCGATATTATTGGTCGCGCAGTGGACGCCTGAAGCTGAGCAACATGCTGTCTCTTGCGGCCGAATGCCTTCAGGAATGGCGTCGCTCTGCCCCGGGCTCCGGTTGCTAAGACAAAAACGAAAAGATAATTCTGTCATGCTAAAGATATAATAACCCATCTCATACTGCATCCACGTCGCTTCTCAGTATTCTTGCATACGCTTCCATAATTAAGTATCATCCTGAGTATCGTTCTTCCATTCCTTCAGACAGCATCTACATCAAGGACCCTCTTCTCCGAGATAGCGCATAGTTGTCTAGAACCAGACTCAGAGAACCTCAATTAATTTCCATCAATCTTCGCCTAAAATCCAAACCATCAACATGACTTCTCTCTTCCCGCACACTCCATACGCGGAAGATCAGCCATACGCGCATTCAATCCTCTATCTCCACGTCATGCGTGCATCGGCAATGTCGTTCACATTCGTCTCGCTGGCGGGTGTCCCAATCTCGGTCCTGGCATCTCGCTACCGCCAAACATCTATCGACCCCAAGATGCTACTGTCACGCACACTCAAAATCTCCGGTCGTAGCCTCGTACTAGGTACCATGGTTGGAGCTGCCATGACCTGGGGACAGATGATGGGCAGGGAAGATATCGAGTGGAAAGATAGGTCTTGGAGAATCCTAGAGAATAAGGGTGAGGTGGACACGGATTGGGTAACCATAGGTGGAGCGGGAGCGGGTGTTGTAGCGGCTTCGCTGGGGGCGAGGAGAGGCAAGGTGCCTGCGGGTGTTGGGAACGCGGTTTTGGGAGGTACTGGAATTGGGATGTCAATTGGTGTACCTTATATGATTGCTTCGTTCGCAAGGGGAAGAAAGCCGGCGTGAGGTTGAGGGTAGTTGACATATTTGACATGCAAACATAGAGAACCAATGATATCGCCTTTGATATCGTAAAGACGGTAGCCAATTGTAATAAAACATTGGGATCAAGTTCAAATCATTTATAGTAGTAGGCAATAAGCTAGAGTCCATGTCGAAGATAGTGAACATGTATGTGGGTAGATTGCCCTAAGAAGGTGTTTGTACCATGGCCACACGACGTTCTTGACAACACCATATTTCTCCTGCCGAGAGGACAGTGAAGCAGGAATGTAGAGATGGATAACGACACTGGCAGAGAGGCGCTATCCCGTATTGTGGTTAGACGTAGCTTTATCGATATGCTAGTGTTTGCCCTCCAAACCTCACCATCTATCTAATACCAAGATCGGTCATCATTTTCCGGCGCACTTACAAACATATTTCCTCGATACAAGCTCTTCCTTACAGTGGTATGATATGTGGGAAGAATTGTCAAGGTCGTAGGACCAGGCGTTCGCCGAGGACAAAACTCCAAGAACACGATTTATCGGTCATTTCAGTCAAATCTGATTCGTTTTCAACCACAGTTGTAAGTCAAGTAGCCTCAAGAGAACTCCAAGGCCGGCTTTTACTGTCGCATGACAAAAGGCTCTATGATTCTCTGATGTAGCTGCATGCAGAAGTATGTCCCATCCCAATCTACATCCGTTCGCACGACGCGTTCCTCGGGAACAAGCGTTGTTTCAGAAGTTGTGAGCATATCTTCCAACGTTTCTTCCATTGCTACAGAACTTTTGTAACTTCCCCCACCAATTTTTACCAACCTTATACGGCCAAACCCGAAAATCCGGATATATGTTTTTCTAATACAACTCTCGCTCGCTGTTTCAACACCACTTATCTCTCATTGGACGAAAACTCTAATAGGCTGTCAAAAGGTCGATTTAGGGACCGGTTACTATGAGGGACCAGTAATTATGTCTGAACACCTTGGATATCTGCGCAGCATCATCTCCTCCACTATATTGCTCATGCACAGTTATGTCTCGGCTAATATGGAATGGTTAGTGTATGCCTGATCGGAAGTAAGCTTCTTTTGTTCCAGATTGTCTGTCCCACATGAGCAGGACAAAGGAACTCATGTGATTCCGACTAATCCTTGGTAAACGAGACGTCCGCCAAGCACACTTTCGATTTTAGATTGTTGCAATCAAGTGGGTCTACACGAATACACCGCGAAACGAAAGGGAGGGCAAAGGGCTGTTGTGCTTTGTGCGACCCAAGAATTGATGGATGACTTGCGGGGCTGCATGCACTGCCGGCTGTCCGTGCGGAGCACCAGGGTTAAACTGCAGATACCCTATCACTATTCTTATAAAGATGTCTACCCACCATACCGCGCGATGCGGCGTTTGCATTTATTCTAGAGGTCAGGGCAGTAAATTACTGAAATGTCTACCTATCCTCTTCAGCAGACTTGTCTAGGGGTTATTTACGGTACGCCTTTGTTGGCAGCCTTGTTCGTCATCTTACGAGTATACACACGTCGAAAGCTGAATCTAAGACTGAGTTGGGGTGAGTGCTTCTGGAATGCGTTTGTGCTTGAAGCTAATAAGTGTTCGCAGACGACTGGTTGGTCATTGCGGCATTGATATTATCCATTGCTCTCATAGGACCTTCACATAAACGTCAGTCTTCAATTAGATATCCAAGAACATTCGATACTGAGTGGCTCGTAGATGTTAAGATGTGGCATGTCGGTATACATATTTGGGATATACCCCCTCGAGAGATTGAACCTGACTATGACGAATACCACATCGTATGTTCCCGCATTTGGATTCTACGAGTAAGATACTGATACTTCTTAGGTCGCTATAGCAGAGAATCTTCTCATCATCCCCATTCTACCACTAGTGAAGGCATCCATCATATGCCTCCTCATGAGAGCTGGCTCAGTCATCCCGTGGTTGAAGAAGATTCTCTACGCCATGTTGATCTTCACCGTCGGCAGCTCATTGATCCCATGGTTTCTCTACATTTTCATTTGCCCACCGCAAACTGGGAATACGTGGAAGCCCAGAACGTTCGGAAACTTGGGTTGTATGGACCGGCATATGACGGGCCACATGCTCATATGGGTGACCTGCGCCAACCTCGTTACTGATCTTCTCATCTTCCCAATCCCCTTCATAATTGTCAGGAGGATGATGAGTGCCCGCTGGCGATCACAGCTACTCGTACTATCGGTCTTTACCTGTAGTCTAGCGTAAGGAGATCTCCTGCGTCCGGTTGCTAAACACTCACTGACACATATTCCAGCGTTACCGGGATTGGCGCCGCGAAAATCTACCTTACCTACCGCGACCGACTATACTCAGTCTACAAGCCAGATTGGACCTATCCGATCGATTACTGCATCAACCACATTGAGAGCAACGTCGCCATCATCGTGGCCAACATACCCATTCTGCGAGGCCTCGTCACGCGTTGGACTCTCAACTTCCGACCGAAGAGTAGTCCAATGCAACGCGTCATTCGAAGCGATCGGCACTGGAAGGGAGCTTCCCACGTGTCTAGCGTCAGCCAGCCAGGAAAACGGCGAAGCATGGTCAAGAAAATCTTTCCATGGGTGCGACATGACTTTTCCTCGAGCCTCGCGACGCGCTCAGGTGGTACAGGAGCTGAGCATAGTCCCAACAAGCCTAAAGTACTGGCAGGTACTATAACCGCAGAGACACGGATCAATTGGGCGTATAATCCTATCAAGGCACAGAAAGATAATGCGGACCAGTACGAAATGGCTTCTTCGTGCGAAAAGGGCGACGGATGCGAGACAATACGTAACGCGACGAGTATAGGCTCTGCGTCTACTTTGACGGGAAGTCGAGTGGTGAGTTGGAAGAACCTGGACAGTCCGCCTGTGAGCCCGAAGATCCCGTGTCCTGTCCGGTTACGCGGGAGAGAAATTGACGACGACGATGATGAGATGTGTTTGAACCCTTGAATACTCAATACCATAGCTAATGCACACCACCGATACTACTCATTCAGAACACTTGATCGTTCCCTTCTCTATACCCATCTTGCGAGAACTTTACACACGCTACATACTGCAACAGAAAACGTCCGACTCAACCCAACCTTCTGACAAGTCTCTCCTCAGCCAACACAGCACAATCTCACCAAGAGCCCCCAACCCACACACCAGCCCCGCCACACGATCGCCCAAAATCTCGCCCCCATCTCAAGCGCAAGTCCACCCGCAGTTTCCACCGCACAGCCCGGAAACCCCAATTACCATATCCCACGCGCAACCCAAAATAGCAGTTCCAAACGCACCTCTCTATCTCAGTGGTGGGTGAGAACTATCTCTGCATGTCATACTCGCGCGCCGCAGAACGACCACCCTTGCAGAGGGCGCCCTTCGCAAGGCAAGAACCGCCAAACGTCCTCCATCGGCAGTTACGCGAAGCTCACAAGCCATCCCACCTCCTTGCACCGAACATGCACGGCGCGGGAATCTGAGATAAGCTGGATCGAGACTTTGGCTTTGAATTCCAGTAGGCAGGTTGTAAGAAAGGGGGTGGATTGCTTGGCCATGTCTCCATATTTAGAAAACCCAAATATTCACGACAACAACTCGAGAAGCTTCACAATAGCGATATTTCGTCAAAACAAGTGCCTCTTTCCTATTCGTCCCGTAGCCCAAGTGCAGCGATATCGTACATGGAGCATCTGACCACCTTCCCACCTTCCCACCTCCCCAGCCAGCCTTTCACAATCAACCTCGCACTAGCGCCACAACATCCGTCAGCACATCGCACTGTATCGCATCGCGCACAACATCTCGGCTAAACCTGCCATCCCACTATTCGCCACGCCGTTGCAACGCCCCGTCCCGCGCAAGCCAAAGTAAAGTAAAGTAAAGTAGCCCACTTCCCGTATATGGAAAGCGGGGTCGCGCAATCAAGCACAGAGTAGGTACCACATACAACGTAAACTGGATATAGGTCGATCTGCTGCGACGGAAAAACTTGCGCTTGCGATGCGGAGATGGAAGGGCGGGGGGTGAGTGGGTGTAATTTATTTTGGGGGTGGGGATGGGTGAGTTGGGTGAGATGGTCGTGAGTGTGTGGATGGATGGGTGACTTGCTGCTTATGCTGATCGGAGTATGGGTAATTCGGTTTACCCCGCGGGTGGGGCGGCTAGGGAGAGGGGACTTGCGAATGTGGAGGATGTGGTGTGGTATGGTGTGGTTTGTTGTGGATGGGGAGTTGTGGGGGATGTGTGAAGCTTACTTCCTTTTGTGTCAGCATGAGTGGTGGGCATTTATTCGTTTATACAGCCAGCCTTATCGTCGGCTTATAGGCGTGCAGTAAAAACGCAGAACGTGCATGTATGCTTCAAAACGAAAAATCAAAAGTCAATCGTGACGTTCAGTGTAAGAGTACAAAAGCACAAGTACATAGCATCCACAATCAAACCAACAACATACCCCAAACCACAGCAGCAAGCCCGACCACGATAGACGGTATATGCACAAACACCGCCGCAGACAGCACATCGCCCGCTAAAACCTTCTCGTCGTTCCGCACACAGCCCGTTATCTGCGTGATTTCCGTGGGACAAAGCACGCGTTTGAAAGTCACGCTGTGCGCTCTCAGCTACACTACGTTTTGCAGGGATACACAGTAACTTGAGGGACTGCGGAAAGGCTAAGTACTTACCTGGGATCCATAGCATCTTTGAACCAGTCGAATCGCCACTCACATCCGCTCTTCAGCGGCTCGGGTAGATTTTGACAGTCTTCTTTCGTGCTGACGCCTGTTTTGTCGGTACCGAAGACTGCCTGGTTGACGCCGAATTGCAGAGCGCAGGCGTCGTATGAGGTTGTGTTGCCGCCGGGGATCTTTGTTTGTACGTTGTTAGCTCTTAGATACATCGTATGGAACGTAGCTTGAGATTGTGACTTGGAAGATACATTGGAATATCAAGATGATGAAACGTACCGCCAGCGCAAACCGACTCTGATCCTTAACATCATACGCCGTATTACTCGCCTGGACAATCATCCTCTTCCCGAGCAACGGCGCGCTCGTAAACATCAGCTCGTAGCAACTGCAACACCACACGTCCTCGGTGCCGCCGCCCGTCACACTGGGGAGGATGAAAGCGCCTGCAAACCCGTAGCTGACGGTGTCGTTCACAGCCCAGGGCTGCTGCGCGGTGCACAGGAAAGCGTCACCGCCGTTGCAGCCCGTGCCTGCGGTGTCGCTGATGGGCGTGTGGCCGTCGGCGGCGCACGAGAGGACTGGCGTGGTGAAGTCGGCTTTGCCTTTCCATGCGCATGACGGCTTGCAGCAGTCCCAGTGGCGGCCTGTGAGGGCAGAGCCTGAGTAGTTTAGGTTTGCGCATTGGGCGATGAGGGCGAAGAGTGGGAGGAAGAGTGTGGAGTGCAGCATCTTTGTGTGCATTGTGATGTAGTGAAATGCAGTTTCGAAATATCTCAAGATATGTGTATATGCTGGAGGTTTAGAATTTCAATGTCTTAGCAGCAGATCACTGAGCCATTTCCACTGTATATATGAACTAATGTGACCGCATAAGGCCAGACTCGTCCGATGTGTCTACGCGGATCTGCAAGGAGAAGCTAAGGCTGACCATTTCGTGTGTAGTCATAAGCTAATATGTGTTGTACGACCAGGGCTTCGATAGACGTTTTGGTGGGGCTTTTACTGAACCAGTAGTCAGGGATAGAACTTTTGAGCGCCACTGACGTTTCGCAGAGTTAAAGTCCGGTCACCGGTTTGTCCGAGTCGGTCTGTTCCGGTGTATATATTGGTAAGAGCCGCTTCCCCATAATGGACTTGAGCTCCCCGCGTTTCGGCAGTTGCCCATATTGGTCTGATACTTTATAGAGGTATCTTAGCCGTGACGATGAAGGTGTTGGAAACCTATCCTCCAGAATCTCACCTCCTTCGTCTTGTGTCGATGCAACTGCCGACGGATGACTTCCCAGATAAGATCTCAGCTTATCAAACCATGGAAGGGAACTGCGCCGCGGCGACCGTCCTGCACAACAATCGTGCAGAACATGGCGTTTAACAAAAAGCCTATTCTGCAAGCTGCATTGTTCATTGTAGGAAAGCTTACATGGAGTGGCGTCTTGAGGAGGACATTCGTTCTGCAAGGACTCGGCTAAATCGTTATCGGCTCGCGTATCGAAGTGCTTGCAAGGAGTGGGTAGATGGACTCGATTAGTCGTTTAAAAATGCCTGTCACTTAAAGGACCATTGAAGACGATGACGTGATTTGCGAGAACACTTGGCTTGAGTAGGAGACGGTCGTGTACTTCGACGTTCACGATCGATGTAGAAACGCTCGGCTTGAACAGTGTCTATACGTTAGAAATCTGTTCCACAAATCTATGATACACACCTTTACCCTCAACGAAACACCTAAACACCAACAAATGCTGACCCGTCGTAGCCGAGGAAGGTGTACTTCATCATATTCCTTTCATCCCCTCAGAAGCCAGCCTTCTTTTCACTCCCCGCAAACTTGCGCTCCTCCTCCTCCCACTTCTTCCTCTCCATCCTCCTGCGCGCCGAAAAGGCTCTAGCAAACTTCCAGGCCTCGGTATCCGCCAAATTCCACTGCTCGACTTCATGGACGGTGCTCTGCATGAACCTATCCTTGCTCTTGATAGCCTCCCTCGCTTTCTTTAGACGCTCTTCTTCTTTCTTGATCCACTGTTCGTCGGGGACAATGATGTCTTTAATTGGTTCTGGGGGTCCAGGGCGGGGGAAGATGGTAAGCTTCGAATCCTCATCTGAAGGGCTCGAGGTTTGAGGTAGCTGGAAGCCGAAGATCCAGTCTAGATCAGCTTGGGTTACGCGCTCGGCTGTGAGCCAGAGGGCGTGTGAAGGGGCTGCTGCGACGAGATCCTTAAATTTGACCAGGCGGTAGGACTCGGAGTGTTTCCCTCCTATCGACTTTTGTGTGAAGGCCCAAATCCAGAGATCGCGTTTTGCGTTGTTGCGGAGGAAGTTAGCATCAAGAGTGTCACGGGTGTAGTGCAACGAGTTGATGGTGTATGGATGTGGGACGGTTCCGATGGTGAAGAATTTTGTTGTGTTGACGAATTCCGGAAACATCTGCAGTTTCATGAGTTTCTTCGCGTCGCAAAGCGTACACTTTGGTCGGTTGGGCGGACAAGACTTGGGTATGGGGGTGGTTGGACATTGGGTTAGGTTGCGAGCGATGTCCGTTGCTTCGTACATGAGGGCTGTGGTGTGTTCTGGAAGTGGCTTCACGATTGCGAGGCCTTCTGGGTACTGTTCCTGGAAAGTCAAGTGGAGATGCGAGTTGATCAGACTGGCCAGGAGACCAAGGCCCTCGGCCTGTGTGTTGTTGGTGAGCTTCTCGGCGATTGTCTTGTACGTGCTGGCGATGGTCGCGGTCGAGTAGTAGGCGATTCCGTTAGCCTTCTTGTCGACTGTCACATCTGTTGATGGGAGTAGGTTCACGACTACACCGCCTTCCTTTTTTGCAAGCTCTGCTACCTTGTCCTGGTTTGCCGTGGCGTTCTTCAGCAGGTCACTGTTCACGACTTTTTTGATTGCATCGCTGACGGCAGCTCCATGGCCGAAGAAAAGTGCGCTGTCCAGAGCGTCGACCCGAGACAAGCCGGGGAACTCGTTCCGGCGCAGGAAGCTCAGCATGGGGTTTTCATACTCTGCCATGGGCCACGCCAGCCAGTCGGCAAGCACACCACCTCCCATGTATCCCCACGCCAGCCAGCGCATGAGTTCAACCTCAGTCTTGGCGTCGAGCTTCATGCGCTGGACAAGCTGATAGTGCGGGTGCTGCATGGCCTCGGCCCGGGAGAGCACCTGCGGCCTGAAGCCCTGCGCCCACCACGCGCGTCGCCACGCCAGGATCAGCCTGTTCTCTGCCTCACCGAGGTCCTTGTCCTGCTTGCCCCTCGCATCGTAGTACGTGTAGATGGGCGGGCGCTCCTTGAGCGGGGGAAGCACGGCGCGGTTCTCGTCGAGGGCAACGTTGGAAGAGAAGGGGTTTCGCCATTTGAAGTCGCTTAGCCATTCGATGGCGCGGTGTGAGCTGGTGCTGGTGATGGTGCTGTTGGGCTGGACGGGCGGCTTATGTGCTGACAGGCCGAAGGGGTTGGAGACGTGGACGACTGGCAGGTCGGGAAGGTGAGGTAGATGCGGGTTCTTGACGACTTCGGCCACCTCTTCGTACGTGGGCAGATCTGCGGCGGACGGGGGGCCATACAAGGTCAGACTGGCTATCAGGAACACGAGCAAGATGAAAACCGCCTGGAATCTCCGCGGGGGCATCTGCAGGCTCACAGGCCGCCCCAAAAAGGTGTGTTGCACTGGCATTGCGCGGGGAGGAACAGGCACAGCAGGAGTAGAAGAGATAACCAGCTATCGCGACATTAGAGCGACCAGGGTGTTGGAGTGCAGAGAGCCGATATCCGTAGCAGCAGCAAGCTCTGGGACGAGTTGCTGGGTACGTGGCCTGGGACGGTCGAAGACAGCAATTGGCCAGTCAACCGGCTGGGAACAGTGGCATCGAGTCGCACAGAGGCCCTCCAAAGTCGCTGGTGACGCGTCGCACGGTGCTTGACGGACGTGTTTTGCTAGCAGGCTTCATAGGGCTGAGGGCCCCAGATTTCGCTAGTGGGGGTCAGGCCCGATGTCGCACGAGTCGCCCATAACCTTTTGCGTCATTTCACGCATTTATCTTCTCGTACATTGTTCTTTCCCAAGAGTCATAGAGGGATAAACTCTGGCTTTCCGTAAATTTACTTCTTTAAATCACTCTCGGGGCAACAACACCCCGCACCCAGCACAACCCCACCAAAAAGTCATCGCGACTTCCACATCCAATTGCACGCGACAATGGGGTCGGGAACAGACATCCCAGATCCCACAGCGGACCTGCACTGGTCTGACTTCAAGGGACCAATCCACGAAATCTTTGCGGGAAATGCGCGCAGGCACCCCGACCGTGCATGTGTCGTCGAGACAGCCACCAGCAAATCGCCAGAGCGCAAATTCACATACAAGCACATCTTCGAGGCCACGTCCGTTCTGGCACACCACTTTGTGCAGAATGGCATACAGAGGGGCGACGTCGTCATGATCTTTGCCCATCGCGGCGTCGATCTGGTCGTGGCCATCATGGCGGTCCTGGCGGCAGGAGCAACCTTCTCCGTCCTGGACCCTCTGCATGTCTCACCCACCATTAGACGAGGCACGGGGCTAATGACAAGCTAGTTACCCCCCAGACCGGCAATGCATCTACCTCGAGGTTTCCCAGCCACGCGCCCTGGTAGTCATCGACAAGGCCACTCGTGAAGCCGGACCTCTCTCAGAACAGGTGCGCACATACATCAAAGAGAACCTACAGCTCAGGACCGAGGTCCCCGCCCTCGAGCTCAGGGATGACGGAACCCTGGTGGGAGGCGCCAAGGACGGCAACGACTGTCTGGCAGAGCAGCAGAAGCTCAAGGCGGAGCTGCCAGGAGTCTTGGTCGGGCCCGACTCGACGCCCACGCTGTCCTTCACGTCAGGTTCAGAAGGAAAGCCAAAAGGAGTCAAGGGACGCCACTTCTCCCTGACCCACTACTTCCCCTGGATGGCCGAGACGTTTGGACTGTCTGAGAACGACAAGTTCACCATGCTTTCCGGCATTGCCCACGACCCCATCCAACGAGATATCTTCACACCCCTTTTTCTCGGCGCACAATTGCTTGTCCCCAGCAAAGAAGACATCCAGCACGAGAAATTGGCCGAGTGGATGCGCAAATATGGCGCCACAGTCACACATCTCACACCTGCCATGGGTCAGATCCTGGTCGGAGGAGCATCGGCAGTGTTCCCCAGCTTGCACCATTCTTTCTTTGTTGGCGACCTGTTGATCAAGCGAGACTGCAGAAGGTTACAGAACTTGGCACCCAACGTCCGCATCGTAAACATGTACGGCACAACAGAGACGCAGCGCGCTGTCAGCTACTACGAAGTACTGAGCCAGACCGAGGCTCCCGATTTCCTCGACACAATTGGCGAAGTCGTTCCGGCAGGTCGTGGAATGAAGAACGTACAGCTGCTGGTCGTAGATCGCGAAGACCGAAACAAGATTTGCGAGCCTGGCAAGAGCGGCGAGATCTACGTGCGGGCTGGTGGTTTGGCTGAAGAATACCTTGGATTACCCGATTTGACATCGACCAAGTTTGTCGACAACTGGTTTGTTGACCAGAACAAATGGGTGGATGAAGACAAGAAGAAAGTAGAGAGCCAGGGGGCGGCAGAGCCATGGCGAGACTTTTACAACGGACCACGCGACAGGCTCTATCGTTCGGGGGATCTAGGTCACTATGGTCCAGACGGAAACGTGCACTGCACAGGACGAGTCGATTCACAGGTCAAGATTCGAGGCTTCCGTATTGAACTTGGAGAAATTGACTCGCATTTGTCTGCCCATCCGCTGGTCCGTGAGAACGTAACTTTGCTCAAGCGCGATGCTTACGAAGAGCCGACTCTCGTCAGTAAGTATTACAATTCATGCCACATCATAACCATACTAATCCGCCAGGCTACATTGTTCCTGAGATGAAGCGATGGTACGACTGGCTGGCTGAACGAGGCGCCCAAGACAGCGGCTCTGTAGACGAAACCGATCTGGTCACTTTGCTCAAGCGCTTCAAGTACCTCAGAGACGATGTGCGCGAACATCTCAAGAAGAAGTTGCCGGCTTACGCCATTCCTTCAGTCGTTGTCCCACTCATTCGATTCCCTCTAAATCCGAACGGCAAAATTGATCGTCCGGCTTTGCCATACCCAGAACCATCGCAGATAGCAGCAGCTGGTGCTCGACGCCCTTCACAGCTCGGCACTGCGCTAACATCCACTGAAAAGGTCATGGCAAGTATTTGGGCGGACCTTCTCGGTGATCGTGGTGTGACTGCCGACACCATCAGCGGCAGCGATTCTTTCTTCGATCTTGGTGGACATAGTATCATTGCACAACAGCTGTTCCTCAAGATTCGTCAGGAATGGAAGGATATCGACGTGCCTATGACGACCATCTTCCAGTATCCCACCCTTCGCGGCTTCTCCGCCAACATTGATCAAGCCATTGATCCTATTGGTCTACGTCTGGACACAGGTGAAGCCATCGAAGATGAGCCCGAAGATGAAGCCTATTCGGCGGATGCTAGGGATCTAGCCACGCAACTGACTGAATTCAAGACTAGGGAGCCATTGGAGGTAGGCCAGGAAATTCATTCCTTCCTGACTGGTGCTACTGGGTTCCTAGGCGCCTACATTCTGCGAGACATACTTTCTAGACCTGGCAAGGTTACTGTTCTTGTCCGTGCTAAGGACATCGATGCAGCACTTGGTCGTGTACGCGAGACATGTCAAGCATACGGTATCTGGGAGGATAGCTGGACATCCCGACTCGAGCCGCTCGTCGGTGATTTGGAGAAGCCGGATTTTGGTCTCGCTCCCGATACGTGGAACAAGCTCGCAGATTCTGTCGATGTAGTCATTCATAACGGTGCACTGGTGCACTGGGTGCTTCCATACTCTCGTCTCCGTGGTCCCAACGTAGTCTCGACAGTGACTGCGCTCGCCATGTGCGCAGTCGGCAAAGCCAAGAACTTTGGTCTCGTCAGCTCAACTTCAGTCCTGGACACAGACTACTTTGTCAAGCTCTCCGAGAAGAGCGTTGCCGAAGGCGGTACTGGTGTTCAGGAGTCGGACGATCTGGAAGGTGCTCGCAAAGGCCTCGGAACTGGTTACGGGCAGTCCAAGTGGGCCGCTGAATACATCACGAGACAAGCTGGCAAGAAGGGCCTCAGCGGCTGCGTGATCCGCCCAGGTTACGTTTTGGGTGATCCAGAGTACGGGACAACCAATACCGACGACTTCCTCGTCCGTATTCTGAAGGGCTGCATCCAGCTCAAGTCTCGACCGGACATCAACAACACAGTCAACATGGTCCCCGTGACACACGTGGCCCGTGTCGTAGTAGCATCAACATTCAATCCACCCATCGCTCCTCTCGGTGTCGCGCAGATTACTTCGCACCCGCGCATCACACTGAACGAGTTCCTCGGCAGTCTGGAGAACTTTGGATACACAGTCCCACAAGTGCCCTACTCGGAGTGGAAACAATCGATGGAAGCCTACGTTGCCGATCGCTCGGGCACGAAGGAAGAAAATGCTCTTCTACCACTCTACCACTTCGTAACCGGAGATCTGCCCGCGGATACTAAGGCGCCAGAAATGGACGACACCAATGCGACGGACGCGCTTAAGAAAGATATCGCATGGACGAACCAGGATTGGAGTGCCGGAGGCAAGGTCACCGAGGACACGGTGGGTGTGTACATTAGCTATCTCATTGAGCTGGGTTTCATGCCGAAGCCGGAGGCGAAGGGCATCAAGGAGCTGCTGGCGAGCAAGTTGACGGAACTCATGAGAGAAGGGATGAAGAGGGTTGGAGGACGTAGGGGTGTTTAAATAAAGATGTAGTAGCAGCAAAGATCTGAATACACAACATATGATATTATTCATTTTCGAGCCTTTGCCATTCCAACTCAATGTGAACAGTCTGCTACTGTCCGCCGAATAGACAAGACACAACGATGAGCGGAATTCGGGTTACATGCGGCTCGGGCGGGACGTTGAAAACTGTTCCATCGCGCTATTAGCGTGGCCCAATGAAGTGATAAATTTACAAATCAAGACCATGGTTTGTACCCTGAGTACCACTAAAGTCATATTGATGCCTGAAGCATACTTCGACCTCAAGTCTCGACAACCAGACTCAGACTGCACAGCAGGGCGAATACCAGGTCTAGAATGCTGTGCATGGACATCGAAGTTTGCAACCTGTAGTTGCCTGGCCGAATGTCAGCGTTCATGGAGTAGTTTGGTTCTTCAATTTTATTTTCAACTTTGAGAAGGCATTTGACCTGCAAATTTCTACCTGTTTCCAGTCTTTTATGCCTCTTACCGGTTGATTATTGCACCTGCTGTGGCATATCTTGCTTTGCCAGGCGTGTGGTTGGCTGTGTGCGAAGTATTTGGGGACGAGAAAGTCTGGGACGAGGAATTTGCAACAGGGAGCCATGGATATACTGAAGTCTCTGTTTTTTCGTGAAGATTTTGTGTATCTACTGATTGTTTCACGGGCGCTTTGAGTGGCTGCTCGAGGTGGAGCAATGGGTCTGCTCCCAGAGTTGCCTTCGCTGCGCAGAGCGTGTTTTGCATATAAGGGATTTTGGGAATGGAGAGAGAAGTTCTTCAGTCTTGTACTCATACTCGAATATCACACTTCGACTACAGTACAGAAAAAGCTTCCCAAGTAACTTCCCTCTTGCCTTTTCACAGACTTCGACATCTACCATCATCACACTCCTCACAGCACTTCTCCTTCCTCCCCCCCCCCCACATATAGACATCATGTCTATCAACAAGTCTTGCATGATCTGTGGGACTGAGGAAGATCTCCTCGCTACGCCGTGTGGCACCCACTGGGTGTGCACTGAAGACGTGGCGGATTTCTTCGAATCCGCGACGAGGTCGGAGAGCCTCTTCCCGCCGAAATGCTGCGGTGAGACGCTCTTGCTGGAGGACTACGAGGCCCACGTGCCGTTCGAGGCTTCATGGGCGTACCATGTCAAGCAGAAGGGCGAGTATGCCATTCCGCCCAAGTAAGTCACCTCCCCTTGATATCTCCCCCATACAACAAAGACTAATGCATTGAAACAGAAACCGTGTGTACTGCGCGAATAGCTCGTGCAGTAAGTTCCTGCACCCTGGCTCGTACGCCTGGGATGAGGAAAGTGGGACAACGTATGCTATCTGCAAGGGTAGCGAGGGCTGTGGCAAGACGACGTGTGTGTCGTGCAAGCGGCTTCTGGCCTCCGGCACGAAAGAGCACGCTTGCCGCGGTGCCGAGGAGGAGCGGGAGTTCCGGCAGGCGGCCAAGGAACAGGGGTTCCAGGAGTGCTTTGGGTGCAGCCGCACCATCGAGCTGGCAGAAGCATGTAACCACATCACGTGAGTTTCTTTTCCCCCTTTCACTAAAAACTTTACTCGTGGGCGTATACTGACCTCTTTGTAGATGCGAATGCGGAGCTCAGTTCTGCTACGTCTGCGGCAATGCCTGGACGGGGCTGCATGGCTGCCCCCAGTATGGGGCCGCGGAGTATGACGACCTGGGTTACAACCAGGACGGCTTTCACCGCGAGACGGGCCGGAATCTGGCGGGGCTGGACCGGGACGGGGAGATTCGCCGTCTCCAGGAAGGGGTCGAGGAGTGGCGGGGTGATTGGTGGGGGGTGGGGCAGCAGAGGGAGGCGGAAGAGGTGGAGTGGGATGATGCCGAGGATGAGGGCTATAGGGCGGATGAGAGTGATTTCGAAGAGGAGGAGGGATATGGTGAAGAGGGGAATGACAGGGGGGAGGTCAGGTATGTGGAGGAGGAGGAGGAGGGTAACGATAGGGGGGAGGGTAGATATTATGATTGAATGCGTGCTAGTTTAGAATGGAGTATGTTTTCCTTTTGTTGCAAAATCTTGCCATGGCTTGACAACTACATGCCTGATTAGTGTACGAGTCTTGCGTCTGAAGTTGTAGCTGTATACGCCCAGCATGCACTTCTGCTGTTCTTGTTGGTGTGGTTTTGAGGCTTGTAGGAGCCTCAGTGACGTAGTGAAATACGATATTTCCAGCACTACTCTTAACTCCGTGAACCCACGATGACGATGATTAATGACAACACACACATTGCGGTGAGCTCTTCACATACCATAACAACCTCTGTATTTGTCCAGCCTCCCAAAGACTAACCCCCATCTCAAAATGTCATACAACACCGTCGGCATCGTAACCGGCGCGAACAAGGGCATCGGCCTCGCCATAGTTCGCCAGCTCGCCCTCCAGTACCCAAAGTCCCCGCTCAGCAACGGATCCTTCCTCATCTACCTCACGGCACGCGACCAAGGACGCGGCGAAGCAGCAGTCAAAGACCTCCAACAAGACGCCCAGCTCAAGCAGGCCAAAGCACTCCAAGCCGACGGCGGACCCTCCGAGATCAAGTTCCGCGCGCTCGACATCACAGATGAAGAGAGCGTGAAGAGTTTCGTAGCGCACCTCAAACAGACGCATAGCGATGGCATAAATTTCATAATCAACAATGCCGGCATCGCAATGGAAGGCTTCAGTAAGTCGCCTCAACAACAACCTTCCCCATCATGAAGAACATGGACATCTAACTAGCCCACCAGATGCAAACGTCGTAAAAACAACCCTCCACTGCAACTACTACTCCACCCTGCAAACCTGCCACTCCATCCTCCCGCTCCTAAAACCCCACGGCCGCATCGTAAACCTCGGCAGCATGTCCGGCCACCTATCCAAATACTCGCCCGAGATCCGCGACCGTTTCCTAGCCTCCAAGTCCGAAGACGACGTGTCATCCATCATGCAGGACTTTGCGTCCGCGGTTGAAGCCGGCAAGGAGAAAGACGCTGGGTTCCCGAGCGCGGCGTATGCCGTGTCGAAGGCGGGGCTGATTGGGGGGTCTAGGGCGCTTGCGAGGGTGCTGAAGGAGAGTGGGAGTAGCGTGCTGGTTAATAGCTGTTGTCCTGGCTATGTCAATACGGATATGACGAAGGGGAATGGGACGAAGACGCCGGATGAGGGCGCACTGACGCCGGTTTTGCTGGCGATTCAGGATATTCAGGGGAGGACGGGGGAGTTTTGGCAGAATGAGAAGGCTATTGAGTGGTAGTGGGAGGTTGGTGTATGGGTATGTTACTCTGGTTGTTGTAGGTTAGTGATACATGATGAGTGTAAGCTGTGTGAGTTATCGTCTACAGATGGCTTGTTTTGTACATTATGAACGCTGTGTTGAAGTATCGCGGTTAGACCCAGGGAAGCATACTGTATATCTCATTCTCTCCGGTGATGTTCAACTTTGGGATAAGGAAGACCCATCCAAAAGACATAACCACAAGTTGACATGAATACGGAAACGATTATATCGTAAAAACCCCCATATATGCAATTCACATCTCCCAAACACATCAACAAGTCTCTCAATACAACGACTTCAAGACGGCAAAAGCCCCACCTTCTCAAGCCCACCATCCTCCTCCTCATCGAAAATCCCCTTCACCCCACCACCCACCGCCGATGCATCAACCCCACCCTTCTTAACAAAGAACCTGCTAAGTTTCAGCTGCCCCTCGTCGTCGTCGCCGCCAAAAACGTTATCAACCTTCCTCCCGCCGATCCTAACCGCATGTTCAAGACGCGCACAAAGCCGCTCACTACAGTCCTTCGCGTCCAAGATCGCGAGATCAACCGCTGCCCCAGCCTCCATGATAGAGTTACTCAGCATCTTGACGTGCTGTGCGAGGTTGTCGACGGCCTGGTTGAAGTGCTTGACTTGCGCGGACTCGGGGAAGGGGGCCATGACTGGTGAGGAGCCAGCTTGCGAGGGCGCGGGGCTGAGGAGCGGCTGGTAAGGGACGGATAGCGGGCCAGGTCCGATTGCGATGTCAAGCAGTGTGAGGCGTGCGGCAAGGAGATCATAGTCTGTGTTTTTTCTGATCTGGTAGTGTTTTGACGTATTCAGGTGCGTGTGTATAAGGGTGAGGATCTTGGGGTCGGCAAGGGGAACGTCGACTAGGGTTGGATACAGGAGAAACGAGAGCGCGAGATGGCGCTGGAAGTACGCTGTCAGGGGAGACTTGACGGGGAAGGCGCGGATTAGGTTTCTTTGCAGGATGGGGTGGGTGACGCGCGGGAGGAGTTTCTGGGCGAGGTCGCTGAGCTGTGAGGCGATTAGAGAGTGTTCTTTATCCTGTGTTGGAGGGCGTCCTACGCCGGTGGTCAGCTTGCGCTCGTCAGTGAATTGACACATGATTGCTTCTATGGCGTCTTGGACGTGTTGGAGGACGTCGGCGTCCGCTGAGACGCTGTCATCCATGCACACGTGAGAGAGTATGTAAAGCGCATGACATTTCGTTTTTGTGTGGAGCCTGTGGGTGGTTAGATGGAACGAGGGATATTTGACGGTTGCATACCAAGGCGCTGCTCTTTCAAGCAAACGGACAATCGATCTTAGCGAGTCTGGGATGGGAAGTTTACTCGCTGTGTGAGACACAACCGATAGCTTAAGACCATCTTTCGAGCTGAGACTTTTTACATCCGCGCCGATCGTTCTGAACATGTCATCGAGCCTATCTCTGTTTAGTAGATCTGGCAGGTATTGATGATGAAACTATGATAAAACATCAGCAACGTGAACGGTCAGGCTGCGATTGGCAACGCACCTCTAAAAGTTCGAGGTATTTGTAGTCGAGAGACTCATTTCTACCAACACATACTAGACAAAATTCAGCTGCTATTTCATACAAGAATGCGATGCAGTTTACTTTGATCTATCGTCCAAGAGGCCAACTCTTGCGGTAGCTCGCGGATGCGGAATATCTGGTGAGCAAAACCAGTCAAGAATGCTTGGTCTCTGGTAGACGGATCTGTACCAGGTTAGCGCATACCTGGTGACACGATACGACATCCGCACCTTCAAATACTGAAGCCCATCGATGATTTGGTAAGCTTTGCCTGGGAAATGAAAGAGGCAGGTGGTGTGAGTCTGATGCATCGTGGAAAAAGTGGAAAGCGGCGTCCATTTGCGTTGCGTTCGTTCTTTGCATTGCAAGATAGAGTCGGTGAGCCTTGTCAGAATCTTCATCATCTGAGACAACCTGGCCCAGCGCCTGCTCATCGATGGCAACATCAGATTTCACAGGTACCTCCACAAGTCTGTCCAGCTCAGCTTTGCCCTCTATAATTTCCTGCTCAAGATCTCTGTTCTCCCGTGCTGTTTCTACAAGTAGACTAAATGGTTGCTTGGTTCTCGTGAGCTTCTTTGGTGGTTTGCGCAGCACATCTTCACTGTTGTCTAAGGCGAATCTAGATCGCGTAGTTTGAGTTGTGGATTTGGATTTGGGAGCGGGTACGTCGCCGAAATCAAGATCAGGCAGCGAGTCGGTATCGGAATCCGAGTTCAGCACCACTTGTTGCCCATTGGAGACTACGCGTTTGCTGGCGCCGGAGTTTGCAGAAGTTTGTGACAGAACTGGAAGTTGAGCTTCAGGACTTGTGGCTTGGGTCGCAGTGCTAGGTATGGCTGACGGAATCGAACTGGTTGGGTGAGAGGCAGCGGTCGTAGTAGCAGAAGGTTGGCCTTGTGGGTCACTGGAAGCACTCGACTCTGTTGATAGGGATGCATGTGCTCCTGCGTTTCATTCCGCGCGTCAGTTGTGACAGAGACTATTGACAACAAATTGCGACCCTACCTCTCTGCTGCGGGGTGGCAGGTCTTGAGCCACCCTGCAGTCCCTGTGACGCGGGAGCAAAGAAATCCCGTATGCTCCGCGTATTCTTCTTCTGAGGCTTCATAATTTCTGGCCTCGTATGCAGCGCGGTAATGATAGAATGGCGGGGGAATCGCGTTTGGTGTTATGCTTGGCGCGTTTGTTCCAGGCGTCCAGGCGTCGTATTCACGCGGGCACGTGACTTTCATCGTTTAAAACGAGTGCATACGATGGTACGCTAGATTTTTATGACGTCTGTGGGCTGCACTTATATTGACGACATGAATTTGGGTGAGGAAGGCAACTGGCTGTTGTCGACGTGCTGTTGTCCAGTAGCAAGCGCTCGACACCAAGTGACATTGAATTTGCTCACAGACCGACTCACGCAAAACCTAGGTGCCTCTGTGCAGGGGTCGTGGTGAACGCCATGTTTCGTTTTTGAGTTTGTGCATGCATACTATGTAGCATTTGGGTGCCAATTGTCACTGCCATACGCCTGCTCCTAAGTGCTTATGGCTTCTAGGCTGCTTACCACGCTGTGCATGGAGGTCGTATCGCATAAGTGTGAGAGGTCATGTTCCATTCGCTGGCGTCGACGAGGCAACCAAACACATGCCCTCAATTCCGAGGCTGAAGTCGAATCTGAGAAGCACCATCTGGACAGAGATAGAAGCAGGCGCACAGTCGTTTATTTCGTATAATTAAACGCTCACCGTCGTGAGAGATCCTAGTGCCACGCGTCAGCGATGGAGCCGTGGACGGACGAAATTGTGATAGCTCCGGCTAGCCCGTGATCCTTGCTCCGTCGTGTGTGTAAGCAACGGTGACGGGAAAAGGGAGCGCTCTCTCTCTGACACTGTGACTTTGCTGCATTGCCACGCCCCATGGACCGCTGACGAGACAAGACAACCGACACCAAGCCATCGCTGCGCAAACTGCCGCCATCGCTCGCTGCGCCGTTTCTTGGGTCGTGTTTGTTGTTGCCGCAAGCATCGTCATCTCGCTGTTCGGCGTTTCCATAATATCCGCCTCACTGCCCGAGTCCGTCGCGCGCCATCTGGCTTCACCCCCGTCACGACCGCACTCCCCACTACGCCCGGCCTAGCACCAGCAACATCTCTCGCGTCGCCGGCATTCTCAAACACAGGCAAATTGGCCTCACTAGTAGCATAGAGGCCCTCCCGGCTGAGGCCGGACTCGCATCGAGCTCCTGATCTCATCACTCGACGTGCCCTTAGCTCGCCTGCCGCGCCAACATGGACTCAGACACCAACGACGGAGGGGCCGATAAGATCCAGTCGCTGCCCGTAAAGCGAATCCGATGGGCGACACACAGGGCGACTGGCACGACAGCCGCAAACAAGCGCCATTCCCTCAAGGAGCGCCTGCACCGGCGCATGGGCTCTGGGGGAGAGAAACGGGACTCACTGGGCAAAGAGGGAGGATCAGCACCGGACGCGACATCCGAGGGCTCAGATGCAGGCAGCGACGAGCAGGAGGGCGGGCGGAGAGTCTACTTCAACGTTCCTCTGCCGCCGTCCGAACGCGACGAGGACGGCTCCCCAACAGTCCAATATGCGCGCAACAAGATAAGAACAGCAAAGTACACGCCCATCAGCTTTGTACCCAAGAACCTGTGGTTCCAGTTCCACAATGTCGCCAACATTTACTTCTTGTTCATCATTATCCTAGGCGTACGTATACTCACCCACGTGTGCCACGGCTGATTGAGCGCTGACTCGCAGACCCGCAGATTTTCTCGATTTTTGGAGCCTCAAACCCAGCGTTGAACGCCGTACCTCTCATCGTAATTCTCGCCGTGACGGCTGTCAAAGACGCCATTGAGGACTGGCGCAGGACAATTCTGGACATCGAACTCAACAACGCCCCAATCCATAGGTTGGTCGACTTCAACAATGTTAACACTGCAGAGGATTCTGTGTCGATGTGGCGCAAGTTCAAGAAAGCGACCACCAGAACTATCGTCACGACTTGGAGGGCCATGAAAGGCGTAACAAAGAAAAAGGGTTCCAAGGGCAAGGGTGAGGGTAACAAGTCCATTGAAGGCCCGCGGTCCTCATTTGATACACGACGGACATCCGTTGCCTCGCGCCAGGAGTCATATTTTGGCCACCAGGAGGATATTCAGATGACCCCCGTTCCCTCACCCTTGCCTGGTCAATCCCCGACCCACTCTCCTCTCCTCACAGGGGGCCCAGGAGAAAACGACAAGGTTCGGGGCGCCGATTCCAAGGGGACTTCGACGAAGAAATTCTGGGGCAACGTTATCAATCCATTTAAGACGGCTCCCGAGAAAGCGCGGTTCATGAAGGATGCCTGGAAAAGCGTACAAGTAGGCGACTTTGTCCGCCTGTACAACGACGAGGAGATACCTGCCGACGTCATTGTCATTGCTACTTCTTCCGACGATGGTGCTTGTTACGTCGAGACCAAGAATCTGGACGGCGAGACGAATTTGAAAGTTCGCAACGCTCTGCACTGTACACGCGATGTGCGACACGCCCGACACTGCGAACGAGCCGAATTCGTCATCGAAAGCGAGGGTCCACATTCGAATCTCTACTCATATAGCGCTGTCATGCGATGGCAGCAGCACAACCCGAAAAGTCAAGAGACACCGACGTACGAAATGGCGGAGCCCATTTCGATCAACAACTTGCTTCTTCGTGGATGTCAACTGCGAAATACCGAATGGGTTCTTGGTGTCGTTGTGTTTACTGGCGAGGACACCAAAATTATGATCAACTCTGGTATCACCCCGAGCAAACGCGCTAGGATTTCCAAGGAACTGAACTGGAACGTCATCTACAATTTCATTCTGCTTGCTGTCATGTGTCTTATTTCAGGCGTTGTTCTGGGAACCACGTGGGGTAGAAGCGACACCTCGCACGCACTTTTCGAATATGGGTCTTACGGCGGCAGGCCTGCTACGGACGGCATAATCGCTTTCTGGGCCGCCATCATCCTCTTCCAGAATTTGGTGCCCATCTCTCTTTACATCACACTGGAAATCATCCGCACCCTACAGGCTTATTTCATCTACAGCGATACACAGATGTACTACGATAAGCTCGACTATCCATGTACACCAAAGTCCTGGAATATTTCGGATGATGTTGGACAGATCGAATACATCTTCTCGGACAAGACAGGTACACTGACGCAGAATGTTATGGAGTTCAAAAAAGCCACCATCAATGGTGTTCCATACGGAGAGGCGTACACAGAAGCTCAAGCAGGCATGCAACGAAGACAGGGTGTTAACGTCGAGGTCGAAGGGGCTCGTGCTCGTCAACAAATCGCGCGGGATCGCGTGCGCATGATCGAGGGGAGTCGGAAGATACATGACAACCCTTATCTGTGGGATGACGACCTGACCTTTGTAGCCCCGGATTACATCGATGATCTCGCTGGAGAGTCTGGACGAGAGCAGAAATTGGCTAACGAACAGTTCATGATCGCACTCGCACTCTGCCATACTGTTGTTACCGAGAAGACCCCTGGTGACCCGCCACGGATCGAGTTCAAGGCCCAATCACCAGATGAGGCAGCATTAGTGGCCACTGCACGCGATGTAGGATTCACATTCGTCGGACGAGAAGACGATCGTCTTATCGTTAATGTCCTTGGGGTTGAGCGTAAATATCAAGTTCTTAACACACTTGAATTCAACTCAACGAGGAAGCGAATGAGCGCCATCATCAGAATGCCGGACGGAAAAATTATGTTGTTCTGTAAGGGAGCAGATAGCATGATCTATTCCAGATTGATCCCTAACGAACAACGCGAGCTTCGTGCGACTACTGGCGAGCATCTCGAGATGTTCGCGAGAGAAGGTCTACGAACTCTCTGCATAGCTCAGAAGGAGGTTTCCGAAGCAGAGTATACAGAATGGAATCGAGACTATGACGTAGCTGCAAATGCTGTCGCCGGCCGTGAAGAGAAGCTAGAAGAGGTATCCGACCGTATTGAGAATCAACTATGGCTTATTGGCGGCACTGCCATCGAAGATCGACTACAAGACGGCGTTCCCGAGTCCATTTCTCTTCTTGGTCAAGCTGGTATCAAGCTGTGGGTCCTGACTGGTGATAAGGTCGAGACAGCTATCAACATTGGATTCTCCTGCAATCTCCTCGACAACGATATGGACCTCATCATTCTCAAGGTAACAGACGACAACATCGCATCTGTAGGAGCCCAACTCGACGAGAAGCTCGCCATATTTGGTCTGCAGGGATCTGAAGAAGAACTGGCCGCCGCTCAAAATGATCACGAACCGCCTCCAGCCACGCATGCCCTTATCATTGATGGAGATACCCTCAAACTGGCTTTGGATGACTCGGTCAAGAGGAAGTTCTTGTTGCTCTGCAGAAAGTGTCGATCGGTTCTTTGCTGTCGAGTCAGCCCCAGTCAAAAGGCAGCAGTTGTGAACATGGTGAAAACCGGATTGGATTGCCTGACACTTGCTATCGGAGATGGTGCCAACGATGTGGCCATGATTCAGGAAGCCCATGTTGGTGTTGGAATAGCTGGTGTCGAAGGTCGGGCGGCAGTCATGTCCTCCGATTACGCAATCGGCCAGTTCCGCTTCCTCACTCGTCTATTGCTTGTTCACGGTCGATGGTCATACCGACGACTTGCAGAGACCATCGCTAATTTCTTCTACAAGGTAAATTCGATCCCGCATCTTTCACTAAATGAAACTACTAACATACGCACAGAACGTCGTTTGGACGTTTGCTTTGTTCTGGTACCAAATCTACGCCGATTTCGATAGCGCCTACATCTTCGACTATACTTACATTCTCCTTTTCAATCTTGCCTTTACTTCTCTTCCAGTGATAGTCATGGGTGTCTTGGATCAAGATGTCGATGCCCTGGTATCCTTGGCTGTTCCTCAACTCTACCGACGCGGTATCGAGCGGAAGGAATGGACACAGCCGAAGTTTTGGTATGTCATATCCTAGAATGTCAACAACTGCCTGCTAATTACTCTCCTAGGGCGTACATGGCCGATGGAGCCTATCAATCCGCAGTCGCGTTTTTCTTTGTATATGAGATATTCGCACCCGCTACATTTTCGAGCTCCAATGGATTGGACCTTGCTGAGTACAGACGGATGGGTGTTTACGCTGCTACCACTGCTGTCTGCGCCGCTAACATTTACGTCCTTTTCAACACTTACCGCTGGGACTGGCTGATGCTTACAATCGTGGCTGTCAGCACAATTCTAATCTGGATCTGGACCGCAATCTACACGTCTTTCACTGGGAGTGCGCAATTCTACAAGGCGGGTCGCGAAGTGTATGGAAATCTGAACTTCTGGGCATACGTCCTCTTGGCGATTGTCGCATGTTTGCTTCCCCGTTTCATGTTCAAATCTGCACAGAAACTGTTTTTCCCAATCGACGCGGACATCATTCGAGAGCAAGTCGCGCAAGGAAAATTCGACTACTTGAAAGATGGCACTACTTCAATTCCTCCTCCACAAGAGGAGGCTGCCAAGCCAGAAGCTGATGCCACAAAATACAAGGCCGCCAACGCCGACGCTACCGACGAGGACGTTCGCCCTATCTACCCGCCTTCGGTGGTGACGACACACAACCCACGCTCCACGAATGGCAGCAACAGTACCGACTTCACGCTCCGCCGCTCCATGGAAGGCTTACCACCTGCACCACGCATGTCGGTAGAAGGACGCGTAGAAAGTACGCAGCGCCCTGAACACCGCGTGCGACCAAGTTTCGACCGTGCGCGTATGTCCATGGATCCTGTGCGTGCTAGCTTCGAGCAGAGTAACGACTTCACCTCTGCGGCGATGTTGACGCGTCTCGAATCTGCACACAGTCGGAACAGTTACCAGCACCCTAACCCTCAAGGACAAGGGAACGCGACTCCCATGAGCAAATTACGGAATGCGTTGAGAAGAGCGACGATCACAAGAGAGGAGCAACCGCAGGACTTGGACGCTCCGCCTATGCCTAAGAGTCCGCCGGGAAGTCCGAAGCGGTAGTATCACACGTGAAGTTGGGCGACTGTGGATAACGTTGTTGCGTATACCCCTGATTACAACACGGCCTTGTACATAAAACCATCTCTTACGCATTGCGTATCGATGTCTCACTGCATCTCTATATTTTTCTTATTATCTTAGCCTCTGGGGGGGTTTCAGGAGCAAGCAGCGTTTTTGGAAACCTCGACGTTTTGTATGATCCAAATTTGTCGATTTTGCTTTGCGTTTCTTTCCTTTTTCTTTCTACAAAGCCGTCCATGGATTGGCTTGCCTAAGGCAGGTGCGTTTGTTTTATCTTGCGGAGCTTCGAGATTGCACTGGCATTTATAGACTGATGCGGTATGGATGATCGGATATATGGGTGTATATATTTAATGAGTGTAACTGGCTTTCATTGCAAGTTGACTTTGATTTCAATGATGTGCAACTTGTGTAAGTGAACTGCTTGTAAGCGTCTATTATAAATGTGCGTGACCGTTAGAAGAGCCGTCAAGCTAATAACGAGGTGTCGTTGCTCCGACTGTAGTGTCTCTCTGGCTGTCTTGATTTGAGCTGTTTGCAAATGAAGGTAAAGGGCGACACGACTCGAGGATAAATTGTGTAATAGGCTTGGCACCCCGGCAACGCGCAGCACTAGCGGATCGCGTCGCGTTTGCCATTCCACGAACCGATCAGAGCGCTGACGTCTGTCTGTTACTTTCTTTCCTCTACAACCCCCTTCTCTCCGCACGCCTAAACACGAACACACCTTCACCGACTCCTCCTTCACAGACTCGGGTTTCCTTACCGCTATACACCGCACATCGATCACCGATACTGTCTTTCACCCACCACAAGAGGCCCAAGGAAGGCGCGCAGTGCACTTGGCAGTGTAGATAGTATATCTTTCAAAAACAGAAGCACAGTAAACCTTCTGTACTGTTTGAGGGCGTTGATAGGGCTCGGTGATGCCCGTTTGCTTGTAGCGGTGATCAGAAGAGGGGAGTTGCACCGCTGCGTGCTGCACATGAGTAGCGGTGTTGTACCATGGCGGAAATCCTTGAGAAGATAAAGTATGTACCTATGCTCTGAACCTATGCTTACTGCAGGTGCAACCACTGCCAATTCACCTTATCATCCTCACATGCTCTTTCCTCTCACTTCCCTCTCAACCTTCTCTTCGCTTTAGACATGTCTAACCCAACTGTTTTCTATAGCGAGCTTCGAGCGCTCCCGGAAGAGCAGCACCTCTTTTGCCCCCGCTTAGGTGCCGAGGACTGGGGCGTATATTACGATGCAGACGTTGCTGGTCAAGAACCCGAGACCGACCCCACCGCACTCGATGACCGCAAACGATTGATACAAGAAGCCGAGGAACGAAAATGGACAGCACTCAAGGCCATGGAAATATTAGCATTCGACGGCGAGGAGGCAGCACCACATAAGGAATGGCTGGTTGAGAGGTTCAATCAGCTCATGCAAAGTTGCGATGTCTGTGTGAGAGTGTTCCACACATCCAGGGCGGAATGGAGGACACGGCTGGTCGACACCTACGACGAGGACAACATTGGCGATTTTCTGCGTGTCGTCGACGAGCAATGTCTGGGGCGCATACAGACTGGGTTGGACGAGTCGAACAGGCTACTCAGCGAGGCTGAACCCAAACTGCGTACCGTACGGCTTTTACCGACCGAATGTACCTATGCTTTCTTTGAGGCCCTGAGCTGCGACGCTCTAATACGGAACGAGGAATTACTCCAGCGACACTTTGACGCACCGTTCGCTATGGTCCAGTCGAAGAAGCGCCTCAAGATTCAGACATTCCTACCCGCAATGACCCGTTTCTTGTTCAGCAGAAACGAGACGCGCCAAAATTGGGCAACTCTGTCGTGGTCCACATCAAAGCGGAATGTGTTGAAATCTGAGTTTGAATGGGCTGTGCGGGACCACCTCATCAGCGCCATGATGAAGGTCCAGATGAACAATCTCGACCTGACGTTTGTCTCTTGTTATTGGAGCGGAGTACGGCTCATCATTAGCAAAATGGACCAGGAATTGATCTCGGAGTCGATCCGAGGCCTAGAAGGTGGATTCTACAGGCTGATGTTAGATCATCTTTCACTCAAGTCGGAAGGTTTCATGGACTTGATCGCGACTATGAAGCAACTGCTGGAGCGTTCACCAGTGGACTTTTGGGATGGCATGAACGCTATTACGCCCTCAATTGTCACTGTCGTGGAGCAGATATTCAATAGCCCGGTTCTCAACCAGATACTCCTCGCGGCAACAGCGGACGATGCACAAGACACGGAAAATTTGAATGCAGCATTTAGCTGGATACCTCCGTTCCTCGTCTCTATCAAGCCAGCCAACCTAGGTCCTGCAATTCGGCCTTTTGCTAATGCGCTTCTCGGTCGCTTCCAGTCTGAGCGCTACTCGCCAGCATCTAGAGCTTTCTGCTTTAGAGAGGGTCTGAAAGTGTTAGACCATGCTTTCCGGAAAATGGCTGAAGGCAAGACCATGGACAAGTTTGTGGGACAGCCAACGGTGAACAGCATGCTTGATATGCTCTCGACTCACATTCAATTGCTTGTCAAAAGCCTCAAGCGTTTCAGCAGCAACAAAGAGAGTCAAGGAGATATGTATCTTGTTCTTTCCGTGATTCAGGGTGCTTTTCAGTTAGAAGCGCAGTCTCTAATCATCGAGAGACAAATGATCTCAGCGAAGAAGCCATCGCCTACAGAAACACCGCCGTCCAGTCCGATTTGGAAAACTATTCTCAAGGCGGTGGACTCGGAAAGCTTGGAGCTTGCTACGCATTTATTGATTGCTGGACGAACCCTGACTGGACTTGAGCCGTTGCAGATGAAATCGGATACTGAAAAAGTGCCTGCAACAGTACGGCACTTTAATGAGAGATTCAAGATGCTGTCCCAGTCAATCACAGATGTGGTTGATCGCCTGTCAGAGTTTGGTCCATCTCAGCTTCAAGCCCTCTTCGAGAAACCAGCCGCGGCTAGCGCCATCGTTTCGTTACTCTTCTCGTCCACAGAAGACACGAGAAACTCCGCTATCGAGCTTTTGAAGGTCATCAGTTCCGAAGACGAACGCCGGGGTGCTTTGCAGCACATTTTGAAGAGCCATTACAAGAACGTTCTGCAGGGCATATCGGACTCGAGCCGTCAGGTTAAGCAAAAAAAGGCATTTGCACCAGCACCAAGCATGATACGAATGTGGTCAGACGTCATCGATGTTATGTGTAACTCTCAAGATGGTATACTGCGATCACGAAATCTCGATTCTGGGGAAACTGGAGCCACGATGAATCTCTGGAAGTATCTCTGGGATTCACTTACAATGATATTTGCAACTACAGAAGCGTGGAGCAACCTAGGGTTCTACGACAAGAGAATGATGATGGACTTTTGCCGCGATACTATGCAGTTCGCTGATCAGCTTTTCAACCAATGTAGTATCTTTGCAACTGCATTGAAAGGGTCTACGACAGATAGTGAGGACGGCGGTTCCAAAACTGAACTTCTAAAAGAGTTACTGGCGCTGCCCGCTGAGGCCATGGAAGGTTTGGCAAAATGGCTTCGTTTACGTGACGAGTTCTTGTCTAGCAAGTCCGTCACTTTGATCAGCAAACTCCTGATCCGTCTTCACAACGTCTCTATTGAGATCGACCCAGAAACTCTGTCTTACATGGAGAGGGTACTCTCTGGAGACGTTCGCGCCAAGCTCAGCACGACACAACAAGCAGAGTTACAACAAGCTCTCGAAACGCATCTTGGCCGCTCTCTAGTCAAGGAGGAAGAACCTGTCAAGCCAAAACAGGCTTCGATCAGCAAATGGATGGCTACCGGTACAGCATCCTCGCCAGCTGATAGCAAGGCCAAACTACTAGCTAGCATGACGTCGGGTGCGAGTGCGTTCCAGGAGAAACGAGAAGCCATGAAGAAATCGGATGCAAAAGCCGCAAAACAAAAGGCTACTGAAGAACAGAAGACTGCTCAGATGTCCGAGTTCCGGAAGAGAAGGCAAGAGGAATTGGCCAAACGCGAGAAAGAGAAGGCTGCCGCCGTTGCTCGGGCACAAAAGGCAAGGGGTATCAACACGCAGACTGGCGAAGCAGGCTCTGGTTTGGAAGGCCTGGGTGTCTTAGGCAAAGACCAGGCCGCGAAGGGTGAAGGTCTGATGCATTCGTCAGATGAGTCTGATGACGACGATGGAGATATTGATGAAGATCTCTTTGGTATCAAGAAGACGAAAACAACCCTTGGACCGAGAACGAACATCGTCAACGAAATCAAGATCCAAATGCCGGTCAAGAAGAAGAGAGTTCAGCGATCCATCAAAGACATGCGTGCTCGTCTCGCGCCTGACCTGTCATCTCTGCATAGGATCATCCTTGGTTGGGATTACTTCCACGAAGGTGACTTTCCACCCAAGTCGAGACCAGATATCTATTCCAAGGTCCCGGGTACTTTCAGGACACCTAACGACTATCAATCGACCTTCGAGCCTTTGTTGACGCTTGAAGCTTGGCAAGGATTCGTGAAGGCTCGTGAGGAGAATCAAGGCAGACCATACGAGGTCCGAATCACATCGCGAGCTAGCGTGGATGCGTTCCAGGAAGTGGGCAGCACAATGACACACGCCGAGAATCGGGAGGTCATGGTCTCCGAGGGTGATATCATTCTTCTCTCGAAGAGCAAGACTCCCTCTGCTCAAGAGGCGACGTGCCTTGCTAGAGTGTTCCGCGTAAAGAGGAAACAACAGCACATCGAAGTCTCGTATCGCGTCGTACCCGCAAACCCCCTTTCGTCTGCTCTATCACTCAACCAGGCTGTCTACGGCACCAAGCTGCAGTCTATCACGCCACTGGAGCGTGAGTATGGTGCGCTGAAGGGTTTGCAATACTATGATTTGTGCGATGAGATCATTCGGGCGAAGCCTTCTCCGCTTTTGACCTACAAGGACAATCAGATTGATCCGCTGATTCAAACTTACAATGTGAATCGGGCACAGGCTAAAGCTATCAAGTCGGCAATTGACAATGATGCGTTTACGTTGATTCAAGGGTATGTAGATGTGTGGAGATGTCATTGATTCATGTACTGATCGTGTTACAGACCACCTGGTTCCGGAAAGACGAAAACAATCACAGCCATTGTTGGAGCAATCCTTTCTGACAGCTTTCGTTCGCGTGGCACACAGATGGTGGTTCCAGGCCAGCCGCGTTCAGAGACAACTGCTAAGAAACTGCTCGTGTGTGCGCCCAGTAACGCTGCTGTCGATGAGTTGGTCATGCGTTTTAAAGATGGCATCAAAACCCTCAACGGCGAGGAGCGAAAAGTCAACATTGTGCGTCTGGGTCGCGGTGATGCTATCAAGGCGAGTGTCCAAGACTTGACTCTCGAGCAACTTGTTAGCAAAAGGCTCGGCGTGAGTAACTCGAACGACAACGACTCCGAGGCTACTCGCAAGCTCTTTCAAGATCACAAGCAGGTATCGGAGCAGCTTAGGCAAGCTGTCGACCAAATCTCAAACGGTGAAGTCAAGGGTGATGAGGCGTCTAAGCTCCAGGACGATATCAATGCTTTGCGAAAGCAGAAGGCGGCTCTCGGAACGAAGATTGATAACACCAAAGACAACGAGAGACTTGCGAGCCGAAACGCGGATCTGAACCGCCGGCGCGCACAAGAAGCAGTCTTGAACGACGCACATATCATTTGTGCAACCCTCAGTGGATCTGGGCACGAAATGTTCCAGGGTCTCAGCATCGAATTCGAGACGGTCATTGTTGATGAGGCTGCGCAGTGCGTTGAGATGAGCGCACTGATTCCTCTCAAGTACGGGTGCGCAAAGTGTATCCTTGTCGGAGATCCGAAACAACTACCTCCCACGGTGTTCTCGAAAGAAGCAGCGCGCTTTCAGTACGAGCAGAGTTTGTTTGTTCGCATGCAGAAGAATCATCCCGACGACGTACATCTTTTGGATACACAGTATCGTATGCACCCAGAGATTAGCTTATTCCCCAGTCAGACATTCTACGATGGCAAGCTTTTGGATGGAGGCGACATGGCTGGGCTACGCAAGCGGCCGTGGCATCAGAGTATGTTGCTCGGGCCGTATCGATTCTTCGATGTTCAGGGTCAGCACCAAGCTGCGCCGAAAGGGCACTCACTCATTAATATCGCGGAGATCAACATTGCGATGCAATTGTACAAGCGTCTTACTACCGATTATCCCGACTACGACTTCAGGGGGAAAGTCGGCATCATCACACCCTACAAGAGCCAGCTCCGCGAGCTCAAAACACGCTTCACCACCGCTTACGGCGCCTCTATCGTCGAAGAAATCGACTTCAACACCACCGACGCTTTCCAAGGTCGAGAGAGCGAAGTCATCATCTTCTCTTGCGTGCGTGCTTCGCCGGCTGGTGGTATCGGTTTCCTGCAGGACATCCGACGTATGAACGTCGGTCTCACGCGTGCAAAGTCTTCGCTCTGGGTGCTGGGTAACTCCCAGTCGCTCGTCCGAGGAGAGTTCTGGAGGAAGTTGGTCAACGATGCGAGGGATAGGAAGAGGTACACTGACGGTGATTTGTCGAGGATGCTGAACCAGCATTCGAGCAAGTTCCCAGCTCCGAAAGATGGTTACGTGCAGCCTCACCGCCCAATGCCGGAGATCAAGAGCGAGCCTTCAAGTCGAAAAGGGAGCGGGCAGTCCAATGGATCGGAGATCAAACAGGAAATCATGCAGACCATCAAACAGGAGATCAAACAGGAGATCAAGACGGAACTGGTACACCACGGCAAGCGAAAGTATAGCCATGATCAAAGCAGCGATGTCGTCGTAAACACGAAAAAGGAAGACGTCGACGTCGACATGGACGATGTGCACTCGGATTCGGCGTCTACCACGCTCAACGGGGGCAGCGGTCGGTCCACCCCTGCTAACGACCCGCACAAGAGCTCAACGCCTGGTCTTGACCCGGCTGATGCGACGGACGCTTCTGGTCTAGGCAGTGTGATGGCGGCGATGACGAAGCCGAAGATCAGGAGACGGGCGAGGGAGGCTCCGAATCCGTTTATCAAGAAGAAACCAAGGACGGGATGAACGACCTGAGCGAGTTTTGGGGATTTTGTGCGGCTCTCAACTCACCATTTGCGGGCCAACATTTTGATGGCGTTTTTGAGGAGGTGATGGACACAGCTTGAGCATTTGCCCGGCGTTTCTGTGATTACACTTATCTTGCATTGGGCATTTTCCGTATTTCAGATAGATGGTGAGCGCCGAATGGGTACCTTGATAAAGGAGCCATGGTGAATGCCATGATGATTATTTGCGGGAGGATTGGCCGTGACGCGGACGAGGCGTTTGTGGCGCGGATTTGATCGCTGTGATTGACTGCGAGCTAAAGAAGTCTCCATCGTGACCCTTTCTCGAGGTGTCGTTGTATTTTTGTTGCGACTCCGCACGTTGAAGCCGGTCAGCTCCACGCCGCTGACCAAACACTACACAAGCGTTATGACGCGTGTTAGCCCTCAGTTCAATGCTGGTTCATATGGTAACCTTCATATACCCTTTCTTGGCCAACTTGTCAGGTGTCATACTACTAGCCAAGCTCCTGTCTTGCGGTAACCAAAGAGGCAGTCACACTGCATTTTGTCGTACATCTCTTCGTGTCACCGCCAACGTGATACTACATGTTTGCGTGCCATTTCCATTATCGCTCCCGACACCCATTATTGAATTTTCAGACATTAAACCCCCACCATCATCAACACACAAAAAATTCGCCGATGTAGTTTCTTTTGGCATCACGAACATAAACATGCTCGCGGACCACAACCCACACCAAGCACACCATTCCTTCCTTTTCCAAACCCTACATCAACTTCAACTCTCCTCGCATTCCCATGACAACATCCCGTAAATGACCCACACCTTGTTGTCAGTATCCTGTGGTGTCACGCATGACAATATGTCCATCACGAGCGCGCAGGGCTACGTTGAACACTTAAATACCGCCACGGGTCGCACCGCAGGATTCTGTTCCCTTCACATCCTGACATTTCGCTTGCACGCAGCCACATTCGATGCGAGTACCTGGTTGACGTTGCAGTGGAAGGACTGAGCCATCCCGGCGAGATACCACGGCGACTGCATATGCTGAGTACCGGCGTGAGACGTTCCTACGCACGACGAAAACTGGACGGTTACTCTACAGCGTGCGATTGTTTCCCGTTACTCGACAGCCCACAGTGCGCACGGCGGCTATCGAACTTCAATCTGCAACATGGCGCACGTTTATCAGGCCCCGGGTCGGCACCAGATCATGTACACTCACAAGTCGACACAAAGCCTGCTCGACCTCTTCCCCATGTTCGGCCATCCCGGGATCAGCGCGCTGGAATATGCTGGAGTGGTAGAAGAAACGCGCAAGAAGAACACGAGTTTGTCGGCATCGCTCAAGTGTAAGACATCGAGCTCGGCGCTTGACGAGAACACAGTCCCTTCGACAGCTGCGGAAACGGATCCGGTTAAGGCAGAGCAAGTGCAATTCATAGCCGAATTTGGCTGTCAGCAGCGACGACGGGGCAAATTCGTCAATCATACACCGAGGAACTTTGAGATGCGTACTACGCAGAGGGTGGATATCTATGGCTCTGCTCGACCAGAGAGCGAGAACTACTCTCGACCTCGTGCTTCAATCCAGGTCAATTCGGACGATACTCGCCACCCATCAACGAATCAGCATGGATACGGTTCGTTGTCAGGCTCGAGGACCGCGGAGAAACGCATCACTCTCAACAGAGGGGCTCCGGTTGAGCTTGATTCCAAGGAAATCATCTTGGAAACAGCTCCGCGGGTCTACCGACCATCGATAGAAGTTCATCGACGCTCGGTTTCCACGCCAAAGGCGAGGGTTGCCGTTTACCCGTCGCGAACTGCTGCTTCTCTACGATGCCTTAGGGGAGAGGTTAACGTTCGGAGTTCGAGTGCAACACATCATCGTCAGCCGGAGGAGACACAACAAAGTCAAACACCCTACAAGAACCCGATTCATGGATCGCGTAATGGCGCCCGACATGCCCCATTGGAACCACTTGTCGCGTTACACATGCGCAAAGAAGCGGATAGTGTTCTCGAAAGCCTATCTTCCCAAGAAGTAGAGACCAAAGAAGATATGGCAACGTTTCAAGTTATTCAAAAGTACTTTGAGAGTGAGGGGAAAACATCAAGTCCACGTTCGAATATCAAGTATCACCCTCAGCCGTCGAGTCCATCAAGAATTCCTCTTACAACTTCGCCGGAATCACCCACTCCTGGGGCCAAGCTGAATATCCACGTCCCTCCGATGAATGAACTGGAGATGTCATATAAGTTTCCACCAGCCGTACCAGACCGTAGCCCCAAGCGACTCGAGAGCCCAAGCTTTCCACTACGCACCATGTCCGCGGCGACCAGAAACAGAGATCCCACTGTTGCATCTGAAGATCCATACTCTCCGCATACTAAGAAGAGCAACCCACTTCACGTCCCCAAGCACCGAACTTCAAGGTATGGCAGTGTAGGACAAGCCGCCCGCGCCGGCTCATCCAACTTAGGACGAATGGCGCCACTAATTCTCGGCCATGCTGCACTCACCGCCAGCAGTGACCTGGGCCTGAACGACATCAGCTCTTATCTTCGTAACACGGGACCTCCCACAGACACGCAGACAACAACCAGGCAGCGCATCAAAGCCGGGATGAAGATGTTCCGTGTCAATGATAAGAAGAGCCTCGCAGCACGCGTAGGGTCAGTAGAGGGCTCACCACAACGCCCACGTATACCAGTGATGGTGCCGGCCTGCGCGCGTGAAATGACGACGTCCGCTGGCGCGAGGCATTTGAAGATTGTTATCCCGATAGATGCGGTGACAAGCAATCAGACGTTTCCGCTTCCTGTTAATAAGGCAGAAGCACTACGTCGCTCGAAACATAGGTCCCTTTCCTTCAATGAGGAGATGTTGTGTCCGAGCGTGGGATCTGAGAATGAACACGTTTTCGCTGCAGAACCGCATGAGCGCTCTTCTTCAGCTCCTATTTCGCGCCGTAGCCCTCCAATAACCCCGAAGCGAGAACACGTCCAGGACCATCCTCTGGCATCAAGGGAGGAGCAGACTCGTGCTAGGAAACTCCGGGATCTACAGAAAGTCAGGCGGAACTTTTCTTCTTCCGACATACAAAATGTTGCGCCGCCGACGCCGACACTGGCGCAGGACCCAGAGTCTCTTGGGGCAGACGACGAAAGTTCAAGGGAGAAAATGGCGAAGCTTGAAGAGAAGGTCGGAGCATTGCAGAAGCTTAACACACAGCTTGCGGAGACGCTGACGAGCCTTCTTGGGGATGTTGAGAGCAAGGATGGGAAGATCAAGAATGAAGATGTGTTGAGGGCTTGCAGACTGGCTGGGTATGAAGGGGTGTTGATGGGGATAGATGGTACAGAAGAGAAACCGCTGGAGCTCGACTCTAAAGAAGAAGATATGTTCGGAGGAAAGGAATGGCTACGGCTCGATTTTGAGGGAGACAAAGAAAGAGGACTTCGAGATTCGACTTGGAGTCTGACACTGTGAGCAGTCTCGAGAAGACGGATGCGCTTGAACGAACGTGGCTTTCCGCAGCCCACCTACAACGTTTTTCTTTTGTTTATTACTCAAATACTAATCATTTCATCTACGACGTTTCTGTAACATGAGGGCAGTGATGACATTGAAGCATAGGCCTAAATTTAGAACACGAGGCTTGCGTCCCTGAACGCTTGGCTGCGGCTGCGGCTCCGTCTCCCAACCTGCCGGCAAAAAAATATCAGGAACCTCGGGCAAGTCTTTTGTATATAGCTGAAGTACACTTTCCAACCTCAACCGCACCTTTACAACCCAACTACTCAGAATCGACGCCGTCGTTTAACCTCCTCACTCCAAAATCCGACTCACCGCCTATCGATAAGACGCCAAACATCTAAACACCCCGCTCGTAGCTCGTAGCTCGCACCCCACGCCCACGCCCACGCCCACGCATTCTCCACCTCAGTACCTTCACCCGACGACAATTCCACACAATGGCTACAACCGACGCCTCCGCCCCGCTCTTCGACGCGTCCCTCATCTCGCCAGACGTCCTCAAGGCACTCCCCGAGGGATACAACTGCCGTCCGATCCGGCAGCAGGACTACCATAATAACTTTTTGGAGGTGCTGAGGGTGCTTACTACGGTTGGGGATGTGACTGAGGAGGTACTTGATTCCTTTGTTCCCCACTCAAAACGTCTGCTAACCCGCTCCCCCAACAGCAATGGAACGAACGCTACTCCTGGATGGCCGCGCGCAACGACTCGTACTACCTACTCTGCATTACGGACTCGAGCGACAAAATTGTCGGTACTGGCGCGTTGATCGTCGAGCGCAAGTTTATCCACTGCTTGGGGGTGGTGGGGCATATTGAGGATATCGCTGTTGCGAAGGATCAACAGGGGAAGAAGTTGGGGTTGAGGATTATCCAGGCGTTGGATTTTGTGGCGGAGAAGGTTGGGTGTTACAAGGTATGTTTTGGATTAGATTGGATTGGGTGGCGCGTCGTGGCGCGTGTGTGGACATGGAAATTGTGTGTATATGCTGACGATTTGCAGACTATTCTTGACTGCTCCGAGGCCAATGAGGGATTCTATGTCAAGTGTGGGTTTAAGCGCGCGGGGCTCGAGATGGCGCATTACTATGGACGGTGAGGGGATTGCGTTGTATCTAAAGGTGCTGAAGAAACCCGAGTGGGTTACTACAGCGGGAATAAACAAACAGCTGAGTCTGGGACTACTTCTCAACTGTTGATGCATATATAGGCGTTACAGAGGACGAGTGCGTGCGAAATAGACGAATGAACATCAAGAGATCATACCTCTGAGCAGTCGTGTCACGTCGATATCTCCCCGTTTTCGGTTTCTACATTGAACTTTGATCCAGCGACTCGCCTCTTGTCCTTGCTCAGAGAGATGTCTGTTCTGGATTCACCAACTCAGATCCCGGTCACGTTCTACGGGCTTTTGTAAACTGCTCCTCTGGATTTCACTGACATGTCAAGGGATTATGCCTGTTCGTTTAGTGAAGAGGGTGTTGGCTCGATTGACAGACCTTATCCACTAACGTCTTGACACGGAGTTCGATCGCGTGTTCCGAACCAAGCTTCAATCCCCCTATCGGACCAGGGCACACAGATCGAAACTTCCCGCGAGATGACACTAGCAAATGGTGGCGCACAGGGAGAAGAGGTGAGCACACGGAAGCAAAGATGATCCTTTCTGACAAAGTCAACTAGTTAAACGCGCGAGAACATCAGAAAGGCAACATAATACAATGACCCTACGGTATGTAATTCTGTTCTCATCCACATCTTTTTTCTCGTCTAACAATCTTGCTCTTACTTTGTGTAGTGGTGGTACAAGAAATCGCTAAATGTGAGAGAGTTTTGGTATCTCACTGAAGTTTGCTCGTTTGATTGTTTTGCTTTTGCGTAGTGAAAGCATCACTCATTTCTACACGAAAGCAACACGATTTTGTAGTTGCGTCGCACAGGCCTGCATAGCATGCGTGCTCAACACCTTACTCTGTGCTTCGAGTCTGTTCTTTGTTCTCTCAATTGCTTTACCATCTACTTGAAGGATATCACACACAAGAGAAGTATTTGGATGTAAACTGGGGCAGGCCGTGCGGTGCAACATGGAAACGAGCTCCTTTACATATACGATTATTCAACTCAGCTTTCGAACGCCGTCTCGCTTGCAGAATGAGATTGGCTTTTCGTTGGGGACATATAACTGCGCGAGGTGTCTAACTATGGGGGTTTTCAATGACTATTGCACTGAGAGCAACCACTCTTTCGGCTGCCTGCCACTCTTTACCATAATCACACTCTTTTAATACCAGTCTTCAGAGCACGTCCACTTCGTGGCTTAATCCAAAATGCGTCTTTCCTTAATACTTGCTTCGGCACTGAGCCTCATTTTTTCAGCCGAAGCCGCCGCCATTTCAAAGGACGCGCGCTGCGGCCACTACGGAGGAGGAAAAACTTGTCTAAGCAGTGGTTTTGGCGACTGCTGCTCGCGGTACGGCTATTGTGGCAGCAACACCGATCATTGCTCCACCTCGAAAGGATGCCAGCCCGGATACGGAACTTGCACCCAGAAGTCGACGTTTGCTGGTTATGACACTTTGACGCGGACAACGCGCTCCTCTCTTGTCGACCCGCTGTCGCGCACCTCGTCGACAGGTACTCGGTCACTGAGCCCTACGTTCATTAGCTTGCCATCGAAGTCGAAGTCGAAGTCGCCAGGCTTGTCTACATCTAGCAGCTCGTCCCAGAGTGCGATACAAACTTCTTCGTCGAGCATTGTAGCTGGCACGTTCATAAGTCTTGTGGTCGGCTCTTCGTCGACTATCGTAGCTAGCTCTCCATCGAGCACTATAGCTGGCACTTTTATCAGCATAGCCAGCTCTTCGTCAAGCGTTGTAGCTGGTACTCTCATAAGCACAGACAGCTCTTCCTCAAGCGTTACGACCAGTCTTTTGTCTAGCGTTACGACCAGTCCTTTGTCGAGCGTTGTAGCTGGCACTTTTGTGAGCGTTGTAGCTAGCTCTTCATCGAGCATCGTAGCCAGCTCCTCGTCAAGCATTGTGGCTGGTACTTTTATAAGCGTAGCCAGCTCTTCATCAAGTGTCGTAGCCAGCTCGTCGTCGAGCGTTGTGGACAGCTCTTCGTCAAGCGTCGTGGCCAGCTCCTCATCAGATATTGCAATTAGCTCTTCGCCAAGTTCAGCTTCGAGCTCAAGAGTCATCTCCTCTCAGGTCTCCTCGACATCACTATCTACTGCAAGCACGTCCTCGACTTCTTCTTCGGCCATCGCTAGTCCTACCTGCTCTAACTATGTTGATAACCCCACCTTTGACGATGTGGACTTTAACCAATTTGTGTCATGGACTTCTTCCACAGAAGCGCCTGAAGATTGGGCGTTTTCCGACATCAGCACCAATCCTCATAGTAGTGGGCGTGCATTCGTTGCTAGTAAGGACAGCAACCCCATAGGACAGCTCACCGTATCCCAAGCACAGTTTGCTATTCCTCCGGGCACACAGGTTGGCTGTTCTGCTTGGGTCAGAGTTGTGGGGGCCGTAAGTGGGCAAACAAACGTTGAGGTGTCCCTTAACGGGGTTACCTGTGGAATCCAGTCATTTTTTGGGCGATCAGATTGGACCAGGGTGGGAGGTAACGTCGCTGTCACGGATACTACTTCGTCGCTTATCATCACCGTAACCACACTTGGCCAGCTGGATGCCTCCAGTGACCCAATCTTCCAGATCGAATTGGATGACGTCGAGATTCTAGCTGCGTCTTGTATCTCGCCATCTGTACCTACATCTGGTAGCCCCATGCCAGCACCAGCAACACCCTCGTCGATATCCTCAGTCAGCATTCCAACGCCAACTGTCATCCCCTCTCCGATAGAACCAAGCCCGTCAACGTCATCGAGTGCGCCCGTTTCTGCGCCGTCTCCGTCAGCGATACCAGAGACTTGCATAGGTCCTATTTTGACATGGAAGACAATAGATGCACCCGATGGCGATCAACAATCTATTCCGGGTGAGTTCACGGCGGTGCAGTGTTGCATAATGTGCCAGAATACTCCGGGTTGCACCTTCTGGGCTCAATTTTCTGGTAATTCAGACTGCCTCTTTGTTGTTCAACAGGGAAGCTCGAGGGAAAACCAGTGCCCGCTAGGCATACAGACTGTTGAGTACACTGCGGGAAATCCTGCTTGGGGCCCTGCACAGTGCGGCACCGCGGTACTTCGGGGGTGATTGAGTTCGATACGCGCAGATGGTTGCAGATTGGGCTGCGCACTAATGATTGTATATATGAATCGTAGATCAAGGATAGTTTAATTGAGTGTAGTTTTCTACTTATTGCTAAGTAATCCCCAACTTAAACCTCTCATATGTCACCGTGTAGCTGTTTTGGTTTCGTCGATCAAGTGAAATTGTCGTGTTAGCCGATGAACGTTGATATCTACCTGCTCTCTCCTTTCTTCCGTCGTCAAACCCCCACTCGCCGGGTTGGCCATTGAGACATGGTGGGCATTTTCCTCCAAATGTTTTATAGGTGTTGATGTGTTTCATCTTAGCGAAACAGTCATACCCATTTGGGCCTTTCCTAGAGTCTCCGCGAATCCACCGAGGGCATCTTTTGATCATTTCCTTGGGGTTGATCCAACGATGGCCACATTGTGTGTAGGTGCTGTAGAAATCTGTGCACATTGTATGGATCTTAGAGTGAGGTCGGTCGGCCTGGATTTGGTGGTGTGTTTTTTGTCAGATAGAGTTTAGTGGGATTAAGGACAGATGAGAAAGGTTGGAGTATTAGGCGGCGCTATGCAAGGGCACTTGTATTCATTCAAGAATCAACACGGGTATTTGGATGCCAAGATTTGCGTTGACACATACGATGTCACTTTCATTATCCTCCAAACGAGGATTCTTTCGCTGATGTTGTTCAGCTTGTGTGAAGAACACATGTCGGATTGGTGATATACTAGCCATGGTCACATTCATAAAGGTGTGACAAGGGAGTGTGTATCATTAACTGCATCTCATTCACCCTTCTCGTCATGTCATGTACAAACATTGAGTTTCAAACAGTGAAAATCGACATATCGAATGGGAGATCGCTCGCGATCGAAGATATAAGTATACCAGCTTTTTTACAAGGTGTGGGAGACACTCCGCAAAGCTAGAGCATCCGTCTCCAGGTAATTCGTTGTTGTGTCATGTCACACTCGAATGTAACGGGCGAGCTGGGCTTTGAGAAGCGCACCTCGGGTGTTGTCATGATTAATGTTTCAAACACCGACGCATAATTTCACAAGTCGCATCTATTCTTGAACGAATTTCCAAATTCTTGCTTCTCCGAGCTCGTGCACTTTCAAACGACTAATCACCTGCCACTTTGTACATAAGCCATCAGTTGCTGACCTTCTTCCACAAACACCCCGTACACATCCCTTGGCTTCGGTTTACCACTCTGTGTTCTCTTTGAGTCTCGGGACACGGCGATCCGAACCGCAACTCCTCGGCCTCTTTGCAGATGTGCAATACCGGGCCATTATTGGGCTGTGGCTGCGGAATCCAGTGACTACATACATATAGCGTGTATTCGATGTAGCACATCTTTTCCAGGGCAGTGAATGGATGGTGGAATGAACGGGACGTGTATGCGTTGCGCAGAAAGGACATGTAACAGAATGAGCCAGATCTGTTGTCGCTGAGTCAAGTCGCTCGGAAGTTGTATTGCATCAATCCAATGTGTATGGTATTGACAAATTGATGCTTGACGGTAGTGGAGTTGCTGCAACTCCCGGCTTGACCATATGTAGGATCTTTTCCTGCTTTTCAACCAGTAGTGAGATTGGCGAACTAACATGATAATGCTACATAGATCAGCGGATCTGTCAATCGCCCAGTTTTGGAGAGATCTCTACCTTGAGGTTGAGGGCAGCCCAAAGAAACTTTCGAGCTTTTACTGACCACACAAGTTGATATCAATTGGCAAAACTCGACCACAGGTTTTTGCTGACAGATGCACCCAGGAAGTTCTTGCACACCAGCACCACGACCAAAAGAAAGAGAAGTGAAATTGAGAGTCATGAGAGTATGGACGTATTTGATCTTGTTTTGTATTATATGCCATGTGCTCCTCTGTAAGCAAAAGTAGTGGCCTCGATGTAGGCCTCCCATAGAGGTTTACTTTACGTGGGGCGTACTCTGCCCCTTACTGCCGCACCTGCATGCTCCATTTCATATGCAGACATTCGACGAGGTCACTATGATGGTGGAGTGAGTAGAAAGGGGAGGTCAGACGGCAGCGCGGCATGCCAACGAAGGACGACTTCTGACATGCAGGCCCGCTTCTTCTCGGATGTAACCGACTGGGCGTTTAGCACCTCAATCTTCGTTCAGACCTGGTTTTGTGAACGCGAAGCATGCGACGGCTGAGGAAGAAGAACACAACTTAGGGAAGATGCAAGGAAGAGGAAGAAACACAACCTCGCGCCAACGCTAGCTCATCTCGTCATCCATCTCCAAATGTGCTCCCGCAAACTTCTCATCCGTGCTCATACCACACTACCGGAATTTATGCGGCCCTTTCTCAGACCAAGGCTCGGCTCGTGTTAGCGATGGCGCATGCACCTCATCACGATACCCAGGGGCGCCCTACCGCGAGCACTATCAACCACACACAGTCGTTCCACGCCGCGCCCACGCACACCAGACGGACGGACGGACATTACCAAGCAGACCGAAGTCATGAGGTCATCTCTAAATGAAATACATTGAGTGCTTATTCTCCCACACATTGTCCGCCTGTCCCAGCCGGTATCGTCAATTCCAGCACCCTTGAGAAGGGCAGACATCAGACGCCGACTGGCTTGTGCAGTAGTTCTAGATTCATTGTGTCAGTCATCCGTCTTCCATGCGTAGCGTGGCATTGCAGGCATAGCAATCCTTCTGCAATGCAGAGAAATAGGCAAGTGACATTAATCTGGCACTTACATGCAGCTCGAACTTCCAGCCAAGATTTGCCATCTTTCATACAACGCAGTCTCGGAGATGAATCGAAATCCGGAAAACGTCACAGAGAAGGACCAGAGAATCTTCAACTGGATAGAACGCGGGTCATTCCACGAAGATAACTTCTAAGTCTTAATCATAGAGGTAGATACGCGTCCTTCTGAGACTTACATATTGGCATTCAACCACCAATTTTCTATCCTTGTTGTTCTTTGTCCTGAAATCTTCCTGCGTACCCTTGCCTAACATAATACAAACCCCCAGTGACATCGACCACACCAAATGGGGTTTCTTTTAGATCCAACTTATATGCGTTTAACGCTCAGAAGAGAAGAAGGAGCTTTTAATGTATGAAACTTGGGATTACTAGCATCACCCACAGGTAAACGATATACAAGAGAGCTCGATTGGATGCTGAGGAATAAGACTTTGATGTCGTTGGACAGTAGTAAAGAGGGGATATCCAGTTAATCTTACAAAAGTAAATGTGCCGTTACTCAAGACTGATGAAATATTGATCGTTGCATATCCAATATATCACCTAATTTCACGACCCAGATCCTCCAAACTTCTACTTCTGCAGCATGTATTTCCATCGTGATGTTGCATTCTGTTAATGTATTAGGCACGTTCAATTCAATATAGAATTCTTACAACAATACTGTTGTGCGGTCGAGTAGATAGTAGATAGGTGGCGTTCATGGCGATGGACGTAAATGGCAGGTTCTGGCGCCGTAAGCGCTCCTTGGCTTGGACCCTCCGAAGGACGTCGAAGGAAGAAAAGTTACACAACACGTCACATCCCTCATTCCGCGTGAAGCCTACTCCCCTCCCCGTAGGCTCTCCCCCGCTTTTATATACGTCCGTATGTATACGATACGACCAGCACTGCGAGCGTGCACAGGAAGAGCTCCAGCACGATTGATACGCGGCCGTCGCTACCCATCGCCTCCACGCCTACGAACTTTACACACCACACGTGCCCTCGGGCAAGCCGCCGGTCCACTCCCGCCTCCAGACGAGAATGACGTCAACAATCCCACGAACGATGCACCGGTGACGACCGACGACCCAGAGCTTCTTGCTCAAAAACTACAGCGCTCCCGCGAATCATCTCGACGGTACTCGGCAGCCTTGCGCCGGCAACAGCGGGGGAAGAAGGCGCAGGGATTACCGCCTGTACACGTACCGGACTGGTTTCTGAAAAGGAGGGTGATACGGCTCGAAGATGTGCCAACAGAAACACAGCAGCGTGCCAGGCCGCAGGCGCTCTCGGTTGTGGTAACACATGACGGGTCTGGGGAATGTGCAAGTTGCTCTATTCCGGCATCGAAGGACCTAGATGCGGCACAGACTTTGTCGAGGCTGGTACGAGGGCTTTGGGGGAGAAGACTGGATGATGCAGAGAAGCGCAAGGTGGAGAAATATCTGGAGGAAAGAATAGCATTGGCGCAGAATGCACAGCCCACGAAGCCATCCGAGGGGAACGAGGAGTCAGATGTGAATGCTGAGGTCGAAGAAGCGGGAAAGCTAGTCAAGGTGTCGGACATCGCAGCCGAGTTGAAGAAGCTGGAGGCTGACCTGGAACTCAGTCCAGAAGCCCGCAAGAAGCTGGACGCATGGAGAAACCCAACTGCCAAGCTCGAACGGATGCTTATGAAAAGAGAAGCGGCCAAAACACGGCAGTCTCGCACGCCAAAGCACATATCAGCCTTGGTCCTCGCTGAGATCCGCGCGACAGTTGCAGCATCCCTTGCAACATTACGACCATCCATGGGCGACTCATTTCCCTCGACAAAAACAAATCTGATTCTGCATTCGCCAGTAGCTGAGCACGAGACATTGGTAGACGAGTGTGTACAAGATGTCGCGCTGGAGCTGGGATCCGACGTCATCATCCTACGCGCACAGGACCTTGCACAGCTGGCAGGAGACTATCTAGGCGAAGGGCCAGAACCATCCCCCCGTTCGATTCGTTCGTTGGGTTACGAAACCTATCGACTGAGCTCAGAACTTAGCAACGCGTTTGACGAGGCGGGTGCAGATGATCTCGCTGAGGACGACTTCGAAGCCAATCAGCCCCAACCAATGGACCAGCCTGAGAAGCCGAGGATGCCATTCATGCATATCCTCGCCCTTTCGCCTGCTATGAAGGCTCTGACTCAAAGCCTGAAAGGAATGCAAATGCCTGCGTCAGGTCAGTTCGAGGCTACCGCTAGTGCCGTCAGCGATGAGCCAGGGCGTTCCCAGAGCCAGAGCGAGATCCAACTTGAAGATTTGAAGCTAGCAACTCTGCTGGAGGCGTTGGTGGATTCCAACGAGCTCAAGCAAAGTCGGGGTCTTGTAGGGAATGGGAGCGTAATATTGCCTCCTTCAGAATCGAGTCAAGCGCAAACGCAAACGCAAACGAAAGACCCTAGCTTCTTTGACTACTCAGTGAATTCCGAAGGCGCCGAGCTCGAACTTGACTCTACACTGCCTACGTTGGCGAAACCTGGAATCAGTATGGCTGTAAATATTGGCTCGTCACCGAGCGCGCCACAGGTTCCCGAGAAGTCTAAGATCATCTACGTAAAAGACTACAAAGAGCTCAATGCGACGCATTACGGTGGTCGAATCATTCAGAAACTAGAAGAGCTGGTTCGAAAACGGCGGAGCTTGGGCGAGAGTATCATGATCATCGGCAGTACATGCTCTCGCGAACTCACACCTGAGTTGTCCGCCGGTGGAGTTCATGGCCTTCAATCTGACGATGAGTCTGGTTTCTTCAGAACAATCGTCATGGCGTCAGAGTCGAATGACAAGCTGGACGACCTTCGCATGGTTTCCAAGGGCGACATGTCATCAGATTTGTCGACGGCGGAGAAGAGCAAATTTCAGAATATCAACTTGTTGCACATTCAAGACATGCTGCGGTGTCTGGACCCGGTGGTTGCGGCTAATATTGCGGATGTGGAGAGGAGTCCTCAACTTTTCCGCCCGTTCGCATCGATATTTCCCAAGAGGTATCGATACCATGTATTCACTTATGATGAGGTGCACAGGATAGCTTTGACGGCTCTTGGACTGCACATTACAAACCCTGGAGTTACGACAGACGGATCTGCAGCATCACTGAGCTGGGCACATGTTGCCCTTGCCATGGGGCTACTGAAAGCTAGCGATGTCGCCAAATATGTGTACTTCGACAAACTAAGAGAATCACCAGAACGCGGCAGACAAAGAAGCGCTTCCCAGGGCCAAGAACCAGAGCTCGAGGCCAATGTAAAAGCTAAAAAGCGAGATGGCGAGGTCAACGCAGAGCGTCAACGTAACCTCCAACGCATCGCATACAGCGCGAACAAGCACGAGAAGCGACTTATGCCAGGCATCGCAGACCCAGACCAGATCAAAACAACATTCGAGCAGGTGCATGTTCCCAAAGAAACCGTAGACTCGATCCGAACCATCACCTCACTATCGCTCCTCCGCCCCGACGCCTTCAACTACGGCATCCTCGCCACGGAGAAGATCTCAGGCGCGCTCCTCTACGGACCCCCAGGAACAGGCAAAACCATGCTCGCCAAAGCCGTCGCAAAGGAAAGCGGCAGCACCGTGCTCGAAGTCTCCGGCAGCCAAATCATGGACAAGTACGTGGGCGAGGGCGAAAAGAACGTCGCCGCCGTGTTTTCCCTCGCGCGCAAACTCTCCCCCTGCATCGTCTTCCTCGACGAAGCAGACGCCATCTTCGCCTCGCGCGACGCCATGCGCGAACGCTCGTCCCACCGCGACATCCTCAACCAGTTCCTCAAAGAGTGGGACGGGCTGAACGACCTCTCCGTCTTCGTCATGGTCGCTACGAACCGCCCCTTCGACCTCGATGATGCCGTCATCCGCCGACTGCCCAGACGCCTCCTCGTCGACCTCCCCATGCAGGCCGACCGCAAGGAGATCCTGCGCATCCACCTGCGCGGCGAACAACTCGACGCGGCCGTTGACCTCGACGACATGGCGAAACGAACCCCTTTCTACAGCGGCAGCGACCTCAAAAACGTCGCCGTCTCCGCAGCCCTGGCGTGCGTGAAAGAGGAAAACGAACACGCCGCCCGCGCGGTTCGCGATGCGGAGATCGAGGCGGAAACCAATTCGGTAGATGCACCGGAAACGGAAGCTGCGGATACACATCACACTGAACCCCCCTCTTCCTCCTCCTCTACAAATACATCGGCACAAGCTCAAACAACCCCCCTTCTTGTCCGCGGCCAAACTTACACCTTCCCCGCTAAACGCACACTGCACACACGCCACTTCGACGCAGCGCTGCAGGAGATCAGCGCCAGTATCAGCGAGGATATGAGTAGTTTGGGTGCTATTAAGAAGTTCGACGAGCAGTATGGGGATAAGAGGGGGAGGAAGAAGAGTAAGGGGTTTGGGTTTGGGGCGGGCGGGGAGAGGGATGAGAGGAGTGCTAGGGTGAGGGTTTGATGTGTGGGTTTGATGGGGGATGGGGAGGGGTGTAAAATAGGGTGTATGGAATGTTCTGCTTCTTTATGGTTGGGAGATGTGCTGTTGTGTGGTGTATGGTGCTACGCTTTGACGAGGGGTATGGATTATACAGATAACAACACATCGATCCGGTCTGGTCTAATCTACTCTTTCTAGCCCCAGAGTATATCAACGAGTCTATCAGTCCAACACAATCCGATGCAACAAATGGGATATGCGTAAACCCAACCCCCCATCCCCAAAGAAACGCCAAACAATGCAACATTCCCAACCCACGTACCCAAAGCCCAAACCAAGTAAAAAAACACTACCCATACCGCACCTGCCCTCGACTATACGCCGGCGGAGGCAACGGCACATCCCCACCACCAAACCCCTGTCCTCCATACCCACCCTGGCTCATCAACGGGCCCTGCGAGCTACTCGCCCCATGCCCGCGCCCACGATACGACGACAACGGCGGCGGCGGGGGTACATTCTGCCCAGCGTATTTCCTGCGCTTCATGCGCCTGCGACACGAGCGCACACAGCAACACAGTATACACAGGACGAGGAGACCGCCGATACCAGCGGCGAGCCCGATGACGAGGGGGAGGTTGTTGTCGATCCAGGAAGTTATTTCGCCGTTGAGGGATGCGCCTTCGCATTGGCCCTGTTTTATTTGCGTTAGTCTCATCTAGGCATCTAGGGATATAAAAAAGGAAGGGATAGTAGGGGATATAATTACATTCTCGCACCGTCCACCCCCGGAGCACGCCGTCCCATCCAGAAAATTCTGCTGCAGGCCATAACACACGCCAGCGCCGAACCGCGGACTAGCACAGCTAAGCATGCAGTTCCTACTATCGCAGGCGTAGGTATCGTTTGACTGTCCGTAATCGCTCATCACAGTCTTGCACTGCAGATCCCTACTCGTGCACTGTCCGCTCGCACAAGCGACGCCATCGCCGCATGACTTCCCATCGTCTTCTGTTTTATCTTCGGGACAGTAAGGGTCCGTCCCCGTGCACGTCTCTGAGGGATCGCAGGGCCCGACGGATTGGCGACAGATGGTGGAAGCAGGGGCGAACTGGCAGTTACGACAGCAATCTTCATTGCTGTCGTCGCAGACTGCGTTGTTTTTGAAGCGGCAGGTTGTGGGGTCGCAGCAGGAGTTTTCTCCACATTGGTCTGCACCGCCACAATCGCATTGTTCGTCTGCTTCCACGATGCCGTTTCCGCAGCGCTGGCCGGTGATGGTGGTGATACCGCGGTTATCGGTGAGGCAGGTGGATTTCACGCTGTTGCGGCCGAGGGCGGAACACACGTTGCCGATGGAGCAAGGGGAGAAAGCGGTGATGCCGTCTGCGGTGGAGGGGTTCATGAGGTATCGTTGGTTTGCGTCGCAGGTGGAGGAGCTGAGGGGGCAGCATTGCTGGGAGTTTACTGTGTTTGAGTTTGCGCACAGCGAGGAGGTGCAGTCGTGGACTGCGCCGTAGGTGTGGCCTGTTTCGTGGGCGATGACTTGCCACTCTGCGCTGGTGCGTACGACGACGTTGGCGCCGGCGACGGTCTCGTTGCTGCCGGAGTTGGCTTGCGAGCCGGATGTGCAGGCTTGGCCTAGCCAGGCGAGGCCGACGGCTGAGCCGGTGTTGCAGGTGGAGAGGAGCGTCCAGTGCGAGTAGTTGTCGCCCTGGGAGCCTCGCCACTGCGAGAACAGGTTCAGGCGGTCTTGGATGTTGACGTTGCCGGTGCAGGCCTGGTTCCAGGGGGTGGACTGCTGCACAGACGTCGGGCAGTCGGGCTCGGTGATGATGACGTTGGCCAGGCCGAGGGAGATGTTGAAGCTGGTCTCGAACAGCTCCGAGGCGGCGCTGACCTGGTCGATGATGTTGGTCTGGGTGCGGTTCCGGTCGCGGTTGAAGGACGAGATGTAGGTGCAGTCAGCCGCGACACCAACAAGGGCGACCTTGCGGGTGCCGGGACATCCCGCCGTGTTGCCAATCGTCGACACCAGATTGACACCTGCGCCGTTCCCGCCAGGCTGGTTGTCAATCTGCCTCTTCCCGAAGACGTTGGCAAAGGGGGCCGGGGTCATCATGTCGTCGCGCGCGCGCATGCCCGCATAGACGGGGTGGTCGTCGTGCGTGTTGAAGCCCAGATCGTCACTCCTACATGCCAGGTCCTCGCTCCTCTTGCGCAGCTCGGCGCGCTCGCCAAAGAAGCCCATGTCCGAGTCCTTGAAGACGACCATCTCCTCGTCGTCTTTCACCTGCACGTCCGGGTCGCCCGTCGTGCGCGTGGCCAGGTAGCTCGACGTCAGCTTGACGTGCCAGTGGTCGCGGGCCATCATGAAGGTGCCCTCGAACAGCGGCTGCAGCCCGTCCCGCCGTATCCCAATGCGCGCCCATCCCGCATCCTGCCAGCTCTTCCCCCTCTTCACCAGCGCCCTCCCCTTGTACACTTTATGCTGGTGGCGGTCGATGGGCTCCTGTCGCGCGATGGTGCCGTCGGCGGCCAGATAGGATATGGTCCCCCCCTCGACGAAGATGTCGTGGTTGGGCTCGAGGCTGAGGCGGATGCGCTGGCCGGCGACGTCGAAGGCGACGTCGAACGACGACACGGCCGTGACGCGGTGGTCGGCCGTCAGGATGTCCACATTTTGAGCTAGGGCAATGCTGCGGAGGGGCGCACGCGCGGTGGATGACGCGGCGGCGAGGGCGGCCAGGGCGAGGGCGAGGGCCCGGCGGAGGATTAACATGGCCAAGTGTGTTTGGGTGCAGGCGGAGCGGAGACTACTACAACAACACGGCGCAAGACATGGGCGGGTGGCTGTCCAAGACGGTGGGTGAGGTTTATGTGTACAGGAACTTGGGGCAAAACAGAGCAGCCCCCGACAGCCATCGGCCTGGAGAGCCTGGTCGTCGTCAGCGCTCGGGGGCAGTGAGGCTTGGCTACGGCTGGCGGAGAACGGGGCTCGGCACGTCCATGCGCCACACTGAGCCCTATGCAGCCTGGGGATGAACCCATGGCGCTCCCTGTTGCTGTCCTACCCAGCCGTTCGACCCGTCACCCCTCGCACACAGATCACTTGCAGACCGAGCACTTGCACACAGACGGCAATCAAGATCAAACAAACACTCCCTCATTCATCCAAGACAGCGTGCTATTCGCAGCACACAATGCATCAGCCGTAGTCTGACTGTTAGATCCACTCTCCCGCCTGCAGCACCCTCGCGCCCAAACTCGGCCAGCGCTACGGCGATCAACCAAACACTCCCTGCCCATCCCATTCGCTCCCGCCCCCGCCTTGCTGCGTTTCCAAGCCAACTACTTCTTCTTGGCCTCGTGCACAATTTCGATGATTTTGTCAACAACCGACGGATCCGAGAGCTGCCCCCAGAACAGTTAGCCTCGTCTACTCCAGTCGAATGCGTCATCCACAGATATATATAAAAAAAGAACAAGCTTACCGTCGTGATGTCGCCCAGCTGGTCCTCCTCGCCCGCCAGAATCTTCCGCATAATGCGCCGCATAATCTTTCCAGACCGTGTCTTGGGCAGATCTGGCACCACGAAAATAGCCTTTGGCGCGGCAAACGGTCCGATCGACTTGCGCACTTGGAGAATCAGGTCTTTCTTGACCTGGTCGCTTGTCTCGGTGCCTTCTTTGAGCGATACAAACGCGTTGACTGCCTGACCAGTCAACTCGTCTGAAATACCCACCACTGCGGCTTCGGCGACTTGGTCTGCGGATGTGTCAGTACAGATGAATACTGTCAAAACCACAATATGACGTACGATGCTCAATGAGCGCGGCCTCGATCTCAGCAGTCGACAGTCGGTGGCCGGAGACGTTTACAACATCGTCGACACGGCCTCGAATCCAGTAGTAGCCCTCGTGGTCACGTCCTGCACCGTCTCCAGTGAACTAACCTGTTAGCAAACGTCTACACCACATCATCACCATACTCACATAATAGCCCTTGTACACATTCAGATATGTGTCCATGTATCGCTTGTGTGCTCCCCAGACTGTACGAGCCATGCTGGGCCACGGCTGCTTAAAGGCCAGCACACCCTCAACATCGTTGCCGTGGATCTCTTCGCCGGACACGGGGTCGATGATAGCGGGCTCGATGCCGAAGAAAGGAAGAGACGCGGATCCAGGCTTTGTAGGTGTAACACCACCCAGTGGTGTGATGACGTGACATCCAGTCTCGGTTTGCCAGTAAGTCTGTGCCAAAGTCAGTGCCTCTTTCATAGTATCTCGTACAACTCCACTTACATCCACAACGTGTGCCTCTTCCTTGCCGACCGTTTCAAAGTACCACTTCCAGACCTCGGCCGCAATCGGCTCGCCGACAGACCCCAGAATCCGCAGGTTCTTCATCTTGTGCTTGACGTGGTGATCACCAGCCCGCTTGAGCAGTCGCAGCGCAGTAGGCGCAACGTAGAACTGGCTGACGTTGTACTTGTCGACGATATCCCAGTAGCGCGAGAAATTGGGATACGCCGGCGTACCCTCAAACACAACTGTCGCCACACCCAGCAGAAGAGGTGCATACACAACATAAGTGTGTCCCGTGATCCAGCCCACATCGCCGCCGCAGAAGAAAACATCGTTGTCGTGAATGTCAAAGACGTATTTACCCGTCAGTGCCGCGCCCAGGAGGTAGCCGGCCGTCGTGTGCATTACGCCCTTTGGCTTGCCCGTCGAGCCCGACGTGTAGAGCAGGAAGAGGGGGTCCTCTGAGCTCATCGACTCGGGCGCGATGTAGTTGGGGTACTTTTCCACCTCCTCGTGCCACCACCAGTCTCGTCCCTTTGTCCATGGGATCTCAGCCCCCGTGCGCTTGAAGACCAGGCAGTGGCTGATGCCGGGGCATTGCTTGAGCGCCTCGTCAACAATCTTCTTCGTGCCAATCACCTTTCCGCCGCGCTTGCCCTCGTCCGTGGTAATCACCACCTTGCACTCCGCATCAATAATACGGTCGCGCAGGGAATCAGACGAGAAGCCCGCGAAAACAACCGAATGCACAGCGCCGATTCGCGTACAGGCCAAAAACGCAATAACAGCCTCCGGAATCATAGGCAAGTAAAGCGCAACCGTATCACCCTTCCTAACACCCATCTCCTTGAGAGTATAGGCGAGCTTCGACACCTCACGCAGCAGCTCGCCGTACGAGATGATACGGCCATCCCCCGCGTCGTCAGCCTCGTATATAATGGCGGGTTTATCCGGGTTCTTAAACGCATGGCGGTCGACGCAGTTGTAGCTGGCGTTCAGCTTGCCCTCGACGAACCACGCGTTGTCGCCGTGCTCAAAGCTGCCGGCGTGGACTGTTTGGAAGTCGCGCTCCCACGAGAGCAGCTCGCGCGCCTGCCGCGCCCAGAACTGCTTTGGCTCCGTAATCGACTCTTTGTACAGCTTCTGGTAGTCTTCGAGCCCGTCGAGGTGCGGTTTCGAGTGCGGGTGCTTGCTGCGGAGATGTTCCGTTAGCTGGGTTCGTACTTCTTTTGGGGGCGCGAGGCGCGCGACGGGTAGGGTGGCCGGCTCGGCATGGCGGGGTCACCCCGCTCTCTCTGCCGCCGTGAAGCTTGCCCGACGCTCGTCGCTGTGATGTAATAACGCAATGGAAACGCTCAACTCACTCAAAGAAAGCCTTGGGGACATGGAACGTGTCCACCTCATGAGCCTCAGCCACGACAGGCGGCTTAACGTTTCCTTCCGACATTGTGTTTCCGCGGGAGGAGTCGAGTCGAGTGGAGTGGAGTGAGAGTGGGGACAAACAAACAGACAGACGAACAGAAACCGAGCGTCTGCTTTCCAGCGCTCAAACTTTCGCGGCGAGGAGGGAGACAAGGGAGGTAGGGGAAGACGTGCAAGTCAAACGGAAGTAAGTAAAGAGTAACTCCCGAGTAAATATGTAGCTTCGGATGAAGGGCTCGGCAAAGCCCTGCGTTTTGTCACTCTAGACGCTGGGCTCGAAGGATCTCAGCACCCTTACCCCCGTCCGAGGCCGATTCAACGGAGTGGAGCTCCGCCTAGGTGGGTAGGTGGGTAGGTGGGTAGCTGGCTGGCGTGATTGAGTATATCTCGCGAGGCTAATGAGTGGGTATTGTATCGTGTCGTGTCGTATCGTGACTATCAACGAAGAACAAGAGAGAGGAACAGCTATACGCAACGACACCTTCCAAAGCAAGCCCCATATAGCCGAACGGCTCTCTTATGTGGTAGGTATGCACAACCCCTCGGGCTGATCAATGCCCACTTAACTTACCCCTCGCGCTCGCGCTCGTGCTCGCAACGACTAAGCCATGCCGGCCAGATGCACCCGTCGTACAGAATGAGGGGTCTGCTTCTACTTCCACTCTCCCACACCCTCACTCACTTACTCAACTATCTCATGCTGCCTGCCCCTCCATACCACCACGGATAGCACGTCGAATCACCGTCTCCGTTTCCCCGGCCTGCCCTACCCCCCAAGCCGCGGGAAATCCGGCGCATTGGTTCGCGCGGCGTGGTCGGGTTGCGGTGCTTCTTACAACTAGTCTATATGACAGCATGTGTGGTGTTAGTTTGATTTATGCATTTATGCGCCGTCATTGGGGGTGTGGTCACGATCATGATGGTATGGCTTAGGTTGGGTTGGGTTAGTTAGGGTGCGGGGAGCTCTCCGGCGGAGCGATGGAGAAGCATCCATGGCGGGGTCGGGGTCGCGATTAGAAATACAGACTTGTTCTTTGGAGAGCGCGTAGACTGTGCTTGTCGCTGTGGTTTTATTAAATTGGACGGGCTTGTGCCGGACGGTGTACAATCTATCTAGATAGTTGTGATTGCTGACGGGCACGCGACTGACTTTATCTATCTACCTACCTACCTAGGTACACATACGTACGCATCCACTTTTCTGCGGTTTGCCATGCCCGCCCATCCCGGACCTGGGGAAGCTGTCGCACTAACCCGAGGTACCGGCATGAACTAGTCCGAAGCACAAGCCTAGGTCATGGAGGTGCGGCAGGGCAGGGTTATGGATTTGGAATTAGAATTGGAATTGGGTATTTAAATACTAACAGGACGAGGCTGCGTCATCACTAACTACATACATAGATAGATGGGTGGGTGGATGGGTGGGCTTCACACGCTGATAACGCCCGCTTCCAAGATAATCCTTCCGTCCACTCGCCTCACCAGCGCAGGACTGACTACTACTCCCCTCCTGCCTGCGCCCTCCCAGACTAGATCGTACACGCCGGGTTGTCCGAACAGCCAGATCCGAAGCTCTAGGGTAGAGGAGATGATGTGCGTGAGGCCTTCGTCTTTGTCCTGGTCGCTGGCCGTAGGATTTGCCCAGGGAAAGAAGGTCAATGAGAAGTGCTCGGCTGCTTCACGGGTGTTTGACGAGAGGGCCCAGGACTTGCGTGACCGGGAGGGGTGGGAGGAAGAGGCGCTGTAGAGGTAGACGGTCAGACGACGGTGAAGGGTGGAAGCTGCGGTATGGTTTGGATCTGTGCCATCGTCAGTCATCATCTTCAGCCTTGCGCCGCTGGTGTTCGTACCAGACACCTCGTCATCGACGCTTGTGCTACTGAGTTCCCTGGGGAACAGTGTCTCCATATCTCCCTCGTTCTCCGGCCCAGTCATGCCCAGGACGTACGCTACAAGCGCGTGTTTGAGCGCGACAGTCGGCCTCGAACAATCCTGCAGCAGTTCCGCCATGTTTACGTCCTTCGCGCCGAATTGCGCGAGCTCAGGTTCCAAACTCGATGTGATACTCGCGTGTACGTCGCGGTAGTACGCATCAATATGTGCGTGGATGTCACCAAACAGCGCAGCAACTTTGCTCTGGATGTTGTGTTCGTCCGCCGGTGGGGGAAGAATACCAGCCAGCGGATCTGACGGAGTCGACTGCTGCACGGGTTTCCGAGCAAGGGTGGCTACAGGCACAGCTGTTTGCGAGACTTGAACGTAGGAGCTATCTCTCCTGCCAACGCCCACACCTTTGGGGGCCATGATTAGCTCTGGTGTTGAGTCCGCGTACGTCTCGTATTTCACTGGTCCACCGCTTGCATTTTGCTTTCTGTTTCGTTTCTTGAAGAGAAGAAAGGCAGCTAGAAAGGCGAGTGCGCCACCGATTATTGCTGTCGCGATGGCGATTCCTGCTACTGCGCCGCTGCTCACACCGTGGTTTCCACTGCTCTTGCTCGAGGGTTGTGCCAATGCCGGTGTCGCAGTCACGGTTGCTGAAGCTGCTGCCGGTGTGCTTGATGTCATGACATATGTCCCATTTTGTGACGTATTCCTTGTACTCGTAAGTTGTGAGTTGGCTTCTCCACTATCATCACTGCTTGTTGACTCATTCTGAGCATCTCCGGTACTCGATGGCGCAGGAGTGAATGTCCCGGCTGGCAGAGTCGAGTCTGGGATGGATCCGAATGACTCTATTCCTGTGGGCAAGGCTGTAGTCGGAAGTATGCTTTCTATCAAACTTGTTGCTGCACATAGCGAGACACCATTCTCGTTCGTCGGACATAGTGGTGGATTGTTCTGCTGCTGCGGCGCCATCTTTCCACAAGAAAAGGCCTTGGACCGGAGAAGAACAGACGACGAGGGAAAAGAAGAAAGGGAGAAGACCAGACAGAGTGTGGTAAGGAAGGCTGATGATATACCACTTCAGCCGTGCTCACGCATCAGGCAACCTGCTCAGCCGCACCGTGCCCACACCCCGCATGGTTTTACAACTCCGCCCCCATGCCATCTTTACTATGCATATGCGAGTGATTGATTGCTGGGCTTATTGTTGTACTGCAGAATGGTGGCTTTGGAAACCCTAGTGCTGATGGAATGGATAGTTTGCCAATGGGGAGGCAGAAAATAAGAGGATCGCTTCAGACGCTAGGCTGAATTGGGTTAGATTTCACTTGCGCAGCCTTCTCAGGTGCTGGCCTGAAAGCAACACATTTAGTTTAAAGTTTCGCGTAGATAAACGAACACGAGATCACTGCGGACTTTGCTTCGTACACGTTTATCGAGTCAGATCTGTATGATCAGCATTCACTTTCCTACTCACAAGTCTGGAGCGAGAGACTCCAAAACGAACCATGAGATGTTCCTTGCGATCCTGTATTGGTTTGATTCCTACCCTGGTCTCTTATATATAAGGAGTGAGCATTCTCCTATCATTCCTGTTCTTTAAGTGTTCCATCCATTTTCTCTATTCGAAATCAGGTCGAAACTCAGTTTATGTCTTCTTTTTAGAACGAAAACTCCAGTCTACCACTTTGCATGTGCCGCACTAAAAACAGCGAAACTCGAAAAGCCCCGATGATTCGATGCGCGAGAGAAAAACACTCCAAACGTCTCAGCAATCCTACCCATATCTTCCCTTTTTCAAAATTCTTATCTGAGGCAGCTATGTTCTTTCTCTGGTCGAAAAACAAACGATCAAGATGAAATGCCTGCACTGTACAAAAACTTGTTAAAGACATTCGTTTTGTGTGACGTCCTGCAAAGAAAACTTTTTGTGCAAGATACGCTTTCAACTGCCCGATTTCCCTGGTGTGAAAATAGAATGGAGTGGGTCCTATGTTCTTTCTCTGGACCAAAAACGACGACACGTCGTTACATGTCTGCTCTGCATAACATATCACCAGAAACGTAGCATATACGTATGAGACTTTTCACAACAACAGAAAGTGCACTACACCCTTCTTCCCAACGTCCCCATCTCCATCCTCACAAAATAAGGATTGAGCATTGCAATGTTCTTCCCCTGGACCAAAAGCCACATATGCCCCTGTATGTCTGCTCTCCAGCATATCGTCAAAAACACACCGCATAAGAAACTGCCCCTCACACTTCATTCCCGTCTCTATTTCTACAAAAGTGCGCATTTAAACGAGCGATGTCCTGTCCGCCGGCCAAAAACTCACGAGACCGTCCAACATGCTGCGGCTCCATTAATCTGCCAAAATGTATACCTTGCTTGCTGTGCTGGTTCCAACTACACAAAAGTCTACCAAATCCTACTTGACTCAAAACAAAACTCTCTGACGCCATATGTCTGTCTAAAATCAACACAATGTTTTGTCATGTTCTGTTTCCAAAGCAGAATTTCCGCAGCCCATGATTTCTGCAAATCCAAAATAAGTACGGGAGCAACTGATATGTGTGGAAATATCGGGTCATGTCGAAAAGCGATGGGCAAGGCGAGACATATATGAGAATTATGTCAAGCATTATGTTACTCGAAAACAGCAACTCCAATGGTCTATGGTGTGGACACAAAGATGCAAAATCACCATCACCACAACAATCACATCCAGTCACAGCGCATTGTTGACTTGTTATTTCATTGAGAGATCTATGACATGATAAGAGATTCCGCTCTTACACGAGTAAAGGAAAGCGCCATCGCCGTCGAATATACATCCATGCCCAGTACAGCCTTCATTCCCAAACTCCGTTCCTTCTCAAGGCTCTCACTCGCCAAGAGCAATGGAAAATGCTGACCCGTGTTGCATGTTACCAGCTTTCAAAACAGACGCTTAGCGGGCGTTGTTCTTAGGAGGCTGGGTAGGCGCTCCCTCGGGCGTGGTGTAACATCTCGTCATACCGCCGTCGACGACAAAGTCAGTACCGTTGACGAAGCTGCTCTCGTCGCTGGCAAGGAAAAGAACGGCCTGAGCCTGCTCGACAGCCTCGCCGAAACGGCCGGACGGGAAGTGGACTTCGCGACGGTGGCGCTTCTCTGCGTCATCGCCGAGCCAGTCCTGGAGGAGAGGAGTGCTGCGGTGGTCAGTATTGACTTTGAGGTATGACAGATCACGTGAAATCGTGTCGTTAGGGAGTTTGTACGTACTTCAATGGCGCTGGGCAAAGCGCGTTGAATCTGAATCCCTCCCTCGCGTGAACCATAGCCAACTCCCTCGTTAGCGCCAACACCGCGCCCTTACTCGCTGTGTACGCCAACTGCGGCGTTGCACTCCCTACTAGCGCCACCACACTCGCTGTGTTAATCACACTCGTCTTCGTCTTGTTGTATTTCCGGAAGCTGAGGACTGCGTGCTTGCTACCAAACCACACACCCTTGACATTGATGGCCTGTGTCAGATCCCAAATCTTCTCGGGTGTGTCAATGGCGTCGGCATCATCGGCATGCATGATGCCTGCATTGTTGAAGAGCACATCCAGACCGCCCCAGGAGTCGACATGAGAGACCATAGCGGCAACATCGGCTTCCTTGGAGACGTCGGTAATCTTGGTGTCGATTTTCTTGGCCTCTGGTACGATGCTCTTCAATTTTGCAACAGCCTTCTCCAGAGCAGGGCCGGAAATGTCGGAGAGAAGGACATTGGCACCTTCCCTGGCGAAGAGGACAGCTGTCTCGAGACCGATTCCGCTAGAAAGTGTTAGATAAATTTGGTGGCTACGTGAGGCGAGAGAAGTTTGATCGTGGATTGACCCCTGATTGTGAAGATGTATGATTCGATAGATATGAAAAAAGAAAACATGACTGAAGTTGAGGATACTGGCCGCTCTCATGCAAATCCAGGCCCAAGGAGTGCTCTGCCATACTTTCCACCTCTTACAGCCAGATAACAAACGTATCTCGGGTGATTTTTCTAAACTCGGCGAAATCAGGAGTCACAGTACTTACCCAGCGGCGCCGGTGATGATGCAGTTCTTGCCTTCAAGTCGACCCATGTTGAATGTATACGGTCTTTATGTTCGAGTAAAGGTGATGTAAGAAGTCTGTAATACAGTCAGGACCCGTGTCAAGCAAGAGACGGGGTCTTATAAAAGAGTCCTCGAGCCAGATATGACTAATATTAGTCAATGGCGGCGACAATCCACCGTTGTGCTGGCGTGGATACGATGACGTTGGCGAGATGAACAACACACACAAGCCAATGGTGTACTCACTTTTAGATTAAGTTCGAGTGATTGAAGTTTTCAAGTGAAGCTGATGTGTGTGAAGTGTGTCACGAAACAGATCTCAACGAGTGTATGGGAGGCAATGATCCCGAAGTCGGCCCTGTCAAGATAGGGTTTGATAAGGACCCTGCCAGCCATGGTCATCTGGCAGACAAGTCGAAAGAGCGGTGGATATTACGAGGACGCGTTGACGGTTGACATCCAGTTGAACATGCTCCTTAAAGTTTTCAGGCCTCGAGCTGCAGGCGCCCTCGCCATGTGCACAAACGCCAGAGGGCAAGTCTACCCCGCCATCGGAGGGTGGGGCAGTTGGGCGCTGAAGTCGTCGAGAAGCATCACGATATCGTGTTGGGAGGGATCAGATAACAGTCTGCGTAGGATGATAGTGGAACAGATAGGCGCAATCGATTATATACCTTGTAGCTTGCATACGGTAACGAGCGTCAAGGGAATGTATGCCGGTCTTGCATACCCCTCGTCGTCATCATTGGCTCAAGCTTCCTATCGCAGCTGGCCCCTGTTCATGAAGAGGCAGAGCTCTCGACGTTTGCTTGTTCGTTATCACCCACAAAGCTAATCTCTACACGCCTTTGAAGCCCTTTCTCAACGCCGTCCTCTTCTTGAGCCCTTTCGACTGCGCTCGTTGCCCGCCCATTCCATCCACAACCACCACGATGGCGTCAGAGACCCCCGCCACGATCACCGTCGAACAGCTCCCCGAGCTTCTAAAAAACGACACGTCTGTCAAAGTGGCAGGCGTAGACGTTGATGGGCTACTGCGCGGCAAACTCATGGCTAAGAAGAAGTTCCTCAGCGTCGCCAAGGCCGGGTTCGGCTTCTGCAGCGTCATCTTCGGCTGGGACATGCACGACCAGACCTACTTCCGCGAACTCGGCATCTCGAACAAGGAGAATGGATACCGCGACCTCATTGCTGTCCCGGACCTCTCGTCATTCAGACGGATACCATGGGAAAATGACGTACCGTTCTTCCTGATCAGCTTCCACGACCCGGATACCAACGAGACCCTGAGCGCGTGCCCAAGAAGCTTGTTGAGGCGCACAGTAGACAAGCTCGCGGAGAAAGGGTATGGGGCTATGGCGGGAGGTGAGTGTGTCGCTGAGGAGAGGACGGGTACTATGAAGCTGATTGCCTGTGTACAGCCGAGTACGAGTTCTACCAGTTCCGCGCACCGCAGAACCACGACGGTACAGAGAGAAACACCTCGAGCACTGCAGCATTCCTACGCGATAATGCCGTCACTTCGCTCCCAAGCCTCACAGAAGGCATGTTCGGATACAGCATAACGCGACCAGTACACAACCAAGACTACTACTACGGCATCTTCGACGCATGCCTCAAGTTCAACTGCGGAATCGAGGGCTGGCACACAGAGTCCGGGCCTGGTGTATTTGAAGCTGTATGTCCCATCAACGCCTTGTATGACACCATGAGAACTAACGACCAACTCCACAGGCCCTCGAATTTGGCGAAATCGCTCAAATGGCAGACAAAGCCTCCCTCTTCAAGCTCGTCGTCAAATCCCTCGGCTCAAAACACGGCATAACACCCTGCTTCATGGCGAAGCCCCGCCAGGGCCTGCCAGGAAACAGCGGCCACATGCACGTCTCCATCGTCGACAAGGACAGCACAAACCTCTTCGCGCGCGCAGAAGAAGACAAGGACGCCGCGTACCCAGATATCCGGTTCCTCTCCGACATGGGGCGCCACTTCCTCGCTGGCCTGATCGACGGCCTGCCGGATATCATGCCCATCCTGGCGCCGAATGTCAATTCGTACAAGAGGCTGGTTGAGAACTTCTGGGCGCCTGTCACGGTCTCGTGGGGCTTGGAGCACCGCGCTGCTAGCATTCGGCTTATCGCGCCGCCCACCGCCTCGGCGAAAGCAACGCGCTTCGAAGTCCGCGTCCCGGGCGCAGATACAAACCCGCATTTCGTGCTCGCTGCAATTCTAGCGCTAGGGTGGCGGGGCGTGGAGAAGAAGATGGAGATTGCCATACCGCCGCTAGGCAAGGGCGAGGATGTAGGCGGTACGGCGGATAAGGGACAACGGCTTGCAAAAAGCTTGAAGGAGGCGACGGAGCGGTTTATGAGGAAGGAGAGCGTGGCGCGGGAAGTTTTCGGAGATGAGTTTGTAGACCATTTCGGAGGGACAAGGGAGCACGAGGTGCGACTTTGGGACGAGGCGGTTACGGACTGGGAGGTCAGACGCTATATTGAGGCTGTCTAAGCTCGCGATCCTGGACGGGTCGGTCGATTATACCACTATTCCATATATTATTACGTTTCATCCTCTCACATCCCAATCAGCCCCTTGATCCCCCTGACCTTCCCACGCACATCTCCATACCCCAACCACACAATCCCCATGGCGAACTTCCACGCCTTGCTTCCATCCTGAACGGGTAAGTCCATCGGCGGCGGGATGCCCGTCTTCACACCCATCCACCCCAATCGATCCCTCGTAACACTCTTCGCGTTACACAAACTCCGCAGCCCCTCCTTGCCAGCAAAGCGTCCGTATCCACTCCCCTTGGTCCCTCCAAACGGTAACTGCACCATATACGTGACAGCGAAATCATTCACCGCGACCATGCCCGCATGTACCTCTCTAACCACGCGCTCAAGATCGGCGGATTTGGAGCCGTACACGGAGGCGCCGAGGGCGTAGATGGTGCTGTTTGCGATGGCGATAGCGTCGGACACGGATTCGGCGCGCATGAGCAGGAAGACCGGGGCGAACAGCTCTGTTTGGGCGATTTTCATGTCGCGGGTGACGTTTGTGAGGAACGTGGGGGTGAAGTAGTGGCCCTTCGGGTATTGAGGGTGGGCGTAGCGGGTGCCGCCTGCGAGGAGGCGCGCACCTTGTTTGACCGCATCGGCGATCAGGCTTTCAAGGTTGGAAAAGCTTGCGGCGGAGATTGATGCGCCGACATCGACGGGTGTATCGGGGCTGTTGAGGATGGAACCCGGACGCAGGGCGCGGATCTTAGGGGTGAGGTATTCGACGAGACGATCGTGGACGTTGGGGAGTGCGATGACACGCTCGATGCCTATGCAGTTCTGGCCAGCAGATTGAAAGGTGCCACGCATGAGGATGCTGGCTACACGCTTGAAGTCACTGTTTGACAGGTCGTCGAGTAGTATCGCAGGATCTTTCCCGCCTAGCTCGACACATACGGGGATGAGAGCTCTTGCAGCCGAAGCGCAGACATGGTGCGCGACTGGTCGCGAGCCGATGAAAGTTATGTGAGAGATGCCCGGGTGCGATGTCAGGTGGTCGGCGACGTTGGGCCAGCAGACGACAGACTGGACGAGATTGGAGGAGTGTCCGCATACTTCGAGCGCACGGGTAGCGATTGATGTGAAATACGCTGAGGACCAGGCGGTGGCTTCGGAGCCCTTGACAATGATGGCGTTGCCGGCGAAGATGGACGCGATGATGGGCGAGATGAGATTGTGGAACTACAAGCGATTAGTTGCTATTCAAGAAGAGATCGTTTCACGGAGCTTACTGGGTAGCTACAATACAGGTCAGCAATGAATCACAAGCTTGTATAGAGAGGGGTACTCACTTCCAGCTTACACAAGCTGCCACAACGCCCAACGGTTCATACATAACCTCATTCCACTTGTACATCATGAGAAAGTTGGTGTCCCTCCTCTCACTCTTCAAGCTCTCCTCGCCATGCTTAAGTGTCCACCTAAGCTTTTCGACTGTGACCAGGATTTCTCCCAAACTCGCATCCACCATGGTCTTGCCCGAGTCCAGACACGCGACCCTGGCAATCGTTTCCTGGTTCTCGAGAACGAACCGCAACATAGTTCGCAGCACCTTCCTACGCTGAGAGAATGTCGTGCGCGCCCATTGCACTTGGGCCTCGCTTGCTTTCGCAATGCAGCGGTCGATGCCTTCTGCTGTGGATGGGTTGACACGCCCGAGGGCCTCGCCAGTCGCAGGGGCGTAGCATTGAATAAGGGAAGAGCCTGATACCTGCAAAGAGTCAATTAACATCCTTGAGTACCCAGGCGGTGAGTGTACCTTCAGCGACGCATCGTCGAGCACCTGGCCTTTCCACCCAGGTTCTGCTTCCGCTGGCGACGGGATATTGTACAGAATCGGCCCCTCTACATCTCGCCTCAACGTCAGATAGAAAAGAACCAGCGTTGCTGCGCTAAGAGCACCCCAGACATAGGCGTCGAGGGCGCGAAAGTCGCGCTCCAGCATGTGCTCCATGGTGAAGCCAGTTGTCTTGGTTAACTCTGGTTGGACCCTGAGATTTTCGAGTTGCTACTGGCGCGTCGACGCGTGATCATCTGAACCCACGAAACGCAACCACCAAGTTCCTGTCGCCGGATTGGTAGGAGCAAAACTCCGAGCGAATAGACGCAAATTGCCTGTTGCGGCAAGTTCCACAAAAGCATCGATGACCTGGGAAGGGCGTCCGGGTCCAGTAGGAAGTCACCTCCCTACACCACGCCGAAATCACAAGCTCAGCCACATTGTTACCGCAAAACTCAAGCAGATATTGTGAGCTTCGAGACGCACGACTAGGTCGTAAAATAGCCGTCCAAGAGGTTTGTTGTATATTCGAAGTTCTAATGTGTTCCTTTTTGAGGGCCCGGAAGTCTCGACACCTTAGTTGGTGACGGAACTGAGCACTGGAACTAGACTACCACAGGACTTCCTTGAACCAAATCAAACCAAACAGGTCCTCTAAAGAACTCCGACGTCGGTTGGTTGGTTAGTTAGTTGATTCAATTATAGTCCTGTATCATAGCCCTGTGGGCAAGTAAGACTATCCTAATCCCCTCTCTCTCTCCCCTAAAGCCTCTAAGTTTCAAATAGACTATTCTACCAGTAGTATTCACCCAGGTCTTATTTTACCGCTACCGATTAAACGGCTAGGTCTAGAGGCCTGCTAGGCAGAGAAAAAGTTCTTAAAAAACTCTGCCTATACTATAATGTTAAATTGTTGTAGATAGCTATCTACTTCTGCCTTTTAGCGTAGAGTGAATGCTCTCCTCCTGCTATGCCCTCTTAACGCTATACATCTCTCTAGTATCTAATAGTCCCTCCCTATCTAATCCTCTCTACCTTATAGAGGGTTAGACCTAGAAGAGGATCTGTTCCGTGCTTAGCTTCGTTAAGGGTGTTAACGCCGGTTAGGTAGGCAGAGGGAGGCAGAACCCCTATCTCTCTGCCAGGCTCGGTGCCAGCAGGATTGTAAGGCTAAAAGGAGTAGAGTATCTGTAATACAGCTATCAGCGCAGCTAGGAGAGGGGGATAATACTTGTAAACAGAGATTAAGATTAGAGATTAGGACACGTTGCTGCATTAGCTCTGCCCGAAGGCAGGTTCGTAGCCCTCGCCGCGTACAGGCTGCAGCATCTGTTTTTTGAGGGCCAACTCCGACGTCTGCTTCACAGAATCCGCCTGATCCTCACGTACTCGCCGTCAACATCGCAGATGATCGTTCCCCTGCGATATGCTCCCATTGTACGGTAGATTTCCGCAGCCACCTCTTGGACGTCATCCTTACGAGAATAACTGTACTCTTCCTCACCCGGCGCCTTCCTTCCTTCGTTTGGAGTCTCATCTGTTGATGTAAAGGCCAGTCCAGCACAGATGAAATGCTGTTTAGTAGATGTACCGCCCATTGCCGCGCTCTGCAATCTCGAAAACAGACTACCCGCGGGAATGTTGCCGATTGTCGACTGCCACGTCGCAGCCAATGATCCTAGGGAATATGTGAGTCGGAAAAGTAACAAGAGATATGAAGTCCAAACCTCCTAAGACTCCTCCCACATTGAACCCTGTTGGTTTCTGGCCAGTCCCTACAAACCCCAAAAGGTGCATGACGATGCCTGACCCATACATGCAAATACCGTATCTCATCATCGCATTTTTATCTACACGGAGCTTCTTCCAAAACTCATCATCTGAATTACCGTGATCTTCATCCCACGGCTTTCCAAACTCCATGATGGCGAGTGTCGCTTGTGGAGAGAGAGGTGCTGTGTAAATGGTGAAGCTAAACACAAGAGGGGCAAGAGCAGGTAGAGCAGGTAGAGCAGGTAGAGCAGGCAGAGCAGCTGAGAAGGAAGATGGAAAAGAAGATACGCATAAGATGAATTAGTACTGGTGGATTTCTGAATCACCATGAAGCAGTGAGTGGTGAAGTGAGCGTGAGCGTGAGCCACAGGTAAGAAAAGCTGGAACGGTATTAATCCTTCATTTGGAACAGTTGACTGAGAGACTGGTTGTACATCCAGACTCCCAACCTCTTCTTTCCAAAGGCTTATAAGTTAATATACTCGATTATTGCTTGTCTACAAGAATTCTTGTGAGCACACTGTATCCTGTCGTGATCTATGTTATTGCCAATGTCATTCAAATGCTCTCGGTTAATCGAGACAGTAGGATGAAGCTACATTCTACCAAGTTACTAAACTACAACATCAAAAGCGAAGATTGCTTCAGACTAAGCGTATACTAGTGTTTATAGCACGCAAGTTGTACGTAAGGTTTGCATGTAGTTGTTTAGCCGTTGGAAAATTCTGCTGCACATTGGTTCATGGTACTTCGGTTACCGGTAACCGAGAGTCAGCCTCGTTCACTTTCGTTGAATACAAACTCACCCTTCATCAACCTAAAGGCTGTCCGAGGAGCTCTTCCCCACAAAATGGAAACCTTCATGATCACCTGCGATGACGCTCATCTACGCATCGAGCACGGAGCAGTTCCCCGCAATTTCACATATATTAACCTCGTCACGCCGAAGTGTCTAGCGTCTAAGTTACGAACATCGTCAGCTCCATAGCCAGTACATATTTTCTAAACGGTTACCAATTCTCTGTCGACTATGCTCAGAGAAGTGACGGAGCAGAGTATTCCGAAGGCCACCTCAAGTCGACTGACCCAGTCGTCTTATGCCTACATGCGAAGCTCGCCATCTGTCCTGGTCCCTTGGATCCTCTAATCTAATATCTGGTGTTTCAACCAATATGTTTTCCCCACAAGAGCGGGGAGGTTGACTCCGTTTAACCTTAGGGTAGCTCATAATGCAGGAAGGGATGGAAGGGGCGAAATTTGTCGTGGCTATAAGAATGTTCAGCCCAATCCTGAACTACTTCACAGAGTAACAGGGCTCCTACCTAGTTAGCCATGAAGATCACGGCTTTCCTTTCGTTCATCGCTGCAGTGGTAGCATTGCCAGCCACGAATGACATCTCACCGCGAGCCTCGATTTCGAAAGTCAATGGACTGAAGTTCAACGTCGACGGGGTCACGAAGTATGTGGCCGGCACCAACAGCTACTGGATCCCCTTCCTCACGAACGACACCGATGTCAATACGATCATGAGTCACCTATCCACCTCGGGCCTCAAGGTCCTACGAGTTTGGGGCTTTAACGACGTGACATCGATCCCTAGCTCAGGCACTGTCTACTTCCAGTCCTTCTCTGGCTCCACTGCGACGATCAACACGGGCGCCAACGGCCTTCAGCGTCTCGATGCCGTTGTCAAAGCTGCTGAGAAGTACAACGTCAAGCTCATCATCAACTTCGTCAACAACTGGACAGATTACGGAGGTATGGCAGCGTACTTCTCTGCCTGCGGTGTGAGCAGTAACGCACAATGGTACGCATCGACTCGCTGCCAGACCATGTATCAGGCGTATATCAAAGCTGTAGTATCGCGCTACCGATCTTCGACTTCTGTGTTCGCGTGGGAGCTTGCTAATGAGCCTCGCTGCAACGGATGTCAGACCTCTGTCCTCACCAGCTGGATCCGCCAATCGTCAAACTACGTCCGCTCCCTCGACTCCGACCACATGATCGCCATCGGTGATGAGGGGTTCGGTCTTTCCGGCGACGGTTCCTATCCATACCAGTACTCCGAGGGTCTTGATTTCGCCGCCAATCTCGCGTTACCCAATATTTCGTTTGGCACATTTCACTTGTACCCTTCGTCCTGGGGCACAAACAACACTTGGGGCAACGCCTGGATCACAGCTCATGCAAAAGTTTGCCAGTCACTCAAGAAACCATGTTTGCTAGAGGAGTATGGGGTGACGACAGCGAGTGATCATTGCCCTGTGGAGAGCGAGTGGCAGAAGACAAGTTTGGGACTGAAGGATGCTGGGATGGCTGGAGATTTGTTTTGGCAGCTAGGTGATACGATTCCGAGTACGGGACAGTTGACGCACGATGATGGGAACACGATCTATTACAAGAGCTCAGATTGGGTGTGTCTTGTCGATAACCACAGGACAAGCATTGGTTAGAAGCAGTGGGTTATCTGTTTGGTTGTACATAACTCCGTTCATGTCATTCCTCTTCTGCTTTGCATACTGAGTTTCCAAAAGTTGCGACGTGGGGTATGTGGCTTCGCGTTGCTGGTATACGTTCAAGTCTAGATATGGTCATCTTGACTAATCGCCTGCTGGTTCGTTCCTTCCTCGTCACGGAGGTCTTGCTAGACTAGACTGAGCAAGGGATTGTCCTATAAAGGTTCGGAACTGGGTTGCATTTCCCATTACAGTTTCTGCATATCGAGGTTTTCGTCAACTGCGCATCTCGGTTCTTGCTCCGTCGTGTCAGGCCCCATGCTGAGTTGGACAGCAGACAGCACTGGCGGGCCTGATGAGTAACTAGCAGACGCGTATCGCCAAACTGCGAATTGTCTTTCTCGCTGCACTCTCGCCAACCCCTTCAAATGCTTACCAAGCGTCACGGAGCACTCGCCATGACGATCGCGGTCGCACTGCGCGATCGTTCAGCCTCCTGCCAGGCGTTACCCCGCTTACGGACTCCGAACCACCATAGGAGGCTGGGGCGCACACATCAGAAAGTTGGTGGTTCTCGACAGCCGAACACACAGCCACAATGATGACGGCTATTCGTGTTTGTAGTGGATTCGCGTTCCCTTCCCGAGATAGAAGGATTGCGTGGGGAACGCTGGGGGCCGGATTCCAAGCCACCCTTGCGCAGGCCATTGTCTGCATTGGTCCCGCATGAGCTGAAGGTGCGACGTCCAAACGGGCACAGGGCTGAGATTCGAGACACAGGCCTTATTTGCCAGGCGTCTTACTGTCTGACCTTGCGACGCTGCCTTCTCTTCCGTCTGTGATAGTAAAATCTCTGCTGTGTAGCTTCTTCGCACTGCTGCAGATACCAGTGTAGTACCGACCAGACACGACAGCAGCATTTCTGCATCTGCACGACGACAGGATAGGCGGTACGAAAGGAACCTGAAACAGCAGACCGGGCAGGCAGAGAGGGGTAGGTGGATCTGCAGCTATGGCCGACGACCGCCGTCCACTCGTCCACGGACTGTCGGACTATCCTGAGACAGCAGAGCACACACCTGCATCGCCCTCGTTGGGCTTCACAAACAAATTCCCCTCCCTCTCGTTCGCGCACATCGCACCCCCGACCACCCCGCCGACGCCCTCGCGCCCCACCTATGCGCGTCTCCAGAGCGATGCGCCGGTGGAGAGGAGGACCCCAAGCACCGTAGTTGAGGAAGACGAGGAGGATGACATCGCAGACAGCTTCAGACGGCAGGACAGCGGCGGCCTAGGCATAGCTGCCTCGAACTCCCCAGTAGCAAGTATCAGGCGGGCCAGCCTCGCCAGACGTCCAGTGGCTTCCTCTCTCAAGAGCCCCAGCACCGCGTCACCTCCAGGCACAGCCGACCCGTTCTTAGGCAGGTTTCCCCACGATTCAGCCGAGGCTACGCCGGATTTGACGCGCGAGAGATTCAGTCCTAATGGGGGCTATGAGGAGTTTCGGCGAGGGCTTCCAAACCATGCCGTGCGGAGTCTTACAGCCGCCGGCCACAACTACGAGCAGCCACTGCACTCTTCAGCAAGAAAACCGGGCGCGCCTTCCGCTGAGCCCGCATACGAGCACACGTTTCATCCCTCACACGAGTGCCAGACCACCAGAGACTTTTACAACTCCAAGGTTTCCTGGCTGAACGTCAGCATCATCGTCATATGTCTGTTTTCAACCATCTTTTCTGGTATCTTCCTAGTCTTGGCGCTGAAAGCACCGCGCTATGGTCGCAGGATCCGAAGTCAAGGCCACTTCAAACCCTCAGATGCTATTCTCCTCACTTCTGTTCTGGCCAAGGCCATTGAGCTTTCCTTTGTCACGTCCTTTGTCGCCTTCCTGGGACAAGTCCTCAGCCGGAGGGCGTTCATGAAAGAAGATGGCCGCGGTGTGACACTCTCAGAACTGAGCATGTGGAGATGGGTCGTTCAGCCAGGCACATTAATCACGCACTGGGAAGCCTTTTTTTACGCTGGGACTTCTGTTTTGGGTATACTGAGCTTGCTAAGCGCAGTCGTAGCCACCCTTTATTCGTCTGCGGCCGCTGCGGTGGTCCAGCCAGTATTAAGAGACGGCGGTGATTGGACACCTATGATAATGGCTGGCAGTATCAGATCGGATTTTGCTAACATAGACTATGTCAAAGCCATGTGCGAAACTCCAATTCGTACTGACAAGGAGTATAGCGGTGCCACATGTGTGCAAATTGAGCACGCTGGCCAGGGATACTACAACTATCAGCGCTACCTTGCTGGTTGGGATGTTGCAGCTTCTAACGGGAATGGTTCTTCTGACCAGCGCGAACGACCACCTGGCTTTGGGCTACTATACGACAATACCACAGTCACGGCCCAATGGATCAACATCGTCAACACCACAGAGATCTCTAAACAGCATGGTCGAGTCATTAACAACGTCTCTCTGGCGATGCCTCATTCCGGAGTGTTTGCAGCTGCACACGATCAAAGAAACGGTATTCTTCAGCCGGAAGAACTCAATTCAGAAGGAACGTACTCATTGCGCGCATCTGTACCGTCGCCAGTCTTGAATGCGCTTTGTGTCAACATGAATAAGACGGAGCTTGACCCGATCGTATATGACAGCTGGAACGACGAACTCGTCAACATCACTACGTGGAAAGACGGGTTTCTCATGGATAACGCGACCACGACGAACAAGACCGTGGTGGATGATATCTTTGGTTGGAATGATGTGGACCGAGTGGACTACCCGCCTGTGTTTTCGAGGTTTCCGCTTCCCTTCAACACGGTGATGAACCACACTTCATACCCATGGGGAAGAGCTGCAATATATTTCCTTGGCCAGGGTGGTTTAGCCGACGACGGCACAAATGGGACTGGTACGTTTGCCTTGTGTCGTCTCCAGATGAACCTCAGCCCAGAGTGTCAAACACGGTATAACGTCAGTGGCGCTAGCGGATCAATGGAGAGTCTCTGCGAGGACCGTGCCGGCAGTATGCAGTATAGCGAAAGGAACCCTGACGCCCAGTGGATTCTCGGTGTCAGAAACTGGAGGGATATCGGGTTCGATTGGGCGAACAGTCTCTCGCTAAACACTGGAATCATGGACGGGTATGCGAGCATCTCGAGAATATTGACCCAGTTGATCCTGATGCCGTCTGACCCGGATCCTACGAATCTTGCAGTTAAACTCAATCCAGACTTGCCGAGTCTGGGTGAGGCGCTAGCAGTTCTCTCTGGCTGTACGTTGCTTAAGTCTATGATTGATGCACCATTTGTGCATTTCTGGGTAAGTTCAGTAATCTCATGTACCCATATGCTCACAATACTAACCATGTTCTTAGAACTACACACGCCCCGCGCTTGATAATTACCAAACCCAATATTTCAACGCGTCTCTCAGGGCCCAGCAATACGCATCCGGCGGCGTTGATTCCGCCTCAAAGGGCTGGATTCTTATCCTACTCCTCGTCTTCCTGATGAATGTTGGCGTCCTCGCCTACTTCCTTGTCCACCGCGGCCTAGTCACCGACTTCTGTGAGCCGCCAAATCTTTTCGCTTTGGCTGTCAACTCGCCGCCTTCACACGTCCTTGCTGGATCGTGTGGTGGCGGTCCTGAGGGCAAGCAGTATGGAGTCAATTGGTTTGTCCAACATGAGGGCGGTCATCTGTACATGGAGCCAGGAGAGAAAAGTGATCTTCAGCACGACTATGGGAAACCGCATGTCCATGTTGAGGAAGTCGAGTCGGAGACTCCATCACTTCGGCAGAAGTCTAGCAACGGTTTCTTCACTCCCATTGTTAGCGCTTTCTCAAGACTCACGGGGCAGTTTGGGAAGAAGCGGGCACCCGCCAGACTCCAGTCGGGGAGCGCGGTAGAGCGAATGAGACCGGTGAGTGTGGCGAGTAATGCTGGATATGAGATGGAGGATGGAACTACACGGACACAGCGACAGTATGCCAAGCTGGCGAATAGGAGGAGTATGTTGTAGGATAGTGATTGGTTTCATGTTCCATATTCATTGCGGAGAGACGATAAGTGTGGATTTAATTGTGCGTCTTATCCTTGTAATTCGGAAGTACGTTGAATATAATGAGGACTTTATTCATCAACGATCTTGGCACGTAACACATCGGCATCGTGCTCTTTCATTCTCAACCCATGTTCAAGCCTAGGCTCGACATAATTGTCTTACACAGCTCTGCGTTGATGGCAGTCCACCAGTTTGCCCCCATCATCCCCAACGTACAAGAAAGAGACAACACACGGAAATTGTATAGAAAGAACACATCGCTTACGAGTTTCATACCACTCCTAATCACACACTATTCTCAACTCCTTCACTCCCTCATCTACCCTGAACACCCCCCAACACACCATCCCACAACTCCAACCAAATCACCTAGTCCTTCCAACATACCTCCCCCGCCCATCCGTCAGAACCCTCGTTTTCGGCAGCACACTCGGCGTCGCACTCCTCGCCCGCCTTTCAACGTTCACCTTAGCCGTCGTAGCCATGGGGAGATCAGGGGTTAAGTGTCTCTTGATCTTGGGGTCTGCGTGTAGCGGTAGCGGGAGATGGAGACTCAGTGGGCGGGGTGGAGGGGTTCTGCCGTGGACGGGCTCTGGTATGTGTTGGGATGGAGGTTGTGCGATGTGTTTGCTGGGAGGATGCAGAGTTGATGCTGTTTGGTTGATGTTGTGGAGGTGCGTGGCTGGGCTGGAAATGGGTTGAGTTGGATTTGCGGACGGTTCGTGGTGTGTGGTGTAGTGTGTGGGGGTCGTGGGTTGGGTTGGAGGGTAGTTGTTTCGCGGTGTCCTACTGTCGTTAGTTGGGGATGCTTGTTTGGTGTAGTGTGGTCTCTGTTGCGCTGGCGTTGCAGGCGGTGGGGTGGGATACCCAGGACGCTGTTCTGGTGAAGGAGAGTGATATCTCTGTGCTGATGAATTGATGGGTCGATAGCGATCATTCGGCATATGACAAATGGGGTGGGCGAACTGAGTAACGCTGTGCGGAAAATGTAGTTCAGAATCTATGCAGTACTCTGGAGAAAAGGAAGCCGATGGATCTCTCTGCCCTGGAATCAATACATCTGGACGGGATCCGGATTGCCCGAGAAAGTGTCGAAGATTCTCGAGGCGTTGAGCTTGCGATGTATACATATCGCTTTGTAGAATCAATGGAGGAGGCCGCTGAGGCTGTGGAGCGTACAATGCAGGTGATGATATCCCTACTGTTCCCCACTCCTGAGCACGCGAAGAATATACAGGTGTTCTATGGTTGTCTGCCGATCTGTTGCCAGCCCTCGACTTTTGCTCGGTATCGTCAGTCTGCTGCAAACTCCCTTCGAAAAGTACCGGTTGCGTCCAGACTGTCGTCATGACACCTGATAGATCTGGCACTGCGCCCCCCCGTACCTGTGAGTGTTGTGATACTGTACTCTGAGGGCTTGTCACTATGATCTCCGGGACAGGAGTGTTCCGATATGCTCGCGAGGGTCTATCCATTGCACTGCGAGATCTTGACTGAGCCGTCTGGCTGAATGCCATATTGCGATTTGTTTGCGAGGAATTCTGCACTGGTACGGCAGACTGAGACCTTACTAGACCGTTTGGTGCGTTCGAATGCTGTAGAGACGTGGTTTGGTCAAGCTTTCTCTGCTTCCTTGCAGCCTCTGCTTGCAGCCAATTTTGTTGATGTCTTTTTGAGTTCTCTATTGCTTGCCGTTGACGTGCCTCATCGGTCTTGCTCGTTACAAAGATTCTTGGACGCTGCTGCTCTGCTGTCGTCATCTTGGTTGATCGTGTTGGAAGAAGTGTGGGTGGAAAGAGATAAGTCTTGCCTGACAGAGTGCATATATAAATGTTATCAATCGACAACCTACAAACATTGAGGGCCTTCCAGAAACAAACGTTGATATGCTTTTTTCCAAATAGATCGCAATAGCACATGGGGGCGAGTTCATATGAAATCTGAATTGAGCTTGTATGGAAAAGAATGGTTCTGGATATGATTCTATGCGCTGTTTCGAACGAGTTTGATCTGGGAGTAGTGATTCCACTCTTAGCGACCTAATTGTAGAAACGTCCATCCAACTCTAGGTAGCTGGTGACGCTCACAGAACGGCGTGAAGAGGTTTCTAAAGTTTGTCGAGCAACGTGTTCGAACCCTTTTCTCTCTGCACACTGCCTTCGCAGGTCAACAGCCAAGTCACATAGATCAAACATCACAAGAGTCCACCCATTGCAGGGCCAACTGCAGCCTCTCGATCGTAGGAGATGGCTGTAGAAAGCGCACATGTAGTGTATGTATCGCCACATTCGAGCCGCTAATTCAGGTAAAATCCGAAGCAGTAGATACCGGACGAGAGTTCTTCTCACGCGCACATTCACAGATCAGTGAAGACCTGGTGCCTTGCGGACATGACATTGAAGCAGCCATGCCCTCAGCGTGCGCGATGTTGAAGGAAAAGCTCGGTCATGCATGGCAGATTTTGATGTAGCATCGCTTAGTCACAGACGCGCTAAAATCGAAGCTAGGGTGTCAAGTTCTGCCGACTACAATTTCGCAAACACTCGCACCATGGAAACTCTCGACAACACCGACTGGGACGTTGTTATTGTCGGTACCGGGCTGCAGCAGTCTTTGCTCGCTTTGTAAGTTATCATGTTTGACTACGTTACCCGACGCGATCTGACTGACGTAGCACCTGAAGAGCTCTGTCGCGCTCGGAGAAGAAAATCCTCCACCTCGACGAAAATTACTACTATGGCGGCGCTGAAGCTGCCTTGAGCCTGCAAGAGGCTCGAGAATGGGCGATACAAGTGAATGGCGCGTCTGGTGGTGCCTTCTCCAACGTCAACATCACCAAGCCTGAGCCTGCCGGATCAGAGCCGTCTCCACCATCACTGTCGTTCTCGAGGGCGTACAGCTTGGCGCTCAGTCCGCAGCTCGTATACGCTCGCTCCTCGCTCCTGCAGTATCTTGTTTCGTCGAGGGTTTATCGCCAACTCGAGTTCCTGGCTGTCGGCAGCTGGTGGGTGTTTTCCGCAGATGCTGCTAGCGAAAGCTTGCCACCATCTGACGGCATTCAACGGCACGGAAGGCTTCTGAAGGTGCCCAACGGGCGAGAAGATGTCTTTCAAGACCACGACCTTGACTTCAAGGCGAAGCGCGCTTTGATGAAGTTTCTGCGCTTCATTGGCGAATACGAGGAGCAGCCCGAGGTCTGGGAGGAGCATCGCCAGCAGCCGTTTCCCACCTTCCTGTCGGAGCAGTTCAAGGTCCCTGCAGCGCTTCAGGCTCCGTTGCTGGCACTCACACTGTCGCCATCGCCGTCAACTCAGACGACTACCGAGTATGCGTTGCCGCGGATCGCGAGACACCTTAGGTCCATCGGCATCTTCGGGGCTGGCTTCGGATCAGTCATACCCAAATGGGGTGGCTTGTCTGAGATCAGTCAAGTCTCTTGTCGTGCATGTGCCGTTGGTGGTGGAGTATACGTCCTTGGAAAAGGTCTTGCACCCACCGATGATGTCACTCCGGAGACATCCGAGAGCGGCATCAAGCTTCACCTGAAAGATGGTGAGGCTATCACGGCGAAGTGGATTGTGGGAGGAAGCTCCTCGACCGCTATCGAGGACATACAATGCAGGTCAATGACCATCGTATCCTCCGCGCTTATACCATTGTTCCCACCGATCGCAGAAGACGCGCCAGCTCCAGCTGCTGCGGTTGTTGTATTCCCGTCTGGATCACTCCCGTTGGACTCTCAAGCTGAAGAGCTTCCGGCAGTCCATGTGCTTGTGCATTCATCCGACACGGGGGAATGCCCTGCAGGTCAGAGTAAGTCCTACCTCCATCTTTTTCTATTTTGCTGTTATGATGAACAAACCTTACGAATACTTATCTACATTGTCTGAAAATTCTTGAAGATAATACCCTCTGACAAACTGATTACGGCTTTACATCTACTCTCCAGTCACTGCTCACATGGAAGTTACAAGTCACTAACTTTCAATCAGGTATACTATACGCATCCACCTCGTTGCACGGCCAAGATGGGTTCAAGCTCCTCGAGAGAGGCGTTCAGGCGCTGTTGTCCAGTGTCGAAGTCACACCATCACCTATTGTGCTTTGGTCTGCCCGATATAAACAACAGCCCTCATCAGAATCAGGCCTGCTTCCGAACAGTGATGATCACGTCGTGCGATTCCCACCTCCGTCGATGGATCTTGCGTTTGACGACATTGTACTTGATCAGGTCAAGGAAGTCTGGCAGAAGATCACAGGCGAGGATGCTGGGGAGTACCTGAAGTTCCAAGACAGGGAAGACTATGCCAACGATGACGATTAAAATCGGACATCGTATGTGTGAGTAATGATTCACCACCATGACGAGATCGTATGAGATAGTGTAGAGAATGAACTATGTTTGCTCTTGAGTTTTTTACCTTGTGTGACACTTTCAATACCTTTCTCACTTGTCTCTTTGTGACAAACACCGACCTTTTCGTGTATCACTTTCCCTAACACCTCCAGGGGTTGTGCTCTTGTGTTGAGCGTATATAAGAGCTACTTTTAACGTTTACACAGCGCTCGTGTATGATCATGCCACACAACGCTGGAGCTGTAGTACAACGTCAGTGTTCACTGCAAACGTAAACCCAGCCCCTAGGCTTGGATCCGGAGATACGTAATTTAAGGAAAGCCTCACAACGTTTCCATGTATTCTCCTAACAACAGTATTCGATTTCTCGTCTGCCGACTTTTCTTATAAGAAAGAACGAATGGACAATTTCGTTTCACAGTACATCTTAAGCCTTTGTTTTTAAGGTTTGTTGGTACCGAGACTTCAGAAGTTCCCACGAATCATAGGTATCCCTTGAACATGCAGCCCTGCGGCACAGCAAGGCAGCTGAACTGGCTGAACCCTATGCTTACCTTAACATGTCTTGCCTTATCAGTTATCGGGCCTATATTGATGCAAGTAATCACAGGTATCCCTCAGCTTCACGACGCAGTGAGACAGCTGACCTGGCTAAGCACTAAACTCGTCTTGACAAGTATTAGATGACTTAACCTTTCAGTCACCCCGATTTTGTTGTTGTTCGCTTTGGACCACTTTGAAACATCTCTTTTTACAGTAAGAAAGAGGAGCCAACATGGATATCCATATGGAGCAGTATCCCGAACCTAGCATCCCCAGTAATCTCAAGTCGAAGGCAGAAGCGATTGAGACTCGTGGAGAGAATCCTTCAATCTCAGCCTCATGGACAACTAGTATATCTAACTTTCTACTTCGGTGCTTTCCCCGTTATGCAGACCCATCAGTTCAACTAGGTCTAGTCGCATTCATCAGTTTCCTCTGCCCTGGGATGTGGAACGCTTTGAACGGGCTGGGCGGCGGAGGACTAGTAAAAGCCGAGCCAGCGAACAACGCAAATGTAGCACTCTACAGCACGTTTGCTGTGTTTGGTTTCTTTGCTGGCATTGCCACCAACAAATTGGGAACCAGAGCCACACTGAGCCTTGGTGGACTTGGATACACCATCTACACTTCAAGTTTGCTCTGCTACAAACATACTGAAAACTCGGGATTCCTGATATTCGCTGGACTGCAGCTGGGACTATGTGCTGGCCTGTTCTGGGTGGCTCAGGGGATGGTTATGCTCTCCTACCCTACTGAGGAGTCCAAAGGAAAATACATCGCCTGGTCCTGGATGATATACAACATGGGCGCTGTGATAGGCAGTGTGGTACGTCCTATTCAATTGTATCATACAGAATACCATAGCTAATAGTATAGATCGCACTTGCCCAGAACATGCATTCTGAAACCAACGATATCAAGGACGTCACATTCTACGTTCTCATATCTTTATCGTTGCTAGGAACCGTACTATCCCTCCTACTCTGCGAAGCCAAACACGTCAAAAGATCCGATGGCTCGCGGGTAGTGCTTCCGCAAACCCCGACCTGGAAAAGCGAGGTATTAGGTCTGCTTGAAACACTCAAGCACGACACCTATATCCTACTGTTATTTCCAATGTTCTTCACGTCCAACCTCTTCTACCCGTATCAGTTCAATACCTTCAATCTTGCAACATTCAATATCCGCACAAGGTCGTTGAATAATACTTTGTATTGGCTTGCTGAGATCGCAGGGTCTTATCTTGCGGGATATACACTGGACTCGCCCCGTGTACGACGATCTCTACGGGCGAGGGTTGCTATGGGAGTACTGTTGCTTTTAGTATTCGTGGTATGGACTGGTGCATTTATGTGGCAAAGGAATGAATCCGAGAGTGTTGTCGGAGGTTCTGTCAAGAAAGACTACACCGATGCTGGTTACGTGGGCCCGATGTTTCTTTATCTTTCTTTTGGACTATTTGCCGCTGTATGGCAAACCACTATTTACTGGTAAGTTGGCACAGGAAACCTCGTCGTGCTGATCTAGTTAACAACAATGACTCTAGGTTTCTTGGTGCCTTGACAAACGATAGCCGGAAGCTCGCCAACTTTGCAGGCTTTTATAAAGGCATACAATCAGCAGGGGGAGCTGTTAGTTTCCGTGTCAATACACTGGCGATTTCTTCTGTCAATGAGCTGGTGATGTGTTGGGCTCTGCTTGCTACGTCTTTGCTCATTGCTGTACCAGCTGTCGTCAGAAAGGTTCAGGATAAGGTTGACTAGTGCCTCATAGATCGTGTTAGCCACGATGGTTCATTGTAGCCTTTTGGGTGTTCTGGCCCAGATTTCTATCTCATCTTGTCTCATATAGCGTTAGGTGTTAGTACACTCAACTTGGAGGAATAACGTTTCAACGCATCAGTAACAGACCATGGTTGTTCAAGCATGCGGTTGCTCGAGGTCGTTGACTAGCTTGTCTTGCTTTACCTAATCAGCTCCTACACATACAAGCAATGTGTCTTCCAATAGGAAGCTACACAAAGTTCTCGGCGCTTCAGAAGGCGTAGGCTTCTTTCTGAGCGGAGACCAGAGTAATTGGCCGTAAGAGTGCACATGCCATCGTAACCATATCGTAACGCAGTCACCAACAATTCAAGGAGTTCATATCATTATCTCTTCCATTGGATATATGAATAATCCAATCTCCACACAGCCCTCTCAAGCCCCAACCGCCAAACTCAGATAGATCCCCCAAACAACCCCAACCGAGCACCCAAACACAATCCTCTTATCAACCGGCACCCACACGAAGCTGATCAGCGAGATAAGCGGCCAGAACTTATACCCATCGCGCATCATGGGCCAAAGCCTCGCCCTACAATTCTGCGCCACGACGTTCCAGTCCCCCGAATTCACATAGCCCATGTACGCGAGGAACAAGAGCGTGTTGATGACAGCGCCAATGGTCTGATCGAGCAGGAACTTGATCAGCACGTTTGTCTTGCTGATTTCTCGTTTTGTGGGCGTGGTGGGCTTTTTCTCGGAGGGGTCGTAGAGCGTGGATACGGTGGTCGGGAAGGTGGCTTCGAGGCGCGTTTGCCAGAGGATGTTGGGCGGGCTGCTGAGGAGGCTGAAGATGGCGAATTTGAGGACTTGGATGTAGTTGAGTGAGAAGGGTGTCTGGGGTCGGACGTGTTAGTTTCGTGAGCGGCGAGGGAGGGACTGGGGAAAACGAACGTCGTGTTTGTAGGAGGATATGCCTTGTGCGATGATGTTGGATGTCATGCTGAGGACTGCGCCTTGCAGCGTCTGTGATAATATGGCTCTCCGCATGGTGTTGTTTGGTCGATGTGTGCCGCGACGCGGTGATTGGGAGTCGTGCGATACGTGGAGGATAGTGGGGAAGAAGGGTAGATCCTGGAGAAAGGGCCGAGAAGACAGAGAGGGCAGAAGCAGGGGTGGCTTGCTTGCTCACCGACTCCTGAAGCTCAGAGTGTTGGAGCCGTGCTGCGAGGTTCGCGCGCGGGTATGACGTATGACAACACCAAAACATCTCACGATAGTCGCTCCTTCCATCTTCTCATGGCAACATTTTGGTGCAGACAATATGGCACATATTCGAGGGCATCCACGCAAGAAGTCCGTCTAATTTCCAGCGTTAATAAAGAAATTTGACTGCCAGTATATTTTGTCAAAACCTACCCATCGATAGCAATTCATCTTCTTCATGTCGAGTATAACCTCGACTTGTCCACACATCTCCCATCATCGCCTCACCCCAAGTGCGGCCCATCACGCACACCGCGAAGTCTCTCCACGCACTCAAAGTACGCACTCAACTTACCCTGCGCCATTCCCCCGCATACAGGAAACACATCTCCATGATCCCGCATAAACCTCTCAATCCGCCCATCCATCTCCCTCCCCACCTCTTCCTCCCCACCCCCTTCCACGCCTCTACACAACTCCACCTCCCCAACACAATGCCGCACTATCAAAGCACCAGCCAGAACCCCAACCTCAAACACCGACTCATCAACCACAACCCCGAACCCCTCAACCTCCCACTCCATCCTCTCCATCTTCCATTCCGCAACCTTCCCTAGCATATCCGGCTTCCACTCCCGTCCCACAGCATCCTGCAGGATCCTCGTCACGCTTCCATAGCCCGACACTTCGCAGCACTGGCTATTCACCAAATCCCCGCCCTTGCGTGTTTTCGCCTCCCACGCCCCGTTGCGCGTGCGGATGTATATCCCCTTGTCCATGAGACGACATGCGGCATCGTAGTAGATGTCGTGGATGGGTTTGGAGCCGAGGTACGTGTGTGATTTGAAAGGGTGTGTACTACTGTTTTCACGTAGACGTGTGATGGATGATGGGGTGGGCGTGAATTTCCGCTCTACTTCTAGCGTGACGGTTCTAAGATGGGTAGGTTTGGTGTTCGAGATTAGGCCTCGTCGCATGATGGGATAAAGTTTTAGGAATATATGGGGGATGGAGATGGGGTTGTAGAAAGTGGTTGGTGTTGTGGATTGCTTGAGGCAGTGGAACGCCTTGAGGGAGGATTTGAGCGCCATGTTGGGATGAGGGCTGTCGAGAAGGAGTATGAGAGGCTTGGTTGAGAGGCTTTGATGAGTGTAAAGATCTTTTTTTTGGGTTAAATGGAGCTTGGCCTGAGCTGTGAGTGAAAGTGAAGGGTCCAGCTTGGTTTGATCCCCCCCTGTGCCGATTCACTACTACCGGGAACATCGAGACGCCGAATCGACACACCTTGTGAGAAGAAAACGGATTGAAATGAACAGTATGGAGTTTTGACTATATCTAACGCTTGTGCTACCGCACTACTTTATGCGAGCTCCCGCTTCTGATGACTTTATGGTACATTCGCTCAAATCATGAACTTTTTTGACCGATGGAAAACAAATATGACAGTAGATGCTAGCGGAAGACAAGAAAAGATGTGTGTAACAGACACACTGCTGTTTATGCTAAGCACGGTCATTTCGGTACAGAACATCTTGGTTCTGGAAAGAACCTGATGAAACTCGTAGATCCTGAAGCCGCATGTGGTGGGTATATCCGTTTAGATCGACAACGCCCGATAGATACCGTAAGAAATCGTTCAGTCGTCATAAAGCGAGTCGCGATCATCGTCTTCGTAAGCAGCATGGCCAGCAGCGAACTGTTCGTCGAAGTGGCCTTCTTCTTGTTCCAACTCATCCTCTTGTGCACTCTCATCCTCTCCATCTGCACTCATCTCCTCATCGCCTTGTGCTTCTTGCCCAACCGGATCAGCGGCCTCAGACTCATCCTCTTCCCCCGAACTCTCGCCGTCACTGATTTCAACGACTTGCATAGCCCTGGCCTTTTGTGTGAGTTTCAGGTTGATTACGCCGAACTCGAGCGGCTGCTGAACGTCGAGCATACCCTTTGTGCCGAGGGCGAGAACCATCAAGAAGCCTTGACAGGCGATCATCTTGGTGTTCTCAGTTGGTGGAAGGAGTTCTTCGAACGAGACCTCATCGATATCTGCAATGGCAGCAGCTTGTAAATCATCGGACATGTATTGAGCCTGGCTGCGCTTCTCGGTAATCGCATCAGTGACGAAAGTGAGGAAGTTCTCGCCCTCTGCGGACAACGCCTCGCGAACACGTGCGGATGGTTGGAGTGGAGGTGCGGGCTCGGGGTAGTCTGAGCTGGGTCCCAGCAGACCGAAATCATCGCCACCAAAGGCATCGCTGTCGAGACTCCTCAGAACGTCAAGTCCGATAGGCTGACCACGACCAAGCAACGGAGACGCAGAGACCAATCGACTTCCGCGCCCAGATCCTATCACACCACCACGTCCGCTGCGCGGAACGGCAGAGGAACCGCGAATCGAAGCGCTCATGTTCCATGGCATGGCAGAGAAGATGTGCTGATCATCGAGAGCGGAGCCAGCTTCACGGGGCAATTCGATCTCGTCGCCCCCAGGCATAAAGAAGCCTTCATCTTCTGCTCCTCGACCGATTTGCTCTTCCGACTCGCCGGTCTTATGACGCACACGTCGAGATTCCTGTTGGGTTGCTTCATCGATACCACTGTCACGATCGTGCTTCGATCCAGCGACCGGTTTCCGGCTCATGCCAGTGAACAGCTCGAAGAAGTTGTCGCCGATGAACCGGTCGAATGGATTAGTACCTGTTGGACCGAGGAACCCATGGGCGATGCCTCCGACTCCAGAACCCCACATATAGTATTCTGCGTTCTTCTTTGCTTGTTGGGTGATGTGAGACCGATTCTTGGTCCGAGAAGCCACTTCCATATTCTGCAAGTAGTTGAGGTTCCAGTCGGCAAGATCCCTGTTATGGATTTCCATCGCAGCGTCTGAGGGCAAGACGCGTGCGGCTCGCTTCTTCCGGCGCATGGGTGCAGAGACTGAGGATGTAGACTCTAGGATCTCCGGTTGGTCGCTGTGCTGCTGTTGGTCGGATGCTGGGACGACACTGTCATCCGGCAGATCATCTGCGAAGTTGGGCAAATCGAGATCCATCAGGTCGCCGGGTATCTGGTAAATGTGAGCGCTCATTGTAAGGGAGTTTGAAGGTTGAATAATCAGGCGAAAGAGCTATGGAAGAAAGAAGACATATTGAGAGAGACATAACAAAGATACAAGAGGAGGAGTGTCCAGATCCAAGGTGAGATCGTGCGCATGCATGATAAGAGTCGACGTGAGTAGTAGAGAGTTCATCAACGAGACAAGCAAGTGAGATCGCAGAACAAAAAGATAAGAGAGAGTGCAGCGAAACTCACCTGCACGCCAAACTGTTGTCCATCCTCATGCTCCCGTCTCACCCTCGCACTCGCCCCAGCATCGCTCAACATCGCCGCACCTCCCGACATAGCAGGCGTCCCAGACATCACACTCCTCGGCGGGAAGTCGACCAACTCCCCGTTCGCGTCGAATGTGAAGTCTGGATCCGCCAGGTCAAGCATCATATTGTCTGCACCAAGCATGCCACTGCGGCCACCAACGCTGCCTGGTCCATTGTCGCCCTCGATCTGGAAGTCGCCTGGCACACCGGAGGAGGAGCTTGGTAGAACTAACCCGCCAATAGCACTAGCCTGCGATGATTGAGAGCGTTGCGAGGCAAAGGAGATCAGTGCCTGTGAGTCGCCGGAGTGTAGTTGGTCGGGGCCGAAGTCGAGACCGAACTCTGCAAGTAGCTCTGGGGGAGGGAGGTCGAACCCGGGGAGGAAGTATGGGTCATCTGGGAGGACGAGCTGCTCGGGTCTGCGTCCGGTTAGACATGGTTTTAGGATGACAGGTATGGAAACTCACCTCGCCTTACCGGCCTCTGGATCCAGTCCGGCATTCTTCACCGTCCGCAATAACACCCTAATCTGGCTCTGCACGTTCTGTGCATCGGAGAGAACATAACCGCATTGCTGCAAATATACACGCGACACGCCATACCTTCGCCTGCGTTAGCATTGCCTTCTCCAGAACCTGCGGCGCGACTTACAATAAATTGCCCTGCAGACGTAGAGCCATAGGTGCCACAGGATCCACAACAGTCCGACATGCTTTTGTCACATCGACATCGAGAATCTGCTTGCGGTTGATCTTCTTCAGGCTGGACTTGTTACCGAGCGTTGCAACCAGCCTGCGCGTGTGGTCAGTACATATAGAGAGCGAACTCCACGCCTGCTCAGCTCACCAGACTGTTGCCACGCCATATTTTCGGTTCGTTAATACTATATAGGTCAGTTTGGAATTCCGGCTGGGTATCTCGCTCAGTGAAGCTCACCTTCGTGGGAATAGAACATGGTGATACGCAGTACATGCGACGAAATACTAATGAACAAGATGATACAACAGAAAGTCTACAGCGGGATCAAGTAGGCTATGTGGGTATTGAAACTGTAGTGGAAGGAAATGAGAGTGTGGGCAAGGAGCAAGATGGCACATGTGGCTTGGCGTTGTGTTCGACGCGGACGCGTTTCGACGACGCGTGGTGAGGAGGTGAACGTGAAGACGAGATGGAAAATGGGCACAACTGGTCAAAATAGCATACCGCTGTTCATGCCACGCATTCTTGAATTCGTTGAGTCGTAATACATGCTATGGCCATAGTGGCCTATACCGGATCCCCGTCTCTTATGCAACGCCAATCCCATACATGACCAACGCTAAGCTCTGAGCAATGGGGAATCTAGATGCATATGGAGGTGAGCTGTCACTTAGGTCATCTTCACATCCTCGTCCACGACGGGCAGCGGAACTGCACGATACAGGAGGATCAGGGCCGAGTGGCTTTGGCCTGGATGGAGTCAGTCAATGTAGCGACTATATAAAATCATAGTACTCACCTCCACCAGACAAGGTCTGAATCCTTTCAGAATCGACCTCAGAGACCTTCTCGTCGTTGAACCACCACCAGTTGCCGTCTTCCTCTTTCCGCTTGCCAGTGGCCGGGTCTTTGGCACCCAGCTTCTTGACGAATGAAGTGTAGTGACCGCTGTCGGCGCTGGCACCCTGATGAGTGATGACACCTCGAAGCTCGTAAAGACCTGTCTGGTTGGCACCCTCGTCTGCGCCAAGTGTGGGATCGACCAATGCCAGAAGCTCCTTCTTCGCAGCAAGGATAGATGCTGCACGTTCAGCCTCGATCTGAGCGTCAGTCTTGTACTCGACGTCCGCCATCTCAGTGTCCTCAGGAGCTTTCTTCGTTTCTTCCTTCTTTTCAGCTGCTGCCTTTTTCTTAGCAAGGGGCTCACTAGCGGTAGGCCCGGCATCGTTCTCTTCGCCGGCCTTCATGCGCTTCTGTCGCTTGCGCGCACGCTCCACATCAAGCTCTTCCTTGCGAAGGTCGCGAATCTTATCACGGATCGGGACCAGCAGCTTCCTCAGATCGTCTGTGCAGAATTCCAGAACATCCAACTCTTCTGGGAATGTGACTTTTCGCATAATTTTTGCCTTCTTGTTGGTGTCTCGCCGCCAGTCGAAGCGTACAAAGTGTACTGGGAGATGTTTCGGGAGCCGTGCTATGCGTGAGGTCTTTGTGTACAGTGCGTTGCGGCCTAGGAGCTCGGAGCGCTTCTCGATCTGCTCCTTCAACCCGGCAGCGAGTCCATCACGGAGATGGTTCGTCTCGACGTTGATGTGGCAGTTGAGCTTGAAGAAAAGATCCTCGCTGTTGATAGGCTCCTCTCCAAGTTCCTTGGCTGCAGGCTCGTCGCACTCCATGACTGACTCGAATTTCCCTGCCATGTATTTGTCGATCCAAGACAGTTCCGCCTGCTTGCCCTCGTCCGAGCCCGCAGTGTCCTTCCACTTCAGCTTTTGACGAAGCTGGGAAACAATCTGAGACCAGGCCTCTTCCGCATCCTGCTGCGCATAACCGTGTCCGTCCTTTGACTTTTGAGCAAATTGTGGGAAGGCGGTTCTCAGGGCATTCAAAAACATGAGTGGCGGGAAGCCTTGCTGTGTTTCGGACATTTGCTTAAAAAGATCGCGGAGAGAGCCTGTAAGATCAGTAGACGCACCAAGCCCACCGAGACCGAACTGGCTGAGCTGGTTTGCTGAGCTAGATGATCCAGCGCCACTGTCTCATTAGCTTTGCCACTGCCATACTTTAGAAGACAAACCTCACCTAGTAGAGTACCGTAGGAGCTCCTCTTGCAGCTCGGGGATCGACCTCAGCGTCTGGAGCGTCGAGTTCATGTAACACGTGTTGCCCAGGTTCTGCAGACCAGCGGGTGTGGCACCTTCCAACTGCGCTGCTTCGGCCTCGTCCATATCCTCCAAGAACTTGATCTTGTCCTTGGGCTTCTCGATGACCTTCGCGTCGCCGGAGGGGGTACCCAGCATCATGATGGTCTGATTGGGCTTAAGACCCAGCTTGGACATGTCGGCGTCATCTTTGAGCTGGCCGCCCTTGACGAGAATCTTCTGGCGCTCGGGCTCGACGCCGGTGATGGAGAAGAGCTGGTACTTGAACGTCTCGCCGTTGGAAGTGGCGTCGACCTCGACTTCATGCTTCTTGCCCTGGTGCTTGACGATGACTAAAAGCAAACGAGTGAGCGGAGACGCGTAGGAAGCGCGACTGGACGTATACATACCTGGTATGGATGCCATGATGAGCTACTCAGCGCCTGGTTTTGCTAAGGTGAGAGTGCGATGAGAGCCCCGTGGAGCAGCGGCGAGTTTGTGTTTATAGAGAAGCCCGTGGGGCAAAGTATGGTCTATGGCCGAAGCATGAGGAAGGCGCGCCAAGCCTCGGATCCCTGCAACTTTGGACCCCGGCCAGCAACACGCCCCGCCAGGCGCTACCACGACAGCAGACTGGCAGGTCATAGCCCGACTACAGCTCTGCATCCGGGTTTCGAGCCATCCTCGAGCTTCTGCTGCAATGGTATTGTTGCTCCAGTGTTTCCTTGACCTCATTGTACCCCGAATGCTGACATGTACAGTCCCAATCACTGCGTCCGTACCTGCAATGCGTGCGCACGTCGCTCACAGCTGCCCTCTCCCTTTCCAACTTCGCTTCCCAAGCCTCCGAACGACACAATGTCCCCGAAATCGAAGCTGCGAGCTCTCCCGAAGTCATCCTGAACCCGCTTACCGTCTCGCGAAATGAGAACGAGAGGGTGCTCATCGAGCCCAGCATCAACAGTGTGCGGATAAGCATCAAGATCAAGCAGGCAGACGAGATTGAGCATATCCTGGTGCACAAGTTCACGCGTTTCCTGACACAAAGAGCCGAGTCGTTCTTCATTCTGCGGAGGAAACCAATCAAGGTGGGCTACTCGTGGGATTGGCGGATGACAACGCATGGCTAATGGTGCAAAGGGTTACGACATCTCGTTCCTGATTACGAACTTCCACACCGAGGAAATGCTGAAGCACAAGCTGGTTGACTTCATCATCCAGTTCATGGAGGAGGTCGACAAGGAAATATCCGAGATGAAGCTCTTCGTAAGAAGCCGTCTATCTTCATTTGGTCCAAGAGCTAACAAATGTTTAGCTAAACGCACGAGCACGTTTCGTAGCTGAGTCTTTCCTTACTCCAGTACGTTTTAACTCTAGAATCAAGAGAGAGCAACGCTAACAGGTGGCAGTTTGATTAAGCATGCATGTTGAGCGAATACTGCACATTCTGGCGCCAGGGCGAAGGAAATAGCTACTTTTCACCACAATTATTAGAAGACCGAGGTACCCACATAAAGACACTTCTATCCAAGATAGCCTGTGTGGATGAAAGCCTAGGTCTGCACCAGTATCCAAATAAAAAGAACTGCTCTCCACAAACCTTCTCTTAGCTGCCAAGCGATGTAAGTTAACTTGAGACTTGGAAATAGCAACTCGCAGGTCATTCTTTCCAAAGTAACAGAACAGCGGGGATACCAAAGAGCAAAAGACACTGGTGAACGACGTTCGGAGAACACTATCACGCAGAAGGATTGCGCTCACGTGACATTCTCTAGGCACATAACGCACGGACTCCACATCCACACATGTGCATACAAAAGGTCTTGACAAAATCAGAATACACAAAAACATACAACAGCGGGGATTCGCTAATAGCTACTTACCTAACTACTAGTCCGCTGGTACAATACATATATAGTAACTTAGTATGTAAAGGCTAGATTTCAAGGTATTCTTCCATCCATGTTCTCGACCAGCACCTCTACTTCGCTCGCTACCTGTAAACGATTCGCGACCATGGACCAGCTTCCACAGGAATTAGTCGACCGAATAAGCAGTTATCTCTCTCCTGATGACCTCAAGAATACACTATTGCTGTCTCATGCATTCCGCTTTTCCACTGAAAAATACTCTGGAGCATTTGCAAGATTCGCCCTAAACGAAGACACCGCCGAGAAGTTCATTGACACTTTCTCTGGTCATCGGCTTCTTTATTTGCGCGATCTGGAATTCGGGATCCGCCTTCCTCTTCCTGAAGACAGCCAGCGTCGCGACAACGCGGACCAAGTGAGCAAGCATGACAAGAGTTTCACTCAACAAATCACGTTTCTGTTCAAGACCATGAAAACGGTCGAAGAACGTGCAGGAAACCAGAATAAACCTGGAACAGTTCGGCTCGCGATAAGCTCTCCCTCGCGACCAATCTTTCGCGGACGTTCACTCTCGTACCATCATCACTTGAGCTGGCGCGTCCATTTGTTGGAACCCGAGGCACTTCCGTTACTCAAATCGGTTCGTTCCCTGGAGGTAGGAGATGACTGGGACGGGTCGTTCGGCAGAAGAGCAGATGATGCGGATTATAATTGGGCGCGAGTGAAACCGGACTACCGTGTGATGGTCGACCTTGTCGTCAAGTTGCCGAATCTTGAGTACTGGGGCTGTCGAATTGGAGGTGATGAATGGTCGCCGAAGACGGAACAAGAAGCGACAAGATATCTCACGCAAGATTGGGCTGGCCCACGTCGGGACACAAGACAGGATTTTGCAAAAGCTCTCTTGTCTGCACGTCTGCCTGATTCACTTCGGCGCATTCGTTTAGACTTTCTCCATGACCTACACAGTAGCACGCATATCGACCATCTCACAGCACAACCTAATCTGGTAAGCCCAGCGGCTAATGATCTTTTCAGCACCAGTCTACGCCACCTCTCACACCATCTCCGACGGCTTCACTTGCGTGTAGTAGCGGACGAAACGCTGTTCTGGTCCAAAGATAATTGCACCCCTTCCTGGCCGAATCTCGAGAGTCTCGTTGTCATGTTCCACATGGTTAGCCCGTCGGGACAATGGTATTTCATAGGACCAAACGGCGAAGGGCACGACACAGCTGCATTCAAGGTCACTAATGCCTCATACCCACCCTTGGAAACAACCCCCTATGACGAAGAAATGGACGGGCAGATTGAGGAAGAGGGAGACCGGCGATACAGGGGGAGCCCAAACACCCGCATCCGCATGGTGCCGAATGATACTACACTACGACCGTTCCTTGCAGCCTTTGCCAAGGCAGCATCAAACATGAGGGCTCTCCAAGAAGCGGTGCTCTGGTGCCCTCTTGCGTGGGCGCCTAATGATGAAGATGATGAAGAATTAGAGACTGACTGGCTTCCAGAAAACTGTACAGACAGGGATAGACTCGCTTGGGGAGTGCATTATCAAGCGACAGGCGAGCCTAACTTTACTCAGCAGGGTGGAAACCTTCCTACAGAAGTTCCTCTACTCTGGTGGAAAGTCGGCAAGTGGCGTCCGGATCCCGAGCTTCATGAGCTTTTTCAGCAGATCGGACGTACGCCATGGGGTGACGGTCTGAAAGAACACTGGGAGGATGAAGACTATGGAGAGGGATTGGTGGATCGCGAATACTTTGAGTATTGTGTACAAGAAGAAGTTGATAAGGTGGGGCGGATCCCGCCGCCGAACTAAAAGTCTATGGTTGTGGAGTGAAACTTGAAAGTCACGTAGAGCAAGCGTTCGGGGGACTTTATCCCTTAGGCCAAGGATTAGCACAAGAGAGATGAACTCGAGACAGCCCAAACAAGCACATAATGCAGTGTAGAAGAATCGATTCGATTCTAGCTTAGTCTTTACCAGTTGCGGAGACATCAATCCTGATCCTGGACGCAAAAGTACATCGATGCCCTTAAACATCCCCCACAATCTCCATTTGCCCAACGGAACATCCCGCGGAATTTTTTGTTTTGTGCATCTCCAACATTGTATACTATACGATGCATTTAAAGATGGTATGCGTCAGCCCAAGATGCTCACCGCCGACCAATAGTATCCGCTTCGAATAGTCAACGAAACAGCGGTTCAAAGGGCCCTGCCCAAGCTATGGTGGCCCACTCAGCGTTAATACTCCTAAGCGACTACACATCAACCATGGAGCCGCAAGCGGGATTGAGATTGCGTGACCCATGACCCTCTTCTTAGTGCCTTCCACTATAATCATCGAAAAAGCCAACGACATATCATCTACATCGCCCCCAAATCTTATCTCCATGAGGATCTTTTCGTCCCATCCACAAGGTTACTCTACAAAACCGCCTAAGCCTTCTTGTGTATCTTTCACTTCCCAAGATGTCCGAACTCAGCAATATTCCACCAGTCACCCATCCACTTTCCCTGGTCCTGCACACAGCGGTCGACTTCGGTCACAACGAGGGCATCGGTATCGGTATCATCCAAAGCGCGGCGACAGGCGCAGCCCAGGCCAGCACTCTACCAATGGAGGAGCATAAACACGGCATCGAGCGTGGCCAGGTCAGAGCCAAGAACGTCAAAACGCGCGAAAGAGCTCATATGTTCGCGCTCATACTTGCCATGGGGCTAGCACGCAGTACACTCAAACGACAATGTACTACCGCACGCATCAAGGTGCAGAGTGTCACGGTGCTCTGTAGTTTGCCAGCGGTGGTTGAACTGATCAAATACCACCGAGCTCACGGTCCCAAGAGTCTTGAATCCGTGGTGAGCACGGAGGACCGCTCGATGATGAAAAGAGTCCTGGCGAGTGTAAAACGACTTTCGCCATACAATGTCCAAGTCTCAGTCGTAGATGATGGGGCAGAAGGCAATACTGTGGATGCAGCAAGAGTAAAGATGATGGCTCGCCAGAGAAAGAAGAAGGCGTGTCGTCGCCGTCGTCACGCACGACGAATCATGTCAAAAAATACCAGGACGGCAGGCGATGAGGAAGAAGATGGAGGAAGCGACGAGGAAGGGAATGGAGTGGGCGATGGGGAAGAAAGGAGAAACGATAGTTCGCATTTGGGACCTATGACAGAAAGAGAATTGTCAAGTGCGTTCACGATGGATGAGACAGGTGAGCCTGAATTGCATTGAACTCGAATATATACACCTTGTTCCAGTGCTGCAGCTCTAAAGCAACCAACTGACACAAAACGAGCAGAATCAGGCAGCCCGATCTCCAGACCTCTGAAACCTCCAAACCTCTAAGCCTTGCCATATATACTCGTGCATCGAACACGGGCCGATTCGGACCTTGTACAAGACGCGGAGACCATACAGAATGCATAGAGATGCCCACGAAGCGATTTTTGACAACAAGACAATACGGACTGAGTTAGAGACGGAACGAGACAAGGAGAGATAGCATGAAGTCGTGTTAATAGGAGAATCATTTGGCTCGAACATTGATGAACAGCTGCTGATGCAAACGCGGTGTGGGAGTTGAAAAGATCTGTGAGACCCGAGAGTTTCCTTTCGTCAGCAAGTTACTGGTGAGTGCGGGAAGAGAAATGCCAAAGCAAAAAACCCCGACCGTGCATGCCGATGTGGAGAGACAGCAAACAACGGTGATGTGCGTCGATGCGGCCAAGTGTCTGATGGTAGGGTGGCCGTATCAGAAAGAAAGAGGTGGTGAGAAGATCAATGTTGTCATGAAAGAAAATGCTGTGATTTATGAGCTAAAAAGAAAGGCTGAATTGCGTCGCATGCGTGGAAGTGTTGGTGGATCGTGATGTGAAGAAGAGATGGATGATTGCGAGCAGTAGACAGACTTTATGCAGAGCACAACAGTAGGACCGCTAGTGCGGGAGAAGGCTACAGGCTCAATCTGAGCAGTAACGGTGGTTGTCGTAAGAAGCAACGTCCAAAGCCAGTGAGAAAGGAAGGGGTCAATAATCCAAACCCAGGAAGGGAGTCAACAACGGATCAAGGGGAAGGTGCAGAGAGTTACTGCGTATCAAACTCAAACGAGCAATTACTACCAAAAAGCAGCAATACATCGGCAGGTGGCCATGGTTTGCGCTTCTTATGTACAAAATCCCATTTACGACGAACAAACGATCGTCTATAGTCCAGTGAAGCTGTCGGAGGCTAAGTCAATGGATGAGTCGTTCTTCCGGCCTTTTCGCTACTGCTACCGGACCTGGGCTCATGGCGCCGTTGCCTTTCGCGATGAGCTGATCGAGATTTCGCTACGCTGGGAGAAGCTTGGTTTTGCGGATTCGTGTCCATTCCCTTTATCCAGTCCCGACGAATACGCGGCCCATAAGAAAGATTACAAGCGTCTCGAAGCGGCTCACGAGACGAAGCATAGTCTGTCGGGTTTGCTCAACGCTACGCCTGATGGTTGGGTTCACGCGGAAGACTAAGAGGTAACTGAGATAACGCATCAGGAATTCTTTGAGGCGTTTCTGCAGCACGTACTGGAGGATGAAAACCCTGAGGACGATGAGCCGATCAAGGATGAAGACGATACCAGAGAGCTTTGGCCATTCGATCTCAAGGAATGAACATCTGTTTGGACGTAGATGGAATATAGTCGCAAGCCACAAGAAACTTTACCTACCTTATAACTGGCCCTGGTCAAGCGGAGAGAATTTGCACTAACTGCTTGATTTAGGTGCGAACAACAATGGGTAAACATCGATGTTTTATCAAAACTAATTTCTTTACTTTTGTAATGTAAAAGGCTGACTACACCTAGTGTTCTATGTCTGTTCCTGCATGTCGGTGAGTTTTTCCATAAGTTTGTGAACGCAAATTCTTAATTTCGGTGCGTGCCTTGTTTTCTATTGGTCTGTCACCGGAAAAGCCCCTCACCTGGTTGTTCCTGGTACCGGGCCTGCGGTAAACTGGTCTCTTCTCTACGCGCCCCATACACCCTCCAGCTCGGCATACCAATACGATAGTTTTTGTCCAAACACAGCAGACGAGGTAACACCTGAGGACTCGAAATAGGTAAAACAAATGCTGTCTCGCTTGAGGCCGCGCCACAATCGGCCACATTCGCTCCGTCAGCCTTTTGATCTCTTTTCGAGATGGTTATGTAGAGATAAACACCAGTCTTCTCTTCTGGGCTCTACCAATGAACAAGAGATCACGATTGCTAAGAACATAACGCAGGGTAAGACTTATATTAGCGGAGAATAAATTATCCTAATTCACTCTCAGGGCGTGCTTCGGAAGACGATGTGTTCAGCTACAAAGCGCATCGTTGGCTTTGGAATGAACCCGAACAACTTCGGCGCCGCTATTTAAGGTTCGATTTGAAGGCACTGGCTCATGCCGCCGAAGATGCGGCGGGCCCTGGCGCAAATTGTATAGAAGTCACGAAACTGCCTGAAGGAAACTTCAACAAGACCTTTCTGATGACGATGGATGACGGGCGTAAACTCATTGCCCGACTCCCAAACCCAAATGCAGGCCGTCTGCACTATACTACGGCTTCGGAAGTAGCAACTATGGACTATGTACTGCCCCCTTCATTGAGTTTGATCAGTAAGTTATAAGGCTCTAGCTGATCTACGATACAGATTCGAGACCCCCTCCAGATTCCTGTCCCGAAAGTGCTGGCATATAGTACACATGCAGACACTAATGGTGTTGGAGCCGAGTATATCATCATGGAGAAGTGTTCTGGCGTTGAGCTTGGCCGTCTATGGGATGGCATGTCAGGAACTCAGCGGATTGATATTGTGAGACAACTGGCAACCTTCTCGGCACGATTGTCCAAGGCCCGCTTCCCTCACTATGGTTCACTCTACTATGCGAGAGATATTCTAGAGATCAGGGGCACGGAAGTCGATGAAACTTTCAGCGTTGGTCCGACTACTAGCCGCGCCTGGTTTGATGATAGAAGAGGAGACATTGATGTCGACCGCGGTCCATGTAAGATCCCAACGCACAAAGTTACTGGTAGTAGTACCACATTGACATATTATGATCTAGGGGCATCAGCTGAAGACGTTTTAAATGCCACCATGAAACGGGAAATCGCGTGTCTCGAGGCATTCTCTGAGTTTCCACGGGACCGTCAGCAAGGCATATTCAACGGCCCAGGAGGATTTCACGCATCGAAGGTATCCAAAATGGCGGTAATCCAGCACTATAGTCGCATTCTTCCTCTTATTATGCCGAAGAACGATGCCTACACCGCCTCAATTCTTTGGCATGACGACTTACATTCTGACAACATCTTTGTCAATGAGGATTGCCCCACGGAGATAACAGGTATTATCGACTGGCAAAATGTGCATCTTAGTCCTGCCTTTCTCCATGTTAGTTATCCCTCTCTGATTAAATATGATGGACCAATACTGGATGGTTTCGAGCAGCCTACGCTACCTTCCAACTTCGCAGCGTTGGATCCAGTCGCAAAAGAGAAGGCTCAAAGTCTACACAAGGCCCAATCCATGTGGGGACTATACCAGATATTCGTTCAGAAGGAGGCCCCGGACCTGCTACGAACACTTCGGTACCGCAATACCCTTCCTTGTCAGATCATGAGTCGTATTGGATCTGTCTTTGGTGATGGTGAAGCCTATGTTCAGAGCATGTTGACTCGACTCGCAGAACCGGAGGTATGGGAAAAGGTGGTCAAGATTAATGGCCAGGATCCTACGAGGGTGCCTTGTCCTCTCGTGTACTCAGACTATGAACTTTCGAAGCAGAGAGACGACTTGGCTAAGTGGGAAAAAGACGTTGAGCGGAAGGCGCGAGTGATGAAAGAGGTTGGTACATACACAGGTTGGGATGGCGCAGTTTTACCGAAGGAGTACGACATGATGTCTGAAAAGATGGAGAAAGCCCGAAAGAGATTTTTGCATGTAGAATCAAGGACTTCCGATGAGAGAGAGCTATGGACGAACGCCTGGCCATTCAAAGACAGATAAAGTTTGATATATCCATCAGCTCTCTGTACCTTTCGTTGCGGATTGTAGCTTAACCCATCGTCACGAAGAACGCGTCTTCCTGTTAGACCAGCACTGAGTGACCTAAGAAGAGATAGCATTGAAGGTCTATTTATAAACTGACTAGCTGTTCTAATGCATGTAGGCAGAGACAAGTGCCTGCTATTTCTAAAACTGCAAATACAACAAACTGATACAAACATGAGATGGAAGCTGCTGGAAACCGACACTTCCCAGATGTTTCACAGTAATTCTGGCGGTAAAGAGCCAAGTGCTCAACCCCCGTCCTGGCTAATTGACAGTAAAAGATTGAATGGGCTTCGACGTTGGGTCAGTAAACCTCGCACAAGTGATCAATCGCCGCAGACATCTCAGACCTCATCTAAAACCTGCTTGAGTCTATCGATTTTATAATTCCAGCTGATTGTCTGTCCGTCAACATCGGAATACTTTCCAGAATCAAGACCCTGTCTCCCTGTTTGCGGAATGAGCTTTGCCCAGCGAGTCCAGAGCACCGATAGTCACCGCCGCCAACATTTCATATCCACACTGACGGCTCGAATGTTACAGTGAATCTGTATCTCCAATCTGAGACACTATGGTTCTTACCTCCAATTGTCGGATCTCTCTCATCGCCCCAGAAAGCTACGCTTCCCTCATATGTTGTGTCAGCATCCGATTATATCATCCTCCCACAGAGACGACCAGACCGCTGATCAGGCGTGTTCTCTACTACCGAATATCCAGTGATTATTCCCAGTTCTCTTGTCGTGTTGGAAGCGTAATTACGGCTGCACGCACGTGATGTCGGGATGCGTATCGGCAGCTTTGGAATAGCTATGATTGGGTACATGGAGGAGTATGTCGAGGAAGATGCAGTTGTAGACCGAGACCATCTTTCGGAGCTACTCAGAATACTTTACAGGGAGCTGAAGGAGGGGAAGAAGCCACTTCGTCAGTGGATAGAGGAGTTGAAGAATGCCCTTGGGAAGGATGATGAATATTGTGTAGTGACTGATAATGGTACACCATAGCCTTACCCATACGCGCTCAATGCTCGAACATCGAGTACACTTGATGCTTGGAAAGACACAGTTATGGACAGCATTGCTCTCTAGTTGAATCATGGTTAATGGCTATCCTCGCGTGGAGTTTTCGTGCCCTTTGCATTCCATAGGAAGTCGTGAGACCTCACAGGGATCCAATTCATGGAGGGAGAAGTTTTGGAAGGCGTATTGCACGAGATGAACATTTGGTAATTCAATTTGAAGGAGAACAGAGTTCGATGGACGACGGATGTGATCCACAACGGCCCTGGAAAAACATCGACAACAAAAAGTTACTTTTCATTACCTCTAAGTAGATCGTGATTGTTGTACAGAAATCCTTAATCAGAAAGTGATGAAGACTTGGGGACTTTCTAATAGAGAGATCAGCTGATTTCGTGATTTCGAACTAGCAAGATGCGGATAGCGGAGATTATCGACGTGGTACGAAATGATGAGGCTCCAAGGAAGTACGTGAACCCTTGCCCTGTGACACAGCGACGGACACCTGCATGACAGGGGGCGTGGGGCATGCGATTCGTTGACGTAGTTGAGTGCTGAACATATTATATTTGTGCCGCTTGCCAACCATGCCTCAACATGGCCAAAAGATCAGACAACGCCAATGATGCGGCGCGCGGTAGCGAGTGTGATTGTGGTGCTGATGCATGGTGATGAGGCTTAGCGAGATAGAATTTGGTTGTAAATGGCCGTGTCGTCGCCCCGTTCCTGCCTAAGCGCACACAGTTCTTGCCTAAGCGCACAGACGCGTGACGATCGCCGCTCCCATCTGTGCCAGAGGCTAGAGACAAACCCTCACACTGCAGAACGTTCCCGATCCGCTGCAAGGGGTTTTTCGAGGGCTGGTGCAATTGTCCGCCTTAGCTTCGAGTTCCACCTTCATCTCACACCACCCAATATATCCTCGTCGTCATACAATTAACATTGAAGCTGCAATTGAGAGCTTCACGCTGCCTTTTACCCTGAGCAAGCGCACCTAGCCAGTGCCATGACGTCTGGTTGAGATGTCTGCTAGCTATCGCCATCCTCCTACACGACTTACCTGGAGGAAGCGATGTCGCATACCGCTACGCCAACCAACACCCGGATGATGAGTCCCGCGTTCGGGGGAGCTATCAAGTTGACCCCGTCGTCGTCGCCCTTCCCCAAAAACACACCCACACGCTCGCCGATGAAACGCGCCGAAGTGAGCCTCGCCCTCCGCCAGGTCATCGGCACTACAACCAACTCGCCCAATGCCTTCGACAGCCTCTCATCGGGACGCTGCTTCTCGTATACAGCCGGCGCCGCTGCTGTTGTCGCGACCATCAACGAAGAACACCATGTGTCCCAGCGTTTCTTCCGCGCACGACCAACTACAAACCCTGTCAACCCTTCTGCCTCTATCTATGGCGGGCCCTCGACGCCGAACCAGATTGAAACTCGCAGTCGAACAGCTGCTTCCCTTCGCGACGCTGGCTCGGGTATCTCGCCACATACATCACCAGCCCCAAGCGAATGGGCCGACTCGCCCAATAATAGAGCATGGTCGAACAAAGACAAGGTCAAGGCGGCGACATGTGTCAGCTTGAGCCCTGATGGGAGGTACCTGGCTGTGGGGGAGGTACGTTATACTGGTGGTGTTCGCATGGTGCCCTACTGACATGTATAGACTGGCTATAAGCCCAGAGTCCTCATTTTCTCTAACTTGCCAGATGCACCCTCAGACACACCCTTGACTTCAATCTCGGATCACTCTTTCGGTGTGAACTGCGTAGCTTTCAGTCCCGACTCTCGCTATCTCGCAAGTTTAGGATTCTCCAACGATGGTTTCTTGTACATATGGAGCATCAATCCTCGAACAGGCGCCGCTGCACTTTTCGCCAGCAACAAGTGTGTCAGCAACATAAACCGCATGGCGTGGATGGGAAATAAACTTATCACGTAAGTCTGCGTCTCAAACAGAGGACATGGTGGAAGCTGAAATCAAACTAGCGTTGGCACGCGGCACGTCAAGGTTTGGAAGATAGATGAGGCCAATGCCACAATTCGAGCATCAAAAGCACGCCAGAGTGATACGTCTGCTCTCTCGAGTAGCGTTCATAAGACTCTACCGGGCAGAAATTGCCTTCTTGGCAACCTGCATGACGCGATCTTCACAAGCGTAGTTCCGATAGCTGCAAACAAAGCTATAGTGGCCTCAGACAAGGGTGATATGTGTCTGATTGACGATACCAACGGAGATCAAACATTCACGAGACTAGGTCATGCTGGGTTTGCGGTCAGTGCAATGGCTGTCGACGTTAAAGAACGGCTACATCTCGCGAGTGGTCAAGGGGGGTTCAAAACACTCCAAGTTCGCGACATGACCGAAAGACTGACACCACCGCCCTCGCCCACTCCCCGAGTCGAGTCGCCAACAGTTTCAGTAGCGGATTCCGAACAGATCGGCGCAATCGCTTGTTTGGCCGACTACGTTATCACTGTCGACTCAGAGCGCGCTATCCACCTATCGCAGCTATGTGGAGCAGACGAAACCACCGTGGGGGAGCTGATACACACTATGCCTGCTCACGGCGATTCTGTGCTGGGAGTTTCTGTTCTTTCGCCAAATTTCATGGAGGCGTCCTACTACACATGGTCTGCTGGTGGGATGGTTATATTCTGGAACCCAGATGGAAACTCTAAGGGCACAATGCGGATACCACTCGAACAGGTTGAAGGAGTCGATGTTATGCCTAACGAGTTGAAAACGGTCCGTGCCTCGAACGATGCCAGCTTTCTGGTAGCTGGAGATAAATATGGTGTTTTGAGAATCATGGACTGCAAAACAAAAAGTAGTGTGTTCGACTTCAAAGCACATGCAAGCGAAATCACCAGCATCGCCATTCATCAGGACGGACAGCATAACATCGTCGCATGTGCTAGCAGAGATCGCATGGTTCAAACCTTTGCGCTCAACGATAACACATGGGAACTGCTGCAGACCATGGATGAACATGCGGGAGCGGTAAACAGGATCGTGTTCTCACGAAATGGCACGCGCTTAGTCTCTTCATCAAGCGACCGGACCCTTGTCGTGCGTGATCTGGTATCCCGTGAGGAGAGTGGCCAGACTATGCACGCTTTCATGATACTGCGGACCATTGATCTGAAGGCCACTCCAGTGTCATTGGCTTGGGATGTTGAGCAGGACGACGTTTTGCTCGTGTCAACGATCGACCGTCAAGTCCACAAATACGATACGCGAAATGGTCAATGTTTGAGTAGTTTTCGCACAACTGACACCGATGGAGGTGACGCTGTCGTTCTGTCCTCAATAGCTCATGTTCCACGCGGCTGGAGCTCCCCGTTGATCGCTGGAGTCTCAAGTACGGACAAGTCCATACGGATCTACGACGAGAATGGCGCCTTAATCGCTCGCGACTGGGGTCATACTGAGGGTGTGTCCGACATCGCCCTAGTCCAGTCGTCTGGCGGCGTGGATAACTCGAACGAAAAATCTCTTGTAACGGTCGCAGTAGATGGAACTATCTTCATCTGGGATCTAGCGATACAGGCGCCTAGCCGTCACGACGTTTCCAGGTCGATGGATCTTCTTGGTCCAAACACGCCTTCAAACCAAGACCTGCTTGCGACTAAGCCTCCCTTGAGACGCGTACTTTCAAACTCCGAAATGGCGCGATTTCAACGCTCACCTGAGGATGATAATGTCACTCCCACAGGCAACAGGTCACCAAAGTTGCGAACAAAGCTTTCCAAGTTCAGCATACCAAAACTCGAAGCGTCGCCGATATCAACACGAGAAAGTCGCACAGGAAGCTCTCAAGGTTACGGTACAACACGCAGAAATCGAAATCGCTCTCCTTCCCCACCAAGTCCTCGTAATCCACAGCACGCAAAGAGACGCGCATCAATGGATGTAAAGACCCGGTCCAAGGCTCCTGTCAATGAGTTTGGGAGTTTGGGCGCGTCGACTGAGAGTCTTTGCCGATCGTTGCGCGCCTATCGCAAGCGGCTCGCAAACAGCACTGACACTCTCAGCTCTGAGCTCGTCAAAGAAGTTGAGCGTGAACTTGCAGCAACTTCGAGAGCAGTCGGCGAACGCGTCAAGTCTAAAGAATTTGACGAGACTATCATGGCGAAGATGCTCGATCAATATTCGGAGAGGCTTGTATCACTTATGGATGAGAGGATTGCTGAACGCGTAGCCTTGGAGGTACGTCAGCGTAGTGAAGGCCTATCAGGCGCACCATCGCCCGTTCGAGACACAGCTCCAGAGCTCGTACGCCAACACAGTAGAGATGCACAGGATCCTTGCTCCAACGAGACTGCATCTACTAGTACATTTGAGTCAGCTACGACAGATGATATCCCCTCAGCTGAGGTTGCACCAACAGATATTGGGTTGCTACGGCATAAAACTGGGTAAACTACGGGCTTATGAACTGATCATGCGATTCTTCACGAACAACGGCGCTGAAAGGAGAAAGCTGTGTAGACATATCTGGCGTTTCGGAGACCTTGGGAGGCTCATCCATTTTTAACGAACATATTGGCGTTTGAGTTGTGGAGAAGCAAGAGGAAGGGTGGAAGACACTCAGGTCGAATTCTTCTCTTGATACCATTTTCCATGCTTAATCGTAGTCTTTAGTACATTCCTGACTCTGCGGAAGGAGAGAATCTATTTTATTCGAAATATTCCAAACACGTATTTATCAGGGAATGTTCCCTCGCGTTTATGGGCAGTGTGCTCGCGTGTCATCGTCTTTTCCAGCCATGGGCAAATTGTCAATCAAGACTTGTGTCCATTTCGTATTCTGACATGGCTCTGCAGTGTCGAGGTTATTAGATTGAAGGATAAACTACCTAGAAAGCTGATGAAAACCCAGTGTGTACCGTATGTCGCCATTTATCTTGTTTAACCAACCTACAGACTTTCACCTCAACATCTCCTTGATCGTGTCCTCGATCGTTTTCGGCGACCGCCCAGCTTGAGCTAGCATCGTCTCCAACGTCGGGTCATCAATCGCGCACTCCCCGTCTCGCAAAGCATCATACGTGCTACTCCACCACTCCACAGACGGCCTCTCCATGCCCTTCTCCTCGACATAAAAGTCCTCATACTCCTTCTTCCCCACAACCTTGAGCTTAACATCTTCACCCCTGACCTTGCTCACAATCCCCGCGATATCTTCCAGCGTGCACGTCTTCTTCTGACTCAGATAGACCATCTTGCCCGCCCACTCCTCACTCGGCGCAGCCAGGATCTTCGCCGTCGCAAACGCCATATCCGCAATCGCTGTCCAGGCCACCGACCCATCACCCGCAACCGCCACTTCACTCCTCTTATCCTCCTTCAAACCGAAGTAGTACCCAAAATACAATGGCCAACTCTCGTTGTACAACCCCTCCCTTAGTATAGTGAATTTAACCTTGCCCTCGCGCTCCAAATCCTTCAGATACCGCTCAGTTCGTATGTGCGCCCGCATCACCCCGGCTTTACTCGGATTCGCAAACGCGAGCGACGTGTAGTAGATGTGTTCTACGCCGGCTTGGATAGCGGCATCGATGGCGGCGCGGTGATGTGCTTCCCTGCCTTGCCATAAGGGCGCGTTGTTGTAGTCCATGGCTATATGGGGCGTGGAGACGAGGAAGAGCGCGGTGCATCCTGTGTATGCTTGTACGAGGGAGGAAGGCTGGTCGAATGTTGCGTGACGGGTGGTGATGCTGTGGGTTTGGGATGGCGTGGAGCCTTCTTTGGGACTTGAGGAAGTCTATTGTGTGGGGTGTTAGGAATGGAAGACCCAAAGGATGGGGTTGGACGTACGCAGATGACGAGCTCTTTGGGGTCTATGAGTTGGTTGTCTAGTATTGCTCGGAGGACTGCTGAACCGAGTTTCCCGGTTGTGCTGGTTAGGGCGAGCATCTTCGTTGGTGGTTGTGCTGGTTAGAGTTTGACGGTGTAGGTTGATGGCGAGATAGTAGGGGTGTGGATGGTTTAGTTTTGAAGTATAGTATTACCAATCATCTATACTATTAACTATGGGTATCACGACTGCCATGACACCGCCGTCTTGCTGGTAATGATTTGTCATACTACACACACTTGATGAGGTTTTTGCAGCGATCGCGATGACGTCACCTCGGCAGTAAGAAAATCGTTTTGAGATCCCTCTGAAAGAACAAACTATTCATTGTTATGCATAACGGGTTTTTCAGGCCGTGCTCGCAAGATTACACTGGTGGCGTTATGGCAGAGGTTGGATTAGGAAGTGGCGAGCGGCGGACCGCTTCAAGCGTGTCGTCGTTCCGTCGCGGCCGGACCCACCTATGCGATTCATGGTCTTCAAAACGTTCTACTGAATCGTTCATCAAGCCGTGCTCTAACGTGTTCATTGTATGAAAAGGTGATTAATTTTCAGGTCTATGAACATTACTTCTAAGGAAAATTGCTACATGTATGATCGAGGCATGGTGTCATCCACTCTTTCTACAAATCTCCCCTATCCGTAGATGTAGCAGAACGGGCCATCAAGCGTGTTCACGGCATCAGCGATAGTGATGTTCGGCATACCAACATATCCCAAGGTCAGCGTGTCTTGAAGCGTGGCGTTACGGGTCGGTGGGTCGTTCCTGAAAGTAAGTGTGCCGGCGATGACCATCATTCTGTTGTCGATATCATGCATTTGCCAGGTCCACCAGGTACGGTCAATCATCGCGTGGTGGAAGTAAAAGCCAGGGTCGCCGGGCGAGACGGAAAAGTCCGATCCAGCATCGCCACCAACAGTGTAATGTCCTCCGTTGTGAACTCCTATATTACCATCCTCTTGGAAGGTCTGCATCTTCGACTGGAAACTGGCAACGTCAGGGAAGTTTTTGATGAGATTGCTGACGTTCTCGTCGCTCGTGTCCTTTGAGGCCTGCGTGTTGATGTCACGTTTGAGGCAGCGAGGATTGTATCCCAGGGCGTCAGCCTGAGGGTTGGGCTTGACGTCCCACCCATGGGATTGTCCGGGTCCAAGGTTGACGGTAAAGCTAGCAGAGGTTAACACATGATCATCATCGCTGGAATGCTGACATAAATCAGACTCACTTTTGGAAGGGTCCAGAAACGCAACCACCACCAGTCCCAGGTTGAAGAACCGTGAAACAGCGCGCCTCACTCGGAAGGCAGTAGCCAGTTCTGTTGGCAACAAAGGCACCATCTCCGGACATACTCGTCGCACTTCCATCAAACAATGGTGACTTGGTTGGGTCATCGGCCCATCGTGGCCAGTTATAGTAAGGTTGATAACCTTTGTAGCCACACTCATTGCGTAGTGTCTGCTCGTAAGCCCAGGTGAAATACCTGTGCCAAGTGAGGAAGTTGCCCTATGGAAAATCAGCTTTGCAAAGTGTGTCAGAGGTCCGATGAGCGCACTGTTACGTGGATGTATGGAGTTTGTTGAAGGTGTGTCACCACAAAATCGTCATATCGGTTCCTCGCTCCAGAAGCAATGGCAGCTGGAGTCCTCGCGGGCTTCTTGGCTAGACATTTGACAGCGTCGATATAGTTCAATTTCTCCGACTTCGATAGTGTTGACCTGGAAGACATTAGCCAACTGGAATTCATATCTCAAAATTGTATACGAACCATTCCCGTCGAATAGCCACGTTCCTCAGTGTGCACTTTTGGGGATTCGGGTAGCCGTTCTGAGCCACATGAACTCCCAGATTCAACACTGCTTGAGCAGAGAGTAAATCGCTTTCCAAAAGAGTGGCATCGATGCTGCCCACTAGCGTTGCTACTGCTGCGATCACACCGGAGAACTTCATCGTCAGAATGAGATATCGCGTTCGCGTGGCGAGTTTATCGGCAAGGTAAGTTTTGAGCGGACTGACAAAAAGACAACGTCTGGTGACACCCGAATGAGACTATTCGGTTTCCAGCAGCTGAAGGGAGTAGCAGTCTTAAGCCTTTCTGGCTTGTGGAACAGAATTTGCGTGGCCCAAGTATTAGGTAGCGGAGAACTCCCCCTGCAAATGACTTGTATATTTACGGTTAGACGACCGTCCATAAAATAAGCAGAACCAGGACCAAGAGTACGGGCGATACCATCCAGGCCGTCTGATCAACCATCTGAAGGTCGAAAAAGACACGATATTCGGGAAATCTGTGCCGATGCAAGGATATGGGTTAAACTCAAAGTCTCAGGCCACAACTTGACGCACAAGGTTAATGGGATTGAGCGGTCAAGCCTCCTGATCTCATGTCAACTCAATACCATACCATACTAAGTATCTCTAACCCCTGGTTATCATCGGCGATATGGACGAAAGCCGTTGAACGAGCAGGGCATCAATCCTTCCTATCAACCTCTTCTAGACGAAGGGTTTACTATGGTTGTCAAACAATCCTCCAATCGGACCAAGATGATGGTGTGGGGCTCAGTATGTCATGTTGTCCTTTGCACCTTGCCAACTCAGCTAAGACTGGCTTCGTCATGATATTGCAGGATGATGTTGATGTTTACGCGCCCAGTAGGGGGCATAAGTGCTCGGTTTACGGAGTCTAACTTGCAAACTCATACAAGAGACGACACTACAGTGATATACACATGAGGGTTTACCTGGAAATCCAGTAGTCAACAAAAAGGTGGACGGTTACTACCGTGTCTGGCGCGATCCGAGATCTAGCGCGGCAAGCGGGCCCTCTGGAGGGTCTTTACTAGTGGATTTCTTTCAGATCCTTACTTGAATAAGACGCTTGAGCAAGGGTAGAGAATCGAGTTATGCCTGTTGTTAAGCGATTGGCGCCACCGCATACCAAATAGTGGTCTGTGGGCTTTTAAAATCTGCTCCAGAACTGTTGTAGACACCAAGCGACTGAATTGATATACAATCTTATGATCTGTCTGTTTCGTGGTGAACCTGTAACTGGGATTTTGAACACTTGGTGAATGGAATGTGGTCGAGGTACGAATTCATCCTACTGTGTGCGCGAATTAATACCCTTGGCACAGGATTGCGGCGTAGCTGCCCGCTCCTTCGTTTCTCTTGTTCCAACGTTACAAATTTCCGTCCTCTTAACTCCACAAATACTTGCAACTCCGAGGAGCAAGTTCGTAACTTGTTGAACATGTCTTTGAGAACGGTTCGCGCTTTCGAACTTGGGATACACGATCATGTATCACTATGCGTAACTCATAAATTGTAGATACTGGCTTCTTCGCCATGGGTTCTTCCGTTGACCTCTTCGTCAACGTGGAAGTAGTCAGACAATAACAGACCCAAGCCAGATACCCTGCATGGATACAGGTTTAATGGTCGGATGCAACTAATATGGATCTTACTCAAGATAAGGAACATTACCAATCAGGTCAAAGTAAATAGAGTTCATTGGAGACTTGATCCTGCAAGGCTTATTGAGACGAAACCTTATTCTTCATCTATAGCTGCACGCCGAGAAACGCGTACGTCTTCCTTGATTGACGGACGAGGATCAAACGCCCTAATTGATGTGAAGTTATGCCTCAAAAGGCAAAGTAATAACCTTTCGAGAAGTCTATCCTATCCAGTTACTTGGTTAGCCCGATCTGATATGCCTTTCACAGTATACAATATCGGGTGAAACTTCCACTCGTTTCTGCACGGCCCTTCGATTTCATCTTCACTGCATGCAACGGCTTATTTCTATGAATGGACCGCTCGTACTGAGCGAGGCCCGGGATATATACATTTTCCTGACCGTAGATATGTTGCTTGTTTGATGCACAATTGTCGACGTTTCAACTGGGCCAACTCCATGTTTTGGCCTGGCGAAGATCAACGATATCACATGTGACTCGTGATGGAAGCCAACAACAGAATACTCCAGGCTGCAAAGTTAGACACAGTTGCTCATAGAGTTGTCCCTAGGTCTACACTCTTAAGCACTCTGGCGACCGTGCCAGTTCCCCAAAAGCCTGCTCCCGCATCCACAACAAATGCGCAAGTATATATAATACAACCTATTACAGAAACTTGCAACAACACTACAGTATTGTTACACAAGATTTAGCGACTAAACCTTTGTAACAAGTGATCGGTAAACGCCTGCCATTATCCAAAAACAGTTCTGATTTCTCTTTTCTCGACCCGGCTCCTCACAACCCCACGCCATCTGCACATCCGCGGAAGCTCAGCGCGGGAGAACAGAAGCGTCGGGTGAGGAAAGAGATGTCATCAATATGAAGGTTTCTTCTCTAGAGTGAGTATGGTAAGAAAGAAGAAAAATCAAGGGATGGCGGTGAGCGGAGCAGTGTTGGGAAGGTAGTGTGAATAATAACAATCAAGCAAGATAAAAGCGTGTAGTCATAATATATTCTATTTCATTAAATCTCATTTCACGGGCCTGTTTGGCTCTCCGTGCCGCTAATAATGTTTCCACAAACGCCAAAAGACAATGTTTCATCCCAACCTCTGTTCACCACCTGATCTTCTTGTCCTTGCCAATGAACTCGTCGATAATGTCCATGTAGTACTCCTTCAGGTCCTCCACCTTGGGCACATCATCGCTTTTGCTGTACAGATCGTATGGGTTGAACGCTCGGACAGCCTCCAGCATACGCTCATCTTTCTCGTTCATCATCCATCTGTACGCATTCTCCTTGTGCCATGGGTAGAAAGAGTGGTAGCGGATCATGGCAAGGCCCTCATCAGGAATGGTTGACTGCTCCTTCATGATGTGGTATAGGTACTCATCGTGTCCCCAGCTCAACATGACGTTGTCCATGCCGCAGCCTGGGACGTAGATGCCGTGTTCTGTGCTGTAGATCTCGTTGTTGTAGTCTGGGTTGTTCTTGAATGTATCGGGGTAGATGATTCGCTTGTCAAAGGCGCAGCCGATGGGGAATGTGTCACCGACTACGTCCCACTGGCCCTCGGCGTCGTAGAAGAAGAGGAGCTTGCCAAGATCGTGGATCAGGCCTGTGAGTTGCATCCAGCGGGGCTTCCCATCACGGCGGATGGCCTCGGCGGATTGGAGGAGGTGGTCAATCTGGGAGAGGGATGTATCGGGGTCGCTCTCGTCGATCAGTGTGTTGAGCTTCTCCATTGCCTCCCAGATGGTCATCTCGGCACGTGTCTTGCTGTAGAAGTGGTTGCGAGCCTTTAGGTTATAGGCCACAGTCTGCTTCTCATGCTGCTCGCGGTAGAAATTCTTGACACGGTCACATGCGTCCTCGTACTGCCTGAATTGTGTCTTGTCTTTCTCGGCGTCGAACTCAGATCGCTCGTAGATGTCCTTCTCTTCTTGTGTGGCGGTGCCGTTCTTCACCTTCATGGCAGCCTTGAGAACGTTTACATCGTCGATCAGGTCGGAAGTGGCCTCAAGGGCTGAACCATCGCGGTTGTTGAATGGCTCAGCCACATTGGGCTCCTCGAAGATGGCGCCTGGTGCCATTGTGGATAGAAAATATGGATTCGAGGTATAGAAGAAGAGTGCTGGCAAGAGTACGGTTGACTATGATATAGAGTATGGGACGGGGATGAGAAGTAGGTGATGATATGAAAGCCTTGCGTGAAGAATGAGAGATACTTATCCTCTTGTGCCTGCAGCACCTCTAACAAGATTCTTTCCAGGTTGAGCGGGACTTCCCAAATCACCCGAAGTAGTACCAGCCTGTAGAGGGTGGCAGATTTCTCACATCGCCATCATCCCTCTCCACTGTAATCCACTCAGAGAGGAGCCTCCACATTGTTGAGCCCAAAGGAGGTACAAAGATGATGCGGGGGAATTTTCGCCGCTGTCAATCGCACCCCGCAGTGCAGAAAAATGATTTGTGAATCTAGAAGTCGGATGGCTTTGGAAGCACGAGGATGGTGGTTGGCTGTCTGCGCTTCTAGATCGCATATTGTCGGGCAATTAATTCCGGCCGACTGTAACGTTATTCAAGTCGGGTAATTTTCGCCGTCGCCTTGCTAGGGACTGGTGCCGGAAGTTGGAAGTTGTGGGGAAGAGCTGTTCATCACACGGATGTGCCCCATGACGATGGCGAACCTGCCCGGTTTGGAGAGCACGTGATGCTCGGTCGGGACTTCCCCGACTCGTGTCGAAACGGTAATAGCGTGCTAGGCAACGTGAGGCTTGGCACGTGGCGGGGTACTCTGGTGGGGCAATCGGCTTTTGATTAGGAGACGAATCCATCAATTACATTTGACGTAGTAGTTCAGGACGGAAAATCAGTTGTTGTGCCAGAGGAAAGCGGCCGCTCAAACACTCGACTACATATACCTCAAACATCCTGAAGATGAACCCTTCTCTCTCCAATTTCATACTCAAAGCTACCCCTAACTACATTCTCAACCCAACCCCTGAAATGAATACCGCAATCCCCCTCAACACTGGCGCCACAATCCCTGCCCTTGGCCTGGGAACGTGGCAGTCTGCGCCTGGTGAGGTCAAGAAGGCCGTCGTCCACGCCATTGAATCGGGCTACAGACACATCGACTGCGCTTTCTGCTACCAAAATGAGGATGAGGTCGGCGAGGCGTTACAGGATGTCATCTCGCGAGGCATCGTGAAGCGCGAGGATCTGTTCATCACGAGCAAGCTGTGGTGCACATTCCACACTCGGACAGAAGAGGGTCTGCAGAAGAGCTTGGATCTGCTGAAGACGCCATATGTCGACTTGTACCTTGTGCACTGGCCAGTGCCCATGAACCCCAAAGGTGAGTTTAGGCCGTGTTAAGAGCTGAGCATCGAAACTGACATAAGCAGGAAACCACCCTCTCTTCCCTAAACTAGAGGATGGTGTCGCGCGCGACATTGACCACTCCACCACCCACATCGAGACATGGAAGGGAATGGAGAAGCTCATCCAAGAGCACCCCGAGAAGGTTAAGGCGATTGGTGTCGCCAACTACTCTGTCAAGTACATGGAGAAGCTGCTTGCTCAAGCCACCATCACCCCCGCCGTCAACCAGATCGAGAACCACCCGCTGTGCCCACAACAAGAAGTTTACGACTTCTGCAAAGATAAGGGTATTCACATCACTGCATACAGCCCTCTGGGCAGCACTGGGTCGCCTCTGTTCAAGGATGAGGATGTTATCGATGTCGCCAAGAAACACAGCGTTGGCCCTGCCACAGTCCTCCTGAGCTACCATCGTGAGTCTCCTGATAGAATGACCATCCGAGTAATACTGACTTTGCCCAGTCGCCCGTAACGCTTCCGTTCTCGCCAAATCCGTCACTCCGTCGCGCATCGAGGAAAACAGCAAGCTCATCACACTCGACGCCTCGGACATGAAGAAGCTCGAAGCCGTCCACAAGAACAAGGGCATCAACCGATATGTATACCCGCCATTCGGTGTCAACTGCGGATTCCCGGATAAAACCGAGGGTATCGATTTGAGTGGCTGAATTACTGGAGCGATTAAGTTATGAAGTCTTTGCGCATGAGCAGGAATGGGATACCCCCTAGATAGACATATTTATGATTTGGTATAGATACACCTTCTATCCTCTGTGCACTGATACATGCGTTTCGTGATGTACAATTTTCTCCTACGTTCACCATACAGGTCTCACATAACTTCTTCTATGAGTATTATCAGCTTTGATCAGACAAAGTGTTTGATTGGACCATAGAGAGCTATATAATCACGAAACACCAATTAAAGATTGAAGTCTATCTTGCTGACGACATATATAATACAATACAATCACCTCCCCATCCAACCTCCATCGACCGTAATAACCTCTCCACTTACATACGCACTTGCTGCACTCGCCAAATAAACTATCACACCCTTGAAGTCCTCGGGTGCGCCCCATCGTCCAGCCGGAATCCTCGCTAGGATACTCTCGGCACGCTTCTCATCCTGTATAAGCGCAGTGTTCATCTCAGTCGCGATGTACCCTGGCGCAACAGCGTTGACTGTCACGCCCTTGCTGGCCCACTCATTACTCAGCGCCTTGGTCAACTGTCCAACCCCGCCCTTACTCGCTGCATAGGCTGGCACCGTGATCCCGCCCTGAAACGTGAGTAGCGACGCGATGTTTATGATAGACCCGCGACGCTGTAGTGGCAGGTCATTTGGCTGCTCCAGCATGTGTGCGCCGACATCTCGGCATAGCGTGAAGACGGATGTCAGATTCACCTGGAGCACAGCTTCCCAGTCAGAGTCTGGGAATTGGTGCGCAGGATGTCGACGCTGGATGCCGCCGCAGTTGAGCAGGATGTGGATTCTATGGCCGTCTTTCAGGACGGCAGGGACCAGATTAGAGACGCTGGATGAAGAGGAAAGGTCGGCGGTGTAGATTGTTGCTTTGCGGCCAAGTTTCTCAATGGCTTCTTTTGTGGATTGGTTGGAGGTGTCGCGCTTGAGTGCTGTTAGTTGAGGTCTCTGGGTGGATGGAGAGGTCGGGTTACCTGGACGAGGAGGATGTCTGCTCCTGCTTCTGCGAGGGCAATTGCCATAGACTGACCAATACCCCGTGTACCGCCTGTTACGAGGGCGGTTTGGCCCTCGAGGGAGAATAGCTGCTGTACTGAAGTCATGTTGTCGTGTTCAGACTTTGTTGTCGGTGCTCGGAATAGTGTTGTTGTAGTTCGGAACGGAAGTGTGTATACAAAGAACTGTTCTCTGGCTCTGAGCAACAGATGTGTAAATTAGTTGGAGGATAGGAACTAGAGTATCTCCCTCGACAAAGGTTTCAAGGTTTTTGGGACGCGTTATTTCTCAGCCGCGTGATCTAAAACGTCGACCTCGCTCCACGTTCGGAAAGCTACCCCACCACTAGATCGGCGTTTGAACCAGCGGCATATCAAACGCCGAACTAGGAATTCTTCTCCATATTCTACAGAGCTTCTGGGGAAAGGTCGCCGAGCGCATGGCGCATAATAGCTCTCGATAGGTCCCATGAGACAGTTTCGCTCTTCTTTCATTTCGCTTCAATTCCACTAACGTCGACAACAATTGCACGCGTTGAGCTTTATTGTTCCTAATTGTAACATTCGAGCTTTATGACCCACATCTCGCGACCCTTCAGTCAGCCTAAACATACTTGATTCTTAACCACACAACACCATGACTGCAGAAGAGAACCCCAATCTCGCGTCGAACGCGAAGCAAATTCGCGCCTCGGTTCTTCACGGCGCGAAAGACTTAAGGATTGTAGGTCAACAGAAACCTCAAAACTACAATGATATTGCTGACACCACCGCAGGAATCGCGCTCCATCTTGCCCCCATCACCAAATGATCTCCAGATCAGTATCCGCAGTACCGGCCTCTGCGGCTCAGATTTACACTACTACCGACACAACCGCAACGGCGATATCCTCGTCTGTGAGCCCTTGTCGCTTGGTCATGAATCTGCTGGTATCGTAGTTGGTGTGGGTTCCGAAGTTCAGAACTTCAAGATCGGGGACAAAGTCGCGCTTGAAGTTGGCTTGCCATGTGAAAAGTGCGAGAGGTGCAAAGAGGGAAGATACAACATCTGCAAGGGCATGAGGTTCCGGAGTAGTGCTAAGGCGATTCCGCATGCGCAGGGAACGTTACAGGATCGTATCAATCACCCAGCAGCTTGGTGTCATAAGTGAGTTCAGAACGGGTCTTGAGGGTGCGACTTTGCTGATCCGTATAGGCTGCCCGAGGACATGTCGCTGGATTTAGGTGCGCTTCTTGAGCCGCTGAGTGTAGCAATACAAGCTTCGAAGCGAGCGCAGCTTGCAGCAGGAGCAACGGTGCTTGTGTTTGGAGCCGGTGCGGTCGGTCTTCTAGTAGCCGCCATGGCCAAAATCTCCGGTGCTGGCACTGTGGTCATCGCTGATATCGACGCTGGCCGAGTGAACTTCGCCGTGGAAAACAACTTTGCAGATCGAGGTTTCACGGTGCCTATGAAACGAGGGAACACGATAGAAGAGCAGCTCGAGATTGCGAAGGAGATTGCAGCAGATATTGGAAAGACGAAGAAGGGAAGCAGTGGAGAAATTGGCGAAGTGGACGCTGTTTTTGAGTGCACTGGCGTGCCCTCTTGTGTACAGGCGTCAATCTTTGTAAGTTCAAGCACGTTGCTGGAACGAAACAATAGTTAACAAATACCAGGCGATACGACCAGGCGGAAAACTTCTACTCATTGGCATGGGAACACCTATCCAAACACTTCCCATCTCCGCCGCAGCTCTCCGCGAAGTTGACATCCTCGGTGTCTTCCGATACGCCAATACATATCCCATTGGCATCGAAGTGGTTTCGAAAAAAGGAGTAGACTACCCAGACTTTTCCAAGCTGGTAACACACAGATACAAGGGATTGGACGCTGCGGTAGAAGCTTTCGAGATGGCCGGGAAGACGAAAGACGACAGCGGTAATCTGGTTATCAAGGTTGTGCTTGAGACTGGGGAGGATTTGTAAGCTTTTCATCAGGCGTTAGCATTTGGGAAGGCGAATTTAGAGTGTTCATAGCTGTAGTTATCCTGAACACATTTGTTGATGCACTGTAAGCAAATGTCTACAATCTTCAAATGACGTAATCAGGGTACTTATGCTTTTTGCCTGCATTTACCCTTCGGACGTTTTGACCATCGCTTAAACCTTCTCAATAAGGCTTCGGATGCTGATCTCGGGTGTTGTCGAATTTTCTCTCCCGTTCCAACACCTGCCCTTCGTGTGCATGCTCAAGCCACGCGCCATAGCCGTTCCGAAGGTAGTGCAAGGCGAGTTCTAGGATGCGTGCGACGGGGAGAATTACCCTGTTTATCACCCTCAACCCCTCGACCCACTCGTACCCCACAATTGCGCTACAACACCTGCAAGTCAAAACCGCGATGTTCGTTGTGCTACTCAATTGAAGTGCCGAGTCCTCCCCAAGATTCGATTCCGATGGTAACACGTGTGTCAGTTGTTAGGCACCATGGGTGCACTTGTTGGGATGCGGTTGATGGAAGTGCGAGGACACGTCTTCTAAGTAGGTATTATGGGTGTTTGAAAGGCAAGCTTGGTGTGAAAGATGAGTTTGACATCCTCATGTTAACGCGAAATTAAGTAGCAACTCTGAAAGATACCTTACGCTGTAGCACCCTTTCCAACGCCTCAATCCTACGACTAAACAACTCGCAATAGCCAAACATACGCGCAGATTCTAGATCACCGTCTCTTGCTTGTATTACGCGGACGATTCTCTTCGCCGTACGCCAAACATCGACTTGGTAGCGTTACGCCAAATCTAAGAGAAGTTGCACAAGCGAAGGAGAACCTCGAGCCACGAGGCGTCAAAATCCACACTGAACGACCAAGGCGATTGGAGTTTGCAGGCTCATGTTTTGGGACACGCCGTTGAGCACAGTACTGAGTGTTATATGCATCTCGCTGTTGTCTTTCCATTTGTGTATATGGCAAAGCTGCTATTTGGAGGTACCTGGTGATCAATGAACGTCTTGAACATATTGACAGATGAGGAACACAGCACAATGACCACATAAAGAAACGAACGGTGCCAGTATATCCTGCATCGCCCGCCATCCCGACATCAAGGCAATGTGTGAGTTGACCCTACCACTTTCGTGCCTCGTACCTCAACACCTACAATCACACAGTAAATGACTGTATTGGATTCCTCTCGATCTTCCGCTTCCAGACAAGCAATCATCACGTTTTTTTGTCCCATTCGCTCAGTTCTTCACTGCCGTCCTCGTCGACTGCAGCATCCACAACACCAGGCTGGTGCCATGTTTCGTCTCCGCCGAGACCAAAGCCAAGGTGCTCCCCAAAGTGCAATCCGTTGTAGCGTTCCGTGTTATAGCCTTCGGCATTGCAACTCTCAAGCCTCGTGTAGTGAAACACAGGATGTGGATAGTAGAGTCAGTGCCATCGAGTTCTACGACAGCCAGACTACCTACTTCTACCACCGGAACCGATGGCTCGTTAGTAGTCAATGAGAATCCGACGATGGCACTGCTGAAGTCTCATCTCTCGTCTGGTATTCGTCACATAGAACCGCGTCAGTTTAAGGATGTGGTCCCAGAAACTAGAGTTTCACGAGTAGTACTAAGACAGCGAGAATTGAGGTGACGGTTCACGACAGTCCAAAGTCGGAGATGATCATCAAGTTTGATCGAGGAACGAGTGAAGACGACAACTGCACCTACTGAGGAGCGAAAGTATTGCGAACCCTATATGAAGACCTCTCACTTACATCATTAAAGGTTTGCGGGTAATGTTCGAGTGGTATCTTATCCTATTCTCAGTATTCTGTGTTTACTGTCCCGTTCGTCTTACCTTTCTGCACATTTCTATACGCTTCTTTCGTCCTTCTACCAGGCCTTGCATCCAAGCGCCCTGTACTTGGTGCTTGTGTTTGTCGTCTATATATCGTTTCTGCCAACTGACATCACTACATCTGATAACGTTTATAACACCAAATGTAGATATCCCATGTCACTAACGAAGAACGTCGCAGAAGAGTTTTTGAAGAGGCAAATTCGGCGAGCTTGGGGATGTGTCATGACGATTCATTGCTGAGTATATTCATGTTAATGGCATTACAATGAATGTAGTTTCTTACGTACGCCATTTGGATCGTGAAGTCTATTGGTATCTCGAGCACTTCCAACCCATCATCTAGCCTTCGGCCAAATCCAAACTCCCCTTCCCAACTGTTGAAGGCGCCGCATCCGGACCCTTTTGTTGTCTCAACTTCTCCTCAAACTTGGCAAACTCCTTCAATGCAATCTCCTCCTCCTGGTCCAAAACCTGTTGCACACCCTTCACCTCCTCAATGTAGTGCATCAACATGCTCTCAATTCCATTCTTTAGTGTGACAGTACTCGAATCGCATGTGCGACACGCGCCTCGCAGCTTCAAAAGCACCTGTCCATCGTTGAAGCCGCGGAACTCAATATCTCCACCATCTTCCTGAATCGCAGGACGGACACGTGTATCCAGGAGTTCTTTGATCATGCCAATGACTTCGTCATCGTTTTCGTTGTATGCGAGGCTGTCAACGTCTGTTCCCTCCTGACCTTGTTCGCCGTCCTTGGCTGCTACGGTGTTGACAATTGCTTGGCCGCTCGTCAGGAACTCGTTGATGATGGCAAAGACTTCCGGCTTTACGTGCGCCCATGGTGTTGCGCTATCTTTGGTAACGGTGATATAGTCGACGCTTAGGAAGACCGATGTGACACCGTCAATGTTGAGAAGCTGTGCGGCGAGTGGGGAAGGATGCGGCGGTGCGAGTGTGGAGCGGGGATTGAGGTATTCGAGGAAAGGCGAGGACACCGATTCGGGGAGTACTCGTTGGTTGGGGTTGAATTTGAGGGCCTAGCATTGTCAGTACAACCATGCGAAGGTGAGTTCGAGGGTGAAAACATACGTCAGCGTTTGGCGTCGGCTCGGTCTGGATGAACATTGTCCGGCGCGCTGCTGCTACTACAACTGGGGAGGCGGTACTCAAGCCCCATGGCTGTACTCTAGGTCGGTGCTGGACGGGCGATGCTGTGATGGGTGACGATTTCTGATGTAGACATCTTGTGGCGACGCGTGCAGTCTTGGAGCGCAAGGAAGGTACGGCCCGGGAAAGGTTGCGCATAGCAGAGCGGGGAATTACTATTGAGGCCATTTTTATGTGATTCGTATAGTAATAGTTGGAGGGGAAACTGGAGTTGTCGCAATGGCAAAGTTTTGGGACCTCGGTCGCCAATATGACGTTGACGGTTGATTATTCAGCAATATTCCCAATGTGTAATTGGAAGTCGCGCGCCTCACTCCTTCCACTCTCTTCTCCCAATAACTTTGATGCGCCAGGTTATTTTCGAAAATCTGATATGTGTGTAATGGTACTCGTTCCAAGCTAGATATCTTCGAGGCGGCTCGAGTGATAGCCGTCTTTGCTCCATAGTCCACATCATTAATGCTCAACCAAAAGAACACAACGCAGGATGTATCTGATACCGATCGAAGTCGAGTTTCGGTTTATCTTCTCCTTTTGTCGTACTTCTAGATGCGCTATTTCCATAAAATCTCGAATACTTTCATCGTTTTATATATCTTCGAGCTCTGAAATACTTTCACAGCATTCCACATCCAATAATCCCATTTCAAGGACTAGTATTCTCACCTCTCGGTGAGATGAGACAAGACAACATCACAGACGCGTGGTCATCAAACTATCACAGGCAGCTGTGTTGATGGCTCGTAAAGCAAGGCCAGCAAGCAAGCCTATTCGAAAGATTCGATCAACTACGATCGTACTTTGTCACGCGTGGTCCAAACAGCGACCTGTTACGTTCTACTCAACCGTTGAGGACCTCGTCAGATTATTCCCCGGCAGAGTTATCTCGTCTGGAGTGAATCGGAGTTGTAGACCTCGAGGGCCTACGAGAAGAAGCCTAAAGTCTCATCGATAGTAGAGGCGGATACCAACGCATTAGATGACGTAAAACATGTCGCCTCGAATCTCAGCCGGTATGGTTTCCTATTCTACGTTATGTTTTTGGTCACGATATTACGCATAGCTTTGATCAAGAAAGACGTATGTTATCCCGACTCGGCCACAATTTCAACATCCTAAAAACCATACTCATTCCTATGTTATGAGAGGGTTAAACGTCCTAGGTTCAGACACTCCTTCTCTTGCAACTCTTCTATGTCTTGCTTTTTACTTTCTCTCGAGAGCCTCCTACTCCTCTTTCATCTGGTTAGACTGCGTATCAAGCTCGTCCTTTTCAATACCTAGATACGCGAAGATTCGGTTATAGACTGCTACAATACTTGACGTCTTCAGAATGAGACCCATGGTTCAAGCTTTAGCTCAACACATCTGTCGAATCAGATACATACAACACAAGAACAAGCTTGATTCTTCAACGCATTATATATGTTCGAACCCAACACCTTTACACACAGTAAAGACCAGCAAAGACACGGAAAGAGTGAAGTTCATACGCAACGCTCGCTTCAGCGTCTTCGAGCTGCCTTCATATATGTCCGTTGCCTTGTGTTAGATCGATGCTCCTTCACATCATTTAAAACACTGTCACAAGCCCTTCGGACGTGGTAAAGACGCTACGGGGTGACTGTATATCTGTCGCGCATCGGTTGTGGACTGTATAATCTAGCAGTGGAGGATGAATGACAAAAGCTGAGACGCTATTGTACAGTTTCAATTTGTATCAAATATTGGCCTACAGGCCAACACAGCTTCTTTACTTCGCGCAAAACTCTGTGCTTAGTCTGTTTGCGTAAGGAACATACAGAGCTGAACTTCATCACCAGCGATTCATTAGGTGGCCAGTCCGTGCCGTAATCCTATCGTTCCTTACGTGCATCGAGCATCAACGGAGACAGCAATATCTTTACACTTTTATCAACCTTTTCCTTATATCACGTTCTGAGAAGAGTTACTTGAGACGATGAAGTGTACACAAGTACATAGACCTGCTTGAGCCAAGCTTCACATGCATTGCAAGAACCAGTTCACTCTTGGATACTTGCTTCGTGGGAATATAATCCATGGCCAGCCGCTATCTCTAAAATTCGCACTCGCATCTCAAGGGTTATAGCTACTGCGTACTACATCCTTCAACTTGCTCCTCCAGCTTGCATCCTTCAAGCCTCTGACATCACCGAAGCATCGATCGCGATCTGTCTCTGTCTCTCTATATCCTTATGCAGTGGGTATCACTTGCTATAATTCTTAGGAACACACCCGCCCATGTGCACTGTGACATCGTGCTTGTGCTTGTGGGTGCATACGGGACTTGTTCTAAAACAGGATGTTGCGTTCTCCTTCGTATTCCCAACTCTGTGAATCGCACCGTGCGCGCAAGTGCGCTACCCCCAAGGCTGTTTGTTTTATCATAGCTGGTGTGCGAGGCGTCGCGCATATACAGCTGGCGATCTCCATCACTACCCCACGCTCTAAGCATCATGTACTCGGTATAACATACCGATTCCAGTCAACAAGCCATAGTTCATTCTCCGTGGTATCGACTGACCAGGGATTGTGAATATCGCACTCCATCTCTGCGGCAGCGTCCGTCTTCCCAACTTCACACTTGGACTTCACGCGCAATCTATGAACCGGCTTCCCACCTTCCGTCTTCAGTATAACCTACGCACAGGCCAGTGAACTCGAGTTCGTCACCAGCCATTCAATCACGCGCACCTTTCCATTCACCCAACAAAATCAAACCCACACACACACACACATGTCAAAGCTACCCCTGCCCGCAACAGCTACCCCTCACTCTTCTCGAACAGTATCGAAGCGCTTCGCGACGGAACCGAATCTAGCCGGCGTATTCCGCCATGTTCCATGCACCTTCCACTGCATATCCCACGTCTAGAAGACTTGACTGACGTGCAGGAGGAAGCTATCGAACAAGCTATTGATGCAGATGCAGATGCAGGTGGTTCCTGATTGTTGGCATGCATGTGTATAGAAAGCGCGTTACACAGGATAGCCAGTCATGTCATGATATAACATTTGCAAACACGGGATGTAATAGAAGAGGCAGACGCGGCGATGAAGAAAACACAAATGGATACTAGAGACCACAAAAATGCGTCAGTAGTGGAGAGGAAGGCTAGAAATGTTGTAGAGATCCACTGCTATCAGTAGGTACCCGTATTTCCACACGCACCCCTCTCTAGCAGTGGATACCAGCCATTCCACCAATCATATCCACCTCTTAGCTTCCCAATCACAGATTCGCAGATCCTTCATCGTGAACAATACTCAGGCCGCAATCCCCACTGCAAGCTTATGCACGAGTATAGTAAGCTGCATAAGTTCGAGAAGCGTACTGCATCCAACGGCCTAAGACCCGCATGCAGGTGTCTCGGCCGTATTGCCGTATGTACACAAGGCTGTGCAGATATGTAGGCGCGGGAAGCCAGGTTGCTGGCGACAAGGCCAAGCGGGGCAGGAACGACGTCGTGAGACCATGATCATATGGTGTGCTATGACTCTAGCTTGGAGGTGGTCGGAGCGGCGGGAGAGGATGGCTGGGGTGAGACGGGATGGATTGCTGGAGCGGGAGGCAGGAAAATAGGAATATTTGCCATGGTGTGATATTGAAGAGAATTGTTCTACACGCACGAAACCAAAACTTTGGACCACGGTATGAATGTTTTACCTGGTTGTAGTTCAAGCGTCTGTTATACACATTACATCGATGCAGGGACTCTACATGACCATCTCATCCACGTCTTCCTCCTTGTAGCTAACCGATGCCGTAGCCCTGCCAGACTTCTTTCGTGTAGCCGATGCTTGCACCGCACGCTTCTGCACGACCGGAGCCTCGTCCTCATCTCCCTCGCTAAGCGGTGGGGAACTCAACGAGTCCTCATCATCTGAAGGTGAGGGCGTAGGGACGGATTTTGGCGCCTTCTTCTTCGTGCTAGCAGGCCGTTTGGGGGCCGCCTTCTTGGCTGGAATTTTAGTGTCGTCGATACTGGCCGGTTCACCGACGATGGATGCATTATCTCCAGGGGTTACCACCGTCTTCTGCTTCTTCTTGGCGGGGGTGGCGGCGCCCTCCTCTTTCTTCTTGATCACGCGCTTCGCAGGCCGAAGCCAGTCTTCCATAGTGGGCGGCCAGTATACACGTCTCTCAGGCCCACCCATACCCAATTCGTCTTCTGGGACCAATGGAGGAGGTACCTCCTCTTCCTCTACTTGCTCTATTTTCGCTTCCAGGTCGTCAAGATCGTCGGTCTTCTGTTTCCTGCCTTTCTTAACAGCCTTTTTGGGCTTAGGCTTGAAAGGCTTATTTTCATCTTGCCGTTGATGTGGCACAATCTCATTGATGAGATGAAACCCTGGGAGCTTCAGTGTTCGCATAAGCTCAAAGACAGCTTGTTCCTTATCTTTGGCCTCGATCATCAGATCCATGGTGTCGGGGCAAGGGGGGAGTGTCATAACGCGGGGTGAATGCTTTCTACGGTCTCTGCCAGTGATGGTGCCAGGACAAGGTTCGCTATAATGCATCTTAGGTGTAATGCCCTTTTTGGTCCAGGTCTCGAGGATCTTTGGGAAGAGATCGACGATGTCTTTAGTGCCTTCACGAATCTGCGTCGAGTCGAAGAGGATGTTGTGGTGATGAAAGTCCAGAACGAAGGGAATATTGAGCTCCTGGCAAAGAGGTAATATCTCATGAGTACACCAGACGACATCGTCGTTCTCAAGCACGAGGCGTTTTTTCACACCATCTGGAAGCTTTGCGTAGTTCTCCTTGAATCGCTCAATGGCGGCTGGCTTATCCCCGAAGGCACCGCCAAGATGCATGATCATCACAGCATCTCGGTCTTGTTGTTGGGGAAGCTTCAACAAAGAAAGCAGCTCGGCATGATACACCAGGTCGCGAACCGCGTTGTCGATGACAGATTTCCGCGGTGAGCCCAATTGGGTGAATTGACCTGGATGAGTAGTCACTCTGTGACCAAGCTCAGCGATAACTTCGCCGACTTCGCGAAGGGTGTCTGCGGCGAAAGGCTCGAGAGTGTAGCCATATTCTTCGTGGCTTGCGAACGGAAACATCTCACTGCTTAGCCGCATGAATTTTATCCCGTACTTGTCATTCCACCTTACCATCTTGCTGATGTCCCGCGCGTTAGCTAGGCCTAGCTCTTCAACATATCTCATGCCCCTGCCAACATCAGCCGGCTGGTCCTTATCGGGTCGATTCTTGGTGGCATGCTCCGGTTGCGAAGGGTCCTTCAAGGGGTGTCGATGCTCTAAGATGCTCGCAATACGGCACGTCCTCGAGCTGAAGACAGGCGGGTTTGCGTTACGAAGGTAGGTGTTAAGACAGGCCTAGTTGTTATGCATGTCAGCTTAGATTGCAAGTAAGTCTACGGGTAGCATACATAGCCTAAGCGTCCTTTCCATGGCAGGGGTAGATAGCCGGAGTTTACAGGGGGAGGTCTCAACGACGCTGCCTTGACCTCTGCCTCGTCGTCGTTCTCTAGCTCGTCGGCTGCTTCAGGATCGCCAGGCACCCCGGTATCATCTGCAGGACCAGTGACATTCTCCGTGAGACCGTTAACAAGTGCAATGCTATGGCTGTCATCTTGCTCCTTCTTCACTTGCGGTAGCTTGCCCTTCTTTGCCTTATCTTTTCCCGTTTGTTTAGTGGGTACATTGACTGCCGGCGCGTGGTTGCTCACGGCACTTTCCTCATGCCCGTCGGGTGACGCTCGCAGCGCGTTGACGCCATCGAGAACTTCAGGATTGACGTTGGGATCTGTAGTCACAGCGGGTCCCCCACGAGACGGCTGGCGACGCGCCGGGTGAGGCTTGTTGCCTCCATCCTTGGAAGGCACAGGGACTGCCGTGCGGCGCATCTTTGACCGGTCAACAATGGATGCTTCAGCCGTTGTGCCTGGCGCAGCTGCTACTGTGGAAAGTTTCCGCTTAGCCATAGTCGAAAGATAACGGGGTGCACAAAGGCTCTGCAGGGTCGCTGGGGCTTGGTGCGGTGCTCGAAGTGCGACGCGTAGGCTGAATTGGTGGATCGAGCGCAGCATCAAGGTCGGGAGCGCAAGTCGGGGTCACAGTGGTACAAAGGCAAACACGGTGAGAGAGAGCTGAGGCCGCAGGTTTGCCTTCTCAGCGCCATGTTGAATGACTAACGCGTTAAACTCTCGCAACGTCACTGTTTTGTTGGTGTAATGACGATGGTGGAGATGCAGATCGCCGCGAGCGAGTCTGGCGATAAGCGAGAGAGCCCCTTGCAGCATCGCCATCTTCATCTTGGAGACTTCACAATGCGCAATCCCACGGCACACATACTCAGGCTTCGAATCTTGATAAAGTTGTCAATTTGTGAAAACAGTGTACCGCGATTTTGCCGTATGGGAGACTGGTATCCTAGTTCGTCCATATCTGATTATCTGAGCCAATAGCGTCTGGGATGAAAGTTTTGAATGAGGAAATCGAGGCTATATGGATAACGAGTATCCATCCTTCATAAATATACCTATATAGGCAAACCTCTACTGGAGATGTCGATGTGTGTCGCAGATAGGATGGCTGCATCGCTGTTGCCACACTGGAGGGCGATTGACAACCTCGTCGTCCATGTCCGTTGCTTGGCCTCGACAATGCATAATGTAACACAATCATGTCTGCAATCTCATGTCGCACAAAAGCTTCCACTAAGATGTCTTGTGCCACAAACATTTGTACTGTGCTAACGACGTCTGCTTGTCTCTACGTCACCACTTCAGCTGACCAACCAATCATGCTTAGCGAGCGCATCTCCACCGATCTTGCCCCAAACAGAGGCGCCACCCGGCACAAAAACAAGCCTCACCAACGCCACATTACAAAGGGATGAGTGTCGCGGCATCTCCGCAGCAGCCATCCCGGACGCCGCAAACGTTGGCAATCTGGACGGCCTCTGCCCGTTTTACGTACAAACGGTCCCCGGAGTGTCACATGCGAGAGCCAAGCGAGGCTGTACACAGTACACGACAATGTGGATTCAAAGCACGACAGCCGGCCCAAGTGATCAACTAGGTACAAACTGGAGAGTTGCTCCTCGTTGAAATGACAGGTCGTTTTGTACCTGCATACGGACAGCACAAACCCCTTTGATAACGGAGGGCCGAAAGCCTTGTTTGGAATGTCTACCGCATGAACATTCTAATCACAACAGTCGCATCGTCTACCCCTTCGTCCTAGCGTATCCATGTCGGAGCACGTTCTCCCATGCAATTGGTCCCGTAGTCCTGACCTCGAATACATAGCGGTGCTACCTAAGTACCCACAAGGTCGACGGTCGCTCGCAAAGGACCATGCACGGAGATTGAACCTTTTAGTTCAAACAACCGTTCAGATGAGCGGCTGTTGACCCTGAATTACCGGGGTGGGGTAAGTTCGTCTCGCTCCCGTTCCGCAACACACCCTATCCTGTCGACTGTTAATTTCCTCCACCCGTTGCGGCATTGCGGGCACGCATGAATGTCGACACAAGGTGATTACCGTACACAGTAGAGCGGCGCTTTTCACTTGCCATGCGCCTAGTCATCCTGCCGTCACAAGCTCAACGCACAATCCGTCACACATCCAAGAATGTCACCACGTAGTTCATACGCCATGAATGTACCTGGCAGAGATCTGCACGCTACCTCCTCTCTATCCAAACACTACTAAATATGGACCATGACAAGATTTCAACATCGTCAGCCACAGAGCGCTGAGCAGGCCTTTCGTGTCTCTGATTTGTGCTCCCACCAAACTCCAAGCGCGAGGCAGATCGCGGCGTCGCCGAGAACGATCGGCCTGAACTCCCGTGCTAGTCTTGCGTGCAGTGCAACCAAACGGTGGAGGCTCGTTCCTTGCTTCTTGATTCCGTTGCAGTCGGAGAGATAGACGGGCTTAACGTTAGTGTGCACTGAGTGATTGCAGCGGCAAGGACCGTCGAGTCAGCACATGGACATGTGAGATGCAGGCTCGTATGCGCTGTGTGGAAATACGGGTTGATTATGTCGTGACGGCTCATTTACTAGCCGGTGAGGTGGCATGTCCGCGCGCTGTTCTTGTGTAACCGAGTTGCTTGTTTGGCAAGAAGGTCTCGCGTAGCCAGAGCATCCCTGCTAATAGCACGCTGAGTGACTTGTCTGATCTGCAACAAAGCAGGCTAAAGTCACCATGGACCAAATTAGATGATGTAGTTGAGATTGTCCAAATGCGATGTTATGCTTCTGCGTGAATTCATGTCTACATTTACAAACGTGGGTATCAATGCCCTCATACCAAAACGCGATATCCAAAGAGGCAGACCGGCAATTGCAATCCTGACCTCATACATATCCTGACTTGCCATGCATATATGTCGTGAACCGAACCAATAGCCGACGAGAACTTTCAACCTAGTATGCTTGATCCAGCAAGCATCAGATCACAATGTACTCCCCATCAACGCGGTCCATAGCTTTTCTCCACCGGAATGCCTGTTGGACCGTGCCAAACGGCCCCTGCAAGTCCCCCTCCACCCACTCATCGTCCTCACTCCATACTCGCTCCAATACTTCCAGACCACTAAGGTTATTGAAGAAACCACTCTCACGTTGGATTTCCACGCATCGCTGTCGCACGACGGCGCGGTGCTCCGGGTCCACGCACTCGGTGCCCACTATGAACAAGGGCCAAAGTAAAAACTTGTTGACGCAACTTGTGACGCCGATCTGCGAGATGTGGAAGAGGCCCTGCGAGACTAGGTTCTGGAAGTTGCGTGCACCAGCAGGTATAGTGGGATGTGCAAGACGCTCAATGTAGAGCATAGCTGCGTATCGAAAGCTTTCGCTGATGTGCAGTAGCGCAGCTTGTGCTGGTGACATGGCGAGCATTGATGACGTTGCGTCGCATGAGCCGGCCGGCATTTCACCTGGGGCACCGAACTCCCACTGTTGGAGTCGGAACCGGACGTCATTCCACTCTGTCCAGAACTCGGAACGCGGGTCATCTCGTGCCGATGTGAGAGGGTTTGGTCGTTCGAAGATGGGTGTTCCCCATCCGTTACCGTCAACATCTCCATAGCTGAAGGAGTAGAAGTCTCTTTGCTTTCTCGGCCGAGGTGATGATTGTGGGGTTTCGTCGTTGTCGCGTACAGGACGATCCTGACTGAGCAGATTCAGCCTCCCGAGCCGCGCAATAAGCTTGAAGAGACGGCCTTCGCAACCCGAGTGATGCTCCATTGCACCCAAGTTCGCATTGAGGTTCATCATATCCAGGGACTCCCCTTGCACCTCGATCTCCCGATCGTTGACTGCAGCAGTCATGACATCGAACCATGTGAAGAAAGTTTCGATCCAACCAACAAAGTCCGATGGCACACTTCGATCCCGCAAACTTAAAAGCTTTTGAACGCCAGCGAGTTGAGTCTTGAACTTTGTAAAGCCTGAATCGCAAACATGGAAGAGACATAATATAAGAAGTGTGGCAAGTACAGAGTCTTCCTGAGAACCACTGACATCTACAAGCTTCTTGTTGAGTAAGGCAATAGATGTAGTCTTGTAATGCTTCTCCTCACTGGATGGCTCGCCATGCATCTCGCGTAGCTCCCGAGCAGTCATCTGAGAGTAGGCATGATCCGGGATGAGGCGATAATCTTGGGAAAAGCTTAATCGACGGCCCTCTATACCACCACGCATGCGCATGTTGTTTGTTGCTAGGGCAGCGATGGCATTTTGGAGCTCCTCATTCCTCATGGCCAGATGAATGATGTGCATACGGTAGGGATTGGTGTTGTTGTCAAAAGCCACCAGAACCGGGCATATAAATTTGTCGTAGTAGTCCAGAAGGTATAACATCCGCGGGGAAAGGGGCGAAGTGATAGTAAGACTCTGAGGAATAGAAGTGGTGAGCTGGAGAACGTCTAGAGACAGGGGGCCAGAGCCGTAGGAAGACATACCCTCCGAGGGGAGAAAGGAAAAGCCAGGCTGGAAACCGTTGAAACTTGAACTCATTTCTTCCTCCGCAAAAATATCCGGGAAAGCCGCCGGACCCATCGTTTGGTGAGCGGAGCTCACTTCCATGTAATCGTGTACACTCTGGTCTGAGCTCACGCTTGAGCTCATGTCGTCTGCCGTAGGCAATGAGCGAGGAGCCTCGTGGAAGAAGCTGTCCATGGAGCCCATTGGTTGTTGGTCATAGGAGTTGAAAGGATATCGCGGAATTGAGGAATCCGCGAATGGAAATTCATCGACAGGTGTCCCTGGGAAATCGCCAGGAGATGGGAAGTCGCTGTCGCTATATGTACCCAGTGATGCAGTCGATGCTGACATTCCACCGTCTTCGAAAGAAGAGATCTGGAGAGAGGTTTGCAGTCTTTGGAGGGGTCCTCTATGGAAGTTTTGTCGTCTCATCTTGGAAGCGTAGGGGTTCATCAAATCCAAGTGTTCTCCATATTGAGGCATGGAAAATCCAATTGGGGTGGAAGGCGAGGGGATGGGAATGGGACTGGTAGGACCGAGATACTGATATTCTTGTGGAGCGGAGTACATGCCAGGACTCGTAGGGCTTGTAGGGGAGTGAAGACCATAGTCGATGCTTCCGCGGGCGTGGAAGTTAGTAGGCTCCTGCCGAGTAGTCTTGGTTGTTGACGTCGTGCTAGCAACCACAGCAGACGACTGAGACTTTGATTCCTGGACTGTTGCTTGGGGAGGTGACTTTGCGATGGGCAAAGACATGCCTCGTAGTTTACCACGGCTGGCAACTCCTACCCCCCAGGTCAGGGTAGTGCGGTATCCTGAGCATTCTTTGCCAATCTCGATGCATTGCCCACAGTACGGTCGTTTTCGATCGCACTTGACTTGACGTTTCCTGCAGGCAAAGCAGTCCTCGGTGGCTCCCGTGGCGGGCGCCCTTCTTCTTCGCTTCCTGGGGGCGGCAGCGGCATTGTTGGCGGTGTTTTCAACCTTCTGGGTCTCGGCAGGCTGTGCCGTAGTCGTTGAGGCGGCCATGTTCAAGTATGGAGGTGATGAGGTAAAGTAAGGTGTACTGTGTAGCATTTGCTAGTGGGTGCCCGTGGTATGTGTAAACGAAATAGACAAGTTGACGAGGGGTGATTCTCAATGGAGCATAGAAGGTGCGTCACGCAGGTATTATTTAGTTGTGGGACACGAGTAGGAGTGAAGAAGCTTGGTCCCCGTCTGATAAGCTCTGAGCCTAGTCAACAGGGTTCTGGATGCCAAGAGAATAGGATTCGAAAAAGACGGCAGCAGAGTGGACGCTAGGATATTATGAGAAGAGGAGGTCATCTCGAGATGCGCATGAAGGTTGACGCCTGCAGCGAGTAGGCTAGGTGCCCGCATGTTCTTTACCGCTGCAAGGCCTTGGTTTGTGGCAACCCCTACCGCACCCCACAGATAGACGGCGAATTGCAAGCCGAGAGAGGGTCAAGTTCGGGTTACATCGTGAATGCTGGTCGCACCCTGGCAAAGCTCGGACGTCGAGAGGGTTGCCTGCAGGACGGAGAAGGCTGGACGCCACGGAGCATGCACCAATCGATATTCGTTCCCAGTACGATCTACCACCGGGCGCTAGCCTCGGAGAAGCTAAGGGCCCCAGCCACTGAGGGAGCTTGTCTCAGATGGTCCGGGGTGAGAGCGGCCAGGGTTTGCTCGGCTGGCAGGCTTCTGCAGAACCACTTCCGCCATGGCTGATAGCGTCAGGTCCAGTGTAAGCTCGCCGACGAATAGAGCGCAGGCGGAGCTGACCGGCCAGCACAGTGTGCCGTTAAGAAGCTGCATCGAATCTGTGTAGAAGATAGCAGCGCGTATTGTTGCTGGCCACTGGGAGGGCGCAGCCAAAGCGCCCCCCGCCCGCTGCGAGGCATGTGCCAAGGCAAGCTTAGAACGGCCGTTGACGTACTATGGGTAGGTCTACTACGAAGCTCGTGAAGCGGCCTGACCTCCACTCCGCTAGAGACTCTGGCGGGAGGATGCGGGAGTCGGGGGGTGCTGCAGTCTGCGAGCGTGCGTGCACACGATCAATCTCTGGAGACGGGCATGGTGAAGCTCTTGCAATCATAACGATGACATCGAGGGGCCGCGGACAGAGGCACGAATGATGCAAAACGATGATGCACGACGCAAGCAGGGATGCCCGTCAGTCTGCTGTGCTGTCGCTTGCTCCGCAGAGCCTCTTGGCAAACCGTTCTCGTGGAAACACATGATAACATTGCGGGCCTGATGGGACCAAGCGATATGACCACGGCACCACGACCCCCACGGCCCTGTATGGTCAGCATCGCAGCGGAGGGCGCGAGGTTTCGCCTCTTCTCTGTGCTTTTTACTCTGCTGTCGCTGTGCTGCTCTCCTGAAGGTCCCCATGAGCCCCGAGAACTACTTGCGCCTCGCGTGGTTGTAGTGCGACAGTCGAACCCTCACGGCCAATGCATACCATCCGCGCCAGTTTGGTGTTGCGAAGATCTCGTTCGGTTGGACGAGCAGCTGATTTCATGCATTATTGGCGCTTTCTTGTTCAGACCACCACTCTCCAGGAACCAGTACGGAGATAACTCTGGGTGCACTGTCAAACTGCGTTCCTGACTGTATTCCCCCCTCAAATGACGGCTTCACCGGATTACCAAACGGTTCTCCGAGTCAGCGTTGGCTAGCACGTGAGGTACGTATCGGCAAGAGGTACCACTTGGGCATTGTCATGTACGCTCCGCCACTCAGTAGTTTGTCTCAAGTAGCAAGACACTCCAGTCCCGTCAGCAGATGCATCGTGCCTTACTAGACAGGGGCCCTCTTCCCCAACGTTACTACTACCCGTCGAGGCGAGCCATGTTGCGCGCGGGGTAGGAACATTGCGTCTGGGGAAACCAACACAAAACGTTGCGTTGTTGTATACACTGTATTTTGTCCTTCTGCTTGATAAGTGGCTGTGGAAATGTGTGCCGAGCTTGGTGGGCTGTGGCTTTCTTGCCACAAAAGCTTGGCTTGCTCAGAGCCTCACGGCAGTATGTCGGCACGCAGCTGCAAGGCCGGGCAAGGCTTCTGATGTTGAGGGCACCGGCTGTGTTTGTCCGTCTCGGCCATATCCACTGGAGACTTCAGCGGATTGTTGAGAGTCTGCTCAACTGCCCGCCCACTACATGTGCCATACGGCTCCCCAGTTATTGTGACATGCTCCGTCAAGACCTGGGAATTGCAGTGAGTGCGTCGGATCAAGACACCCGTTCGAGCTACTCGCACCGAATATTCCAGACTTTGTGATCTCCCCGAGTCTGTCAGGGTTTCCACTTGTTCAGATCTCGCCGAGATAATTCTTCCGTCGCAGTCCTGGAGACATACAAATCTCGCCTCGCGGCCGTTTGTCTATCAAAACCGCCCGTCTCAGAAAGCCCGACGCAACCGAGGCAAGCTCACGGAACCCTGCTTCCGGAGTAGAGGGTGAGTATATGGTGATTGAATTATTGCGGGCATCGAGTCATGCAGCCTAACACTGCTATATTGAGCTTTACGATGCCCTAGCATTAGTGCAGCATCGCAAGTGACCCTGCTACTTAGCGTTGAAACAATCAGCGAGCAAGCGCCTGTTAATGCGTGGTGGTGAAAAAGCGGTCTGCATATCTGGGCTCTTCGTAATTGTAACATGTCCAGTCTGCACTCCATAGCCATGGCAACCCTCTGTTCATGTCTCGCTTCTCCGGGTGAGGCCGAGCTGCACTCACGCGATCCTCGTCCCAGGAAAACATGGTGAACAGTCCATCATCATAACTTGTTGGTCGTGATGGTCGAAATTTCGTGGTCACTGCTGTTGTGTTCGCGAACTCAGCTTCAGGAAAACGCATCTCTATGTGTACCAACATTGGCACAGTGCAGAAGACCAGTCCATATGTTGGTTTGTCACAAAGCTTCTCGAAGTTTACCGTGTAAAGTGGTGAAGATCCAGGGTCCAAGCTTGGTCCGAGGTCTCGGAACTGTCTCCGTACCCCACAAACATCCACGACAGCATCATCGCGTTTTCGCGTCTACGTCTCACCCATCTATTGCTTCGCGACATTCGCTGCCATGTCCTCGAAGTTTGTATGTCTGCGGTCAACACGCCTTGCTGCGCGCCATCCGTGTCGTAGCAGGGCCTTCGCGACTGCCGCGTCTAGCCGCGATTTTGTGCGCCTTGTAGAGGTTGGACCACGAGATGGACTGCAGAATGAGAAGCAGACAATATCTCTGGCGACCAAGGTTGAGCTGATCGATAGGCTGGCGCAGACCGGGCTGAGGACAATAGAGGCAGGATCCTTTGTTTCGCCGAAATGGACACCACAGGTCAGCTGGAAGACTCGAGGTCTGATGGACAAGACTGACGCCCGCTGCAGATGGCGAACTCGCAAGAGATACTCGAGCATGTGCTGAAAGCAACACCGCAATCACCACAGCCCATAACTTACCAATGGCTGCTCCCAAATGTCAAAGGCATGGACAACTTTCTTTCGCTGTGGCAGTCGAGGACATCTCCAGGGACAGATGATGGCCCAGCGTTGAACACGCCCTCCCAAGATCCTAATACTATGCCGTCGGCATCTTCTGGTGCTGAAGCTACGGGTAAAGATCGAGCAAGCCATCTGCATGAACTTTCCATCTTCACTGCGGCGACAGAGTCATTTACACAAAAGAATACGAATTGCTCCATCGCCGAGTCACTTAAACGCTTCGAACCTATAATGTCTAAAGCGAAGAAAGTTGGTCTGAACGTACGGGCTTACATCTCAGTTGCACTTGGGTGTCCATTCGAGGGACCCAACGTCGACCCACACAAGGTTGCAGAGTTAGCCGTTAGCCTGCTGGAAATGGGAGCGAGTGAGATCTCAGTAGCTGATACAACTGGTATGGGTACTGCACCGAAGACGGCAGAGCTCCTGAAGACGCTGAGTGCTGCGGGCATCGATAAGAGTGATCTAGCGCTTCACTTCCACGACACATATGGCCAGGCGTTAGTAAACTCCGTTGTTGCACTTGAACACGGTATCCGCACATTTGATTCCGCAGTGAGTGGTCTGGGGGGTTGCCCGTATAGCCCAGGTGCAACGGGGAATGTTGCGACAGAAGACATGGTGCACCTGATTCACAGCTTGGGTCTGTCGACAGGTGTTGACATTGAAAAGCTTTCCGAGACGGGTGACTGGATATCAAGAGAGTTGAATAGGGCAAACCAAAGTAGTGCAGGGAAAGCTATCATGGCTCAGCTTCGAAGAGCTCAGAAAGCAAAATTGTAGACGGCTTGTCAGGTAGGTCTAGCAGGCTTTCTGCATCTATTCCATATTTGCGAGTTCTACTACAGATGCTGAAGCAACGAGTTTAATCATCGTGACATCATATCTTCTCGCGTTCCTTCCTTTCCCTCACACCCCGTTCACATCTGTTAGCGCGACTTCCAGTTCTCCGATTTTACTATGCAACAAACACTGCGTTCACTGCCTCTCGTCTACATAATATTGCGATATCATTATCATCTACCTCATGTATGCTCCTCTTATGGGTGGAGGCACTTGCGTTGATCTCGATACTCCCACCCATGCACTATTGTTAGATCACCTCTATCGACCCCTTTCTCTGTATCCACTTTGTCGTCTTTCTAATTGAATTAGTATATTCACTTTGTAGACCGAGCCTCAGGATGGGTATCGATATCAGACGAGGTTTGCTTCCAACAACCAATCCGCAAAGCATAATCGAAGTGAGTTCCGCAATTTCATTCTCAATGCACATGTGGATTTTGACGCATCTGTTCGAGGTTACTTCAGTCACTAGCCAAAACCAAACTCTATGCACGAGAAGGCAGGCATATGCAATGTTCAATCCGAGGAACTGGGTATCACTTTGAGAATGAGAGAAAGTGGTAATGGAAAGCCATATACCGCATGAAGAGGTAAACGGCCAGGTTTATATATTGAACGAAACCTTAGAAAAACGTGTAAACAAAAGCAAAGATACACTAATAGCTCGAAACTGGCACTGTCTTACCTGCCCTCTATCTCAGACTGGGAACTTTCTTTTTCCCCCTCTAATGCTATGTGTACTCCCTGCAGAAAGTAGCTTTTTGCATCTCCCCATCCTCTCACATGCATTCAATAGATCAACTTGGATGTTCTTACTACCTCCAGGCCATACTAAATCATGAGGACGCTTGCATGGAGTATGCAGTGTAGCCAGCGGTTTTGGGTGATTTCAAGCCTAAGCCTACTCTCTGAAATCACTTTACTGACTATTAACTCAAAAGTGCGAGCTTAGGATACATCGTATTTCATCCTGAGGTATGGTAACATACTCAATTCCCAAGGCTATGGAGCCACCACTATCCAAGTTACCAGTTGAACTCTTACGCACTAAGTTGTGAATAAGAAGCTACATTCTAGAACTGGAGACTTGCATCGCATCTTGAAGATTATAGGCGATGATCCAAAGGGTAAGCGTAGATGGCTAGAACAAGGAACCTTACTCTGATCATTTCTGGCAGTGATAGACTTGAATTTATCAGATTTCGATGGCCTTACGGGGCAGAAGCGAAGCAACGTCCTTGATGATCTCGATGTACAACACAAATGAATCTGGCATAGTTCCATTAGCAACTCCACACTCCTGATTCACGACGTATTCTTTCGATACTATTCTTATTGCCAAACTAGAGCATTCGTACTCTCTAGGCGTAAAATCCATCTATAAAACAACAACCTCCCCTGCAGAAGGTCTCTTCACAGTCCCCGTAAGCCCCATTACAAGTCTTCTCCGCCCCGTCTCACTATACTGTCCCCCAATCTCTTTCGCCTGAGCATCTTCCTCGCCTGAAATTTCCTTGCCGTACTGTACACGCTGCATACCAACCAGACCTGGAGACTCGAGCTTCAACAGCGGCGCATCAAAAGCCCTTGCAATATCCAACGGACTGAGAGAAACGTTATTGCCCAGCTCCCACCAGCCGTAGAACGTCAGCCCCACAGCCAGAACACTCAGGATGCTCACTGCGGCCGCGCCGGCCATGTATCCAAAATCCGTGACGTAGACTGAACGCGTCGCTGTTCCTGTGTACGCTACTTTTTGTTCCGCATTGGTGACGTTGTAACTGTCCTGGTCTTTTCCTGCGCGCACTGAAGTGCGGAATGCAATCTCCCGCATTGTGTCGAGCATGTAGTCCATTGGATCGCCGAAGGTTATGTTCGACAAATTGACGCTTTGGACTTGTTGATTGGCGAGGGAGCCGGTGAAAGTGAAGCCGCTTACGGCGCCCGCAAAGTTAAGAACTGCTTCCGAGGCGAAAAGGTAGGATGCGGCATATGCAAACCCACCAATGGTACTATCGGCGCCAAAAGTCCCAGGACCTGGAAGAACACTGGAGATATGTGAGTATTAGGGTTTTGGTGCAACTTTGAATGCGATGGGATTGATGGGCTCGAACAACAAAATCGGCAGACTTACAGGTCTTCCAAGAAACGGTCGTCGGAGCGGCCACCAAGTAGGCTGACGGAATCTGAAGATAATAGTTGAACCTTGTATTCGACAATCCCACCCGTCACGTTACATATGTGTGTTCTCAAGCGGGCCAGAGTCGCGTTCTCGGGCGCTACATCGTCTGGCAAGTTCGGAACAATTTGTGTAACGTTGAGCTGCATCCCAGCGTTAAGCCAGAATCTTTGACCAGGATCTTTCTCAGACCCAGCGACCTGGTAGATAGTGGAGGATGTCGTGAAAACACTTAGATCGAAGGCACCGCCACTTTCCTGGTATTGGACGTACTCTTTAAAACCACATTGAGACTTGAACCCGAATCCCTTCAATCATATTAGCTTTGAATTTGAATATTTTAATACAGGCTTCTGCCCGGATGGACCCAGTACCTTGACAAATGCTGTGCAGCTATCACCACAGGAGCCATCTTGGGTGTCAATGCTGATGTTGGATCGCTCAGAGTACTCTTGCATGACCTGAGCAAAGTCTGGTGTCAGTCTTGAAATCTCCATGATTGGGGCTCTTGAATCTCTGGCTATTCCCGTGTAGCCTTCAGTAAGCTGCTGCGCGACGGTTATCGGGATGGTTCCAGAAGTGTTGTAGAGGATGTTGCTTTCTATATGCGAAGCACGTTGATTAAGGGGACCTCGAAGCAGCGAGACGACCGATAATATGCAGGCTGCTAAGAGTCAGCGGTCATACTAAACTTACGCATGAAAGATTGACGAACCTAACGCCGTGATCCTTCCTCCGACACGAAATCCACCTATTAAAGCATGTTGCAGAGAATGCCCACATAGCCAATTTTGATTGAGCTCAGCGAGCTGGGTAAGATTAGTTTGTACCACAACATTATCTTATCATGCACTTACGGTATGTCCACGCAAAGCCGTTCTCCAGAACGATATAACCAGCCCATGTGCCAGAGCATAAGCCAACAGCGCATTTGCTACGACAGAACAGATGGCCATGGACACGGCTGGCGTGAACTGAGAGTGCCAGTCGTTTACAGGCAAGTGATCACTGACTACAAGAATCACAACACCAGCTATGGTACCTGATGTTTTCAAGATCAATCAGTCGCCGTAAAGAACATTTAGTAGAGATTATTCAGACTTCCTACTCACTCCCTAGGACGCCGAATAGAGATAATAGCCCCCAAATAGGGAACTGCGCCCAGAACCCGGGTCTCCATATGGCTGATTCGAGATTCTCGTAGTTGTTCGCAGTACCGTCTCGACTACGATCACGACTTGCGAAGCCACTATTGCTGTCGTTACCCCTGAGCGGCGACGCCATCTCCGTTCGAAGCTCGATGTCACTTCTGCCGCTCGGGCTTCTCGAATTTCGTTGGAAAATATGAGGTCTTGGGTCGACGGGAATATAGGACATGTTGACGTCGAGGTTGCAGAACTAGTGAGAAGTTGTGGTAAAGATGTCAAAGCCTCGTATTGAGCTGGGATCTTCTTGTGATCCTGCCGTCCGTAAAAGAGGCCGACGGTCCATTATCCGCGATTCACAACTGGGACTTTCAAGACACACTATCCTGCGCTAAGCCCTATCATCCGAGTTTCCCAAGCCATGACGCATGCGTCAAGCTCAAAGCCGGAGATAGCGCGATGGTGGAATGCAACTGATACAGTAATCAGTAGAATGGCGCAGATTTACAGAAAACTAGATAAAACCCAAGTGTTTGGCGGCTCCTTGCAGATCTACTGCTCTTTTTTTAGACCATGTTAATGCAGCGTTGCGGTAACCCTGCTTGTTTCGACACTGATCCTACTTCCGATTTGCTTTTAGCTTGACAGGAAAGCCAAAGATTCTCGGTTGTCGACGCCATCAAACCTTACTTGCTGTGACACGTCACTATACCCGCCACATTTGGTTTGCCACTATACATGTAAAAACGAAAGAAGAGAGACAGGATAGTGGAGCAAAAGAGAAGGCTTACAGAGACGCAGATTATATATTGAACGACCAGGAACTTGATCAAACCTGTTGTTGTCCTTCCAGGGAGAAAGTTAATTGCCACTCCGTAGACAGGGTGGGGCGCATGAGCGTCAGAATGTGGCAAATAGCTTGTATTTTCATGGTGAACCACAGTATCGAGGATTTTGGAAGCTGCTTCAGATGCGGGCGTGCTTATGGCCTTATTTCGCCGTGAATGCCAACTCGCAGTTCCGGGAACTTCATATTGACAGGGGCCGTTTCCGAGATGGCAGGGAGCATGAGGCTCAGCCCAGATACTAAGCCCAAAAAGTCTAACAACTTCAATTTTCCCCGCCATATCTAACCATTTAGCATCATACCCCCTTGCTGGCGTAATCTGAAAGAGTCCAAGTAGAACTGTACTTGAAGATATTCGCATTGCCACGAGCTCAGGCGTCGTGATGGTGATCGACAACGGGGCCTCCGCTGAACATTGTGATGTGCACCCTCAGACCTTCCCTCAGCCACTGCTTGAACATCCGAATTCACGCATCCTTCACCTAATGTCCCACCTGCGGTCATATTCAATTATTGACAACAACACACACAACGTAGGTAAAATTCAACTTCATTCAGCTCATGACAACAAACTACGTTACGACACAACGATGGTATAATCCCAACAGACTCCCAGACGCCCAGCCACTCATCGGCCCATTCTCATCATCCGATGGAATGGTACCCATCAACACGTTCCTCAGATGCTGATAAAGAAACTCTTCTCTCCCTCCCTTGGCTCCACCCACGCTCGCTTCAAAATTGGGTCCGCACAGGATATCCGGATGCGCTCAGGGGTAGCGGGAGATTGCAAATGCAGCACCGATGTCTCTCCGAACTCGGCGCGCGCAGCCTTCAACGCGTCGCGGATAGCGAAGAAGACGCAGCTTCCCATGAAGAGAGGCGGTTCACCTATACTGATGTCAGCAACCACGTTTTTGAAGGGCAAAAGGGGAGAGCGAAACTTACCGACACCCCTCGACCGCTGGATGGTTCGCAGGTTCTCCCATGTAACATCCTTCAACAGGCTGACATTGAATTCCTGTGGAATGTCCCTGAAACCTGGGATCTTGTACGCGCCGGGTCCCTTTGTGAAAATTCCTCCTGTGCTTCGTTGCCACAAGCTCTCTTCTGTGGTGTACAGACCCTGGCCCTGCACGAACGCGCCTTCAATCTGCCCGTAGTCGATACTGGGGTTGATTGAGCGGCCGACGTCCATCTTGATATCCGCTCGCCTGCACGTCCAGTCACCGGTCAAGGTATCGATTTCGACTTCCGCAGCTGCCACACCCTGTGTGAAGTAGAAGAACATTTGTCCTTTGTTGGCGCCCCATACGTAGCCGATGTCGGGTGTTTTGTAGAATCCCTGAGCGGAAAGATTTACGCGGTCAAAGTATGCGGAGTGTGCGATGTCTTTCATTGTCGCGTCGGGCCCGAGTTTCTCGCGGTAGGGTTGCAGACGCTCGTTCAGCTGCTCGCAGGCATTGAAGATGGCGTAGCCGTTAAGATCAGAGGACGCAGACGCGGCTGTTGACGATGTGTTCGCGACGGTGTTGGTTGCGGTTTCGGAGATGAACACGTTGGCGAGAGGCACTTTGAGGGCTTCGGCGGCAATCTGTGTCATCTTTGTGTGCAGACCTTGACCCATTTCTGTGCCGCCGTGCGCGACAAGAACAGAGCCGTCGTGGTAGATGTGCACGAGTGCGCCGGCCTGGTTCAAGAACAGTGCCGTGAAGGAGATACCGAACTTCGTTGGAATGATAGCGAGACCGCGCTTGTTCCATTTGTGCGTTTTGTTCCATTCCGTGATCTCGTCGCGGCGGCGGGCGTACGCAGATTCCTCTTGCACCTGCTGATACATGAGTGGAACGTACCAGTCCTGAAGTTTCTGGTTGAAATGCGTGACCATGTTCGTCTCGGGAGAATACATATTGATCTCGCGCAGTTTCTCCGCAGGAATATTGAGATGGTCGGCGATTTCTTCAATGTATGTCTCAGCGATAAACAGACCCTGTGGGCCACCAAAGCCACGGAACGCGGTGTTGGAAACGGTGTTTGTCTTTGCAACTCTGCCACGGACATGTACGTTAGGAATCGAGTAGACGTTGTCGATGTGCGAGAGCGAGCGCTCGACAACGGCACCAGAAAGATCTTGGCTCCAGCCTCCGTTGCAGAAGACATCTGCATCGAGGGCTTGAATCTTACCGTCCTTGTTGACAGCAACCTTCCAGCGAGCGAGGAATGGGTGACGTTGTCCAGAGGTCAAGATATCCTCGTCTCGATTCAACATGCACCTCACTGGTCTCCGGACCTTGTTCGCAGCGCACGCCACGATACCGGCGAGTTGAATCGATCGTGTTTCCTTGCCACCAAAGCCACCACCCATGCGCTTGATGCGAGTGACAACCTTATTCGCTGCAACACCAAGAACCTTGGATACATATGCTTGCGTCTCGGCTGGGTTTTGTGTGCCGCTGAAGATCTCCATCTCCCCGTCTTCGGGCTTCGGAACTGCCAGACATGCTTGGGTCTCAAGGTAGAAGTGTTCCTGGCCACCCATGCGTGCCGTACCAGTGAAGACATGATCAGCTTCCTCGAAAGCCTTCTCTGTGTCTCCCTTCTGAATGTGGCGGAAATGGTTGAAGTAGCTCTCATGTACGATAGCCTCCTCGATGGTAAAAATAGCGGGAAGCTCTTCATATTCGATCATGACGAGACGAGCTGCCTGTTCCGCGTACTTTGCTGTATCCGCCAAGATCATTCCGATCGGTTGGCCAACGGTGAAGACCTCATCGACAGCAAAGAAGACCTCGTCGCAGGCAGGCGCTCCCCACCAATTGGCTTCTGGTGTGGCCACATCGGTGTGATCGACGTAGGCTACCACACCTGACTGATCCAAAGCAAACTTTGGATCGACTTTGAGCAACTTGGCGTGGGCTTTCGTTGATAGCACCAAGCATCCGTAAAGCTCATTGCGCTGCAGCGGGATGTCGTCTGTGTACTGTGCCTCCCCTGTACATTGCTTCATAGCCGCAACGTGGTTCTTCGACTGTCCGACCTCATTCTGCCTGTAAGCTTCCGCAGCCTTGTCGTCCTTCTTGCCGTAACTAATCTCCCTCTCGATTTCACCAATGGCTTGTGTGTCAATCTCGACCTCCTCGGCGTGCAATTCTGCCAGCACCTCATGGTAAAACTTATAGAAGAAGCTGAGCGCAAGAGATTTCCTGTACGTAGCCATGCCACCGGGTACGCCAAATCGCAAATCGAAGTCCTCTTCGAGCTTATCCATGACGCCCTCCAAAGTTTGGAGATCCGTAAACTTCTTTCCTTGGAGGAATTCCATCGCCTTCCGGGCAGGAATGGTAATGGGAGCCATGCCGCCATACACCAAGTCTACGCTCTCGACCGTGTGCTCGTCGTCAAGCGATATCCTCAATGCGGCATTCACAATGGCGATGTCGTCGTCCTTCCGCTTTGACTGCTTGTACGCGCGGATAAACTCACCCTTCTCTTTCGCAACTGGTATCTTCAGACCAGCGATGATTGCATCTGCAGGCAAAGCTGTCTGCCTATACCCCTTGAAGAATGTCGACATGGGGATCTCGGTCGTTTCGCTCAAGCTCTTAACAATCAACGTAGCATTCGTGGCCACGAAAACCGGGTTGAGATCGGAGATTGGGCTCGCCGTCGCCAGCGTACCTGCAGGCGTACCAACATTCCTGATCTGACGGCCAGCAAAGTACCGAATCTGCTTCAACACAGTAGCGAAAGGCTGGCCTCGTGTTTTGCCATAGTGCTCAAGAGCATCTTGGCAAATTTGCTCTAGGTCAGTAAGAACGACATTCCCGCCAATCTCAAGATACTCGTCGTGGAAGGTGAACTGTCGCAGCTCAGGAATATCGCCAACGAACACCGAGGCGCTGTAGTTCATACCCTTGAACTTGATCTCAATCTGTGTCTCCGTCGATCCGGCAATGAGCTTCGCAGAGGGATACGCATTCTTGATCTCTAGCAGCTGTTCGAGTGTAGTGGGCCTGAACCATTTCTTCTTCTTGTTTCCGAACGCAAGGGGCTTGAAGTCGTGTTTTCTCAGTTGTGGCGGGAAAATGAGCTCGGTGTCGGGCTTGTACTCGATGAACCCCGGAGGCGTGAACCTCTTGATGGGCTGTGCGTCTCCATCGTCTCCACCGCTCTTGCAGCACCCTCCACCATTTGCACCATTCTTCTCCATGCAACATCCACCTCCGCCGTTCGCAGTCGCCTTGCCACATCCTGTCTTGACGCTGAAACTCTGTGCTGCGTCCAAGATGGGCCTGTATCCTGTGCACCGGCAAAGATTGCCATCAAAGGCCTCTTCGACGTCGTGTTCGGTAGGGGCGTCGGTGTTGCGGAGAAGTGCGTATAGACTCATGACGATTCCAGGTGTGCAGAAGCCACATTGGCTACCATTGCCTTTTGCTATCCTCTCTTGTGCTGGGTGTGGTCTCTTGACGTTTCCAATTCCCTCGACCGTGATGACATGCTTGCCGTCTACACTGACCAGTGGTGCCAAACATGCGTTTACAGAGGCGTGGTATATCTTGTTGGTCGTGGGGTTATATTGTGAAATGACCTGTGCACTTCGTTAGCAATCGACCCCCTCTACACATAACGAAGTGGCAATGCAAACATACCACTGTGCAAGCACCACACCCCCCTTCCGCACATCCTAGCTTTGTCCCTGTCAATCCAATGCCCCTCAGGTACTCCAGCAGTGTGACCTCGGGATCCGCATCGTCAAGCACGACCTTCGTCCCATTGAGGTAGAACCTCAATGTATCGTCATAACTCGCGGTAACCTCGTTCAACGACCGCGTCGCCTCTGCCGAAACCGCAGGTCCCGGAGACACAAGACCGGGCGCCATAATGTGTATAGGGATTCTCGGGCTCTCTTAGTGGATAGGAGTATAACACAACCAGAATGGGCAAAATAGTACAACACAAGATTTAAGTCGACGCAATCGTAGAAAGCTCAGCTCAACTCAAGAAAAAAACAGGGCGTTCTGCAGGGTCGGACAAGATTCAAAATAAAGCCCCTCTACAGCATGTGGGGAATACGAGATACATATTGACGCCACTCCCAAAGGCTTCAGATCCAAGAAGCCTGCACACGGGATCTGAGATCTGACCTAAGAACACGCCAACGAATCACACAAAGCCTATTGCCCGTCTTATCTCGTGGCTGACCCACGAACGCGTGAAGGAGCTCGCCGACAGCCGGTCGTGAGAGGTCAGGATCCGCCGCGGGCAATGGAGGGGCAAAACTAAAGCCCCGCAACGCCAGCGCGTTTTGTGGGTCCGGCACGTGAGAGCTGAGCTTGGAGTGGTCACGGAGCGAGGCGTGCAAGGCGAGCTCCGGTATGGATCTGCGCAATGAGAGAGGCCATGGAAGGGACGAGAGCTGCGAAGGATGTCACCACAAGAATCACTGATAGATGATGGAGTTTGTTCACTGTATTTCTAGGTTGAACGGAGAACGTTGATGCATTTTCAAAGACTACTAATTACACTAACCACGTATTCCAATGTGTCTTAGCCGTTTCACCAAACGATGATGAGTGAAGATCCAAGAGCTTGCCTCGAGGCTTGGAGCTGTTCGAAGCCTTTCATCCGAAAAGCCTCAAGATGGAAATAGTATACACGAATAAGAGAATACTTTTGATGGTAAACCCGAGGAGATTTGGCGAGAACATCTTTCGCAAAGATTGTGTCTGTGCAATTGTGCCGAACTCAAGGCAGTAAACGTTGGGATCGAACATCTCGAGGAAACCAGAAAACGAGATGAACAGATTTCGATCACAATCAGCATCCGTATGGGTTTCTCGCAGTTGGAGAGTTTGTCATCAGATCTCGGAACCAGGAAAAGATTGGTAGTCACCCAAAAGACAATGACAGACACAGCTCAAGCGAGGTGAGGCAGATCACGCAGACTAGGTGACGACGATGAAGATAGCAAGCTGAGCTAAGCAATCGAGACAAAGATTCGAGGTCGAACCCATGTGGGACATGGACAATGTAGCGCGATCAAAGTCATCCGGGAGGCATGGCGGTCTCAACAGTTTCGCAAAGTCAAGAAAGGTCGAAGATAATCCGAAAAGTCGAGACAGTCATGCCACTCGTAGCAAAGTCCAGGCATCGGTCATGCAAGCAAGCATCAATCGGCAAGGTCTCAGCAGCGAGCGCATCATCACAGCGGACGAGTGGCAGCTTAAGCGCCAGGTGGTCCTGGAGCGCCTGGCCCCCCTTGTTGCTGCTGTTGCTGAGCAAACGACGCATACCACATCGCCAGATATTGCTGATATCCACCATAGATAGCATACGGGTCGGCGGCTTGGCCACCTGCATCACCTGCTGCTGGCGCGGGAGGCTGTCCCGGTTGCGCACTCTGGCCATAGGACGGAGTCTGCTGGTGTGAGTAGCTATTATCCTGGTTCCCTTGGTCACGACGACGTGAGTTGTTCTTGTCCTTCTGCGTAATATTAGTACATGATGTGCTGAGGCTATGACAAGTATCGACTTACCACTTGGTCAACCTTCTCCCAGATGGCACGCTTTGCATCTTCAATAGCCTGGCGAGATCCAACGAGACCAATTTCACGCTCGATATCAGCACCGGATGCTTGCGACACGTTAATCTTGCAGCCCGTGTCAGATTGCATAGACTTTATGGTTTCACCACCTGATGAGTCAGTATTGGAAGCAATCTATTATGAGTGCACGTCTTACCTTTGCCAATGATCATGCCAACAGCATCGGAAGGCACCAGAATGCTGTCATTAATCTTGTTGCCGCCACCAGCACCAGCAGCTGCACCAGCGCCGTTGTAAGGGTCGAAGTTGTCACGTTTGTTCTGAAACTGCGGCTGTTGGTGCTGTTGTGGCTGACTTTGCGCAGGGCCATCCATCTGCTTTGTGTCGCTATCAACAATCTCCATAATAAGCTCTTTGGCGTGGGCAGCAGCAGCGGGACTTCCAATGAGATTCACGGGACGAAGACCGTTCACGCTCTTGTTTTCACCGACAATGTTGACGTGGCAACCACTTCGCTCTTGCAGGTCACGTATAGTTTCGCCACCGCGGCCAATGATGAGGCCAACAGTACGATCAGGCACCATGATCTGAGACGACTGTTCGCCCTCACGAAGAGCAGGCTGTTGCTGACCAACGGTCTTTGCACCGCCAGCTCGTGCATTACGGCCAGTTTCACGAGCGGGATTGCCGCCATTCTCCTCGATGATGCGATTGATTTCACGCTTGGCACTGATTCGGGCACCAGGGCTACCAGTGATGCGGCACTCGCGCTGTGGACCAGCCTCAGGGCCGTTGATGAACTGGATCCTAGTGCTTGATTCTTGTTCAATGCGGCGCAGACTCTCACCTTGGCGTCCAATCACGAGACCAACTAGCGAAGAATCGATGAGAATCACCTCAGAGTTGTCATTGGGAGGAGGGCTACGATCATTTCCGCCATATTGCTGCGGAGGAGAGAATGTATTGCGACGGGGAGGCGACCGAGAGCGTTCACGACCGAAGCCTCCACCTCGGCGCTCATCACGTCGCTCATCTCGGTAGGGATTGTAGCTGTCACGCGCAGCATCTCGTCGCGGCGGTGACCGCGATCGAGAGCGACGGTAGGGCCGTCCACTCAGGCGCGGATCTTCTTGGTGAGCTGTCACTGTGTAAGTCTGCGATGGGCTACCGAGACCAGACCAGGAGTCGGAGATACCTGGACGCGCTTCATAAGCAAGACCTTTCTGGGCAGCAAACCCACGCGCCTTTGCGAGCGCATCCTGAATGCTGACAGAGCCAGACATGCCTTGTTTGATGGCATTAAGGTCGAGGCTGCCAGAGCTGGTGGGCTGGGGGAAGTTGTAGCTGGGCATGGCAGGCGCGCCGGGAAAGCCAGGTGGTAATCCCTGGGGCGGCATGTGCTGCGCCGGCGGGGGCTGTTGCGGCGCCTGGGATGGCGTCGTTGAGGGGCCACGTCCAGCAGCTGGAGATAATGTCAGTAAGCCTCTCTGGAGCGCATGCAATGCGAAACGTACCGAGAGCCGCGAGGATGGCATTGAGGTCGGGCGTAGGCGCAGCCATTGTGTCTGCGCGTATCGGCAGCACGAATTAAAATGCTAGTGATTAGTCGCGACAGGTAGAGCAGAAGAGAGATGAGCGGGGCGCAGATGGGTCGCGCAGTGGTTTGGTTGGCGTGGCTGTCGTGTCGTCGTTGTCGCGATAGGAAAGAGAAGAGCCTGAGTGGAGTAGATGATCAATTTCAATGCCAAGGCTCTACAGCTAGCTAGCGCGTTTGGGTCCCACCTTCACTTGTAGAAGGAATTATCCACATGTCAAATCACTTTTAGCAAACGCGTCTCTGTAAACTTCGTTCATAGCTTTGTTTCTATTGAGGTGATGCGAACTGAATCTAGTACAGCGCCCATCAAGTTCTTGTGAATCGATAAAGGTGTAGAGATATTTCTACTGCCAGAACTCCTTTGCAACCGCGCTACCATATCCATGCATGTTATCCAAAAGTGAGCGAACCGCAAAAGCGAGAACATTGCTAAAGACAACGTGTCTAACCAAGTCTTCGTTAGCGCACTGCCGAAGCAGGTGGAAAAGAGAAGATGGGTCGCCGTCGAGATTGCTGACCAGCGACTGCAAATATAGACATGGTGAACTGAAATAAGAGGCGCTTGACCCGCGGGGGTAGGTTGTGGTCTTTGATCGAGACAGAGCTGACTGTTTACTGTGTGCGAGTCAAGCCAGATGCCAACAATGCTGACGCAGAGTCCCGAAGCGGTGATTACTTCTTCATCATCTGAGAGACACTGTTCCACTTCTGCTTGAGCGTCTCGTGCTCTTCGTTGATCTGTAGCAATGTCAGATCGGTATGTGACCATAAGAAACACTGGAGAACTCACGGTTGCCCACTGCATCTTCGTCGCCACCAGCTCCTGCTCCATCTCCGCCATCTGCTCCTCCAAGGCTCGATTCTCGTTGTGTACTACGATGTTCTTCTGCATCACAGACTCCATCTCACCCTGAAGCTTGGCTTCGATCTCTTCAGGCTGCGAGTTTACAATCTTCTGTAACTCCGCAACGTTGATCTTCAAACTCTCATTCTCTTCCGCGAGATTCTCGTTTTCGACCTTGGTTTTGATGAGTTCGGAAGCCACCTGCACATGTTCCATGTCGGATTGCTCAGCGCGGCCCTCCAGTAGCCGCACCTTAGCTTCAAATTTAGCCACCTTGTCCCTCAACCCTGACAATTCCGTCTCGCGCTCCTTCTCTACCCGTTGTTGCTCTTTCCACTCAGTGGCATACTGTTTGAGCATCTCGGATGTAATCTTGACCGCAACAGCGTCTTTCACAAGCATATCTGCTCGATAGACCTCCTTATCAACACCTGCAGTCGAACCAAAGAAACCGTTCTCTCGGATGGAGTTTGCCGAAGGAGCCTTGTCGATGTAAGCATCGAATAGTCGTTCTTTCAAGAAGGTGGTGAGCGTCGTCATGTCCTTCATGCCCAGCAATGCTTCGGCGTTCTTCTGCATTAGTACAATGCCGAACTTTAGTATTGCCGATTCCAGACCTTCGCTTAATATCAAATCGTAGATCCGGAGAACAAGCTGCAAAGGAAATCGGTACGCGAACAAAGTGAGGAACCATTGAGTAGCATATAGCTGGGGTTTGACTTCTCGTCGGCGAAGATGACAGTATAGGGCAGGCTCGAACTCTTCCAGAAGACGCTCGAACTGATAGAGGTGCAAGTGCAGTCCTGCCATGTCATGGACGAACAAATCACGCAGACCGTACTTGTTCATCAGTGTCACAAAGAGACTAAACGCTTCCTCCTCGGGCATCTGCGGATGTCAGCTACAGATTTACAGTGTACATGGCAATACTCACATTAAACAAAAGAGGCATTGCGATAAAGTTCATGCCTTGAGCGTAACCAACGTCTTCATCGTACAAGGCGTACGCTTTGCAAATTCCAAAAAGTCCATCTTGCAGGCCAGCTGCCATGAGGTATTTAGAGTAGCTTGTTCTGGCACCTAAATCGCGTTTGATCGTCTTCTCCAGTTTCGACACCTCAGCAGCATTGTGCTTTTTGTCTGCCGCAAGTTTTGCCTGCGACTTGATCGCCTCTTCTGAGGTCTCTGACTTTATCGATGGAGAGGGTAGAGGGGCGTTTGTGCTTCCTGTGGTTGTGGCTGGCGTCGAGCAGTCCGAATGGATCGAGGACGAGGACGAAGCGACCGAGTCCTTTTCTTTGCCATTTCCGTTACTGATAGTAGACACTCGGGCAGTCGTGACCTCCTTGTCTGTCCCGCGGGCTACGAGCTCCCTGTACATGCTCTCGAGTCCCTCGTTCTTGCTCTGCGCGAGCACTTGCCAGATGACGCCGCGGATCACCTGCGGAATGCCGTTCGATATGGCGTGGTTCAGTTCTTCCGCGCTGGTGCGTGCAATAGCTGCAGGACCCTCGTTCACGACAGATTGCCACAGGTCCCAATCCACTGGCTCAGCTGCATCCCCAGCTGGCCCAGCAGCGAATCCTGCCGCCGTTCCCGGAGCGAGATTCGGATTAATGGTGGGCTGTTTTGCGAGTGAGCCAGGTGGGGGGCTCGCAGGTCCAGGGTGATGCTCGTCCTCAGGCACACTTCCTGTGCTGACCAGGCCCAGACCAACGCTTGCACTCCGCCCGTGAGCAGCCTCAAGGCTCGTCTCATCGCCCAGTGTGATGCCCGCCTCTTCCCTCATCCTCAAGAACTTGAAGCGGTCGCGCAAGCTGCCCTGGCTCGACCGGTTACTTGGATGCTGATCTTCGTCCTCGATCCTGCTCAGTGTGTGGTCTGCATTCAGCGTCGCAATTGAGGCGTTGGTGTTTCGTCGTTCGGATGGAGGCACCGCTGGCGATGATTCGGACTTTTTGTTGGAGCTGTTCCGCGACAACCATGCGAAGGGACTCGTTAGCTTCCTGGACATAGTAGGGGGTACAGGCTTCCCCAGGTTGGCGGACGGCGCAGTCGGCGGAGGCGGTGGAGGTGGAAATTTGACGGGAGATATGCTGCCAGACAGGCCTTGCACTGCAGCTGTAGAGTCTCGCGAGTCTCGCGGTGGTAGTGTCGGGGCCGGGCCAGACGTCCCCGCACCTTCCTCTAATGACACGTCGTCCATGTCTGATGTCATGGATATCCGGTGCGATGTGAGCAGAGGCGATTTTACAGGCGCTTCGTCTTCACTGGACTCCTCTGACGAAGACTCAGGTTCGCCCTGCGGCTTCTCTGCTCCATCGCTAGCCTGGTTGGGTGCTGCGGGCGCGCCAGACGCTGCAGGCGCGGGTGCAGGCATGTTGGTTTTGGCAGGCACTGAAGACCCGCGCCTGCTGTCGGGCGCCTGTGATTGCGAGTCTTCAGAGCCAGAGTCGGATTCGGAGTCGGATTGTGAGTCGGAGTGTGAGTCGAGGCGGGGACTATTTTCGGTTGCGTCCTGGAAGCTCTCCTGCAGGGCAACTTCATGTCAGCCCACACTCTGCCAGTCTCTGGTTCTGGGGTAGGAAGCACAGAAGGCGCCCACTTACGCTGTCCTTTGCAGAGCTATCCGAGCTCGTGGGCCTAACAGGCTTCGTTTCTGTAGTGCTGTGTTCACTCATCTTTGGCAATCAAGGGTACCAGACTAAGTGCAGGGGGGGGAAGGCAGGATTGCGTGGTCCAACTGGTCTACTGATGTGGATTAGAAGAGGTGTAGGTTTGCTTGTCAAGGCTGTCGCAGCCTGCTCATGAACATTTGACGGTCGTGGGCGTGTGAATGTCGAATTGCAAATGGGTGGGTGAATGGAGGCGGGTCCAGCCAGCTACGTGAATTGTGGACCTTGTCTCTGACCGCCTTCAACTCTGTGACTACCTAGCAGGGTGGAAGGCACGGGTAAGCCAACCAGAATAGGTTCACCTCATGGCTCGTTGTCTCGTAAGTGCGCCGTGCGTCTCAGAGAATAAACACTCACGGGAGCCCATCTTTCTAGGGCCGGATGATCTCTCCATGTGTGATGCGACTTGACATGGCCATCAACGTTTCATCAATTCCCGAAACAACGGCTGCAGGTTAAGGCAGCCACGTTTGCGTCCAACCAGTCGTATTAGCCTTAGCCGCGATGGGCCCACAAGATAATTAAGTCACGTGCTTCGGAACCCCTCAATCCAGGTCAACAAACAAGTTCACATCAGAACTTCGGTGCGGGGCAACAACGTGTGCGCCTGATACGAGGCATGCATCTCAGGGTGTTGGACCCTTGGTACTCCTGCACGCCATTTCAGCCCTTGAATTGCTTTTTCCAATCGTCATACCACCTACTGATATCCAGCAGCTTCCTTTTTGTTTCAAACTCTCTGTTTTCTTTGCTGACGCCCACCATGTACTTATTCCTCTCTTCACGTTATGATACGCCACGTCAGAATCTATTTACGCCCAAATTCCTCCAAACGTCGTTGTCTTCTCGAAGACTAGAGCAGCTTTCGTCATTGTCATGGCTTCTGCATCTGTTCAGCTGCATCGTATTCTTCTTTGTTCTCAGGAGAATATTGAAACCCAGTACATACTCCGAGGAGCTGGAAGAGTGCAACATCTCCAAGACACTGCTAGCTACCCAAAATTTGGCCCAAGGAAACTTTGTCCATACCATCAACCCAAATGGTCTCCAAATTCAGCATACGTGAAGTGTGCCGGGACAAGGGCAGGTTGCAGCTCGCCAAAGGAATACAGCCCAAGCATCATACCCGTAAACGGCTGACCAACGTCTGGGTTGCGTGTCAATACTTGGGTATCCACTGCTCCTAACCATTTCCACTCTCCGTTACTCTGGACATCGACTTCCTTGAACCCGAAGCGATAGCTTCCTTCTGTGCAATCTACCATGAACTTCACCCGACCGTGAGCTCCTATGAGTTCTTCCACGTGATCGTCAGTATTAGCAGGTGGTGTAAATCGAACAACCTTTTGAGTTTGGCTGCCATGTTGTCGAAGCCTGATGCCAATACTTGCGAAGCAGGTGTAGTTCCACCACACCACAGTCCCAGCCTCAACTCGGGTGGTCTGTAGTTCAAAATCTAACTCGGTTTTCCAGACAACGGGCCACTGTCTCTGTTTCCGGAGGAAAAGCGTAGGTGATGTAGGCATCGCTAATGTATACGGCCCGCCATGTAACGTCAGACACCCTGGTCGATCTGTCAAAGAGTAGTCTTTCCTTACGGGTGTATCTATAGTATTTCAGTCATTGCGCTTTTGTCCGGTACGCGAGACTCACTCTTTCTGTACCATCCAAGACTGAGCTCTTCTCCTGCGAAATCATCCTTCCATACTTTGTCTTCCTGTAGTGTGTACATTCCGGGACCATTCATTTGCAAGGTGACAGGCTTGCCTTCATTGAATATTGGCCAGTCATCTTCCCATCGAACAGGTAGGAGGAGCGATTCCCGTCCGAACACGGATGTGCGCCACTCGTTTCCTTCTCTTCTTGGCCGTACACCCAAGCACAATGCCCACCACTGACCATTAGTGTCTTCAACCAGATCACAGTGCCCAGTGTTTTGAACCTCATTCTCGGTCGTGTTTCGCCAGAGAGGGTTATGCGGTGCTTGTTCCCACGGACCGAAAGGGCTTTCGCGACTTCGACTCACATATTCGCAATGGCCGGATTCGGTGCCTCCCTCGGCAGTAAACAGATAGTAGTAGCCATTTCGCTTGAAAAGATGAGAGCCTTCAGCAACGCCAGACGACGATTCCCGGACTAATACAGGAGCACAAGTCAGAGTACCGGTGTCGAGCTCAACGGTTGATATGTGAATCCCAAAGTCTTTCAACTTTGAATCTGGCGCCCGGTCTACCTTTCTATAGGTCGATGACAGGTACACAAGTCCATCGTCGTCCCAGAAGAGGTCATGATCGAATCCAATTTGATCGAAATACACGGGGTCCGACCACGTGCTATCATCCCAGATATTGTTGGTCTTTACATAGAAGCCTCTCGGCCATACTCTGTCATCAGCCTGTGGCCTGTACCTGTCAAAAGAGTTGGTGATGATGTAAAAAGAGTCTTGGTAGTGACGGATGGTCGTTGCCCAAACACCACCGCCAGGCTCAGGTGTTTTGATATCGAGCTGGGATTTGCGGGTAAGAGCGTGTCCAATCAGCTTCCATTTGATGAGGTCTTTGCTGTGGTATATTGGCGCCCCGGGAAAGTATTCGAAGCTGGACGTAACACAGAAGTAGTCCTCGCCAACGCGTACAATTGAAGGATCAGGATTGAATCCAGGAAGAACCGGATTGGTGAACGAGCCCATTGCTGAAGCTGAAGCTTTGTGCATTACTCAGACTAGTACCAAGTTTTTTTCTAAAAGGGTAATATTGACAGCTATGGCAGAGACAGTGTGACATGCTGGCTGTGACCTCGATGCTCATTACCTATTCCCACTAGCTCAACGGCGACATTTACCCGCCAGCCGCGACTAAAGTCGCGATCTTGCTTACTATTTTTGTAGTTGTACAAGGGAACGCAGCATTTATTATTCCTCGAATCAGATACTGGTTCTGTGTAACGAAGGTTTCCGGATGGAAGTTCTTCTTCGAGGATGACCCCTCATTTAGCGCTCGCCCCATCTCAGCGGCTTTTGAAGCTTAAAAATCATCCTGCCTTGTGCACAACATTTTCAGTCTGCACGTAGGTGAGGTAGAGCCGCCATGGATGAATATGTTGGTATCCACTGGCCTCTCCACAAATCCGCTTCCCTGACCGCTTCGTTCTTTGACTCGAGGTAGAGATTGCCTAATCTATCAGCATAAGTAAATAATGGGGAAAGGCATTCAACATGCGTGGCATCGCATATTTGTATGGATGTAGCGACAACTGCAATCCTATATGGGTTGACTCGTCGACTTCCAAGATTGTTCGAAATCCCAACCATCGGGATGAGTGCCCATATCAGCCTCCATTAAGCGTTATTGGTTCAATCAACTCAAACATGCACAATCTGAGGAACCGTTGCTAGTACAAGGCTCAGAACTTGACTCTTCAGCTGGCTCAAAGTATCGAAACCTACAAGGTTTGAACTTGCTCGTGCGAGGACACGACGAACGATCTTCACTGCAACCCGATCATGCCTACGCGCCGACACAGCGCGTCGAGATGTGTATTCTTGCAACAGGCCCGAGAGATACATCGACCTCATACTTTTGCGCCCGGTAAGCACGCGCTTCGAGTTCACCCCCGTTCCCGCTCCTTCTGTCCCATATCTCCGGATCCTTCTCTGGTCTCTTTGGGAAGCTTGCATTGCATACGCGCGCACCCACTCAGACGACATGTGGAGTCCAACTCTCATCATGACTTCGACGAGCCGCAAAATCTCCCTGGTTGACGCCTGTCACGGAAGTTTTGAAACAATAGAGAGCGCTAAACCCTGCAATGCTTAATTCACTACGCCGCGTGGGATGGGGTTCGAAACGTTTTTCCCCCACCACCAAGTCCGTCCAATCTCGGTTGTTTTGGAAACACGGCTCTGTACCGAAATCCGCATGATATTCGTTCACACCACGCCAGAGATGGACATGGCGCTGCCTCTTGCAGATGTCGAGGACTTGGCTATGGTCTGTGTCGCTCGCTTCGCAGGCTGGACCGGTGTAGCGCAAACGGTTGTCGCGAAGTACCCTTGCATCAACCCTGGAGTCAGGCCTTGCATTTCGGAAATCGAAGGCGTTCGTTATGGCTTAAAAGCATGGCGAGCCCAGGAGTCTCTTCGATTTCATTATTCCAACAGGCAGGTCTTTCTTCGATACAGTTGCTTCAGTCAACATACATTCATTTTTCTCTTATTACTTTCACTCATTCATATACACTTTCTTTACGTGATCTGGAATCACTGATCGATACTCACTTCAAACACCACCAACTCTTCAACAAACCTTCAAGATGCTCGCAAAGACACTTCTCACCACGGCTCTCATCTCCGCCGTCTCGGCTCACCAGAACTGGCACCAGCTGTGGATCAACGATGTGACTCCCGGTTATCAGACCGGCATCAGGATGCCTCCTTCCAACAGCCCTGTCACAGACTTGACCAGCAACGACTTGGCCTGCAACGTCAATGGCAGCATAGTTCCTTCCGGCGTCGAGACCGTCGCGGCCAGCGAGGGAGACACCATCAAGGTGCAGTGGGACAGCTCCAGCCACCCTGGACCCATTACACACTTCCTGTACGGTCCCGTCGACGATGCGTCCCAGGCAACTGGTATTGGCGCCGGCTGGTTTAAGATCGACGAAGTCGACGCTGTTGATGGAGAGTGGGCCAACGCGATCATGTTGGCAAACAACATGACCCATGAGTTCAAGCTCCCCACTGGTCTCGCAAGCGGCGAGTACCTAGTACGTCTTGTTATACTCCTGTCACATCTTTTTACTAACAGCATGATCTAGCTCCGCTCCGAGATGCTTGCTCTCCACGGCTCCCAGACTATCGGTGGCGCCCAGTTCTACATCGGATGCGCTCAGTTGAAGATCACCGGAACGGGTAGCGCTGGTGCCTGTGGCCCTACGATCTCTCTTCCTGGCGCCTACAAGGCTGAGGACGATGACATCTACATCCCCAACGTCTACAACGGCTTCGACATCAGCACCTACTCTGCGCCTGGTGGCCCGGTTGCTACTTGCGGTGGCTCCAGCAACTCTACTCCCGTTGCCTCAGCTGCCCCTTCGGCTGGCAACTCTACCGTTGTTGCTTCCGCTACGGTTGCCCCAGTCGCGTCTTCTGCTGTCCCAACTTCTGTGGTCGCCGAGACTCCCGTGGCCGACAGCACTAGCTACGCATCTCCTCCGATCGTAGAGGTCACCTCCGCGCCCGTTGCAACTGCCTTCCCATCTGCTGTCCTCTCGACCGTCGCACCCGCTAGCAACGTGACCTACGTCGTTCCTACTCTTATCCCCACCACCTTTGCGACCCTCGTCAAGCCCTCTTCCCAGCTTGCTGCTCCTACTGGTGGCAGCAGCTCCGGCGTTGCTCAGAAGTACTACCAGTGCGGCGGAAAGAACTGGAGTGGAGCTACTGCCTGCGTTGTGGGTACGAGCTGTGTCAAGCAGAACGAATTCTACAGCCAGTGCCTGAGTGTGTAAGACAGCTTAGTATTTGGGAAAACACGGAGACGATGAAGCGTTGTAGTTCTGGAGGTACCCATTGATTTCATGTACATATAGATTGACTTGCCTGTTGCGTATACACATTACTTCTTCATGATTCGTTTTTCTGCTTTGTTTGACCTGTCGATGGTGTGCGTGTTCCGTGATTTCCGATTTCTTCCATGATGAGAGGATGACGAATATGCTGTGCTACGGTGAGTTGCTTTGACACGACCGCCCAACATGAACAAGTCCACATCATCACTTTCTTCACTATCCTGCGCAGCTCGTGCCGGACGCAACTTCTCTGACGTCTTGGGACGAAATAGACTCCAGCACAGGTCCGCTTGGTAAAGGACTAATGCGTCAGCGTTGCTCTTGTCAGTCGTCACACCCGACCGATCCGAGCACAAAGTTGAGTCCCGCCAGGCCTCGAACACTGTAAGTGCTACGTACATGGGTGCAAAGCCACAGCAAACACGTTGAAAGATGCCCACTTTTCCTCCATGCGGAATCTTGGAAGCAGATCGCACGTCGGATCAAGCTTGTCGTCACATTTTAGTTTTTTGTCGACGCAGGGCTGCTGTTGGACCTGCATTGCTGTTGGCTAGAGTGCGACGCATGACGTAAAATCAGCCACAACCGTGCACCCGAACTTGCTAACTTGGACGATCGGCGTCGCGTCCGAACAAGGCACAGACGGTCAACACAAGGCTGCGTCATTGCAGAGGCTGTCATTACGAAGGGGTGTGGGTGTCGTTGCAGCGATATAAGACTTGGCCGGTCCTGACCATCAAACTTTCCATTACAGATCAACTCACATTTCATCTACCTCTTCAATACTAGCCTCTCTTCTCATTCCCTACCACCGCCTTCATCATGGCTATCGGCAAGGCTATCACGAAGTTCGGCTCGATGTTCCTTTATGGACTCGAGTTCTGTTGCGCAGCCCTCATTCTTGGCGTCTTCTCGTACTTCATGGCCGTTCAGGCTGATCGCGACGTTACCATCCCGAGATGGCAGCAGGCCGTGACTGGCATGGCGGGTGTTGGTGTGCTCTACACCCTCTTGGCTATCGTCTTTGTCTGCTGCCTCGGCGGAAAGACGTTCTTCGCCTTCATTGGTGTTCTCATGGACCTGCTCCTCTGTGGTGCCTTCGTCGCTATCGCTGTCCTTACCCGCAGGGGTGCGCACAGCTGCAGTGGATTTGTCAACACTCCTCTTGGTAACGGTGATTCTTCTTTGAAGGGAGGATGGGAGGGCCAGGCTACCTACGCGGTCTCGCTTAAAACAGCCTGCCTCTTGACCACTGCTTGTTTTGCTGTCGCTATTGCCGGAGCGTAAGTACTCGTCCTCTTGTTTATTGAAGCAACCACTAATTTCTCCAGTGTCCTCTTCTTCATCTCCGCCATCCTTCAGGTCCTCATGGCCAAGTCGAGCAAGAAGGAGAAACGCTACGGCCCTGGACCCAACAACAACTACACCAGCGGAGCCGGCGAGAAGAAGTTCTGGCAGCGCAAGAAGGCCGTCCGTGACCCCGAGATTGGTGCTACCACCACTACTACTCCTACCCACCATGCTGCTGTTTCTCACAACGTCCGCCCATCGCACGACACTGCATACACTGGTACTACCGTCGAAGCTCCTCACGGCGCCTACGAGAACCCGAACAAGCCCGTTGTACCAGTCACAGGTGGTTACCACACTGCTCCCTTGGTCAACAACACTTTCGACCCTACTCCTACTCATCACACCTACAACTCTACCCCTGCGCACCACACCTACAACAACTCTAACCCTACTCACACCACACCGGCCACCAACTACTAAGCCTTGAAAAAATTGGAAAGAATTGCAGGGTTGGTTGTTGTGGTCAAAGTTGATCCATTGAACTATTTCCTTACAGTTGTACTATATTACGAAGTCACGCATGATACCACATTTGAGCGAGCGAGCCTTCGAGGATGGGGGAGATACATGAGCGTATGAGACGCTATTGGAACCTAATGCCTAATAACAATAAATGAACAAATTTCAAATACCAATATTGCAGATCATATTCTCGTTGAACTCTCTCTTTCAAACACCTACTTCAGTATATGAACAGTGCTGCTAAACGCCAACGGGTATCTTGCAACACCCAACTAATCACTTACTCCAAAACTCCTTTATCGAATGACCATGTCACAGTAAAACCACAACTCATAAGCCCAACGATTTCAAGCCTTTCCTTTCCCCTTCCCGCCCCCAACAGGCCGTCCCTTCTTCACCGCAGCCTGTCCATCTCCCCTCCCCTCCGCAGCCCTCAATGTATCCAATTCCCTCCTCAAGATGCTCTCCAACGCTTCATTCCGCCTCGTCAGTAGCATGACGTCGTCCGTATTGATAGCCTTGCGGCCGGCATGTTTGGAGAAGGTTTCGAGGTCGCGGGCTGTGTTTGCTGGGGGGGACGTTAGCCACTGAGTCGTTTGACGCTGGGTGCTGATGGAAGAGGATAATTCATACCGATTTGTGTGTACACGAGTTCTGTCAGTGCGCCAATGAACTGCGGAGTCGCATTCAGGCCCATGGTAAGACTCTCTTCGTCGACAAACTGGCCGATTGAGTACCAGAGGGCGGATTTGAGACGCTGGGTTGTTAGTGTTAGGGGTGTTGTTGTTGTTGGGGTAGTGGATGTGGGGAGGCGTGGTTACTTCTTCGCGCTCCAGAGCGGCGTCGTTGGAGGCCATGGTTTTACTGTAGGGATTCACCGGGGAACTGTAGACGTGATGGAGTGGGAGTGAGGATGACGCGACGCGTCGCACAGTAGCCAATGGCGGGGCTGCGGTGATGCGCGCCCGCGGTTCTCCCGGCGCGTTATTTTATGTGTCGTGTCTGCATCAACAGCAGCGCTCCTTTCCGCACCCAGTCCACCATACAAACAAACCTACATACCAAACCACACACACCCTCTCTTGCACACGAACCACCCACGCCACTTAAACCCACCACACCACTCCTCTCCACCACAATGGAAGCCTTCCTCGAAGAAGCCACCGTCTGGAAAGACCGCCTTCTGGTCAACAGCCGCAAGTCTATCGAGCAAATGTCCGCACAGCGCTGGATCCGCATCATCCTCATCATCGGCGCATACATGCTCGTCCGCCCGTACCTGCTCAAGGGCGCGGAGAACCGGCAGAAGAAGATCCGTCAGCGTGAGGCCGAGGAGCTGGGGCTTGACGCGGGTGTGTCTGCGAATACTTTCCGTGGAGCTAGGAAGCCGGCTGGGAAGGGGCAAGGGCAGGGCAAGGTTTTGGGGGAGGTAGACGGGGAGGGGAGCGGGGATAAGGCGACGAAGAGGAAGTGAAGATGTGTGGGTGTTTTTGGTAGGCGTTTGGGGGTCTTGTGAGGGCTTTGGCGAATGGGGTGTTGTGTTGTTGGGATATTGGAGGGATTTGGTGGATAGGTCGAATCAATCCCGAGCGTCGAGATTACGAGGCAATCGCATGAGGGTGAATCATGGTGTGACAATCCTGATATTGGAGAGAGTAAGAGGTGGGAAGATGTGTCGAGGTAATGCCTACAAACATGCACCATGCACGTCTCTTTCTTCTTACTCCATGTTTCACTACTCTATGTTTGTCTATCCACCATTCATATTCCCAGCCCAACCTTACGAAGTGAGCGAACGCACACGACTGGCGTCACCAAAACCATGTCCAGCAATTCCGATTGCTGTATTTCACTCCTTCACGTGTCCAGCCACGCATCCAACAATCACCCAACTATCATTCGCTCACTCACTCTCCACGTACAACATGACTAACAACAACCACCTCGCCATTCACATTCTGCCAATTACTTCTACCATCCTTCACCTTCTGCGGCCACCAAAATGAGAACCCACAGAAGCTCCTTCGATACCGGCACATGCCAGACCAAGACTCCGAGGCATACCGCAAGCAGGTCCAAACTCATATCCAGGATCTGATGTCTGGCAACCGACCACGAGATCCTCAGCTCGCTGCCGCTACTACAGGCAGACTTGTCCTGGAAGGCGTCGTTGAAGCGGTGAAGATGTATCGTGAGCACAAACAGGAAACAAAAGAGCAAGGGAAGAAGGATGGGGAACGACACGGCCACAAGTCGAAAGACGGACATCATGGGGGATCACGGGAAGGGCATGGTCACCGGTCGGGGGAAAGGAAACATCGCCATGGGTCAGGAGAAAGACATCACCATCGGTCTAAGGAGCGACGGAAAAGAAGTGGTAGTCGAGAGCGGCAAAAAAACGACCGTGAAATCGTAGACCCAGTCAGAGAAGGACGTAACGACGACGACTCTCGTTTCGTGATGACCGGTGGCGCAGGAGCACCTAGCACCCAGCCCACCTCTATTCACAACGCTGAACACCGTGCAAGATCTCCCCCACGTCGAGAGAGACCCGTCACGCCCGCTGGTCAAGTAGGTGCCTCTCACTCTCCAACTCAGCCACGAATCGGTCCTGACGGAACATCATTCGGCGACTTGCCAAGATTCAAGATGAAGAAAGGCCCAGCAATGGGCTTCGTAGCACATGCTATGAACACCTACCGACACGTGAAAGCTGAGCAAGAGGCGGGGTTGCGGTCCAAGGGGATGCTCGAGAAGCATGTGGATGGTTGGAGAGAGAAGAGGGGTGGTGCGAAGCCCGCGGATAGCCAGAAGATTCGAAAAGGAGGTCAGGGTGGGAAGGATGATCGGGAGGATGATGAGCCTGCGGCGAGGGATTGGGAGAAGATTAGGGTTAGTGGTCCTGGGATGAGAGGAGGAGATAGAGATGGAAGGCTTCGCGGGTCTCAGGAGCAGACAGGAGGAACAGGGAAGGTTGGACGGCAGGCTGCTCCACCGACTTCGACTTCGTCGCCAGCATATCAAACCATATCGCAGCCTCGCTCTCCCACTCCGTTTCATGGGCCACCACCGATCACTGTCACACCCCCTAGTGTACAGCAGACGTTTGCAGACTCCCCGATTCCATCGGCGCCATCTTATCCGCCGCAGTCATTCCATGCTCCTCAGCCTGCACCGACTCCTGCGAGCTTCTCTGCTCCTTCTCATTCACCTTCCATACCAGTGCCGCCACCAATGCCTCCTATGCCACAAGCCTCGCCCCTTCCACCTCCACCCCCACCTCCTGCCCCCTCGCGTGCGCCAAATCCACCCAGCAACCAGCACGCAACCCTCTTCTCAGCAATCCGCGGCGGCACAAACCTCCGCAAAGTCCCCACTTCAGAGCAAAAAGACAACAGCTCAGCAAAAGAAACAGGCAAACCCATCTACCCAGAAACACCGCACAGCCACGACGTCGAAGCCCAAGAACACGCGCAAGATACCGAGGAGCAGGAGAGAGACCAAGCAGAAAGTAAGTGCCTGCCATACAAACCAGAGGTGCGACGGTTGTTGACGTATAGTTGGTTCGAGCCGGAGGATGAGTGCGGGGGCTTGGAGTGAGGATGGAGATGGAGATGGGCTGAGGAGTTATACGATTCCTGACCGAGGGTTTCGGCAGAGGTTGGGGGAGGCGTTGGGGGGTCCTCTTCGGAGAACGGATTCAGGTGAGTTTTTGAGAGGTGGGATTGCTGGGTGAGGAGGTCCGACTGACGGTATCGCAGAGCGCATTAGTGGTTAGTGGGTGGGAGAGTTCTTCTAGACGGGTCTGTGAAGGTGCCTAGTGACTGATGGTTGAGAGCAGATACTACGTCCACCTGCTCTTCAGCTCGGACGAGCATTGAGGATATCGACGTGTTCGGGGGTTTGGCTGCGCATGTTGGAGCTCCCACATGGAACTAGGAGGGTCTACGAAGCGACGATGGCTGAAAGCACAGTGGATAGACATATTTACTACATGATCAAGTTTTGTGAGGTTCTTCAAGAGTGAAACAAGCACGCGCAATCCTGAGCCCAAGCTTCACTGCCAAGGAGAGTAGAAGGGTCGAGGGATTCGAGGCTAGGTGTCCTCCCTGTTCTCCCTGTCCGTGTCTCAATTCGAAATCAAATCTTGAAGCTAGAACATTGTTGTCGCGACTGCAGACGTGGGCTTTATTTTTGTGCCGTTCGTTGCGACCCCGCTGTTTAACATTCCTCGTAGCTGGGCTGTCACTGTGTCAAGTTCCCGTTCCCCACACCGACCGGGGACCCTTCGTCTTTACATCATCCGGCGTCTCCCCTCCACCACGCACCCGACATCCACCATGCGCTGCTCGACGACGCTCCTCCTTGCCCTGCCGGCGCTCTCTGCCGCCCAGGAGCAGATGCCGCTGCTGGAAAAGGTCAAGGGCTTCTTCAACAAGGCGACGGCTGCCGTGTCCTCTGCCATTCCCGCCGCGCCGTCGGCCCCCGTCGAAGCGGCGGCGGCCAAGGCTGCAGAGGCGATCCAGCACCCGCTGACGCTGGAGACGTGGAAGGAGACGCTGACGGTCGACCCCACGGTGAGCACGCCGACGACGCAGAACTGGCTCATCTACATCACCGGCGGCAACTCGACGTGCTACGGCTTCTGCGGCGACGCCGACAAGGCCTGGAACGCATCGCTGCCCGTCCTGGCCGCCGCGCCCAATGCGCCCAAGTTCGCCCTCCTCGACTGCGAGACGGAGAACATCCTGTGCAACTCGTGGTCCGTCGGCGCCCCGTCGCTCTACTACTTCCAGATCCCCAAGCCCCTGGCCGACCAGTCCGCGCCCGTCCCCACGGTCCGCCACATGTCTCTGAACCGCACCTCGACCACGGCCGAGACGTTCAAGACGCTGATTGTGGACAATGAGATTGAGAAGGTTGAGCCGTACGAGGGCGCTTTCCATCCCTTCAACGGCCTGATGCAGCAGTACCAGCTGGCTATTCCGTTTGGCTACGTCAGCTGGGCCCTCGCCAAGATGCCCTCGTGGCTGCCTATGATTGCCGTCTCGTTCCTCAGCAGGTCGTTCATGTAAGACTGCCCTTCCTCTCCAAACACCAGTATGCTGACAACACGTTCCAGGGGCAAGCGCATGAACCCAGGTGCTCCTCAGCAGGGTGCACGACCCGCGGCGCAGTAGATGCACTTCTGGTTTTTTCCGGGCTTCGGCCAGTTACAGACACGGAATCAAGTTCTTATCGAGCTTGGATCAATGGCGGACGATGCACGTTGGATGGTAGATTGGTTGTTTTCCATCATGGCTTACGGCATGTCTCTACGACGGTGGGGTGGGATACGCGCTCGAGTGCGAGATCTAGGACGGATCGCAACTTGATTTAATTTAGTCCCATCTGGGACGGCGTCTAGCAACATCTAAATACACATTTACATCTCACTTCTCCACATTCGCTTGCCCCACACATACTCACTCACACGCCAGTGCCAAGATGAAGGCGCGCTAAACTGGATCCCAAAATCTCGCGATGTCTGAACTCCGCAAAGCCGCCTGCAACTTTACAGCCCATCACAGCAATCATGGTGAACATAATAAAACGCATGCGCAGGCTCCAAGATGTAGGCTGGCCACATCTCCATGTCCATAACCCAATTGAACAAAACTAACAAGCCCCACAGAAGGTACGAACCCTCCGCATCCACCTCCGAAAGCGCCGCCCGCAACTCCCACCTCGCCCTCGACGACTGACACAACACTGACACGCACGCACAGCTCCTCTGGATAAGATGCGGGCCCGGCGCCCTCACACTCCCCAAGGAGATTACAAAAATCCGCATGGAATACAACACAAAGATCTACGGCGGCCACCAAGGCGCTCGGTAACCCACTCCCCTCGCCCCCTCCTCATAGCCAAAAGTGTGCTGCTGGCTCACACCCCAAGCAGCAAGTTCTGGCGCGACATGCTGCCGCGCATAAAATATCGCAACCCGGCTATCCCCATTGAAGTCGCGCGCCACAAGGACCCCTCGGGCCCCTCGCTGCTGCACATTTATATGAAATCCGCTGCGGCGTCTACGTCTACATCTACATCACCGCCAACGCCCACACCATCAGACGAAGCGCAAACAGCGGATGACAACAAGCCAACACACTCAATCAACATCAAAGACCAGGTCGAGCACGAGATCCTCGAGGCGTTTATCGCCAAAACAGGGGCTATGGAAATCAGGCCCTCGGCCCAGGAAGTGCAGGAGATAGCCGAGATCAAGGAATTCAAGGAGCGGAGCGATGCGGACCGCGTCATGGTTAGGGAGAAGCTGTTGGCGGAGAGGAGGGAGGCTGAGCTGCTCAAGTTGGCGAGGGGGGAGTTGTCGGAGGTGAATTAAGGGGGGAGGGTTGGGATGGGATGGGATGGGACATTTGCATCGGGCTTCGGCACGGCACGGCATGGGCACGGCGTTGCATGGGTTGGTGGGTGGGGAGTTGGGAAGATGACACGGCATGGCAGGGCAGGGCAGGTCATGGGGAAAAGAAAGACGGGGCGTGTACAATACTACATAACATGTATGTATGTTATACCGGGTTACAAGGCGTGCGTAGGACGGCGCGGAATCGCATCTGGCCCAAACAACGTCGCTCGACCGCCACCGCTTGGGGGGGTTGCATTGATTGGATTTTGCTGCTTTTGGATCTGGCAGCGTGTCACAAGAACATCCGTTGGCACCCGCCCACGAGAACTGTAGACCGTTTTGCTCCACAGGAAAATGTGGGCGCGTACCTTGCGGACCCGGGGCCGTGGGAACTCAACGCATATGCCGTTTGCCGTGTGTGACCATCGCTTCCAATGATGGAGCAGCCCTGTGCAACCATGGCTTTCAACGACCCGCTTGTGTGATCCATACGCAGTTTTGATAAATTACACAATCTATGTGCGTTCTCTTCCGTTCACGTGCGGCGATTGGCATTGGTTGTGCCCTGGCCGATTAGGTGATACACGTCTCTTTGTATGCATTCAATGGGGGCAAGGGAACCGGGTTGATGGTCAAGTGTCATACCATTAGTCTACTTGAATGAGGACGGACGTGGTGCTCACGAAAGAGCAGCACCTTTCCACCACGTCGTAGCGCCTAGAATAAACACAACCACCATGGCGTCGCTCACCACTGTACTCCAGATGACGCCGTACCGACCGATAGTTCTCACATAGCCTCCATACGGTGCGGGTAGTATACCTGCAACGGTGCTGAGAATGCCGCTTCCTTGCAGTTGGCCTTTCTCGACAAAGTAGCGTGACGACTGCATGACAACTTCGAAAGTTGCAAAGAGGTAGAAGAAGTGCGCAAACGAGTTTGCAGGTGTAGACTCGACCGTCCAGTCGTCAGCAACAACGAGGTCACGTGACTGTTTCGAGCCGGAGAAAGGTGTCCTGAGGACAATGTAGGTAGCAAAGGCGAGCGAGAACAACGAGTGTACCAGCCGCCAGATCCAAGCAGATGACTGTGTTGGAGAGGGTTCCGCGGCAGATCCACCCTGCATTGCGGCAAACATGTCGGCCATTCCTGGGGGCATACCTGGTGGCATGCCTGGCTGTCCACCCGCGGGCCCTCCTGAGCCACCAGGGAAGCCAGGTATGCCGCCACCGCCACCCATCATCTGCTGCAGCATGGCCATCATGGGGTCCTGCGAGGCGTCGCCTGCCTGGCCCTGGGAGAAGGGGTCTGAAGCGTTCCCTTCAAAGGCAAACGGGGAGGGTAGACGAGGCTGCGAGGCAGGCGCATAGTGGTGCTGCGAAATGTCTATTTCGTCTGGGTCAGGTGTAGCAGTTCCCGACATTGCTGGTGTGGGGCCCGGAGAGGGTTTGACTGCGATGCAGTTAGCCATGGATACGGTCGGTACCACTACTACCTCCGTACCTGGTACATCTTTCTGCAGTTCACTGAGATCTCGGGGCGGACCCCCCTGCAGGGCTGTGATCTGTTGGAGTCGCGATGCCCCGCCTGTAGTAAGTTTGGCTGCGCGGCGCTCGCGCCTTAGGCGAGACTGTTTCTGTGCAGGTGACTCCCCGGGCACTTCTCCAGTCGTAGGGGCAGTTGGGTCTTCCATGATGTGGGCGTATGGCGTGGGGTGTTGGGGTTGTTGGAAATTGTGAGGGAGAGAGACTGTTTCGGTGTTGGACGACTGAGGTCATTCTGCCTTGGCATCTGGCATCTGGCATCTGGCATCGAACGCGGAAGCGACGATTTGTCTCTTCCACCACCCTCTTTCTCCTTTCCTTGCTGTCACACCATCCTTGACACCGCCGCCTCACCCTGGCACGCTCGCTAGGAATGCTCGCAAAGTATATGCAACTCTTCATTCACCCGCAAATTGTGTTGCCATCGACTGGTCACACCGTTCTTTGTGCCGACCCATCCCTGACGCCCACTCTTCACCGAATATGATAGTGCATTCTCAAGGGTATATCGCAAATTTGTGACGTCGTTCGCTCAGTCAGTGTTTTTTCGCATCTGCCGTAGGAATTGCTTTTTCGAAGTCTCGAGTCGATCACTCGCCCAACCCAACCGGTTACTGACATCCTCACCGCACTAACGTACGCGTCCCAAATACACGTCCACGGTCCTTAATCACACTGGCTGGACATGTTATCCGTTTGCATTTTACACCTATCATACGCCTCCGGAGTACATGCAAGATTTGCTACGACGGTGAGGCAGGTTTTCAGCTTGGAGCTACCGTGCGTACAACGCAGGGGAACATACACCCCCTTCCCCGGCGTATGTGTCTAGTAAAGGAGCCAATACAGAAAGGCCTATGAAGCCTTTTTTAGCTTGGGTAGGGCTATAGTTTTGTGAAGCGAGAGCTTACGAGCTAGAATAGCACGGCAAAAAGCCTCTCCATGGTCTGTGTAGAAGGATCACTCCTATCAGATCCTGAAGGTTAATAGAATAAATGCTTGGCACTTGAGCAGGGGGAAGGTATATATCCCAACCTAAAATCGCCGGCCCGGTGATGGTTCATGCCCCCGGCCTGCACTCCCTATTGGCCAAAGCATATGGTAGGGCATATTCGACGTCTCTTGTAGCTTATGCCAATTGTCTTAAGCGGCGATGCTCGGCGAGTCAAGTAAAAAAATTACACTAATCCTATTTCTCTATTGCACACTTCACCCTTAAAATACATCTGTGAGTACCGCGGACCAGGGGCATATCCATCTCTCTCTGCTCGTAAGGGGCTTCAGGACAACGTATTGTTTATTGTGTAATGACGGCTTAGTTCAGTCTGGCGGTGTCGATACGCGTCTATCTCCGCAATGTGACTTGACGCTGCATACGACTGCTACCCGTTAAGGCTTACACAAGCCCCCGCAAATTTTATCGTATGTGGCTAGGTAACTTGCATAGCGAAAGTTACCGTCGAGATGGAATCGGGCGCCTTATCTGTTGCGTGTGACTCGTCTCAACGCTCCACGGACTAAGCTCCTGTAGCAAAAGTCCGACGTGACACTGTGAATTACCTTCCGGTCCCTCGTTGCATGTTGAAACGTCATGGCCAACGTAATCACAGATCAAGGTGGTACGATGAACTTCACTTGGAAGTTACACATCACATGAATCAGGTAAACGCCTTTAAAGGTCTGGGTGTGCGTGATGTTGTCCTCTCTCTTGTGGTCCAGTTCCTTCCTTTCACATACACAAAACGAACCCTTCAACTTCACTGTCACAACAGGATACTATCTTGATCAAAACCATGTTTAGCACAGGTATGAAAGCAAGAAACTTGACACTACGGTCAAGACCTTTCTGGGCTGCACGACTACTACAGCAAAACCGAGCACAGTCAACGCTCAGGGATAGGAGCAGGGAACGCTATTGGGATCATATTGAACCATGGAAGGATGTTTCATCCGAAGAATTCATCTCCTATCGGTGGCAGGTACGTGATAATGATCTATATTCCGACTTCCAAAAAACAAATAATTATGCTCAACTCAAGTGCTGACCTGACCTAGCTTCGTAATACGATACCAGAAGGAAAGAAGCTGCAACGATTCCTGCACGAGGCACTCCCTGATAATCTAGGCCCGTCAACAAATCCCTTGCTCCAAAATCTCAAGACTAGAGACGACTTCATTGCAGATGCAGTGGCTGCCCTCAAACTAGCGCCTATGGCTATACGGCTTACCCCGCAGGTTCTGTCTCGTATTGACTGGGAGAACCCTCTGGATGACCCCATTCGTAAACAGTTTCTCCCACTAGCAAGTGGTATCATTGGAGACCACAAGAAGTTGACGTTGGATTCACTGCACGAAGAGGCTGATAGTCGTGAGTATTTCCAATGAACAGACGTGAACGGGCGCTAACGTTGATTAGCTGTTCCTGGCTTGGTCCATCGGTATCCAGGGAGGGCTTTGTTTCTGGGTAAGCATGCCTCGTTGCACTTGAAAAACAATTCTTCTCAATTGCTATAAGAGGTTGCATTCACTAACTACTTCAGCTACCTCGATTTGCCCGGTTTACTGTCGATTTTGCACGCGATCATATGCGGTTGGTGCAAACACTGATACCGTATCCAAGTCACCACAGAAGCCTAGCCGCAAGCGATGGGAGCTCATCTTTCAACACATCGAGACGCATAGCGACCTTCAAGATATCGTAGTTTCTGGTGGTGATGCTTACTATCTTCAGCCCGAGGATCTTAAGCTGATTGGCGAGCGGTACGTTGGTGTAGAATTATGCAGTCTTCTCAGAGTTCTAATCATTTCACAGGTTGCTCAGCATTCCGCACATTCGACGTGTGCGATTTGCGTCAAAAGGACTCGCTGTAGCCCCGGGACGTATTCTTGACAGGTCAGATCCTTGGGCAGATACTCTAATTGATCTCTCGAATCAAGGTCGAAAGATGGCGAAGCAAGTTTGCCTTCACACTCACTTCAACCATGCCAACGAGATTACGTGGATTACGAGAAAAGCCGCACACCGTCTCTATGAGCATGGTGTGATTGTACGCAATCAGTCCGTGCTTTTGAATGGAGTCAACAACAATTTCGATGCGCTTAGTGAGCTCATTACACAACTTGCAGATATGAACATCCAACCTGTCAGTACTCCACTTCCGAGCATAACTCCTGTCAGCTTACTACAAACCCCACTGACCATGTAACTTGGATAAAAATATCTCCATGCTTACATGTCACATATCCGCACAACGTTTGCTAACTATAGATCGCAGTATTACGTCTACCAATGCGACATGGTTCGCGGAATCGAGGATCTTCGTACACCCCTAAGCGAAATTATCAAGCTCGACAAGCAATGCCGTGGCACTTTGTCCGGTTTCATGATGCCATCCTTCGTCGTAGATCTGCCTGGCGGTGGAGGTAAGCGCTTAGTATCCACATACGAAACATATGATGAGAAGACCGGCGAAGCAACGTACACCGCTCCTGGGTTGCCTGGCCTGAAAGGAGAGATGACTTACACGTATTGGGATCCTGTGCCTGTGACCGAGTCGGCGATGATGGAGCATCGACTACAACAGGAGCAAGCACTTTTGGATGGTAAGACTTTGGAACAACAGAGCAGCTCGACTATACCACTCCCTCAAGAGCAGATCCGAGAGAAAGTCAATCAAGAGCCTGAGCCTGCAGGTCGTCTGCCCGTTCAGGAGCTGTTGTTGGCCCCTAAAGGACCCCATCTGCAGCAAGATCACAGGCTCCACAACCTCACGAACAGTCTCAACAACCGAAACGCCATGGACGTATACCAGCATACTTCCGCACACATCCATCCTGGTTCTGTGTCTCGAATCCGCAACACACAACCTTCTGCTCATGCAGTCGCAAGTGAGGTTCTCCACATCAGCGATGCACAACACGTTGCATCTGCGAGATCTTCGAGTCTGTAAAGTCAATTCACTACAAACGCCCACGAACACACGTTTCTCTCTTTCCCTTGGAGGTTTTTGTAAACACATTTCCAGCTCCATCTCGTTTCAAACGGTTCCCCATGAACCCCCAAAAGTTTCTCAGTTTTTTTATTGCACAAATTGGTAACACGGGTTTTTATGTCGAGTAGGGGGGGAAGTATAATCGCTACCATTTTGCTTCTCAAGACCCTTTTTGCGTTGTTTGGTACCTGAGTTCAATGCACCAACTTATAAAACTTTGGGCCTTTCTTTTTGCTTTTGTTGGTTGCGAGCTCGAATTGTACACTACTTCCCTCAAACTGGTTCACATTAGAGGCACTGGGTTCTGCTTGATTCGTCTTGCAGCTGCTGTTTGCTGGCGTTGTTATAAACCTGCTTTCTGGGGTTCAAAAGATGTACTACTGAACGTCATACGCAATGAATTGTTATTACCCTCGTTGCTTGCTACCATCCCGTGAACATATCAACATCGTTTCACTCGGCTGGAGAAGAAGAAGCTATGCAGTTCCTTGATAATGGTACTTTAGTATTGCCTCAAAGATAAATTTCACCCTCTCTAGTAGCACAGGCATGATGGTTCTCAGCCCCTGCTCCCACCTTCCTTTCGATTTCCCACCTCTTGAACATCCCCCAAATCTTTCTCCATATGCAAGACCCGTATCCCCTCTCCGTTCGGACACCTGACCACATCCTCCCTCCCACTCCTCACGTATCCGCACTTCTCATACAACGCCACTCCACTCAACGTCGCCCCCATTTCCAACTGCCGGAACCCGCCAACCTCCCCTACTTTCCCCTCCTGCGCTCGTGCCTCGCAGTACCGCATCATCATGGTACCGAGCCCACGGCGCGCCCACGCAGGATGCGTGAAAATTGCGCGGATACTTGCTCTGTCAACAGCAGGGTCACGTTTCGCAGGCATGCGAAGCAGAGAGGGTGCAGCGTCCCCGCCGTACAGTGTTTTGCGGAAGGACCAGCCGCCGCACGCGCAGATTGTTGAGGGTTGTGATTTGGGGTGCAGGATGAAGTATGTTCTGGGTTTGCTCGTCAGCGGACGTTGTTCCGACGTGTCACGCCCCAGTCAAAAAGTCGGATTAGAAGGTTTGACGGGAGTGAATGGATCTTTCCTACTGGTCGAGAATTAAAACTGTGTCGGGCCCGAAGAGGAAGCCTATCGAACCGTCGAGCTCGGCTTGGGTGTAATGTCCTTTTGCTAACCCGCGTAACGAGTCTTCGATCATCTGTTGGAGAGCGGGGATGTCCGCTTTTGTAGCCGGCCGGAAGGTGAAGGTTTGGGTTGCTTCTTGAGCTTTTGCGTCTTCGATGGGGTTGCTCATTGTGGATGAGTTCGCTGAAATGTGCTGATGATGTTGTTTTGGGTCAAGATCTAGGGGTTTAGCCAGTTTGCGTTGGTTTTTTTCTGCCATTTCTACCAGAGTTGCTGATAGCGTAGGGCTGTATTTTCCCGGAGACATTGCGCTAATGGGACGCGATCTATGTATCGGTCCTTTTCTAACAAAAGTGGGCGTTTCCCGACGGGAAACGCCTGCTTGGATACCGATATCAAAGGACTCGGATCAAGGACATATTGATCGTCTTGTCTTCTCGCAACGCTGATCGTGCTGCTGATCGACAGAAACGCCTCAACGTTAACGCCACCAAATACTGACCGTTTTGATCATGACTTATGATCGACGCATGACTAGATTCGATCGACACAAGATGCGTCTCTTGGCTATTAACTAAATTTGGAGTTGGCAGTGACAATCATAATGATATCGTGGTCAAGATCAAGGTCAAAGACGATCGCACGTGAATCGCGTGTTAGTCGCGTTTCCTGAGCTCTACTCGGCCCTAACAGCTCGCAAAAGCTCGGGATTTGGGAAATCCGGCCGTGCTACGCACGGCCCACCTACATCAACGATAATCATAACCTCAACGATACCAGCAAAATTATGCAAAATGCTGCAAAAATAGAAACTTTATCTCTGCAGCAGCAACAGCATATTTTGAAATTCTGAAAAAGCTAAAACTCTTGTGCGATAGATGCAGCTGTCTGTGTACATCAGAAATTAATATTAAACGTTGTTGGTAAAAAGTCCTAGTAACAATTTTAATATTTTGGTGAGGAATATCGTTGAGGTATGATTATCGTTGATGTAGGTGGGCCGTGCGTAGCACGGCCAAGTTCTTGAACTTCGAGCTCCAGCGAGCTGTTAGGGCCGAGTAGCCACTGATGTCACAGCATGCTTGCCGTTCCGATCATTTCCATCTCCTGAAATTTCCCCGCCATCCCAAGATTGCTTCTGGAACTTCGTGCATCTTTTGGTAATTTCACAGATAACATTCCACATAGCATCTATTAACCACAATGCCTCCAGCAAAGAAGCAGAAGACGAGTGAGGCATCGAGTGCTCCAACTCAAGAGGCCGAGTCCAGCTCCGCAACTCCGCATAAAGGCGACTCTGACTCTCCCAAACTGCGTGATGTAAGCATCTTCCATCTACGAACGCCATCTCATTGCTAACGTTCAATTCAGTCCAGAACTATCCCGCTCTATGAATACATCTGCATGCACCGTCCGCACTTTGACTATGAGGTTGAGATCCGCATAGCAGGGGGAGACCTCGACGACGTGCACGAAAAGTACCAGAAGCAACTTGAGGAAGACTCCAAGAAAGGAATCGTTCTCGAGCCCGCGAAAGACCATCCTGATTGGAAATGGACTATCGCTTGGGAGGGCTTCAAGACGTGTCTGGACTACCGGAGGCGCGCGAACTATTGCGATCCTGACAGATTCAGCATGTATATATACAACGACTTCAACGGATATGGGCTGCAGGAGCTCATGGAGAATATTGTACGCGCCGATTAGCTATGTACCTGTGTATGTCAAGGACATACTGCTAATTATATGACAGATTGTCTCCTTCGACGGCGCCCTTAAGAAGAAAGATGACGACGCTCTCAATCGAACCTGGGCCCTGATCAGCGGCCTCAGTCTCTGGTTGAACGAAACGGATATGGGCCCGTTCATCGGTACGCATCATCCATCCATCCACACTCTCGCCGCTAACCTAAACTTTCAAATAGGCAACGAAGACGGCGAGAGAGTACAAGCCCTAACCGGACTAATGGGCTACGCTCTCCTCCGCGGCCTCGCCGCCATCGACAAAGCCTCCCAACTGAAACCCGACTCCGACTTCCCAGACCTCCCCATAGTCATCTCCTCCTTCCTTGAGTGGTCCAAAGACCTCCCCGACTACGGTATCGAAGGCGACGCCGTCTCCTGGCGCCCCCACGCTGCAGCATACTTCAAGAAAGGCAAATTCGACGCCAACAAGGGCGTTACCAGTACCGCCAAGCTTCTGGAAGAGCTGGAAGAAGAAGGCGAAGTCAACGAAGGCGAGCTGCCTAACGCGTCGACCAAGGATCCCTGGGGGTGGGCCAAGCGACTGAAGGAATACAAGAGAGAGCATGGCCCGAAGATTGGGGGCACCAACTATGATATTACCTTGATGTCGAGGAAGGAGAGGGCTAAGCATGCATTTAAGGGAGTGGATCCGCTGAAAGATGTTTCTGAGAAGGATCTTAAGGAGGGGAATCTTGATTTTGCTTAGAAGCGGTTGGGATTGTGAAATTGTTGGGGTTGGGGTTGATTTGTTGCTTCAGTGATACTACTGCTTCGCTCGGATCGACTTTACATGGAGATGAACGTAATGCTGTTCAAAATATGCAAAAAGAGCAAGACCATGTATGTCGAAAAACACAAAAGGTGACCCCAATCAGAGATCTACAAGGAAGATATACAGCAAAGCAGTCACTCGCCCGCAAAGGGCGAAACCGTTTGGATTGAACATATCTAAAACTGCGCCTCTAGTGTGTATACCCAACCGTGCCATATCTCAATTATACATAAACGCACTCTCCTGACCATGTCCGTGAAAAAGGTTGTCGTCCAGATGCAAAACCGTCTACATCCCGTCATCTATTCGAACAGAATGTGCCAGACCTCATTGACAACAGCACGCAACTCCCTCGTCACGCTCTACATGACTGTACAATTCTCCTCCTGCTGTATTTGGTTCGTGCGACTGAGGCGCTCACGCTTCATCTGGACTTTTGAGCCGCCGCGTTTGAGTTCCTCGAGACGTTCCTGAGCTTTTGGGAATTTGTATGCTGGGTTCAATGTTAGCGGATTTCGATCTGACTTGAGCTTGCTATGCTCGCTAACCACGGCTGTGATATTGAGGGAGAAAGAGGAGGATCAAGCTTACCAGCAGCACGCCCATACCAGCGCTTCGCCTCGTCCAGACTCCTCGGACACCCGATACCGACTTCAGTAAAGTAACCCATGGCGAACAAGGCTTTGGGCAACGGGGGCTCAGCACAGGCGGCTTTTCGCGCCCAGAGGTAGGCTTCCGTGTCGCTTTGCTCGAGGACGCCTTGGACGCCGGTTAGGTACCAGCCCGAGAGCGCAAGCTCACTCTGATGTTCTTCTTGAGTGGCGGCTTTAGTGTACCACGCGATACTTGTGCGAGCGTCAATCTGGCACCCCAGCAACCCGTACTCGTATGCCTGACCGAGTCTGAATTGCGAGAACTTGTAACGGAGATCTGCAGCTTGGTGGAAGAGTTGCAAGGCATATGCTTCATCTTGGATGATCCTTTCGTTCCCAGTTTGAGCTTCGTAGATGAGGGCGAGCTCGTGTAAGGCGTGCGGGTTATCTTTGTCTGCGCGGTCTGCAGCTCGCTTGAGCATGTTGATGGCTTCACCGAAGTTCTTCTGTTGGCCGAGAAGACCTTTGAGAAGGATCATGCCCATCTTGTATAGCGCAGGTGGGTCGCCTAGAGCTGCAGCCCGTCGATACCATTGTACTGCTTTGAGGGGATCTCTCTTTGTGCCACCGCCTTCTTCGTGGCCCATTTCGCAGCATACAGCTGTCCGATATGCACTCGCGGGATGGCCCGCTTTAGCTGCAGATTGGTATAGAGTGAAGGCTTCTTTAGTGTCTACCTGCAATCCGAGGAGACCTTGACCATAACAGTCAGCAAGATAGAACATGGCTTCCGTGTAGCCATTGTGAGCAAGCTTCTTGATAATCTTGTGGCCTTCAAGAATGTACTTTTCGCGATTCTTGTTCCGTGTGCGTGTATCGGCAGTGCCTCCTTCATCAGACAGTACGCTCGCAGCTTCGACAAGCTTCTTCGCGAATAGCAAGCCTGTAGCGCTATCTGAAGAGTTGGCTTTCCATGTGTTGCGTAGGCGGTTCAGTTCATCGTGCGTAACTGGGTGCGGCATTGAGACCGGTCGCTGTGATATTGAATTTTGGCTTTCGTAGCTTATGCGTGAACGATCATTATTATACTGGCGGACAGGTGGTGGTCGTCCACTTTGATTTGGTTGTTGTTGCTGTTGGTTTTGCTGTATTAGACCAGCTCGAATAGGAGTTGGATGTATGGGTAGAGCATCCGGATTTGTCTGTGGTTGGACGGTACCAGACCTCTGCCCTCCGTGAAAATCGCCAGGCGCTCGTCCCGACGCCGGGGTTGTTGTTCCTGGCCGAGGGATAAAGTTGCCTGGTGGCGGCGAGGAAATGTTCCTCATCGTGTTTGGTGGTGGTTCTGAATAAGCAGAGTTGTCCGAATATTCTCTGTGGACTGGCGGCGGTTGTCGACCATATCTCGGATCAAAGTTCGGGGGCGGGCCTCGTGCTTGCTGGAAATTATCACTTGTCATTGCTCGAGGAGGCGGTCCTCGGCCTCTCGGTCCATTTGGCAATCCGTTAGGACCAGCGAAACCAGTATTCGCTCGAGAGGGAGCAGACATGGGAGGCGCATCCCCAGGTAGTTCATACGTGCCCATGTTATCTCCAGGCAACTCATATGCACCATCAGCATACTGTCCATGCAGATCGTGTTGCAATGGGCTATGTGACGCCTGCCGTTGAAAGTTGTTACTTTGAGGAGGCGCATTACCCGTTGGGCTTGCATACTGAGCGTTCCCTATAACGGGGTTGGCGGACAAGTGATCATCTATCGAGTCACCTCTCCGATGGCGATGACTGGTTTCCGGTATAGCATCGAAATTAGGCATTTCAATAGAATCAGCTTCGCTGATTCTATGGTGGTTATGTGGCTCCTCATGGTAGTCGTCGTAATAGTTGTCCACATTGCCTTGTTGAATTTGAAGTTGCTGATGTTGATGTGGAGGGTATTGGCGCTGCTGCTGTTGTGAATGCTGTTGTGGATGCTGCCGTGGGGGCGGCATCCGTGGCATTGGAGGCTGTTGCTCAAACTGGCTCGGAGGGTTGTTTGGCCGTGTTCCACCAGCGGTCGAAGGCCTAGTGGGAATATAGGCCGGAGATTCAGGCCCGTGATAACCTGTGACAGTACCAGGAATAGGCCACTGATCTTGCTCGTCATGGCCTCTTCCTGGCCCTGCGCTAGGGAGACTTTGTGGCATGGTCACAGACCGCTTGGTGTTCGGCCCAAAAAGCTGCTGAGAAGGTGATTTTGGGTCAAATTGCCGCGGCGGAGGCGGCCCTCGAGCGCCTCCGAGGTCCATTGGAGGTGGTCTTTGGCCTGGTGGCATCCGCTGTGGTGGTGGACGTCGGTTTTGCGCATTGCCTTCAAATTGCCCCGAGTCCTGTCTCCCATCCGATCCTGACCGTGCTGTTCTTCCTTGCGGAAGGCCCGTGTTTTGTGGCGGCATGTGCTGTCCCCGAGGAGGCGGTCCTCTTTGTCTGGATTGCGCTCCGACCTCGCCTACGTTCATCAGCGACATGGCTTGGGTCATTTTGTCGGTGGTTGCTGGAGGCTTAGGCTTAGGCTTGGGCTTCTGCGAGGGAAATGCTGGAAATGGGTTGTCGAGGGGGGCGTTCTTGGGAGAAACGGGGTTGAAGAGGGAGCGATCGAGGCCTGCGATTGGTATACAATTAGCACACACTCCAACTACGTGTATGCCGTGCCATTTTTCCTCCTCACGTCTGGTTGGGGCGACTCACCCGGAGGCCTTGATGCTGTTCGTTTCTGCTGGGGAGGTGGCCGCGACCCGTCTCCTCGACTCGACCGTCTACTTCTGGGGTCCCGGTCTTGCCGTGGCTGTTGTTGGTGGTGTCCGTTGTGCGCCTGTTCTTGCGCGTATTGGTTCTGCGGTGGGGGTCTTCGCCCTTGTTGCTGCGGAGCCTGTCTCGCATGACCATTCACGTTGTTGTACGCGCCTTGTTGCTGCGCGCTCTCCCATCCGCCGTTTTGTTGCGCATTATATTGGTCATATTGGTCGTAGTGGCCGTATTGACCATTGTCCCATTGCTCGTGGGCGCCCTGCGCATAGCCCTGACCATAATGCTGCTGCTGCTCGTACTGGCCGTCGTAGCCCGCATACTGCTGTTCCTGTTCATAATATTGTTGCTGCTGCTGTCGCGGTTGCGCGTAACCCTCATGCTGCAGTTGGTAGGCCATGGCGATCCGGGGAGCAAGCTACTACTCCGCGGCTAGCAACGTGGAGAGCGTTGATCAGCCCCGTCTAACAGGATACCGATAGAGGCACGGGCGTGATTTGGGGAGACGGTGGGGTTCAGGATGCTCCAACTCGACTTCAATTGCGCACAAGACATGACACGGAAAGCAGTGGGCGCTGACCTGAGCTTATACTTTGGGAATTACGTGGTACCTGACTAACGTTTCATCCAACCAAGGAAGTGTATGTGGGTAATGCATGAGAAATTGCTGCTCGTTGGCCTGATTAGTCGCGCGAAGTCCCGTGAGCGGGCGCTCCACAGCGAATCCTCGAGTTTCACGGTTGGTTTCAACCGCGGCCTGCCACTAGGCGCCGTTGTAGTCAGATGAATTGCTCGACGGCCTCGACGGCCTCTGAAAATGTCGTTTTTTTTCAGAGCTGCAGACCCAACTCCGACGCTGTACCTGACTATGCTTTCGTGAGACCTAACCCATGCAAACGCGCCTTGAGGTCATCAACGCTGAGTTCCTTGAAATCCTTAGGCACGGCGCGGAACGCTAGCCGTCGCAACATCCGCATCCACTGCGGAGATATACGACATACGACTGTGGCGTACTGCGCCACACGCTAACTCCATCTGACTTTGATATCGATTTAGATCATCGACTTCATGACCATCGCCGTTCACGAGTAACTCACCAAGCCACACCAACAAGCGATCGGTGGAATTTACTGTTTAGAATTACATAACCCCCTTCATCAACTGCGAGATAGCAGCGAACGATCGATCATGCCTTCCGCAAGAACATACATCAAAGCCATCACAGGGTATTGCCAGCAACTTCCCAACCCCTCCAAAACTCGCCACTAACATCTCTCAGAGGCGCAGTCCTCTGCATAGGCGGCCCGGCACTTGTCATGTGGGTGACGCCAACAGAAGAGGAGATATTCAAGGTACACCAACTTCGCCACGTGCCTATGACATCGTCCTAACTCTTCCCAGAGATACAGTCCAGATCTTCAGAAGAAGGCCCTTGCACGCAGAGAGCAAACACAGCAGGATTTCGATAACTTTACGCGTCAGCTAAAAGAGGCGGCGCGATCTGACAAACCTAGTGAGTGTTGCTGTGTGACGGAAGGTGCGGATTTTTTCTGACATGGAACAGTCTGGACTGCTCAGAAGGAGATCGACGCACAGCGGTCAACGGATGAACAGCAGCGTCTTAGGGATGAGCGGGATGCGTATGCGGCTGAGTCGAGGAGAAGGCAGGCAGAGATTAGGGCGAGTGGGAGTGGATCGTGATTGATGATTTCTTCGTTTCATGTATGCTTTTATGTGTAAGAATAGAGTCAGGACGAATCTACGCTCCTGTTGAGGATGAGGATAGTTATGATCATACAATGGCTACCTTTCAACATGTTCAATCTTGACTTGCATATCATGTAACTGTCTGATACAACGTATAGATCCAACCCTGCGCTGGGAGCGGAGCCTTACCAACCACAAAAAATCAGATCGCGTGACTGCGCGCTTCTCCCGAGACACTCAACGCGAATCGCTGTCGCACGTTAACGATCCACCACAACACCCCCCACCGACGCCATCCCATCTGCACCAAATGACCAGCGATGCGCAAACTCCCGTGAAACTCTCCCTCCCTCTTGTACGTGCACTCCGTCACCTTCAATCGCTACTGCTGATGACATCATAGGAATTTCAGCAAGACATCTTCAAAGAACTGCGCGAGGAAGATGAGCTCGTCCTCCTTGCGCGGGGCCTCGGCCTTCTGCGCATAGTCACCAATCTCCTGCACTCGTACGATGCCGCCGGCAACAACCTCATCCTTCTCGTCGGCGCCGACGATCGTGAAAATGTCTGGATTGGCGAGGCGCTGGCCGAGCATGCGGCCGTCAGCATGGCACCCAAGTGCAGAGGGCTAAGCCTGGTGAATACCGACTTGATGACTGTGGGTGCGCGCGAGAAAATGTACGCCCAAGGCGGTGTGTTTAGCATCACGTCGCGGATCCTGATTGTGGATTTCTTGTCTGGGTTGCTGAACCCGGAAACCGTCACAGGTATAGTGGTGTTACATGCTGAGAAGGTCGTCGCGACATCGTTAGAGGCCTTCATTCTGAGAATCTATCGGCAGAAGAACAAGGTGGGCTTTTTGAAGGCGTTCTCGGATACTCCAGAACCATTTACCTACGGATACTCGCCTTTATCGAACATGATGAAGAACCTTTTCCTGAAGAAGCCGGCGCTGTATCCACGATTCCATGTTTCGGTTGCAAAGTCGTTGGAAGGACGTAAGAAGGCGGAAGTCATTGAGCTGGAAGTGCCTATGACAGACGCGATGCAGGACATCCAGAACGCGGTGCTTGAATGCGTGGAAGCAAGTATCAGCGAGTTGAAAAAAGCCAATCCTGGTCTTGAGGTGGAGGACTGGACGCTGGATAGCGCTCTCCATAAGAACTTCGATCAGATTATCAGGCGTCAATTGGATCCTGTCTGGCATCGAACAACCTTCAAGACACGACAGGTTGTTCGTGACCTCTCGCTACTCCGGACAATTCTACATGCGCTTCTTACGTACGATGCTGTTAACTTCAATAAGTATCTTGACACAGTCTTGGCAGCGTCGCAACCGCCGCCCGGTTCGACGAAACAGAATCAATCCCCGTGGTTGTTTCTTGATGCAGCAGACACCATATTCACCACAGCCAAGCGAAGAGTATATGCAGGCAAGGTTTCTAATGCAGATCTAGCGAACAGCACTACTGCCGTACCCGAAGCTCTAGAACCCGTCCTTGAAGAATCTCCCAAATGGATCCAGCTTGCTGAGATCTTGCAGGAGATTGAGCAAGATGCATATCTCAATCCCACACCGCAGGACTCTTCAAATGGCTCTATACTCATCATGTGTGGCGACCACGGTACCGCAGCACAGTTGCGAGAGTTCTTACAAACCATGTACGTGAAGCCTGAGGAAGCCACCGATGACGATGAAGACGACAGCGAGCCGTCGGCAAGATTCATGATGCGCCGCAAGCTCCGCAACTATCTTTTCTGGAAACGCGACTTCAGCAGAGTCAGTGCTGCGCTGTTCTCTGAGAACCAAAAAGCTATCAACACCAGCACCGAGCAACAAGCAAAGAGCGGGATGCGTCAGTCCTCGGGCAGACCACCTCCAAACAAGCGACGACGTGTGAGAGGAGGTGGGAACGCCGCTGCGGGTCCTTCTCGACCAGAAAACGGTGCTATGCGCACGGCGGGGGACCGAGACTCGCATATCGCAAGCCTCATGGCTGAACTCCAACCCACCGAGTTCGAAGCCGCACAAAAGTCTGGCGATGTAGGCTTCGACCCTCTCGAGAACATGGAAGACTACTACGAACTATTTTCGATGGACTCTTTAGCCATCGTGCATCCCTATTCAGGCGATCTTGACGAACATATTCTCGAGGAAACGAAACCGCGATATGTTGTCATGTACGAACCAGACGCTGCCTTTATCCGCCGCATAGAAGTCTACCGCTCCAGCCACACAGATAGGACAGTCAAAGTGTTCTTTATGTACTACGGCGGCAGTGTAGAAGAGCAACGTTATCTTTCCGCCGTGCGCCGTGAAAAAGACGCCTTCACACGGCTTATCAAGGAGCGCGCAAACATGGCCTTGACGATAAACCCAAATGCCAACCTCGCACCTGAAGAATCTTTCCTCCGCACAATCAACACACGCATAGCAGGCGGCGGTCGTCTTGCAGCAACTGCCGAGCCCCCCCGCGTAGTCGTCGATGTGCGCGAATTTCGCTCCTCCTTGCCCTCTCTACTTCACGGCCGCTCCATGGTCATAGTACCCTGCATGCTGACAGTAGGCGATTACGTTCTCACACCGCAGATCTGCGTCGAGCGCAAGTCCGTACGCGATTTAATTGGTAGTTTCGCAAACGGGCGGTTATTCAACCAAGTCGAGTCCATGATGGAGCACTACAAGCACCCCATGCTCCTGATCGAATTCGACCAGAACAAATCCTTCACCCTCGAACCGTTTACCGACTTCTCCGCCCCGTCAAACGCGTCGGGTCTCGCGGCCGCACCGGATTTGCAGGGCAAAATCGTTATGCTGACGCTGGCTTTCCCGCGCTTGCGCATCATTTGGTCCTCGTCCCCGTACCAGACGGCTGAAATCTTTGCCGAGCTGAAGAAGCAGCAGGATGAGCCTGATCCGCTGAAGGCAGTGCAGTTGGGCCTGGATCCGAACATGGAGGGCAACGAGATGCGCAGCTTCAACCAGACGACGCAGGATATGCTGCGCGCGCTGCCGGGCGTCACGGAGCAGATTGTTACGACACTGTGCTTGAAGGTTGAGAACGTCATGGAACTGGCGAATATGAATGAACGGGAGATTTGCTGGCTGATTGGGACGGATGTGGGGAGGAGGGTGCATCGGTTCTTCAATAGAAGTGTGTATGAGGACGTGCAGCTGCCTACATTCACGTAGTATTACGATTACGAAATTTGAACGATGAAGGGTATTGCATGCATTTCTCCTCTATCTCATGACATCGCAAAGGTATGGAACAGGGTGGCCGTCGTGAACCACGAACAAGGCAAAGAAACAAAAACTTCTTCTCGCAATTCCGTCCGCCCGCTCGCAAGAAGCAGCATTTGAGCAGCTCAGGCCTTGGGCAGCAGGAACCAGCCAAGCAAGGAACCCCGAGACAGCATGGCGGACCACACGGCAAGTCCTTTAAATGTCGTCGATGTCGATTTCCTTCTTGCCACCCGTCTCCTCGTCCGAGTCGCTGTCGTCACGGTCCTCGTCGAACTCGAAGCCGATGCCTTCGTCGCCCTGGTCGCCGTATGTGTCCGTCTCGTTGATCTTTGCGTTCTCGGGGAGCTCGCCGTAGGCTTTTAATGAACGGGCTTCGTCGGCTGAGGCCACATTAGCATTCATGCGTTTGTTATAGATGAAAGGTGTAAAACATACCAGAGTACTTCATAATCACATCGCCCTTCTCGTCCTGGTAGTCTCGCAGCGACAGCAGGATGATGTCGCCCTGGTTGATCCAGACCTTCTTCCTCAGTTTGCCGCGGATATGCGCCAGACGACGTGCGCCGTCGAAGCACTGGGCCTCGAGACGGCCGTTTCCGAGCATCTTGACGACCTGGGCGTATTCTTGGCCCTCCTCCTTGAAGACGAGTTCGCGCTTCTCGTTGTCGTTCTCGTTCTTACCCCTACGCCTGTTCTTACCACCCTGTTCAAAGTATTAGTGTGCTGTGCTTGTGTAGTAGTGTTGTGTGTTTGGAGAGGCAGCGCATGCGCCATGCTCTTCAACTCGTAGCCCCCAGGCTTCGCAGACAGTTGGGCTTCCTTGCGCTGAGAGGCGTGGCGGGGCTGCCCCGCTGACACAATAACAATAGCAAGCAGACGTACCTTTCCCTTGTTCTTAGGCATCTTGGTCGCGGTTTGAAGTTGTCTTGGTGTTCGGAAGTGTTGTTTGTGAGTTTGGGGGCGGAAGCGCCGCGGTGGTTTATGTAGTGTGGCGGAAGTTTGGTATTGGGAGGTTAGTTTCAGTCACTGTGGGTTCTTACGGTTGACCTCATGCGCTAAGAGAACCCGGTCTAGTGCTCACTAGCGTCCGATCCCTCCAACCATTGAGGTGACTTGATATTCATATTCGCGACTCACCTCACGTACACTCTTTTCGTCCCCTTTTTTCAAAACAGGGTTGGAGACTCGATGACAAGATGAAAAGTATCTTCTCTCTCCTGGCGCGGCAACAGCTCAAGACGTTCAAAGTCAACTACGCACCAGAATACAAAACTTTCATCATCCACCATGTCTGCACCGACCAGTCGCACCCCCTCAACGAAGCGCAGAGGCGGAGACAGCGAGAGTGGAAGAAAGAGGGTCTGTGGTGGCATGCAACAACAGGCGTCGACTTATCCAAATCAAGCTGCGTGAGAGCGTGGGCTAGGAGACGACTGCGCAACGCAGTTACAGAAGAACTGAAGGCGCGAGGGTACGACGAGAAGGGGAAGCCGCTCGATGGGGCCTCTGTAAAGGGGAAATCAGATCTGACGGGGAGTCTGAGGTTGCATGCTCAGCTTCCACTGCTGCCCGCGACATATGTAGATGTGAAAGAGGAGGTGGGCAAGGTCTTGGACATGCTGCTAGAGGGAGCCAAAGAAGAGACTAGGAAACCGACGCCTGGTAAAAAGAATAATGATGGTCATCCACACCGGAAGTCATCTGGCACGCCTCCTCAATTTCGCATTAGGAGGACAAATTCGGACAATATACACTCTTGATGTTGTGGGCTCGCAGTCATTCTCTACTTATTTGTTTTTGTTTGACTCAAAGCACTTGTAGACATGAAAAGGGTGTTGCAATATACGTCCGCAGTCATAGAATGCACTTATCATTAAGAAGCAATCGTCTATCCTCTTGATGTTAGTTTCGCTTTTCCTCTTGTCACTTCCCATCTGCTACCATAGCATACACTCTGTATTTTTTCGTTTGTATTGAATGTCTGCCGATGGCCGTTTTCTTTTAGAGCGTTGGTCGACAAGTAGGAGGTGAAGGACAGTAAACCTCTCCTGCTCGCGCTAAACCTGAACCTCACTAGCGCTATGTTTGAAGGCACATGAATACCAATCTTATTGGAACGAGACCCCGCATCAAACAAACCATCGAAGCATGTTGCGCGACGCCCTTTGCAGCAGCTTTTGAATATTACGCCTTGTTTGTAACTTGTTGCCACCAATCTAGATTCAGGTGACGCTAATCGTACAACCACTGAAGTACGTTCAACTCACCGATTTGTAGCATTGAATAGTAGGACGTGGCAAGCAGGGACACTGGGGCCGGGGTACCGACCTCAACCCAAAAGATGGTTCGCATTCCAAACGCAGTTCGACATCTACCGCAGAGGCTTCCGATAGCGACACTAAACACTCCGGGATCCAAAAGGGTTTCGAGGCCCGGTGTTTTCGATTCGGCGACAAACCTTGGAGAACGAGGCACTCTGGTGCGCCCGGCACTGAAGTTGAGTGACGTTTTCTCTCAGCAACGAAGTCTCTACTCAGACTCCGAGGATACCGGCCACGTACCCTTCACAAATTGGCCCGAGGAGATTGTTTTCAACCCCTATCCACCTCCAGGCTATGTGTTCACGCCGTACACAAATCCACGTGGAGAGAAGATTGTGCTTAGCCCGTGCCACCCACCGCCAGGCTATGTATTCGTGCCCTCTGGTAACCACTTCGTTACTCGGACCTGTCGCAAGCTCGCACAGAATTTATATGTTGTCTGTCGGCCTCAAACTTGGAAAGGAAGTCCTATGCAAATAGGCCTCTATGTTCCGGGTGGTGTTTTCCAGCAAGCTGCATCTGCATTCATGGCAAAAAGAGCAAGGATGGAAGAACGATTGTGGCAGGATCTTGACAAGAGTTACCCTACGATTCCCCCTGATGATAAGAATAAGATTCACAGCTATGTTGTTTCACAATTTCCTACCCAAGCCGGAGGATGGTTTCCGGTCGACAACGGTACTACAGTCTTTGTTTATGTCCGCGATCAGTACACACAGTTCAAGTCTCTTGATCTTTCTAGAAAAGGTCGAGATACTGAAGCCATCGCTCAGGCGCATCGGAGAGCTCGAGAGATTCTAGCCTCCTGGCGTGCTGAGGACTCGGGAGAGGAAGAATCGAGCAAGAACAAGGGAGAAGGTTCAGGACCATGATATCCAAAACTATAAGTGCGATCTATCGTACTATGAAGGACAGTGAAGAGGAATGGAGGTGTATAGAAGGTATTTCACCGATCTGTAATTCGCCATTGACGCAGCGGCTACGCGCTCGGTTGACAATGGTATCTGCACCATGCTGCGTACTAGGTATGTCGTATCCTCTCAATAAAGATGACGTTGATAACCTAAAACGATAGGACATTCAGTAATTCCAAGACTTGGCAACGTGGCCGAAAAAACACTCAGTTTCCTCCTCTTGTCAGCATTTATCTGAAGCTTGAGTAGGTCCCGGTCCAACCAAGAGACGGGGGCGGCGAAAAACATATAGGCGCTAGGCCGTATCACTGCCTTTGGTTCTGTCAGTGGAGCTCTCATGGCGCGTGATGTTTGGGCGTCATATACTCTATTCAATCAGTATTTTGCGAAGAGGCAAAGATTCCTAACAGTCCAATGTGTACTCGGTCCTCTTTCCACTAATCAAGATAACCGAAGTAAAAATTTCCCTGGCACCTCGTTTCTTCGTCAGGCAATACCCTCTTTTTGACATAGTACATCTTGGTTGTCAAAGTCCAACACAGTAGCTTTTTTACAAGCGCCTTTTTTGCAGACATCTCTACCTCTACACCAACAGGCGCAAACATGTTCCCTTGCTCTTCGAATTTGAAATAGTCCTTGGCAAATCCCAAGTTCCGCGAATCATGATTCCCCATTCGGACAAATTGTTCCCATATGCTTTTGAGTCGTACCAGATCGTACGAATGTACTAGTAACAATGAACCTGAGATCTGAGTGAAATAAACATTGCCTTTGTGAAGTCCAAACATGACATTGAAAATTATGGCTGTGGTTATTCGGATGCAGACAAAGCTTCCTTCCAGAAGGGAAAACTCTCCTAGCAGATATGCCTTGTTTGCAGCTAGTTGGGCGTCCGAGTCTGTTGCTTCGATCGGCATACCTGACTTGAGGGGAACATGGAGTAACTCAGCCTTTTCAGTGGTACCCACCACGATATTGTCTATAGTGTAGGAATGTTTCGCATGGAATGCCCCAATTCTTAATTGACTTGGGATTTCCCTCGTCTGGATGTCGAAAGGGCTTTCCGCCACAAGGTACATGTCCATCAGCTCTGCGTCATCTGCTTCGTCACTATCCACGCTCGCCAGCTTGGAATTTGGTAATTTCTGGTACCGTTGATCATCGACGCGTTCAAGCCATATGCCTACAATATCTCCATTTGAAAAACGACAGTCCAAAATTGCAACCACACGATCTGCCCCCACTTGGATACACGGTAATTTCATTCGCAACCCTCTATTTGTCATTTCGTACGTGGAACTCGGTGTTTTTTTCCAGTCATGAGAAGAGATCTGTGTGGAAAGTTTAAAAAAGGTGGGCGACGGCGCAAGTACACCTAGTGATGGCCGGCTGTCTCCTGTGTTGGGATTCCAGGCAAATATTGTATGCTCGTTAGTCTGTTTGATGATTTCCAGCTGCAGGCGGAAAAAGGCGCGTTCTCCTTCCCCATATAGCATGGGCATGTTGACATGCACAAGTCCCAACAAGCAATACGCCATGTCTTCAGTGCGGGTTGTCCGTCTTAGCGAGGCCCAACTGAACTTCGTTGCTACGCTCGCGTTCTTGATCAGATCTCGATCAACAAGGTACTTCTTTTCGATTTTCGTCGCTGCATGGACGGCATCCAGAAGACTTGACTTTGTTCCTAGGAGCCCCCACGATCGGCCATAGAACTCGACTACTGTTGGGGCCAGCAATTCTTGAAGCGTCCAGCCTCTTTGAAACCAGCGCGATGTTTGAAACTTGGACTTTTCGTCTACATAATCCTCGTCCTCGGCTACATCCTTAAGATAAGCATAGCATATCTCCGCTTGCCAGTACCATCTGTACATCGAATTGATAGCCTCCGAAAGCTCCGCTGAACTCTTCTTGTCTATGCAGCAGGTATCGATCCAGACCCATTCGAACCCATCTTGAACAGCTTTGTCGCAGCACTCCGCGATCTTTTTGTAACCGAGCATGCCCTTCGCATGCGACTTGTCGATATCATCGAAGGTGACTTCGCCTCTTCCCCAAACATGGGAGAGAATCACATAAAGCGGTATATCGTCACCAAAGTAGTGGAGATTTAAAGTAGAGGTGTTGAGTAGGCGCATAACGAAGTTATTGGGAATTGTGTGGTGGGTGAGATTAACAAGGCTAAGGTTGAGATGCGGAAAGACAGTCGCCTAGAGCTCAGCCTTGTCAATTAGTTACATGCATCTCCATGTCTGGGCAGAACGCCACAGGATACCTAGATTAGTAGAGAACAATATGCCTATTTATAACTAGCAGGGAAAGCAGTTTTCCTTTTTTGAAAGTGCCAGAAGCCTGTTTTCACCAAAGTCAGGCTATATCTATAAATGTCTCCTTGCTCATCAAATCTAATCGCCTACCTCGATGCTGGGCATCATAAAAGGCTGGAATAAGTCACCCTATACTACAACATACCTCCAACCCAGAACCCACCCATCCACAAGGCTCCCCAGACCGGTTGCGCAAACGCTCTCAGAACCGCTGGTCCTGGACACGCACCTGTCAACCCAAATGCCACGCCAAACGTCGCAGCGCCCGCCAAAAACCTCGCATCAACGTCCTTGAACGTCTTTTTCGGCAGCGAGAAGCCCTTTGCGAACGACGGTGAACTGCTGAAGCCCTTGCGTCGTATCTCGAACAGACTCGGCAACATGCCGAAAAGGATTACTAGAACCAGTGAGGGATCCCAGTATTGCATAACAGGGAAAGAGAAGAACGAGCTAACTTTTGCGGAATGCGACATTTGAGAAACCTGTAAGCCAAGGGCGAAGAGGAGGCCGGAAAAGAACTGCGTTGCTTCACGGGCGGATGGGGTAGATATACCGGATCGTTTTAGCTCGTTCGTAGAGGTCGTTGTCGTTTTGGACATCAAAGAGGGTATTGTTCTGGCAGCGAGCATGCTGAGTGCCGCGAGGAGCACGAGGGATGCTGTTGCCGATGCCGAAGGGTAGACGGGCGTATAGCATGGCTGGTCGCCTGAACAAACTTGGGTGTATAGCGTTGGATTGACGAAATGGTGTGTGAGTACAGCTATGGGGAAGAACGTCGCAACTGCAGCAGCGGATCGTCCACTCAGTCTTGGAAGACCACAGAGCATGTGTCCAGAAGTGCATCCGTTTGATACCTGCTCAGCGTTAGCACGCCGTTCAACCTATTCTAGTTCCATGAGTTCCTATCACCTTTGTACCCCATCCCACTGCAATCCCAACACCCAATGTAGCCAAGATTCCTCGTATTGTGTTCGGAACTGGAGGGTAACTCGTGATGAGTTGAGGAGCGAGGGCTTTCAGCGGCAGATGACTTGCGGCCATTCCCACAAAAAAAGCCACCGTCTCTTTCGTTGGCGTAGAGAAGACTCGTCGTAAAAATCCTGAAACTCCCAATATATTCCCGTTTTGATAAAGGAGGTTACTGGTTGCCTGATGTATCAGCAGAGCACCAATGGTGGTCTCCACAGGTGTAAACATCCTTGGCCCTTTCGAGTTCTTCTATTTCCTCCTGGTCGTGTAAGCTGACGATCCTACACGTCGTCGATATAGCAAAGATAGACAGTTTCAAGAAGAGGATGAAGTGAGCAATGTGTTAGGAAGACCGACTACAAGCACGTGCTGATACTACCTTACTCGTCGTTGTGCTCACTCCGAGCCATTGCTCACTATCCCTTTGCCGGATCACAATCATTAGCCGTACCTACCAATCGCAAAAATCCCCATATTTACTGATCGGCGACCTTCAGTGTGACAGCGCCAGTCTAGCCTCTCGCAATCATGGCGTATTCAAGCGAGGCGCCACAATCTCCCCTTCACCAGATATACGAAGTAGCGCCGCACATGATCGCTTGGATCTCGCTGTTGAAGAATTATCTATCAGCGTGGTTTCCTTGTTTCTGGGGTGATATCTGTGGTCGCATATAGTGTTTGTGTTGTGAATACAAGGGAAAATCCTCGCACAAGGTCGCCGAGTTGAAGGATCTGCCTCGCCGACTTAATGACGACGGCGACATTTTCGCGATGACTAGCGGCGTGCCTGCAGCATGTCTTCTGGATTCGATGGCGTGGATACTGACGACGCCGTTCTAGATGGTCGGTCCACGGAGCGGTGCGTGTACGGTTCTTGGGCAGAGATGTTCCTTGGGCAACCGCTCCGGAGGAGAGATACTTACCGATGCAAGCGTCAACAAAAAAGCCACGATCAATCCACTATAGCCGGACCACCGTGTAGGATCAGTGTCGAGTGTACGGGGAGGTGTACTGTTGTCTTTTCGCAACATCATGCGTGATTGTGTAATCTTGGGCGCTAGAGCCCACTTTCTGGCCTTACTATGTACTGTACTCGCCGACCTCGAGTCGCAATGTCAAACGACGAATGCATGCGCGAAGAACGAATGTTTTCAACTATACGTGTCATGCATGCCACTCAAGTCATCAAGAACGAAACGAGTAAGGAATGAGCTTTAAAGCCCGAGTTCAAAAGGTGATAAGCACACAGGGGTGACAGATCAAAGCGCATGGCAAGTATGAGGTATTGCACCGCATACATGATCGACGTCTTTGATTATGCACATCATCATCATGCTCAACGAGCAGAGCGCTGCAACGACAGGAATGTGGCACTTCTTATAACTGAATATCACAAGTCACCAGAGAAACTGGCCTCGATCTGGGATGTCTGCTCACGAATGTACAGCAAGCGAGTCGATTTTGAATATACATAAACGAAGTAGTCTGAGATACATCCTACCCAGGCCTGAATTTGTTGATGTCCACAATCCAGGAGGTCTGAAGAGAGACGCGCGTCACACGTTGATCGTGGTCTTTTGTAAACTAGAGCCCAAATGACTGACTCTTCTGCACTAACTTCTCTACGATTGGAAGATAACCAATGCCCAAAGCACGAACCCATACATCGGCGTCTTACCTATCCGTCTTAGCACTGTGGAACAACTTCAAAGTTGACAGCTAGCCGGATACATGTCACACAAAGGCAACTGTTCCCACAAGTACAGCATTCGAGCGCATTCGACATGATCGCCAACGATATATGGCTGACAAGTAACAATATATAATGCACCACGGTCTGTGGCTGCTAGAGAACGTAAGGCGGAACTCGCCATATCTAGACGTAAACAGAACTATTGACTTCCTCGTTGGTGAATGATGAAAAGGATCTGTACAGGTGAGTAGTAAGAGCCTATGATGTCAGACAAATTTAGAACTTTTATTCGTGCAGCACCCAGGACTTCTCCTACCAAATGCAGCAGGGAGAAGGGCAACATCTGTAGCACAACGCGTGATGTTGTCAAAAGGGAACACATCGTCATGAACCAGGGTAGGAGGACATCAGGTAGTGAAATGTAGCATTCCGTAACGTGATGTAACGCTAGCGATCCGTTGTCGTCGACGCACCCAATTTGTTCTGATTTCGCGTGTGTAAACACATGTACTAGGAATATCGCAAACTTGTGTCGTATTGTAAGATGACCAATAGCAAGCAATCAGCTTATCCAAAGAATGGCGATGGGTCGAAGGGATGTTTAGCATGGTTGGTAATCCGAACTACACGTTAACCCTCTCTACCCGTACTCCAGCTTCGAACATCACGCGGCAGAACGGGCGTGTACCATTTGATCATGATCGTGCCATTGTTTTGTGAGAAGTCCTGATAAAACCGTAGTCGTTACAGGACTGGCATCCGTAGACTGCTGCAAGCCATCTTATCGTATGATAGCTGCCAATGCAGAGAAACGCTCGAAGAACTCCATCATCCCAGTGCCCAATGTTCCCTTAAACCTCAGCAATCTCCCTCAGACGACGGATCGTTGACCTTGTGGCGGCGGCAGCAGGAGTCCTGTGGGTGATTTGGTTAGTCTTGTTCGATCGCGAGTTTCCCGATGCATGCATCCCGTGTTGCAGTAGAAGTATGTATCGTGCGACGGTAATCAGGAGCGCTTACGAGACAGTGTAGGCTCCTCCAGCGGTGGTCTTGCGGCAGGATCGGCAGTTCCAGATACCGACGGCCTGGCGCTTGACAGCGTTCTTGCCGCAGAACTGGCACACGTAGCGGGCGTGTTGTGTGATCTGGGAACAGTTGTGAGCATTCCATCCTCCGAGGCAGGATCATTGGGGTATGCGCACTTCCATCTTCTTGACCTGCTTACGGAGCGAGGCACCGTAACGGGTACCGTACTTTCCGGTGATGCCAACCTTCTTGGTGCCTGTATCGCAATCAACATTTGTCTCGATCGAGCAGCGGGGGATCCGTACGCTTGGTCATTTTGGCGGTGTTGTGGTGGTTGTCGGGAGGTGGATGGGTGTTCGAGGTTGGATAGCCTGAGCTGCAATATTTCGCGTGGGCTCGCCTAGGCTTGAGCGCCGCCATGCCAAGTCCCCGGCGCGGAACAACCACATCCCGGACCCCATACAGAGAAATACCAACCCAATCGTCCGTACTCAATCGTGCCCACATTTATCTCAAACTCAGACAAACATAGCAGACTCTATGCCGGTCTTGTGGAGCTTTTTTTTCCCAAGAAACATTTCTCCGTCTCCACTCCTGCGTGAATTGTGCCGCCTAGTACTTTGGTCATCTACCCAACCTCAGTTTTGGTGCTCAGCCAACACAATTGATTTCTACATTTCGTAATCATCCGGGCTATGGAAGGGCTTCATCTGACTGCTTAGCTGCCCAACGAGCTCCTCGTTCAGATACTCGAAACAATTACTCGACCATAACAAAGAGATTCAAGCATTTTCTATTCTGGCAAGGGTTTGCCGTCACTTGGGATTTCTTATCACTCCGCTATTGTATCGCAATGTTCGAAATTACCGCTGGAAGCACCTTCAACTTTTCTGGCGAACGGTCGCCATGAACAACTGACGCATCGATGGGGTTACATGACACCTTGTATTGGTCCAAAAGAGTATGAACTATTGACTTGATCTTGCATCATCGGATTACAGAGCCAGAGACGCGGAGCCAGAGCTGGGCTGATCTGGCACATATCTCGACTGCTTCTACGTGCGAGAACATAACTCTTGTACGTCCAGCGTGAACATATTCAATAATATGGGAGCATCCTCGGTGGAAATTGCTAAATATCCATTGTGGAGATTTCTATGCTCCATGTCTTTTACAGCGCAGTGCTCTTACATCAGAACTGCGTCTGGTTGGGCGTGACTGGAAATTTCTAGTCTTCTCCTAAACGCAGCCAACGTACAGTGTCTACGCGCCATAATCATAAAAGGTTACAAATACGGCGTGGCAATTTAGTCCTTCTCTAAGAAGCTTGTGATGGTCGATACGCCCGGCCACCTCAGTTCCAAAACGCGTCTGAAACAGCAACATGACTGTTGACGGCTGTCACATGGCGGCTATTGTCTCGACACTAACTGGCGGATAAAAGTTAAGCAACATCTTGAAGACGCATACTGAGTTGGAAACCTCCTGCGGTTTGGGGCGGTGTTTAGTGTCTCATTTGTGCATAGACTTAGGCAATACGACACGCTGACTGAAATTGTATAAAGCCTGGGAGTGTAACGCGTCCAGATGTTAGAACTCACTCACAATCTCTGTTGTGCCAGATCATATAAAGGAAATAGACGTTGGCGTATAACATAGCGGTAACAGACATCTTATCGCCTGATTTCTTAATCATCCACTGCTCGTAATGGCCTTTCGATACCTCCAATACGCGGCATTCATCGCAGCAACAGCATCTTTTTCCCGAGCGCAGAAATCCGCAAATGTGCCCGACGACCTGCAAACAAGTTTGGAATTTAGCGACAAAGAGCTTCAAGTATCATACACCAACGAAGCAGTAAATGGCTTCGCAGACGGTACAACATTCGAGAAAGACGGTTAGTTTCTCCAAATACTCTACTTAAACCACCTGCTTACATATCCGTAGCCGTTGAATCAGAACCGACCTTCGCCCTCGGCGACAGCAGCGGCATATCACCCACGATACTGTACACCATTGTCCTCGTCGACACAACGTGTCCTAACGCACGCACACTACACTACGCGCGCGCGAACTTCAAATATAACTTTGACATCACTAACGTCAACACATCCTCCACCGCGTTGTTGGAGTACAAAGCGCCGGGCGCGTTCGGTGAAACGGGGAACGACAGGCAGTACAGCTGGCTGATGTACACAAATCCAAAGCGCAAGGAGATCTCAGAGTTGAAACTACCGACGGAGGGAGAGGCGTTTGATGTGGGGCAGTGGCAGAGTGACAATGGGCTGGAAGATCCGAGTGCGGGTGTGGGAATGGTTGTCAAGTTGGGCGGAACGGCGAATTGCGACGGAGAAGCAGTGCAGAGTACGGCTACGTTAGGGTTGACGAGTCCTGGGTCGGTATCGACGAGTGCGAGGATTGCGACGACAACAACAACTAAAGAGTCGAATACGGCTATGAGTACAACTGCCACTGGGATTATTTCGAGCGGGAGTTTTACTCGCACTTCGACAACGAGTGGTAATACGGCAGAGCAGACTACAAGTGCTGCATCTGAGTTGTCTGTTGCAGGAGGTATGGCTGTAGTACTGTTCGCGGCTGCTGGAATATTATTCTAGTAATAGAAGGTAGAGCCGATAGAATATGATGTCGAATCTTTCTGCCCATTTCATACCGTTGGGGACCCGATTCTTTACTGGTATCTTCTTCATGAGATTGAGTACGTCAGTATTACACCTGACTTTCCAACTCCTAGGATTTGGCTTTTCCCTCGCTTCAATCCTCCTTAACAGCTTCCGCAAAGGTCTTATCAAGGGATACTCCGCTCTCTCCCTGCGGTTTCGTCACATTCGATCCAGCATCCTCCATGGTCCCCTGCTTCAGGGTCAACTCTCCAACAACTTCCGCATACGACTGCTCCATAGGACCCCGTTGCTTGACCCGCCCTTCCATAGGGCTACGAGTGTTCAACTCGTCGTCAGTATTACCCACACTTTCTCCAAGCGTTTCCCTCTTGACCAACTCCCCGACCACGAACGGAACTACATCCTTAGAACCATAATATTCCAGGTCAAACTTATCCCACTGCCCTGCATCTCTCAAAAACTCTTTTGTATGCCTCTGCAGCTTACAGCCACCCATAAAGAACGGCCAGCCGAGAACGGTAAAGATGAGTTGCATGAACCGCGCCGCAACTCGGCCCTCCGTCCGCCACGGATTTGCAACGTGCTCGCAGATGACCATCCGACCACCTGGTTTTAGAAGCTGGTAGAGCTCTTTGATGGTTTGTTCTGGATGCGGGACACCACACAAGACTCTCACGCAGCAGATCTCGTCGAACAAGCCGTCGGAGGCCAGACCGTTCTTGCCACTAACATTCAATATCCCGCTCTTGTGCAAAGCAGGAATCAGACTCTCGGGCTCGGCGCCGCAAAGCAGCGCGTGATATTTTGTGCCGAAGCCGCTTTTCTGCGCATTCTTGAGCAGTCCGGGATGCAAGTCTTCCGCAGGCTCCGCGCCGTACATGGCGGTGATTAAATTAGGGTTGAAGCGGGGCAGAATCTCTCCACTGCCTGGACCGATGTCAAGGACTACCCCTTTGCAGGTGGAGAGGAGCTCGGTCAGAGGTCCAGGCATTTCAATTGACATTGCTTCGCCATTGTACTTCCAGAGACGGGCGAAGGATTTATAGCGGAGAGCTTTGAGATCCAGGAGTGCGAAGGGGCGTCGTTGAATGAAAACGAGTGTGAGGACTGTCATTATAAAGTCTGATATGCATCAGTGGATATTCATGACATGCATCGAACGACGGGTAGCACTATATGAAACATACGGTATATCGCAGTTTGCAAGAGTAGCGCTGGACGTAACAGGGTCAAGGCATTGTCTTGAACCCATTTTGAGGGCGTCATTGTGTGGTGTGAACTATAGTGATGTTTCCGTTCAAATGTGTAGAAATGTCAAAACTAGGGGTTTTCAAATAGACGCGATATAACACTACGCAACACTTCAAACTGGTAATATAACAGAAATGGAGTGTTGGAGGAATAGCGATGCTGATGTTGGAGTGATGGAGCAAAGGAGCAATACGAGTCAGACAGAGAGGAATGCAGGTCAAGCATGACGTAATGCCATAGGTAAAAGCGGCCGAGGCATGTGAGATCGAGGCCCGCAATTTGAAGTTTTCAGAGCACTCGAGTTTGAACTTGAACACGAGCTCAGCAAAATGACAAGTACAGAGAGGACAAAGTACGCGCTGATCACAGGGTAAGCTACATCCTCGACCCAAGCGGCTGCGAAGCTGGAAGATGTGTACTTTGACAAGGTAAGCTCATAAAAGCAGCTGCACGCCAGGAGGCATTGGCCACTTCCTCGCGCTCGAGTTCGCAGAGAAAGGTAAGAGCACTTACATACACAGCCCTCTGAATCTATCTGACTCTTCTGTTCAGGCTTCCATGTCCTTGCGACAGTTCGCGACCCGGCAAAATATACTTCGCCCAACCCGCACATTACTTATCTGCCCCTCGAGCTCACCAGCAATTCCTCAATCCGCGAACTGCGCACGCGTGTGACTGAAATCACGAACGGCAAGCTTGACGTTCTCTACAACAACGCTGGGCGCAATTATGTAGTCCCTGCTCTCGACTTTGACCAAGATGAGCTCCACGAGCTGTTTGAAGCCAACGTCTTCTCTGTCATGCAGATGTGCAAGGAGTTTACGCCGCTCTTGATCGAAACCAGAGGCACGATAGTACAGACCGGGTCCGTCGCGGGCATCATGCCTTATGTCTGGGGTGCACCGTACAACGCGTCGAAGGCTGCGTTACACGTCTATACGGACACGCTACGCGTCGAACTCGCGCCGCTCGGCGTACGCGTTCTGACTGTTGTTACCGGTGGTGTCAAATCGAATATCGCGAGAACACATCGTGTACTGCCGCCGGACTCCTATATGCAGCCTCTCGCTGCCGATTATGAGAGGAGGTTGACGCACAGCCAGCAGTTGGGCATGGACACGCAGCAGTATGCGAGAAGCTGTGTGAGACAGGTACTAGGCGGAGGGAGCTGGTTCGGTCGACCGGGATGGATTTGGGAAGGCAAAATGAGCTGGATTGTATGGTTTGGGTGGAGCTACTTGCCGCACAGGATCTTCGATTGGTACTTTACCTCGGTCTTCAAACTGGCAAAATTGAGGGGTACTGCAGGACCGGACAAAAAGACAAGGTGAATGGTGGTTGATGAAGAGATGCACACCGAACCTTTCGTAATCAGTGTAGCTTTGTGTTTGCCTTAATATACACTCGTTCAATGACACTAGTCTGAAAGTCAATAATGCTCTATGCATGCCGAGTTGTGTTCCGCTTCAAATTGTTTTGTTCGTTGATGACGACTGGCTACTAGCGCACGTGATGGCGCGATTCTACAATTCTGCAAGGGTCAAGACTAAAATGGCTCACGTTCGCTTTGCAGCCACGTTTTCTCATACCCAACTCCGACGTCAGTGTTATCTCTCTGCACTCTGCACCCATCAACACGGATTTTTGACTATCAACCCTGACCTCGATGACTGGGCTTCTCTCGCTCCCTACGGAGCTTATTTGCGAGATATTCGATCATTTGCGGCCCACGCACGAAATACATCCTCTCCAAGAGTTGGACCCCCGCGACGAGATCTGGAGTTTTAGCGATTCCTATCGTACACTGGCTGCCCTAACGCGAACATGTCGTCACATCTATCCAATCGCTGTACAAATGTTGTACAAACGTTATGAGACCCTGTACCAAAAACCAATCCCTGGTTTCATACACCGCCTCCATGCCGACCCCTCCCTCTGCCAGAAGATCAAACATGTCAACATCTTAGAGAATGGTCCATGTTGCAAATATAAAGGGAGAAGTATGGATGAAATCAAAGCAGATCTTAGCCTTATTCATGACTTGAGTCGGTACAACATCGATAGTTGGTCGGAGCCCGATCTAGGCCAACTCGAAATTGCCAACATTGTCTCGCGGGCGCCAAACTTGGAACATCTTCGGATCAAAACAATTCATTCGGGATTGTATGGAGTCGGACGTAGCACGGCTCCAATCTGGCTCGCATCGATCATTGAAGCTGCGAAAGGCGTGTTTATAGGGACCCCACAGAACAACAACTTCTTGAGGTTGCGTACTGTAAAGCTCAATTTGCAGGCTACATGCAGCTCAGACTTGGTCTATCTCTTCTGCCTTCCATTTCTCAAACATCTGAGTTTAACAGCCATGATATATCGTGCACGCAAAGGCGAAGGACGCTTCCCTTGGCCGATACAAGCTGCAACATCAGAGATCCAAACGCTCAGGATTAGTAATGTTGAAGCGCCAGCTTGCATCATTACGCAAATGATTGCCTCCTGCAAGTCGCTATCAGTGTTCAAGTGCGTCTGCGCAAACGATCGTTATGAAGGGAAGCCCGAAAATAACGAACTATGGTGTGCGACGATACTCGCCGCCTTGGAAACACATTGCGAGTCCTTGAAGGTTCTTCGTATGGACCCCAATGATCGGGAGTGGATGGCTGATAATCCTGATCGTGAATGGACACGAGCTGAGGGTTTCCAGCGGTTTCATGTTCTTGAACACCTAACTGTCCCGTTCATGGCCCTGCTGGGTCGGCCACGGGGATCTGTGGTCGACAAAAAATGGACGCCAGCACCAGGTTGGGCAGGATATCCGAAAATGAGAGATATTCTTCCAGCCAGTCTTAGGACTTTATCACTCGATATGGGTCCTTCAATCTCTCCTGGCGCACATCTAGATAACGTTCTACTCAGCATCCTCCCGGAGCCAGACGAAAATATCAATCTTCGTTGGCTCTATGTCGATTACGATAGTATGGCGCGGGACGGACCTTTACCCATGAACTTTTGGACCATCACGAAAGGGCTACTCCAAAAAGAGGTACGGTTCTACTATCAGATCAACACCGACTTCGATTATTCATGTACGTCAATTTCTGATATGTCTCCCGTGAAAGTCCACCGAGTTATCATTCTCCGACAGAGAAGGGTTTTCTCTATAATCTTTACCCACCTGCCTATACGATCCGATATGTTCTTCCGGCCCACATGCTAACTATCCAACTAGGGGAAGGTGTGACGTGTATGATGAAGGAATGGAAAATTATCGCCGCAGAGCTGGCAAAGTATGGTCGACCAGGAGTCGCCATAGCCGAACACTTTGTCGCCAATCATGAATACCTGATGCATGAAGTTGAGAGTATTTTGCATCTTGAATCTGGTTGGCGATCTGGCGACGAGAACTGGTGGACAGACTTGTTGGCAGATGATGAGTTTATACATGAGGAGGACGGGGACGAGGACGAGGACCGCATACATCACGGGGATGAATCCACAGATGAGGAAGATTGATTCATAGATCAAAGGATGACAACATCGACGAGGTAATGCAGAAGACAGACGGCGGTAACATTTCGTCACAAGACTATGTCATATAGACGAGGATTGGGTTGTATGCATCAAGCGCATTGTTTCTACCCAGGACGGTGTGTTACAGGGATTTGGTTTGCACATACATTATTACTATGGAGCTTATATATTTGTAATCAGTCTAGCCTTAATCTAAATTCATTAATGATCTCTTTGCTCACTACGAAAATGTTGGTTCACGAGTAAGAATTAGTTTCCCGTCCTGCGTGTAGAAGCATGCTGAAGTCGTTTCACCAGTCGAAGAACGCTCACCTAAGAGGGATTTGCGTATTCGTTCAAGACATGTTACTATTTGCGACGGTGCGCTAAGTGAAGTGCGTCAGACTAGCGGTATTGAGAGTGAAGGGCAAGACTCGTGTGTATATTCCCTGTAAAGACTTGTGCAAGACAATATATGCGACATCCAAAACAAGAGATGATTTGGTGCCATATTAAAGAGCCTACATCTCTGGGTAATAGGTTGGTATTCATCTAGAGGATTAACAAGCTGCATAAAGTGATAAGACTGTCCAAGCGGCTAGTAAACGTGTTCTTACTTCAGCTAAATACCTGCTGGCGCGACGTCAATCATGCCAGTGTAAAATCAGCACCTGTCATTTATAGATGTGCCGCACCACAGACGCAACAAGCCCTTGCCTGCTTTCTCTATGGTATTGAGAGGCGCTCGAGATTGTCCCTTGAAGCCAATATCACCACCATAGTCCCTTTTGGCAGGCGCGCGTTCTCCTATATCATATAAAAATAGCAACAGTCCTTAATTGGACAGTCTTGAATGCAGAAACCCAAGAAACTGGAATAAAACATAACCGTGAATGCGACGGCAGTCAGTCACAACGGCAATCGCACCGCTGCCCGACGGCAACGTAAGCTCACTTCTTTGCCAGTGCGAAGGTGTTCCGCGTCCAGCCAAACCATTTGTTCATACGACGACCCATAGACTGAAGCATAACGGGGTCAATGCTCGGCTCTGGATGGGGCCGATGGAATATGATTTTCCCTCCACCCTTTCCGTCCTCGAATGTGACGATCGATCCTCCGCCATTCTTAGCTACGAACCCTGCGTCTGCCATGCTGTCTACAAAAACGCCCCATTCAGTGCTCTTTTGACGTTCCTCGGCAGTAGCAGGAAACATGGAGCGAAAAGTGGCGTATGAACGTTTAGAAAGCTCCATCGTTACAACAGCCGGCTCTTGTGGTTCAACAGCCTGTTCTTGCTTCTCCAATATTTGAGGCTGGGACTCGCCGCGAGTTTTCACTTTGGCTTTGGATTGAGCTACATCGGACTCGGCTGACACGCTCGTTGTCGTTGTTGGTAGTGGCAGAAACATATCCTCGTTCTCCAGTGCCTTGGGTTTCCGCATGTCGGCTAAGACTTGCTCTCGCTTTGCGTCAAGTCGTGAGGTATATTCAGAGTTGTCCCACAGCATTAGACTTTCCATCAAAAGCTCCACATCGCTGGCTGAGAGGCCCCAGCCTCTGAACATATCTCTATAAACACTGGATGTCTTTCGCCAATAGTCTCGGAGAGCGCTGTGTAAGTTATCAAATTGCTGGAGCCAACCATGGTTACGCTGACCACTGGGCGGTGTCGTAGCCCGAAAGACTGTGAGTGATTTGATCATGGAAATGTTATCAGAAGATGTGATCACATCTCTACCCTTTATGATCCTCCAGTAGATTCGATCCTCTGTCTGTACACAATCGCTTATAGAGCGGATGGTACTTCGGGGACAGTGCATACGGATAGCCCAAAGCAGTTCTATCAAGGTCACATAGTCTGACAGATTCTCATACAGGATTTCATCTAGACGCGCACGCTCCTCGGGAGTGGAGGATGCAAGATGATCGTCGAGCATGTCCAGCAGCATGGCGTAGCGAAATCGGGTTTCACTATCCGGAGGGCCTTGAAGTTGCGTGAGTATCCACCACAGCTTTTCGGTGCGATATGCTCGAGCTTGGCCAGAAGTGTTATCGTTCTTTTTTGATGCAAACTGTTCCTTGATCTGGAGCGTTACCTCATATTTCCACTTGTTGTTCTTTCCCTCGACGGGAGTGGCATCTTCATAGTCGTAGATGTTGCGAAACCCTGGTCGCTGACTGGTGATAGCAACGAGTTGCTTAGAGCGTTTATGAATTTGATTGACCAGTTGAAGCTCGAGAGCGCCGAGCACGTCGTCGATCTTTTTTGGTAGTGGCGCTCCAGATACAATAGAGTCCTGGTATCGTCGGTATACCTTCTGCAGGTGTTCGAACTCCACCAATGCCATACGCCAAAAGACATGAATGTTTATATCGCCTATAATCTCCCCATTGATCATAGCCAGTCCGACATCTTTTCTTTTGTCCGTTTGTACACTCTCCATTTGACCGAGCTTGCGCATGTAGCGCTTCATGTACGACGGCTCGGTCTGGAGTAGCCACAAATGGTCGCTTGTGGCATCATACCTTGCTTTGACAAGAGCCAACAGTGCGTCGACATCGAATCGAGGAGGCGCGAGGAATGGCCGGTGCACGAAGCTGGACCAAGCGGCAGAGCCCCTTGTCATCTTTAATCCTGGTGCGATGACTGATTCTCGTCCGACAGCAGAGACAGCCTCGGCATCCTGTAAGCCTTCCAGTAGCTTCTCTACCACTTGCTGGAGAAACCTCATAAGGGTAGCTTGAGCTTCGAATATCTGTTGAGCGCGGGGGAATCCGACCAAATCGAATCGATGGGCCGCCTTCGCTTCCCATTTCGTGTATGTACCGTACTTCGATCCAAACATGATAACAGCTCCTGCATTGAATTCCGCGTCAAGTAAGCCCAAACCCCAGGATGATCTCAACTGTTCGTGGTCGAACGGTGCCCACTCCGCCGGGGAACTGTTTGCACGGGCGTGTATAAGGCCTACAAGAGCTGCTGGATTGTTGGCAAGTGTCTCGAGGTCAAGATATGGAAGAAGGAAGTATTTCCTGTACTTTGCTCGCGACACTTGCCAGCTCGTATTCGAATAATCCAGCTCAGCGACGAGCCCTTTCTTGTGAGGTAGAGCTGGCTCTGTTGCCAAGAGTAATTCTTTTCGTTTGGATTGAGTGCGCTTCCGCCAGCGATTGAGGATGTGCTCGCCATGATGTTGTACGGCATGACGGAGATACTTTTGACTTGTGAAGATCTGCTTGGTATGTCCGGCTATCAGGGCTCTCGCTTCCTCGTCAGCGAGTACCTTGGTATAGTGATATCTATCGATTCCCTGCTCTCGGAGTGTGTAATAGTAAGTCTGACAATCAGGACATGTGCATGGCGGCGGACAGAGCGGTACGTTGGAGTGTACGTAGCCATGTGATGATGCCGTCAGTTCATCAATTGTCCCTACGCGATTCAACCAGTGGTCTGCTGCTTGCATGGTTGAACTAGCTCAAAATGTTGGCGATGGAATAACTTGTGATGTGCGATGCAATGAGTCTTGGGCTGCGACCCAGCTTTATACAATGGCATGTGTGAGAGGGGGCAGAGCCTGGGTGGTTTGGCTACCGGTATGGTGGTCTTCTCCCTAAATACAAGCCCTTCTCCGCTTCTCTTCAATTCGTTAGGATTGATGATCGGAATAATCTGACCAATCCGTGAGTTTACTGAAAGGTACCCTGAGGGGATGAATGGTTCAAACTTAGGAAGGGGACTGGTATGTGCATTCACCCCCCACATTAGCGTCGCACTACTGCAACCTAATGCAATAAGTGTCCGCACCGGCCTTTGGGTATCCCATGAAGTGTCGCATTTCAGCCAATAGAACAGCAGAGCATATCTCTCAAGAGTCGAAACTCGACACCAAAAACGCGCCTACGCGGGGCTTAAAGAAAATATGATGACCTCTCCCATAAACTGTCGAAATAACCCTACGAATTTCGGCTTGGTTATCGGTTAATCAGAGCCCGTCGTGTCGACATCATGTCCGTCTTAAAAGCCTTAGCGTGACAGTGCATACATTTGCATCACACCTCTCAAATTCGACCAATATTGCGTATGTTGAAAGGTTCATATCCATATATGAAGATGTGCATAAGTTTTCTGTCCTCGATCTGTATACCCATACACCTCGAATACAACCTTTGGCTTCCTCTATCCAGATCGCAGAAAGCTGTTTTGAAAATGGGGTATAACTAAGAAGCGGGATGGTCCCTCCTCTACCAAGGAAAGTATGTCAAACTGGCACTCATGATTTGACTATTTGATAAAATGGGATAATATGTTGATGTCTTTCAGTTTTGACTTCTTCTAGTTGGCCAGAATATCGGGGAACTGATTTGACCATAGTTGAAGAACTAGTTACCTCGCCATCTCAGGTGCAATAACTCAGTCTTTCAAGAGGGGTTACCATACATTTATATACAATTGCCCGGCTAGCATCGAGACTGCATATTACCATCATACATGACGATAATAAAGACATAGAAAGCGAAGCAGATAAGCCAGTCGGCATCGAAGCCGAGCGGACGGATTCCTGGCCGAAATCGCTCGTCTACTCCAATCAGGAAGAAGGAGACCCGAATATTCCATTGACTACAAAGTACGCTCGCAATGCAACCACCATCTCCTCACAAGCATCAGAAGATACCGTCTGACGTGATAGCAATCCTGCACAGCTTCTATTGTAGATAGCTATTTTAACAGACATCAACCTCCACATACGATGGCTGATTTCACGCTCTGCATAGTGGGTTGTGGTATGTCCACAACACCCCGCTAAAGCATCATCTTGGCCTAACTTCCCCATCAGGCAACCTGGGGACATCCATCCTCCAAAGCCTGCTCAAGGCTCCCGACGACGGAGAAGCCATCAAGTTCGACCACTTTATCGCCTGCGTACATAGCCCCGCCTCGGAGCAACGACTAACGAAGCAATTCGGGCAAGAGAAAGAATCAGGAAAACTGCGCATCTCAAGAGGCGACAACATCAAAGCAGTCCAGGATTCAGACATCGTTATCCTCGGCGTAGATCCATCAGATGTCGAGGCCACGCTGAAGCAAAACGGCTTCTCACATGCGCTCAAGGGCAAACTACTCATCAGCATTGCCGCTGGCTGGACGAGAGAGTCACTGGAGGACTTGCTCGCCCCGAACGTGACCTTGTTGAGCAAAGAGGAGAGGATCTGGGTGCTTCGCACGCTTCCCAACATCGCGGCTCAAGTCTCCCAATCCCTGACCGCTATTGAAGCCCCGCGCGAGAGCTTCCCGCGCGAGTACATGGAAATGGCCGATTCTATATTCTCGCAGATAGGCAAGACAGTGCACATTGCGCCCCGACTCATGAACGCCACGACCGCTGTTGGAGGCTCCACACCGGCGTTCTTCGCTGTTATCTGTGATGCTTTGATCGATGCGGCGGTCGCGGTTGGGGTACCGCGCGCGCAGGCGCAGGTGATGATTTATCAGAGCATGAAGGGCACGGCGGAGATGCTGCAGAGTGGCGTACACCCAGGTGTTCTCAAAGACCAGGGGACGTCGGCAGAAGGATGCACGATTGGAGGGTTAATGGTGCTTGAGGAAGGAGGTGTGAGAGGGCACCTGGGCAAGGCGCTAAGAGAGGCGGTTACCATTGCGCGGTTGATGGAGAGCGGAGATGAGAATTTGCATGTGAATGATACGCGACACTAGTACTACATGTAGAACACGCGGGAGAAGGACATGGGTTGTAGGGTAGGCTCACTTGATGACAAATGAGTTATCAATGTGGCGTGGGTTGCAGAATCACTTAACCGCAGTGTACCGACATAGGTAGTACTCACCACCATACGTCCTCGCACAATGCTAAACTTTGCCTGGTCGATCCCCCTGTCCTACCTCATTTCGTCACATGACGATTCGTCCATCTCCGAGCGGTGCAACACGCTGAGCCAAACCCCACGGCTACAAACCCAAAGAATAGACACACGTGTGCCACGAGTCTTGTTCCGGGCATACTACATGGATCGATCAACGCGCGCTGCAGGCTTTCCTATTCAGGAACAGCCGTGTAACTGAGGCGGATGCATTGCCGTTCAAAATAGTGCGGCCATGCAGTGCGAGGCGTTTTGTACATCTGTGACGATGAAGCTTGATTGGTTCGCTTTTGGTGTCCTCTTAGGGATCTTTCGAAGACAGTTGGAGTGCGTCAGCCGAGCAATTGAAATCGGTAGTTATCTTTCAAGGAGTAGCCTGTAGTGAAGTTGCTGCAAACTATGTCATGTGCGTTTGTGTTTGGTGCGCGATGTCATCAGGTGGGATGGTCCTCGTATTTATGCAAGGTCGAATAAACAACCTAGGTGGGCGGCAAAGAGACCAGGGAAACCTAGAGCGAATGATAGGTAGTAGAAGAGCTAGTTCTGCAAAGAAACAACGTTAAATTATGCACATATTAGCAAAAGAAAATAGCTTGGTTCCTGCAGCATTGGTCCGGCGCGCGATAGCCTGCAAAAAGCAACGAAATCTACCCCGAAGTTGGGGGTGCAACAACCAATCGAAGATGACGGGAGAAAGACCAAAACTCGACTTGGGTATTTCCGCAAAGGTTCCAAAGAGAAAACAACAAAACGCCGACGGCCGTGAGGCACCTGTTTTCTCGATATCCATCCAATTTTATCCTTGCCGTGAGGCATCCTTTCTTAATAGCTGTGATTTGTCCGTGGGGACTTGGTATGTCTGTTGAGTTTCGTGAGTCGTGAGGTGGGAGGGAGTATAGGCAGTATGTTGTGGTCGGGTGTTGGGTAGTGGTGAAGCTGTGAAGGTGTGTTTGTCTGTATGAAGAAGGTGCATTTGCAGTGGTGGGAAGGTGCACATCAACCACAACACGTGTGCATCTCAGATGCGCCGATCCAGATGGTCGACACGGGCTTTGAAGCCCTTGACAATCTCGCCAATGCGGCGCACCTTGTCGAATTCGACTTCCAGCTCGTCGATTTCGCGGAGTATGGAGCGGAAGCGGGCGATTTCCATGTCGGCCATCTGGATGGCGTTACCCGCGCGGTCGTACTGCATCTGGGTGGCTGTTTGCGTCTGCTGCGTGAGCTGTGGGGCGATTAGCATGGCGATATCACGATTGTGGATGCAGGATGCAGGATCGAGGGTGGACTCACAGAGTGCCATCGCTGCTGTATCGCGTACATCAAGCGGTCGAAGTGGGCGCCGAGCGCCTGTAGACTTGAGGGATCCAGGAGGAGGCGGCCCTGACTAGAGGCGTGCGAGGCGGCGCGAGACGAATTGCTGCCCTGTTGCGAGACGGCGATCTGTTGTTGTAGAAACCTGGTCTCGCTGGAGTTGAGGCCCAGTTCAGCGACGGGGATGGCGGACATATGTACACATTATCTACGAAGCATTGCCGGCGCGCGTCTCAGCCTGGCGGTGCTGCAAACGGCTAGCAGCTGTTACAGGCTGTCTTTTTGCAACGTTACACAGAGGCCGCAGGTGCAAGTCCAAGTCCAAGTGCACGGCGTTGGCTCGAGAGGAGAGGGAGCTCAGCGCGATGAGGAGAAAGTTGCCAAGGAGACTTGCCGAAACCATATTGCTGCAGACGCCCGCCAACGAAGAAGCAACGGTTGATGAGCCGCCCACACCACTCTATCCCACACACGTCCGAACACATCATCATCGACCCTCTTGCCGTGTGGGGTGCTGCACGGCAGTTGATGGACCCAGCGCGTAGTGATCCGCCACGCGATCATCAGGAACCGTGCCGCTCTGTTGGAGTGGATGCTCTCTTGCTTTTATCTTGCAACCGAGTCGCTGCATTGACGAGCAACAAACGATTCTCTTTCAGGCGCGGGATCATACCTCCGTACAAACATCCTCCTCGGTCCACACTGACTGGGATCTGTATATTGCACAGCGAAGACGACCTGACCCCGCCAGCTCGCGTAGAGGGATAGCCCTTGCAGGTCCGGATGGAGAAGGTGACAAGGGCATGTGAATCGCCATGCGAGGGCGCCGCTGACTTAGCGAGTGTGGAGAAGTGCGACTCCACACTCTCCACCCAGCTATACCGCAGACGCAGCGGAGAATTACACGCCGAGAGGAACACCGGGGAGACTTCCGTTGAATAGATTTTGTACTGATCCTAGTATTCGAGGCTGGTGCTTAATATCTTTCCTTGTAGCTCCACATTATTTATTTCTCACGTCTCAAATCTATATTACTACAATGGGTTTCCTCTACTTTCCTTTTGAAGGTGTCCTTGGTCTTCGTGTCCGATCACAACCACCATGAGGCTTGTTTCAACTCTTCAAAGCTTCCTGGCGCTTGCAACTCTGGCCAGCTCTGTTATTCTCCAGAATGGACAAGTACGTGAGACTAATTATCCAGACACCAAAATCGCATCCATAGGCTCAAACACGACCGGCTGGAAGACGTATGGACCGAATGCGACAGAGCTCTCCTACAAGGGACGCTGGGACAAGAAGCATATCTCTTGGTGGGCGTACGTCTCCACACCACGCCATCACTCCCCAAAAGCGGCATCTAACTTGTATCTCCTCCAGAGCGCCAGGGCTGAAATTCGGCTTCGAAGGCCAAGATGTCGCAATCACATTTGGCGAGTACACATCTCAAGGCGTTCTGATTGCCTACCGCGTTGCAGGCCTGGACTGGCAATTCACAAATGTCACGGCAAACGCAACTCATCACCTCGTGTCACCAAGTACGCCTGGTCTCAATGCCACGCTACCCGATCAATTACCACTTACGTTTGAGATGAGAGTCACCGTACGTCTCGTTTTTCTTTCGTTACTTGCCTCATTCGCGGAAGTCACGGACATATCACTCTACAATCCAAACACCCCCGACTACTAACCAGGAGCAAAACAACCCCAATCCCAAAACCCCAGCTAACCCTCCCCAACCCAGAACTGGGGCTACGGCGTGCAAATCTCCGCCATCCACCTCTCCCGCCCATCCCACCTAATCAAGCTCCCCAACTACTCCAAATCCCTAGAATTCATCGGCGACTCGCTCACAGCAGGCATGTACGCCACCTACGAAGCCTTCAGCGGCTTCGGCTACACCATCGGCGCGGGGCTCGGCAACGTAGAATTCAGCGTCACCGCACACCCAGGAATCTGCCTGCACGACGCAAACTGCTGGGGCAACCCGCGCGGCCAAACATACCAATGGTTCCAGACGCGCGACACAAACGCCCGCGCTTTGACTATCTACCCCAGCAACACAACCGAGCCGTGGGATTTTGCCGCCCACCAGTCCGCGGACATCGTGCTGATCAATCTCGGCACAAACGATAATAATACCGCTAACAACGTGACAAACGCACAGTATCTATCCAGCTACATCGCCTTCGTCGCGGACGTGCACACCGTGTACCCCGACGCGCAGATCATCCTGATGAGTCTGTGGAACGGCTTCTACCAGAGCGGAAACACGTATAAGCAGGCCGGCGCGTTTGTCGACGAGATTTACAACGTGTATCAGCACTACCAAGACGGTGGGTTTGTGCACTACTTCAACAGCACGGGGATCCTGCAGCATAATGATATCGGGCCGCAGTGGCATCCTACGGATGCTGGGCATTTGAAGGTATGTTGTGAGCGGGGAGGTGGTTGCAACGGTTCGATGTTGTATGGATGGGGCGTGCTGCTGCTGACTTTGTTGTGATGGGGTAGATTGCGAGCCATGTTATGCAGTATATTCGTATTAAATTTGGCTGGGAGTTTGCTGCGACGGGGCCGGAGGTTCAGCATGATACGCTGTATTGGAATGATGGTGAGTTCGGGACTATCTCGATTCCGTCGGCGAGGCTAAACTAACCCGCGCATCAGAGTCTAGCTATTAGGCTGCGAGTGCGGAAATGTGGAGTTGTTGAAGTATGGGTTGGCGACTTGACTTGGGTTGGGGCGGTGTGTTGATGTATTGCTCGAGACGTGTTTGTGGGCGAGGGAACAGAAATATGTACATGATCAATACCGCAATGCAAAGGTTTAGTCGATGAACATGTGTGGATCCGCATAAATTATTGTTATTATATCGGGGAGGGAGGAGTATTGTACAAGAATCACTGAACTATAGAGAAAGATATCCGAGGTAATTGTGATGTTGATAGTGATAATGATAATGGCATATATACGTCGACGTTCTAATCGTCTATGGCGTGAACTGATATACAAGAAGATGAACGAACAACAACAACAAAAAACAGTAAGGAAGGGGGTATCTATACCGAGCGCTGCCACCAACCCACCCACAAGAGACCCACGCTATGCACGACAGTAAACAAAAAGAAAAGAAAATCTAAGCAGTGATTGTATCCTGCCCCCCCTTATCTCTCCAGCACCTCAAAGTGCATAATTCTCAGCATGCAGGAAAATCTCATCGCGACCCGCATCGCTCCACACACTCCTCTGCAGCCCGGCAACCGTCTGACTAACGCTAACGCGCATGCCAGGCGGTCCGCAGACAAACACACAAGTGCGCCTGCCAAACCCTTTGCTCAGCCCCTTGAGCAGATATGGAATATCGGGGCGTCCGTACTCTGTGCTCCAGCCGTCCTTCTTCTTGACCGCCGCGGGCAGGAAGGCGAAGCGCATGAGATTCTTCTGGAACTCGGTGGGTGTGGACGGGAAGCCAAAGTCGAAGCCTGGGACGGGTTGTGAGGGGTCGTGCGCGGTGGGTGAATCGGGGTTGTGGAAGAGGTCTGGGTTGATGGCACCCGAGCCTGCTCCGACGGCTTGCGAGATGTCAAGGGAGAGGTTGCGGCGGCCGCCGGCGGAACGTGAGACGGGAACTGGGGCGATGAGGTCGATGTCTGAGGAAGTATCGGAACGGGCGCTGTTGACGCTTGGGCGTGGGGGCGCGAGCTGACCTCTGCTCATGGGCATGATATGGGCTTGTGGAAGTGCAGTGATGTTGTCTTCGTTCTCGCGGCGGAGCTCACTCTCTTTCTCCGGGTCGCCCTGTGCTTCGTCGCGTATTAGTGCTGAGTGGCGCTTCGACGAGATGCCTGAAAGACGGTTTTGCGCGATATTTTGGAAAGCGTCGTTGACTTTATCGTGGAAGAACATCGATACAGGGCGTGTTGGTGTCTTTGCGCTGACGACGCCCCCGCCGGCGACGCGTTTTGCGGCGGTGATGTAAAATTGGCATTGTACTGTTTCTGGAGGCGCGTATTCACGGCAAATGCGAAGTTCCTCTTTGAACCACTCCATGGTCTCAGGACGCTTTAGTGCCCAGATGACGTGGATCTTGCGTGTGACGGCTTTGCCATCCCGCATTTTCTTGATGAGAGAGAGAAGCTGTGAAACAATGGCGGTGATCCCACTACCGCCTGCGATGAGCACTACGTCGTCGAAGGCTTCGATACGTCGCTGCATCCCTCCGTATGGTCCGTCGACGAAGGCGCGGTACGTGTGCCATGGCCCGTGTTCCAAGGCACTACGCAGGACCTTCTTCGTGAAGCCTCCAAAAGGTCGGAAGACAAGAACCATGTCCCGGTATCCCTCACCATACTGCGATGGGAAGTCATCGCTACATAGCGATGCGATGGTGAATGGATGGTTCTCGAAGACGGAGATACCAGGCATCCGAAGATAGACATACTGTCCAGGTCGCCACTTCATCTGGGTGGGGATCGTAATTTTGATTGCATTTTCCGGCATAAGTGTTACGGCCGCTTCGTCTCCGATGAGCCAGGACAAACGCTTTGGGTTGGTCCAGTTGAGGTAGAAAATCCGCACAAAGTAGGATAAGACCCAAATGGCCACAGTGGAGAAGAGGTAATGCCATGAGGTCAAATAGTTGTTGCAATGCCAGAACAACATTCCAATAAAGATGATGGCGGCAGGTACGTGAAGCGTGACGAAGAGTTCGTACATCCAGTGGCGGAGGGGTGCAAGAGAATGTACGCAGAGGAAAACGAGAGGTACGAGAGCGGCGATTCCAGTACCGTAGGGATAAAAACCGGGCAGTTGGAAGAAAGCCTGGAAAGATTGGCGCGCTCCGTTCTCCCAAATAGGTGTAATATAGAAGGGTACCGTGTGTATGATGCTCAAAACAAGGCAGATGTACGCTGCCCAACGGTGTAACACATTCAACCGTTCGTGGCTGATACCTGTAATCATCGTGATGAGATTGGCTTTTGTTGCAAGCGCAACAACCCAAGGTATCAGGGCTACCGCCATCATCCCCGCTCGGACTGCAAGTGGAGGCGATCCATACGCGATGCTCTGCCAGAACAGGGGCTGTGGAAGGAAGCAGTAGAGGATCCCAACGATAAATGCTCCGAGCACAACGACAGTAACGCTTAGCGAGGGCAAAGCAATTGGCCTCCAACCTTTTCGCAGGGTGATTTGTCGCATCGGTCGGTAGAACACAAATCGAAAGAGAGCCACCAGATTGTTGATCGGGCCTACAGAAGAAACACTTGACTGCGTCTTCGGTTGGGGAGGCAAGGGGCCGTCGCGTGGAAAGAACTTTACAGTAGATTTGTCAGTATGGAGCACTGACATTTCGTAGTCTGTGTCAGGAGAGGATGTCGCCGAGTATTGTAGTACCTCTTCTTGGTGTAGGGCTGTCCGGATCTTATCCGTGAATAGGTGGTAGTAGCGCATGAAGCTCGCGATGAGGAGTAGAGGTATGCAGAAGTAGACGTAGGCGAGCGCATATTTTCCGCTCTTGTTCCAGGGATCCGCGGTGTTGGCCTCGATTAACCCGGCAGGACTTGATACGTTGTAAGGTATATTCACTCTTCGGACCAGAGTTGACATGGCTGTCACGATTCCACGCTCAGCGTGCGACATCGCGGTCCCCAGTTGTGACAAAGATACACCCGCTTGATTTCCCACCATTTCCGAGATGACTGGCATTGTCGAGTCCTGGATCGTGTCCGCAAGATAGACGCAGGTTGGAGGTCTTTTTGATAGCAGGAGCTCGGGCCCACTACTTCGAGTCGTCCTACGCTAGCAAGAGTTGGGTTTTTGCAGCGGTCGCTTGGATAATGTCTGGATACTCGATTCTACATCGATACGAACGTGGAGGGCTGCAGGATGTGATAATGCAGTGTGAACATGTAATGGATTCCTATCCTGGATCGAAGTCTTGAAGTGTGGCCAATCGTCACTTGCGAAGTTTCTGTGTAAGTGGTACACCAGATGCAACTTTCTTTCCGCGTGTCGACAAGGACGTGAGGTAATAAGTATCGATGCGAAGACCAGGGAACAGGTGTGGAGCACAGGATTAAGTTTGGACAAAGTCAATCAACGCTCGCAAGCAGCAGCCGACGTTCCTTATGCATCTTACGCAGCACAAATGGGTCACACGCAGGGACCAGGGTCCGGTTTAGTAGCAGCAAATGGTGGGTGATGTTCAACCGCTCAGTGCAGCCCGGCACTATTGAGCCAAGGTGTGATAGCGAGGCTTGGTCAGGGATCCGGAAAACGGACTGACGAACCCGAAGCGACATCACACTGGCCGAAAGCGAGGATTCCATATATCATATTCGAGACTCCCGCCGCTGCGTACGCATCACGCAAGACCAGCATTGTGACTGGCGGGATAGTGATGACGCCAGTGAGATAGAGCGGACGCTATGCAGTGCAATTCAGGCCAACATTCGAAGCGGGAGGCGTTGTCGGTTGCAGCGGGACTTTCGTCGCGTCCGCTCCCTGTTCATGATCTGAGCTTCGAGGACAAACTTACGAGTCGTTGTAAGATTGGGTTTCGTTAGCATAGAGTTGTACCTGCGTCTGAGGTCAACAACTTTGGTCGGGTTAATACCACGAGCTGGGGGCGAAACCCGAAACCAAACTCTGCGCACGACTCCACGTCCATGGTAGCTTAGCGAAGACCAGGCCTCAGCCACCTCGTGGGCGCACAGTTAGATCACAAGTGCTGCAAAGTACCTTTCTCGGTAGGTCAAGTTCCGCCTGAATTCGGCTGTCTCCGTTCGCATGACTTGACGGTTGGCGAATCGAAGATTCGGAATCGTGCCGGGACTTGCAGGCGATGCCTCAACGCGTGGGATGGAGAGGGGTGGTTAGATTTACGTGCCTTGACTGGGTGTCGATGCATGTGTAGCCGCCGCCGCCAACCGGATTAGGACTAGCCGGAGATCCTATCTGCGGTAGTACATTTTGCCGGCCCGCTGCAGAGCTTCAACGGTGGAGCTTTGCCTTTCGATGTCTGGCTGTCATCGATTACCGGCGGGACAGAGCTGGAGGAGCAGATGCTTTGAGGAGTTTTTCTTCCTGCTCGCTGACGTGAGGGTGGGGAAGTGTGTTACGAGAGATATGGAGTGATCATCAGTACGATTGTGAGGCATTCAAGAGGGTAGGGTGAAGCCCAGTAATTCCCTTGAGATGCCATTCACACAACAGCAATGCATCACTCGCTATCACGACGCAAATGCATGGCTTAGCCTCTCACAAGCCCTACGCCCTCCCCACATCCACAAGCAATCGATCTTGACCACCAAAGCGGCCGTCTAGGCGCCCAGAGACCCCTTTCACGGCCATTACGCCCGTGTAGCAAGCATCTAGATGGCTAGGCGCCAACTATCTAAGCCCTACGACGTCGACGCCCTCGGGGCTGTTAGATCGTCAGGCACAGAGCAGCGTCTGGACTGTTACGCGCTCGACCATGTGCGCAATGGGTCGGTGGCTGCAAGTCTAGGTAAGTTCGTGGATGTGTTGATGCAGCCTTGTGAAGTTGGGTGTAGATGGGCGCCTAAGGCTGAGGTTTGGATGTAGCTGGGCCCATGTCAACCATGCAGAGAGCTGAGATACGTAGTACAGCTGATTGGGACTGGCGTGTGGATGCACTTGACACTGCGGACATTATCCCACTCCATTGCAGGCCTGTTGGTGACCTATACGTATTCAGACATGTTGTATTTCCTTTGCCCTTGCCCTCTCCCAGAGCATTGATTATCATGTAGAGGTTATGTGCAAGAGAAGTGAATGCAGACGATGCAATGATGAGTTGCAGAGAACGTTAACTGTGGCGTTAGACATGGATTCCAAGACACACGTTCTTCAGAGCTGTTCCACGCGTCTTGGTTAGTAGCGGCCGTGGGAGAATCGATGTTGATACAATGTGGATTGTAAGAGGGCGAGGCTAGCCGGGTGTGAGGCGCAGGATGATATTGCGGTGGAGCAGAGGGCAATGTGCTCGTGCATGGTCACGTAGATGGGCAACGTTGTGTGGACCCTGGTGGTGGGAAGAAGCAAAGGCAGTCCAACGGCGACTACGTCCACAGGCGGATGGCTCTGGAGGGAACGCGTGTGGAGTGGCAGCAGCCGCAGCAACAGCAGTTCCTGGCGATCCCCAGCACGCCGTCCACACGACAAGAGGCCGTGGTGTTGACAACAAGGAATGTACACGTGTTGGGCAAGGCGTGCATGCTGGTGCGTGAAGCGGGCCTGCACCACAGATCCCTGTGAGGAGTGGTGGGAGGGCAACCACGTAGGCAAGCGGCGACACCGCATGGAGTGGGGAGGTTATAACGGTTCATGGCAGACTCGGGAGTAGTTCTGTAATTGCGCGTGAGGGAGCAGTTGCCTTGCCATGCTCAAACACCACCCAAGTCAGCGCATCTTGGAGCAGTTCCTTTTCGAGGATAGTCAGGTGGGCAGTCGAGTGACGGCCGCAGCCCAAGCGCACGACTCCTCGTCACCGACGGCCATCGTCCCCCAAACGCACGGCAAGTTCCTGGCCCGCATCTCTCGCAGCTGTCAATTGCGCGCGCGACACCGCTCCGTCGTCAAACGCCTGCGCTTCCTCCATGTGCTGCCCGGCCGGCGCGCGCTGCAGATATCCCCGCTGAGCTCGACGCCGAAGAAGGCAGCCGCCTCGACCGCCTCGACCTCCGCCGCGACCGCCCTCGCCCCCTTCCTCGCCCGCGTCACCAAGCCCTTCCTCGCCATGCCGTCCATCCTGTCCGACGAGGACAAGCAGACGGTCAAGCGCACCGTGCCCAAGTCGGCCAACAAGATCCACGCCGTGGGCGTCGCCAAGCTGTACATAGCCTACCCCGACCGCCACCGCTGGACGTACACGGGGCTGCAGGGCGCCGCCGTGCTGGCCAACGACACGGTCGGCAACACCTTCTGGATCAAGATGGTGGACATTTCTGTAGGTGCCCGACGGGCGGTGCATGCTGCGTGCTGCGTGCTGAGCGGAGGCTGACGGACGCAGGCGGCCGGACGCGGCGTCATCTGGGACCAGGAGATCTACGACACCTTTGCCTACAACCAGGACCGCGTCTTCTTCCACACCTTCGAGCTCGAGGACTGCCTGGCCGCCCTGTCGTTCGCCGACGAGCGCGAGGCCAAGATGTTCAAGAAGAAGATGGACGACCGCGAGAAGAACGCCCACAAGAACACCAAGCACAAGCCCTTTGCCGCCACCGCCGGCACCAATGCGCCCCAGGCCTCCAACGGCAAGAGCCACGGCCTGCTGGGCGGCATCTTCAACCGCCACTCGTCGACGTCCAACCCACCGCCGCCGCCACAATCCATCATGCCCCCCGCGCCGCCGCAGGCCATTATCCCGCCCGTCCAGGTCGTGTCGCCCGTGCAGAGCAGCCACTCCAACGCCACGAGCGCGCGCAGCTCCGCCATCGACACGACGGACCCCTCGTGGCAGCCGCTGCTCAAGGAGCTGCTGGCCATGGGCATCACCGAGGACCAGATCGAGGAGAACGCAGACTTCATCAAGCTGTACATTGAGCAGAAGAAGCACGACGAGAAGGCCCAGGCAGACGCTGGCGACCGCCGCTCCAGGGCTCCCCCGCCGCCGCCGCCAACCGCTCGCGCGCCCATCAGCCCCCAGAGCACGGGCGGCTCCTCCAGACGCGGGCCCCCGCCAGCGCCCCCGCCAGCGCGACGCTCCAAGACAGACTCGCCCTACGTGTCTGGAAGCCCACCCCGACAGCCCTCGCCGCCCTCGGGGCCACCCAAGCCCGTCTTCAGGGCGCCGCCTCCACTCGCAGAGGCAGGCAAGTTTGTGGCCAACCCCCCCACCCCGTCCACCAGATCGCGAGCCTCGTCCAACGTGGGCAGCTCAGGCCCGCCCCCTCCCCCGCGCGCGCCAAAGACACCAAGCGACGACAGAGAGGCTCCCGCGGGCTCCAAGTTTGGCGTGCCTCCTCCCTTTGGGGGCAGCCGTGTGCCTTCAGGTCGAGGGCCAGTCCCACCTCCACCTCCAACACGAGACAGCATCCCCTCGGCGCCGCCACTACCACCAAAGACCTCGGCAGCTCCTATG